CTCGACCTCCTCACGCCCCCCGACCTCCAAAAATACGGCCTCATCCCCGAACTCACCGGCCGCATCCCCATCCACGCCGCCCTATCGCCGCTCTCCCTCCCCGCCCTCCTCCGCGTCCTCACCGAGCCGAAAAACTGCCTCGTCGCACAATACGCCGCGCTATTTGCTCTTTCCGGGATTAAACTGCGGTTCACCCGCCCGGCGCTGATTGAGATCGCGCGCACAGCGCTGCGGTTGGGGACGGGGGCACGCGGGCTGCGGAGCGTGATGGAGGGGGTGTTGGGAGAGGCGATGTTCGAGGCGCCGGGGGGGACGACGAGGCATGTGGTGGTGGTGGGGGAGACGGCAAGGTTGGAGGGGCCGGCGGTGTGTTTGGCGCGGGGGATGGGGGGGAAGGTGGAGGAGGTGGTGGGGAGGGAGGAGAGGGAGTGGGAGGGAGAGTGGGAGGGGGAAAGGGAGGCGGAGAGGGTGAGGAGGGAGGGGAGGGTGGGAGCGCGTGTGAGTACGTTTGAGGAATATCGGAATGGGCGGTATGGGGAGGTTGCGGGCGGGATGGGTTAGGTGATGGGGGATGAATTATCGGAGTATAGCTGGAACCTTTATGGAGCCTTTACGAAAACCTTTATGGAATATGATATCTTATGTTTCTCCGTGATATTGTACTTTGTTGGAAGTCCTCTCTGTCGTGTTCAGGTCCCTCGGCCTTTCCGGTGTAGTCTTTTACGAGGTGATGGCGAAGAAGAACCACATCCAACCGTCTAGGCAGCGAACTGCATGGTCTTTAAGGTTGTTGAATTAACTCTGGCCAATTTCATTACTCTAAGAAACCTGAGAAGCCAATGTAGAAGCCAATGTAGAAGCCAATGTAGACCATGTGCGACATAACGATATGCTCGGCCTCGGATCCCTGGACAATCCTTTCGTAGAGAGCCGGGAGGCATGCACCACGTGACCTGAGCTCCAGCGGACCACAGCCACCATATTCCTCCTCCCAGCCGAAACTCTCCCGTGGCCCATCAGCAAATCTGCTCCAACAAAGCTCCCAGCTTCACCTTCAAATCCTTTCCTATCCATCTCTCCATCTCCCCATCCCCTTCCCTCCATCCCATCAACGTTCCTCATCTCCCAATCACTCACCATGCTCAAAAGGTATGTCCTCCTCCTCCTCCCGATGCCATTGACCCCTTAATTCCCCATTGACGCTTCGAATTGACTGACCCCCGAGTTTTTTGACCTACAGCGGCTTCGCCCGGTCGCTGCGAGCGTCCTGCCTCGCCAGGCCCACGTCCTCCACCCGCGTCGCCGCCGCCGCCCGCACCGCCTTCCAGCCCATCCGCAACAATGCGCCGCGCGTGCTAGGTGCGCGGTTCGCCAGCGAGAAGGCCGCGGCCGGAATCGATGGGCAGATCCATCAGGTCATCGGAGCTGTGGTTGACGGTACGTATCCATAATCCCCATCGACGGAGATCCCAGAAAAAGTTTTCCAGACACCGAGGAGAGCGGATGGGATGGGATAAGGGATTTGGAACGTTGGAGATGAAACTGATGGGTGATTGCAGTCAAATTCGATACCGAGCAGCTGCCGGCCATTCTCAATGCCTTGACGACGGAGAACCAAGGTCAAAAGCTGGTGCTGGAGGTCGCTGTAAGTCATCAATTGTGCCATTGGTGCCACAAGCATCTCAATGGACTCTCCTCGTGGCCTCTTCGAAAACTAATCATCGCTACAGCAACATTTGGGTGAGAACGTCGTGAGATGTATTGCTATGGACGGTATGTGGCGCCAAGACCTTTTCATCATCCATCATCAAGCTCACCATGCTCCATCACAGGTACCGAAGGTCTCGTCCGTGGTTCCCGCGCTACCGACACCGGTGCTCCCATCAAGATCCCCGTCGGTCCTGGTGTCCTCGGCCGTATCATGAACGTCACTGGTGACCCCATTGACGAGCGTGGTCCCATCAAGGCTGCCAAGTACGCTCCCATCCACGCCGATGCTCCGGAGTTCGTTGACCAGTCCACGTCCGCCGAAATTCTCGTCACCGGTATCAAGGTCGTCGATCTTCTTGCCCCATACGCTCGTGGCGGTAAGATTGGTCTGTTCGGCGGTGCAGGTGTCGGAAAGACCGTGTTCATTCAGGAGTTGATCGTAAGTGTGGTCCGCCGGCAACCCGATCCATACTGACAACAACGGTAGAACAACATTGCCAAGGCTCACGGTGGTTTCTCCGTCTTCACTGGTGTCGGTGAGCGTACCCGTGAGGGTAACGATCTGTACCACGAGATGCAGGAAACCGGTGTCATCAACCTTGAGGGCGACTCCAAGGTCGCTCTGGTCTTCGGTCAGATGAACGAGCCCCCGGGTGCTCGTGCTCGTGTCGCTCTTACTGGTTTGACTGTTGCTGAGTACTTCCGTGACGAGGAGGGCCAGGACGGTAAGTTTTCGTTCTCCTCCCAAAGCATCGAAGCTAATATCCACAGTGCTTCTCTTCATCGACAACATCTTCCGATTCACTCAAGCCGGTTCCGAAGTGTCTGCCCTTCTTGGTCGTATCCCATCTGCCGTCGGTTACCAACCCACTCTCGCCGTCGACATGGGTATGATGCAGGAACGTATCACAACCACCCAAAAGGGTTCCATCACCTCCGTCCAGGCCGTCTACGTGCCCGCCGACGATTTGACCGATCCCGCCCCAGCCACCACCTTCGCCCATTTGGACGCCACCACCGTGTTGTCCCGTGGTATCTCCGAGTTGGGTATCTACCCGGCTGTCGATCCCCTCGACTCCAAGTCCCGTATCCTCGATCCCCGTGTCGTCGGCCAGGAGCATTATGACACCGCCACCAAGGTCCAACAGAAGCTCCAGGAGTACAAGTCCCTGCAGGACATCATCGCCATTTTGGGGATGGACGAACTGTCTGAGGCCGACAAGCTCACCGTCGAGCGTGCCCGTAAGATGCAGCGTTTCCTGAGCCAGCCGTTCACCGTCGCCGAGGTATTCACTGGTTTCGAGGGCACATTGGTCGACTTGAAGGATACCATCCGAAGCTTCAAGGCTATCCTCAACGGAGAGGCCGACGATCTTCCTGAGAGTATGTTCCATCAACACATTCATGTCAAACTTCGCTAACCTTGCTTTTCCAGACGCTTTCTACATGGTTGGTGGCATCGACGCCGCCCGCGCCAAGGGTGAGAAGATCCTCGCCGAGTTGGGCTCCGAGTAGACAACCCCACTCCTCCACGAGGGCAGCAGTTCTAGAACTGGACCGTGACTCCTCTCCTCCACGCCAATCCCCCACGAGGCGAACGTCACATCCTGTTTTCCCCTGCTTTCTGTCGTCCACTTGACCCCACCCATCCCCATTTTTTGTACAGAAATATCAGGCCGGCTGGCATGGGATCGATGGGACCCTTTCTGCGCAAACTAAAAGTAGACGGACGGTGGATGTATGTGTGTGTATGGGGCGAGGAGAGTCGATGTGTTTGGTGGTTGATAGATGACTAGTCAGCGGTGCGCTCTTGTAACACTTAGTTCGCGAAATCTCTCATAGGTCTTTGATTTGTGCTTCTCGGATTTGGAGTGGATGTGATCATATGTATAATAATCCCTCATAATGACCACCAAAGTAATTCCTCCACTTCGTAAACCGTAAACCAAACCCAACTGGCTTAAAACTCCTGATATCAATGTGACGCTGGGAGCGAAACGTCAGTCACGTGCCACCGCGTCCCCATCCACCTCACCTCCCATCTCAACGCGCAGAGCAATAGAATCGACAATACCACTCAATTCGCGCCCATCATACCTACCATGCTCCCAAACGAGATCATCGACCTCCTCACCTCCCAAATCACATGCCGCGACCAACAAATCCGTGCCCTAACCACCCTATATGCGGTACGTACCTCTATTTACACCATATCACCACCCTAACTCTAATAACCTCCCTCACCTCCCCCCTCCATCCCCTCCTACCAACCCACCTAACTCACAGCCTGATATCCTAACTAACCCAAACCAGTCCCCCCTCCCCTCCCCCCGCCTCCTCTGCCTCCACGGCCTCCCCTCGACCGGCAAATCCCTCGTCCTTACCGCCGTCCTCAAGGAATCCGAGCGGCCGTATGCGGTGATCAGGTGCGCGGAATGCGTGACGGGGCGGCAGGTATTGGAGGAGACGGTAAGGGCTGCGAGAGGGGCAGTGGGGGTAGTTGGGGAACAGGGGAAGGAGTGGAGGTGTGAGAATGTTGCGGGATTGGAGGGGGTGTTGAGGGAGGTGATTGGGGGGTTAGAAGGGGGGAAGAGGGGTTTGAACGAAGGGGAGGAAGGGGTGGAAGAAGGGAAGGGGAAGAGGCTGGTGTTGGTGTTTGAGGGGATCGATCGACTGCGCGAGGCGTCGACGATGTTGATTCCGGCATTGGCTCGAATCGGAGAACGAGTGACTCCCACCCCACCCCGTCCACTCCATCCACTGCTAACCATCCTTCTCTAGATCCCAAATCTCTCACTCATCTTCACCCTCCGCATCCCCAACCCCTCCCTCTTCCACACCCATATCCCCCACCTCCCTTTCCCCGCCTACACCCGCCCCCAATCCCTCCACCTCCTCTCCCTCTCCCCCCTCCCCATCTTCCCTCCCGCATCTCTCCCCTCCATCACCGACACCACCGGCTACACCGCCCAGCAAGCCGCCGACGACAGCGCCTGGCTGTGGGGCCGGTTCACCGCGCTGATGTGGGACACGCTTGGGAAGGGGGCGGCGAGGGATGTGGTGAGTTTGAGGAAGGTGTGTGGGCGGTTGTGGGGGAGGTTTACGGAGGGGGTGAGGGAGGGGGAGTTTGGGACGAGGGATTTTGCGAGGTTAGTGGTGGGGGGGAGGGGTTTGGTGCAGGGAGAGGAGGGATTGGGTGTAGGTGTTGGGAGGGTGTTAGGGAGGAATTTGGGGGAGGAGAAGAAGGAGGGTATGTTGCTTCATTCCTTATAGCTAGTGCGTTGGCGGGGTGCGATGACTGACGCTCAATGCGAACAGGCTCGGAAAACCTACCGTATTACTCCAAGTATATCCTCTGCGCGGCATATCTGGCGTCGTATAATCCGCCGCGAACCGACCTCATGTTCTTCGCCAAGTCGACGGATAAGAAACGAAGACGAAAATCTTATACGGGAAAGGTCCAGAAGCATCGAAAGGTATGTCGCCAATTCTTTCGCTCACTCCCCCCGAGCATCACTGACCTTACATCTAGATCCCCCGCACTCTCCTCGGCCCGTCCCCCTTCCCCGTCGACCGCATGCTCGCCATCCTGCACGCCATCGTCCCCGACCCGCTGCCGCCGACGGCGGATCTCCTGACGCAGGTAGCGACGTTGACGACGTTGCGGCTGCTGTTGCGGTCGGGGTCGGCGGGGGCGGACGTGCTGGACTCGGGGTGTAAATGGCGGACGAACTATAGCTGGGATTACGTGTCGGCGTTGGGGCGGACTGTTGGGTTTGAGTTGCGGGATTTCCTGGCGGAGGGGTAGGGATTGTGTCTGGTACGGTTCCATGGGGGAATTGGCACTTAGCGACTGTTTACATTCGAAGCATTTTAAGCGGGATAAAGCACATAGATCCATATCGTAGAAGTCACCTTACCTCCCCTCACAACTTCAAAAACTCCACCGCCATCCGATACGACTCCTCCTTCCCCTCCCTCTCCTCCGCCGTAATCTTCCCCTCCGTCTTCTTATCAAACCCATGATCCCCCCCCACCACCCTCTTCACCGTCGCCCTCCTTCCACTCCCCTCCAATCGCCCCGCCATCTCCTCCGCCTCCGCCAACAAACTATCCTTCGTCCCCGTCACCCACAAGCTCTCCATCCCCGCCGGAAAATCTCCCACCGCCGCCCGCCCCGGTGATATCCGTGGATCCCCAATGTCCTGCCCCGGCAGCACATAGGCCGCGTTGAACGCCTTCATGATCCCCGCCGGCAACGTCCCCGCCTTCCCGTCTGGCGTCTTCTTCGACTCCGCCGCGATGCTAAGGTCCGTCGGCGGGTAGAACGCGATCAGCCTGACGTTCCCCAACGCTGCTTTCGGGTACCGCGCCGACGATTGATGCGCAAGCACCAGCGCGAGGTTCGCGCCTGCGGAGAACCCGGAGAGCGCGAGGTGGGAGAGGTCGTAGCGATCCGGGTGGGCGAGGACGTACGCGAGGGCGTCCTCGGCGTCTTCGACGGGGCAGGGGAAGGGGTGGTCGGGGGCGAGGCGGTAAGAGCAGTCGATGACGGTGTAGCCGGCTTCGTGGGCGACGCGGTGGCAGAAGAGGGAGTCGGTGCCGTGCATGGGGATCATGAAGCCGGAGCCGTGGAAGTTGAGGAGGATGGGGGAGGGGGAGGAGGGGGAGGGGGGGGCGTAGACATGGGCGAGGATGGTGCGATTTGGGTCGCGGGAGGGGATATGGAGGAGGGTGTGCGGGTGAGAGGGGCGGGTTAGGCCGCGGAAGTAAGAGAAAAAGGAGAAGGGGAGGGAGAAGAGGAGTTTGTAGAAGAGGTAGGTGGGCCAGGTGTGGGCTTTCGGGGGTTCAGACATGGTCGCGGTTGCGATGCGTGGTACCGTACTCCGTATGGTATAGAGCCGTCAATTGATATTGAGGGCAAACAGGACTTGCTAAGAATTGTAGTAACACTTCATATTTATGCTTCTAGAAAAAATGAATAGGACAAATGACTCTTTGTTGAGGATTGTACATACGTACGTATCTCTCCCCTGTCCTAATTAGATGAGGCCTTTTGGGGGCGGGAAGCAGCTTGCGATCCTCTCCACTTTGCTGCAATGATGCTTACTGCTTACTGCTTACTGCTTACAAACCTATTCCAATTATCTTTGTAGGCAATTGAGCAGGTCAAGCGAGGCAACGGTACTTGAAACATGGTGCTGTTGCTGTGACTGTTGTGGACTTGAAGAAAGTTGATACAATACCATCGCCCATGTAGTAAATAAACCAGCCGAGCATCGGACTTCGCGAGACCATAACGGGAGAGGCATCACTGTTATATAATCTGCAATAGAGTCCTCTCCAAATATCTTCACTTCATCCATTCCATCCATGGACTTATATCGTTCAGCCGACCATCCAAGTTCTTGATATCAGGATGCCACTTCCACGCAACCCTCCCGCATCTTCCCCGCAACTTCTGTTGGATGAGCAGAGCAGCGCATCTCTCCCCTCCTCCATCACACCATGACCGACATCTACCACACTCTCCCGAACTTCGACCTCTCCCCCTTCTCTAACCTCATCTACTCCCTCGAGAAAAACGGCATCGCTTGCGTGGACCTGGTCACCGAAGAGCCCAGCAAGCTCGCGGATCGCGCAAAGGTCCCACTTTCGCAGCTGCGGTTGATGGTGACGGCGATTGAAGATGCCCTGCAAGCGGACGTGCTAGCGAGCCTGGATGATGGAAAAGGGGCAGAGAGTGTAGAGGTTGTAGAACGTGACAAAGAGACGCGTCGAGACGGGACGAATCAGACGAGTGAATTCATCAGCATGTCGGATGGCGGATTTGATGAGGTCCTTGGTGGAGGATTTCCTACGGGTTATGTGACAGAGGTCACCGGTGAGAGGTATGTTGGCAATCCATTCTTGAAGCATGGCTTGTTCCACTGTAGATACTCTTTGCTGATTCCTCTCAGTGGCTCCGCGAAGACCCAGTTACTTCTTACTCTCCTTCTCAACGTCCAACTTCCTGCTCCCGTCGGACTCGGCAAGACCGCCATATATATCTCGACCGAAGCACCGCTATCGACCACCCGTCTCACGCAGATGCTATCCCAGCCCGGCTTCTCTACGCTTCCACAAAAGTCCCGGCCGTCTTTACAGAATGTCCTCGCAATCCAAACCCCAGATCTCGAGGCGCAAGACCACATTCTTCGCTACCAGCTTCCGGTCGCCATCGAAAGACACAACGTCGGACTTGTTGTGATAGATTCTATCGCGGCGAACTTCCGAGCTGAATTCGATAACCCTTCCGATGGCCACCAGCTGGGGCCACTGGCACCACGAAAACGGAAGCGAAGTCCGGGCTTGGCTATGGCCGACCGACGAGTGCAGCTCATCCAGCTCGGCCACCTTCTACGACAGACCGCCACCAAGTACAACATCGCTATCGTCGTTGCGAATCAAGTCGCCGACCGGTTCTTGACGACATCCGTTCCCAACCCCCGACCGCATCCGGAAAATGGCAATGGCGGAAGCGCAGTACCCACCCAGAACCCCAAAGACGAACGTCCATCTCCCCCGGAGCCAGCAGAATCGATCCACAGCCCAGACGAGCTGACCCTCGACCACCAGATGAAGTGGTTCACCGGCTGGGGCGATATCCCCGCCTCAAACCCATCCTCGCTCAAGACGCCGGCGCTAGGACTCGTCTGGGCGAATCAGATCGCCGGACGGATCACGTTGATCAGGGGGAGCGAGTCGGCGGACGGGCAGACGATGAGGAAGATGAGGATGGTGTTTGCGGCTTGGGCGAAGGCGACAGAGGGGGAGGGGAGGGAGTTTGCGGTGACGGCGGGGGGGCTGCGGTCGGTTGTGGAGGGCTAGCACGTATTATACTTGGCACGTTTTGCATGTCTTGCTGGAGATGGGTTGGTTGGATTGCATTTTTACGATTTTGACGACATAGCGTGGCGTTAGAGTAAGATACCCAGAGAATGGTTGTATACCATTTGGCATCGAGGTTCATAATTTATTCCACCATTATGTGGTAGCAATGATAGATATCCTTAACTTTATTCCTTCATGCACGTCTATAAAAGGTACACCATTCTAAGACTTCTAACTCCCGATATACAAGCCGAGCTAATCAGCCGAGGGATCCAAGCCCTGTGTGGGGACCCCAGATATATGTTGCGTGAACCAGGCGTGACTCGTGAGTCGGAGGACTGAGATCCCAATCTAATTTCTTGCCCCAGCCGACCTCGGAGTGGAGATCGACGCCAATGCCGGATAAATAGAAAAATCCAGCATAATGAGGTTCGGATCTCTCGCTGTACAATGTCGCGATAGCTTCAATTGCAACGGTGTCCGCGGTACTTACTTGAACAGAAGTGCTATGTGTATGGTGTGAGGACTGAAGCCACTGGAGAAATAGGACAGTTGGATTCATAGTCAGTGTGACCATGAGCGGATTGCTTCGTGGAGTTAGATATTCTGTTCGATTTGGGGTTTGAAGAGTTTCGTTTCGTCATTATCCAATCCCCAAGTACCACCGCAACCATGAGCGACGCAAAAGCCGAACTCTCCATCCTCATCGTCGGCGCTGGCATAGGCGGCCTCTCCACCGGTACCCTACATCCCCCGTGACCACCCCCTGAGAACCCTCAGCTAACCCCCTAGCCCTCCACCTCCACGCTGCCGGCTTCACCTCCATCCGCATCTTTGAATCCTCCTCCTCCATCACCCCCCTCGGCGTCGGCATCAACCTCCAACCGCACGCCGTTCTCCTCCTCCGCAACCTTGGCCTCCTCCCGGCCTTGCACGCCTCCGCCATCGAGACCGCCGACCTGAACTACTACACCCAGCACGGCGAGCTCATCGTGCGCGAGCCGCGCGGTCTTGCGGCTGGTTATGCCGTCCCGCAGTTCAGCGTCCATCGCGGGGAGCTACAGATGATGTTGCTGGATGCAGTAAGGGAGCGGTTGGGGAAGGGCGCGGTGCGGTTGGATCACGCGTTGGAGCGGTTTGAGCAGGGTGAGGAGGAGGTGACGGCGCATTTTGTGAGGAAACCGGCCAAGGGAACGGACGAGGTGGTTGGGCCGGCGGAGATCCCGACGGCGAGCGGACATGTATTGCTGGCGTGCGATGGGATCCACTCGAGTTGCCGCGCGCAGCTCTATCCGACCGAAGGGCCCCCCCGGTTTTCTGGCCGGATCTTATGGCGCGGCTGCACGGTGCGGGAGAAGGGGTTCCTCACGGGCCGGAGCATGGTGTGGGCGGGGCACGCGGATCAGAAGTTTATCGCGTACCCGATCGGCGGGGGATCGTTTCGGAAAGGTCGGAGTTTGGTGAATTGGATCGCGGAGTTGCGGGTAAGGGACGAGGGGGATCCGGACTTGACGCCGCCGCCGGTGGATTGGTTGCGGGGGGTGGATCGGGAGAAGTTCTTGCCAAGATTCGTGGGGTGGCGGTTTATGGATGAGAGGGAGGGGAGGGATACGACGCAGAGTGATCAAGTGTTGGACGTGGAGGAGCTGGTCGAGGCGACGGATACGGTCTATGAGTTCCCCATGTGCGACCGCGATCCGGTCGATCGGTGGTGCGAAGGGAGGATGACATTGATGGGCGACGCAGCCCATCCGATGTATCCCAGTAAGTCCATTTCCACCCATCGCTCCAAATCCATAATCATAATGCCCTTCTCCAGTTGGCTCCAACGGCGCCTCCCAAGCCATCCTCGACTCTGAAGCACTCGTCACCGCCTTCCTCTCCCTCCCGCAAACCCCCTCCGGCCTCAGTGCCGGCGTCGCCTCCGCCCTGCAAGCCTACGAGAAACAACGCCGTCCCCCCACCACCGCCATCGTGCTCTCCAATCGCGCCAACGGGCCCGATCAAGTGCTGCAACTCGTGTATGAGCGAGCGCCGGACGGTCTGCAGGGCAGACACGTGCATGACATTGTCCCGGAGAAGGAAATCGATGAGGTCGGACGCAAGTATAAGCAAATTGCCGGGTTTGAGGTGACGAAGGTGAATGCGATGGCGGTGGAGAGTGAGGGGGTGGCGGAAAGGGCGGGATTGCGGTCGCCGAAGGGGTGGCAGAAAGGAGATGAGCGATTGTAGACTTGGACATAGCGGGGAATGGTTATGGGAGGAATATCGCACGGAAAGCGGCGGACCATAGAGAACGAAAGGTCCGAGACAGTTCTATTCCTATTAGCCATTCCTTGCTGTGTTTCTATCTCTTTGTTGCCAGTATCCATGCCATTCAAAAAGATTATCGTGGTGGGTATCTCTCTTAGAAGATATACAATGCCAATACACGCATCAGTTATACCGTACCAAACACTGCGACAAGGTTAGAGGACCCGAGTCCTCCAATGTCGAATACGCACTCGAATACGTAGATCTAGTAATACTATGGACTTGGAATTGTGGAAGAAACCAACCAGCCCGAGGCCAATCGAGCGAGCAGGCCCTTCTCCTTGATGCATCTACACTCCCCAGCTGCACAACATCACGTAACATTCAACTCTGACCATGCCCGACTGTTTCTTGCATTGCTCCTAGGGAACCATACAGTTCGCCGACAGTACATAGCGTACATAACGGGAGTACCATACACTCTCCCTTCCATCCATGTCCATACAGGTACTTGGCTTCACATCTCTCCCTGTGGATGCTTCCTCTTCCTCGATATAAGATATCCATCAGAGCAACCATTCCCGCCCTTTTCTTCTTCATCTGACACGAATCGAAACGACCGATTGATTCCGACTGTCCTTTTGCGAGCTAATCCGAGCTGGACGAAACCAAGCTCGGCGTCCAGTCTACCATCCTATCCGATCCAATCACCCAATGCCGCGGGACGCCGGGCATGTAACACGGCGCAGAGAGATAGATTCTCCCATAAAGTACCATACCATACCATCCCCATGGCATAAACGAATCTCACGCACACGGAACCGAAGAAAAGAACAGAAAAGTAACGATATAAATCGCATGAATCCGTCTGTCCGTATTCCATTCCACAATCATGTAACCGTAACCATTCAATCAATCAATCATCCATCTACTCCCCTCCGAATCGGACTATACGACGGCCTCGCATACCCCTCCTCCCCATCTTTCTCCTTCTCCTTCCGTCCCATCATCAGCGGTCCAAAAGTCATCACCCCTTTCCCATCACCCCCATCCACCTTCTCCTTCCCCTTCGTCTCTTTCGATTCCGGTTCCCGCCCCGGCGTCGTCGTCCCCACCACAGGACTCAACCTTACCGGCGTCCTTCCCGTACTCGGGCTGCGCGCGAACAGCCGTTCCGCTTCCTCGTAGGGCGGCGGGTTGAACGCGCGGTTATCGTAGCGTGCGCTGGCGGGGCCGCGGTCCCATCCGGCTGTCCCGGGCCCGGTTCCGGAGAGACCGGAGAGACCGGGATTGCTGCCCGCCCCGAAATGCGCGACGGATGTAGATCGAGGCGTTGAGCTGGTGTGGGGTGTGGAGCTACCGCTGGAGGTGGAGCTGCCGATTGCGGAGGTGGTGCCGGGTGCGGAGGCTGAGCTAGGGACAGGGCGAGGGAAGCGTTGGGACTGACCAATCGTGAACGCGTCACTTCGACCGAGCGTCATCGGTGGCTGCATGACGGGTTTCTGGCCGACGCTGATACTCCGCACGTGGCTGAGGGGTGGAAGTCGCGAGCCGGTTGGGCGGGTGGGGAGGTTGATGCTACTGCGGCGGGCGTCGAGGGCGCCGACCACGCCGCCGAAGGTGAACGGACTACTACCTTGTTGATGTGGCTGTTGTGGGAGGTAGTTGTGGGGAGCGGTGGTTGGCGACGAGGTGAAGAGGCTCGGATCAATGAGGTCCCCAGGTGTTGCGGTGAGGGCGGCGGGGTTGATGGTGGCGGACTCAGAGGGGGTGCGGGAGGGGTGGGTGAAGGGGAAGTCGGTAGGGGCGGGTGTCGGGCGGTTGAGTGGGAATTCGGAGGGCGCGGGGTTCGTGAGGGAGGGGAATTCGGGTGGTGAGGGGGTCGCGTGGTTGAGGGGGAAGTCGGACTGATGGAGTGATGATGGCGATTGGAAGCTCAGGCCAGAGAAGGTCGGAGAGCGGACAAATGGCTCGGTACCGTGCGAATCAGCAGCTGGAGTTCCTCGAGAAACGCTCGTTGGCTGCGAGCGCGTCGCACTATCGTTGGCCTTCGATTGCGGTTGCGGCGAGGCACTCGCCAGGCCGGTGATGGGCTTGTCGACGGCAGTGAGGTACTCCGAGATCTGCTCGGAGACTGTCGGTTGTGGCGATCGGCTAGTTACGCCGCCCGATCCCATCTGCATGGTTGTCGATGGAGCAAGGTGAGAATTCCCACCCGTTGGCACCGACGCAATCGACGTTACACTCTCCGTCTGCCCTGGCTCCTGCTTAATCTTCACCTCCGCCATCGGACTCGCCTTCGCACGCGTCAGCGTCGTCACCACAGCCGGAGTCCCAGACCCCTGTCTGGGCGGATTCACAACCGGCGTGGCGGCGTTCCCACCATGGTTCAGGTACTGGGCCTGCCTCGTCTGCCCCGCCTGAACACCCGGTTTTGGCACCGCAGTCGCCGTGTTCGTCCCACCATGTGGCCTCGTGCTCTGCATCGCACCCCTCTGCACCCCACTCGGCTGGCTCGACCCCCCTCTCGGCCCGCCCGTATCCACCATCTTCGTCGCCTGCAACTGCTGATAATACCTCAGTTGCGCATCCGCGCTCCCCGCGAGCTGCGCGCCCGTCACGAACGGCGAAGTAGGTGTTCCGGCTACCCCAGCGCGGCCGGGGAGGGGATGAGACGGATGGGAGGGGGTGCGGGGGTGGGAAGATGCGATTTGGGGTTGGTGGGATGATTGCTGCGGGTAATTTGGCGGGGGAGGGCGAGATTGGGGGTGTGGTTGGGAGACGGAGGGCGGTTGCGAGTATGGTTGTGGTTGGGGCTGAGCGGCGGGCGATGGGGATGGCTGTAGTGCGCGTTGAACGGGCCAGGGGAGGCTCGCGATCGGGACTTTCGGCTTGTAGGTGTATGGCTTCCCGGCGACGGTTGTGCCAGCGGACGTGGCGTTCTGGTTCGTGTAGAGGTGTGGCGAGAGGCTGTATCGCGGGATCGACGGGACGACGGAGGACGTGCGAGCGGGACGCACGAGATCGAGGAAGTTGCTCTTGGTGTTATGCGTTCGAATTCTCAGATCATGGGTGAACTGCGCGCGCGCTTCGGTGCTGGTTTTCCCCAGATAGAACCACAGCTGCTCCGGCTTGGCGAGGTCGACCTTCGTCTGTGCAGGGTTGCACAGCGGACGGCCGGCGGAGTCTTGGTCGCAGGCGACGAACTCGGCCCACTTTTGCGGAGCGTTGGGGTCGTGGAAGGGGGTGTCGATTGTGGGGACGCCATCTTTGCGGTTGGAGGGGTCGAGGGCGGCGTTGGAGCTGGAGAGGTGGTCGGGGAGCTGTACCGCGTTGGCGGACGGCTTGGGCCGGAGGGAGTCGGAGGGGGCGAGGACGAGGAGGTATTTCCATTCGACTTCGACGGAGTCACCGGAAGGAAGGAGGGAGATGAGGCAGGAGGATTCGGCGGGGCGGTTCTCGAGGACGGTGCCGCCGAAGACGTCGGCGCCGAAGAGTTGGGCTTGGACGACGTCGTTTGGGCGCAGCTTTTTGGCGTAGTCGTGGACGAGCTTGTTGTTTTCGAGATGCTCCAGGGTGATGGTCTTGCCGCGGCGGACGCGGTGGTAACGGCACCGGAAATCGTACCCTTCGTAGAAATACTCGGTCCCGTCTGTGTCGAACGTTGGCATCGGCCCAGAATCCACCTGCACGCCGGCAGCAGCCGCGCATGTTGCGTGATAAGCTCGGGTACACTTCTTGCTGGAGCACTGGAAACATGCGCCCCGACGTGAGCGACAGAAGTTGCATCGCAATTCCAACCGATCTTTCCCAATGCCCGCGATATTGAAAACCTTTTCCACCCCATTCTGCTCGCTGAGGAACGTTTCAGGAGTATACAACCCGCATAGTCGATGAGCTTGCTGCCCGGTGTCCGTGGGGAGCAACACGTCGTAGGCCACGTCGTTCGGACACAGAACGCACGGTTCCTTGGTCGGCTTCTTGATTTTGATCTTGATGCGTTTTGCCTTCCGCGCCTCCGCGTCTTTCGCCACGAGCACGTCGGCCTTCCTCTTTCTCCCTGGCTTCCCCTTGGCCTTCCCAACCGTACTAGCCGGGGGACTGGGCAGATCTTGCGGCACGTCGTCCATATCGTCGTCCTCGTAGTCCGTGTAGTACTCCGGTGTGGGCTCCCCACGAAGTTTCCGCTCGATCTCAGCGATATCGATCCACACGCTGTCGGCTTCGCAGTCGCATTTCTTGGCAATGCGACCAAAGTCGAGCCAGGATTCTGTAGCGAAGTTGACGGATTCCGCGCAGTTGTAGCCAATGTTGAAGCCGGAATGGTAGCCGTACGGGTAGGTGATGACGAACTCGCCTTCTCGGTGGACGAGCTTGTTCACGGTGATGTTGAATTGACTTTTCAGCTTCTCGGGAGAGATGAGGTAAGTCTTGTGGCGGAGGAATTGGTTACAATTCTTTGCATCCTGAGGCCAAATGCCTAATTATCGTTAGTCTGTTTCTGTTATCATTGAATTGACGACGTACTCTTCATTGCCGCCTCGAAGCGCCTGGCATCGCATTGCGAGATGCTGTACCATTGCTTCGGAGCGCCAAAGTGGATGTAATTGATGCTGTAGAGGTCGACATCCTCCAAATGCCACGCAAACGTCGCCTTCCACTGTCCCAAATAGAGATACGTGGTATTGACGCCAGGAACCTTTGTGCCGAGCACATCTAACAGATTATCCAGCTTCGCGACATTCCAACTGGCCACGGTGTCGTCGAATAGGGAACCAGGCATGTCGGCCCCATACATGGGCGTCCCGTAGTTCAACGTTTTCCAATACACCTCTTCCAACTCTTCGCATCGCTCTTTGGTGAACTCGTCGACGTTCGCGAGGTGGTAGTCGAAGTTATTAAATGATTCTTCGTCGATGATCTGTGCGGCATCTTGACGATTAAACATACGTCGTGATGAGATGGATTTTGTTTTTGGCTGTCTTCCCCGTGGCTTTGGGGTTGGTTCCTTCTTTACACGGGCAGCCTCAGTCGGTGTCTCGATCTTGACGTGCTTTGCGGACGTCGTGTCGGTCTCAGTAACTTTGGGTCCTGGCGGTGACATGGGGGTTGGAGGTACTGGTGACGAAGCACCTTCGGTTGCAGGTTGCTCGGTATCTTTCTCTTCTTTGGGTGGTTCTTTTGGAAGTGGTCGCTTTCTCGGTCGTCCCGGGCGACGTTTCTCGCCATTGGGAAGTGGGCTAAGACGACGAGGTTTGGGTTTCGGAGCGACCTCTGCTTGGCGACGACGTTCTCCTCGCCGTGCAGGTGGTTGATGACTGGTCTCTTCACATAATGACTTCCATTGCGGCAGGTTGTAAGACCGTTGCTTCTCGATGTTTGCCTGTGTATAGGTACCGTGGGTGCCGGCGAATTCCTGGGTAATTGGGTTCTTGACCCGAATGGCCTTTATTTTCTCTTCGAGGCTCGGCAGCGATTCCCGCCTGCAGGGACAATAGCCATGGTCAGTATTGTTGTTCGTGGTGGGAAGTAGCGTGTGCATGGGGGTGGGGGGACGAACCATTCTGGTGGCGGAATAACTTTGACGATCCCCGACTTCATTCCATACTTGTCCACCTTCTCGACGAATTTACTGAAGCTTCGGAATTGGTCCATTGTCTGATTCGCACCGAGCGAGGTTATGTCAGTGATGTCATTCTTCTTATCAACCTCCATCGCCACCCTCAGTCGATTCACTGAGGCACTGCGCACTCCACTTCAGAAACATACCGGTTTGAAGACGGGAATCTTTCCCCCTTCGTAGTAATGGTCCGGCTCGATCTCGCCAATATCGTCCTCCTCATTCTCCATGTCGATATCGGAGAGGATGGAACTGGCATCGTCTCGCTTCTCATGGTCTTGATCTTCACTGGTGGGTGGCGTCAGGGCCGCTTTGGGCTGTTGCGGCGGGTCGGCCTGACCCCCATCGTGAATGGGCTCATTCGGCGGCGCATCCGCCACCACCGCCGACTCCATAGCGGAAGGATGGCGAGACGTCGCCTATTGTTGGGTATACGAAGTATCGATTCGCTTCGAAGGCTGCAGGTTCGGTGGATGGCAGGTTCTTGAGTTGAAGTGAAATGGACCCCGATAGTCGGCAGAGACGTTCCAAGGCTGGATACCGAAGCGAGTGACGCAGGAAGATGGGCTTGAGGGATGTCACATTCGAATATGGTTCCTCTGTTTTTTCATCCCTCAAATCCAGTAGGTGAGAGGGCGTTGAAGGGAGTTGATCAGTGATGAGATGCACTTGGATTGAAGTTCGACGACACGCCAAAGTGACACACCAAAGTGACAGCCGCAGTGAGTGACGGGCGGATTCGATGGGTGAGGGTCGCTACTGCAGGTTCGGAGCCAGGGAATAGGCAGGTGCGACTTGATGCCTTACTGCCTGATCTTCTGGGACCCCTGCTGTGTCTAAGTTACGCTATGCCTGATTGGGCCCCCTCCTTCTCGTTGAGCATCTTCACTTTCTCAGTATATTCACGATAGGTTCACACTCCGTAAAGCAGCATATACTAAGTTTGGTATGTTGATTGTTGTCCCATTCAAGTATTATCCAATCCCTTCTCATCAGCAAACTCGACAAATCCAGCACACAGCATCGATCAACAACTTCTACAACTATTGACGGTGGAATGCCTCCCTGTCAGATCCCCATTTCCATTATCCAATCAACATTCATACCAAGCCCTCGCTCAGGTGATCGTCTCCCGATTGTCTCCTTGCAGTGACAGGGGCTTGTGCCTGTTTGAAACCTCCTGCCTGAGGCGTCCAACCTGAACTAAAATAATCAGGCAGCAACAAACCGACTTCATTGATCAAACTGCTCCATGATTCATCATCAGACGATTTTGGCTTGCTACAAACGGAATTCTGTGTCCGCCTTTATTTTTATTCCTTGCTTCTCCGTATTTCTAGTTGTTTCAGAAATCGCACACCAATTCCAGAAGTCCAGAATTCTGCCGTGATATTGTGCGCTGTTGGTGTTTTCTTAGTCCAAAGTCTCCTGAACTATACAGCCTAGACAATGCATGAAGCAAGTCGACAGTTATTCCTCAACATTTCTTGATCCCTAACTACTTGAAGTATCAATCATACGTTATGATAATCATTGCGTTCTTTTTCTCGAAGGCATTGCCGACGCGCCTTGAGCAATAGGCCATCCAGGCTGTTTCCGCAATCCATTTCTCACAGCGTTCACCAACAACTACCAACATCCATCACAAAAGTTGGCCGTTGCTGCAGTACGCTTTCCAAACCACTGGTAGCTCATATTCTTACACTCAACCTTCGGTTTCAACTGCCTACGACCCTCTAGGTCAAGTGGCATATCTGAACCTGATGAAGAGGTCATCCCCCCTACCTTACTTGACTCCATTGATCCGCCCCCTACTCTCTTCATGAAGCTGGTCTCCTGTCAGTCCCCCCGTCCCCTCCTGAATTCAACTCACTGTGGCGATCAGAGGGTGATACGTTTGATCGCAGACGAAAAGTTTGCCCAATGGACTCTGACCGTCCGAGAGGGAAGTGGTGGCTGAAGGTTGGTTTTGTTTTCGAGCACGATCCTACTATCTGGTTTGAAAGTCCAACTTCGACTCACTTATACCCTCGAGTTCGCCTCGACAATTAGCATCGCCGTGCAGAATATACTAGGTATTCCTGACATCCAAGACAAGCTAATCTCTTTTCAAATCAAAACCCGCACCTCGTTCAGTGAGCAATGGCCAGTTATCCATCCCGCGTCGTCCTCGCGCCAGCTCCTATGCCTTGGAGCACAGTTCCGCTTGTGAAAATATCCAAGTAGTGGCTCATTTCCAGCACTATATAACGTATTAAGCCCAGTCTAGCGGCGGATTTCATGCTTTTCCGACGTCCTCGGCATTCATATATCGAATTCTGCAACACTATATGGTCATCAGGATCGAGGGAAACGAACGCGAAACGACAACAAAGCAGCTCAATTCGCGTACTCACTGGTAGCTCCTCAGGATAAGTGTCCCTTCGTATATCTTGCTCTTTTCAATTCTACCTTGCCTTCACTCAAATCCTATCCGTTCCAAGTGGTTGGATACGGTATATATCCTAATCCCCTTGCGGAGCGCTTTTCAGTAGCTCATCATTCCCCTCTCATAGTCGTTGGACATTATTCCAAGTACTGTAGCGTCTCAATCTATCGAATATTCTTCGGTGCTTTTATTTCATCCGACCGGTTTCACACGTTGCTCAGAGCATATGAGATGCTCCAATTCTCTCATCCGTCCGTAGTAGAAAACGCCCCAGCACTCCGTACAAACCTCCTATCATCTCACTCTTCCCCCTCGCCTTCTGCACCGCGATACCGGCACTGGAAGTGGAATAAATGAGACATCTTCGGCCACACGAAGGACTCTTTCAGTGTGATCCTCCACCACGCAGATCTTTCCACCTCGGCCGGTTCAAGTATCGCTGAACTGACTTTCCACGTATACAAGGCGTTTGCCATCATCCTCCCTGGGTGTACTCAGTCTATACATGGGCTTACTGGGGCTTGTTTCTCGCTCCATCCGGCAGAGGTGGACCGCCAGTAATACCGGCACTACATACGCGAGGGACGCGCTCATTGCGAGGCCTTAGTGAACAGGGCAGCGGATATTCAACTTTCAGCGTAGCCGCAGCATTGGCGGAGAGAAGAGCCTCCCAGAGACCGGGGTTTTGCGACCCTTACAAGAAAGGTCTCGGGACTATTCGATTTGCGAACCTCGAGTCCACGGCGCTGCTAGACGGTGCGGCCATCCGCGCCACATTGATTAGCTCCAGCTCGTGTCGGAGGGGTAGAGGTTTACAAAAGAGAAGGATATCCGAGCTGCTTGGACAGATCGGTGGAAGCGGGATCATTCCAAGGAGATATGTCCGGATTGGACACCAGCAAACTCCTCAACGAGCTGTCGATGAGCTTCTACGCTGGTACTTTGGACTGGCTGTTCTGGTGAATATGAACGGCGATGGCGAGCCTCTCTATGAGCATGATTTTTCTCCCGGCTCAGATACAGTAGGCGACATTCTATGTGGACCAAAGGCAGCTGAAAGGAAGCATCCAACACCGTCCGAGGGTTTCAATTGTATCGTCTGACACTGGCCTGACCCCTCAAGGTTATCCCCTCTGGCTCACCGTGTTGGCGGTAGTGAGCACCTTCTTCTCGGTCTTGTCTTTCGAGGGCTAGTGGGGTGGGGTGTTCTGGGTCCGATGCCAACGAGGCCTAAAGCGGAACCCCCCGTGGTCCTTGAGCTAGGCGGCCCTGGCAGCATGTATTGACTCTGCCATAGCCTTCCCCCCTATCCCGCCGCCACAACTTCCGCTCTGGATGCTGTTACGATAGCGTTTGAGGCCAATACCGCCCGTGTGTGCATTGCTGTTACCGTCTATCGGTGACAGAGAGTGGAGAGGCGGGCCTATCGGCCTTGGTGCGTGGCCACGGTCATAATCCAGCTGCAAAATCGGAAACAAACTTCCCCTGTTCATGAGTCTCGGTACCCTTTTATATATGCAGAATATTCACCCTTGCGATATACATAGTCGTTTGTCCAGAACTCGTCCCCTTTCCACTCGCTCCCAAACTTTGAATCTCTGTTTTTCGTCCCTCTTTGCAGTGTGCGTCCATTTCTGTCAATCAAATTCTATATTCTCAGCATTGCTTTTCGTCATGGCAGGATAGAGTGCGGCCGGTGTGCGTGTTTCTTGAGTCTCAAACTCATGCGATCGTCCCCTTGCCCGCGCAACCGATGCGGATATGTGTGCATTTGGATAGCCTCCGCAATCGTTGTCTATTATATGTTCATCTCCTTTGACCTGGGCGCTGAAGGACGACTGATTCGGCGACTTAGATACCGCGTATTCCGGCCCTGAGTTCGATCAAATGTTTGGCCCGTGGCTAAACTATTTCAGAACTAGAGAGAAGCTAATGAGAGTAATTTGCGAGTCTCGAACAAGAAGAGTGCAAAATAATTTCATAGGTTGTCATAGTCTTGGGCTGTCGGCATAGACTGTAGATAGTTGGCCTTGCGGCCTGAGGCAGCTTCACGATGTCAGGTTTGCATAGATCACTCCGGGAGACGCACACTTGGAACTTCTCTCTTCTTCTGTAATTAGCTAAATTCATATCGTTACGATCGGAGTCACTACTCATCTATCGTGATCCGTTACATAGGTAGGTCATTTTCGAGCTCCAAACTACCAGACATTATTACGGACCAGTTCCATCACCACCATCAAGAAGAGAAAGCAGTTGATCGAGCTCAGAACGGCACCTCTATCAACTCCATTATATGCTCAGATTCTATTAAACCAAACAGAATAGTCAATAGTCGTAGTGGCCAGGGGAGGTTTAAGCCAGCAAATCCGAGGAACAGTATGATGACCGAGTTGGAAGCTCTTCGAGACTGCCACTGCTCTGTCCATCAAAAGAGAAGAAGGAATGTGGCCACAACGGCCGAAGTTCTAAATCAGCTGTGATCTGGCAGCGATAAGGTAGTCATTTTCAGAAGGCGTAGGAAATAATGGGGAAGGCTTAGGGAACTGTCGAGGGATCCACGTCTTCGGCTACTGCATTGTGCACCAGGTAGACCACAGGGAATGGCCGAGTTCGTTTAGGATAGATAGGGACCTAAGGAACGCTAGAAAGGAAATGAGAAATTCTGTCATTATTATTGTCGCCTGTGACACAGTCGTCTTCATGAATGAAGTTGTTAACACCCAGTCCTTCCTTGAATGGTAGCAGCGTAGGAATCGGCATTCTATTTCGTTGATACCACTCACACCATAATACCATATATTCTGAACTATTTGTCCTTGAATCCATCCACGTACTCCTCCCAGTCCAGCACCACCACCTCCTCGCCCTTCAACTCCAGCTCGATTTCCCGCTCAATCTCAACTGCCGTCTTCTCTTTCACATCGTATGTCGAGTGCGCTCCGCTGAGCAACTTCACCTTGGATCCCGCGGCCAGCGCACCCCTACACGTCGATCGCACGCAAAACTCGCTCTGAAGGCCAAAGGCTATGATTTCCGTGACACCTTTTGTCTTCAGCTCCGCCGCAAGCTTGGGATTCGATTCAAATGTGTCTCCTGTTCGCGACATGAGCGATGTAATCCCCCAGATGCTTCCTGGGCAGCAGTTACGACCAGATAACTGCTCTTAGCAGGGAACTCGGAAAATATAACACTCACCTGTCCGCTTCGCAACGAGCATCTCATTTAGGTCTCCGCACCTTGGCGGGAAAACTAGCTCCCACGCTTTGCTTCCACGCAGAAGCGTTCCGCCCTCCGGTGCTTCCTCGTGCTGGACGACGACGATCAGACAGTCCGGCTCGACGCCTTCCCAACTTTGTTCATCAATGGCGGCGCGGGTGGCTAGAGTGATGTTGCTCGCAGCGTCGATGATCCGTGAAGCATGCGGAATCTGGGTGGTCGGATCGCCTGCAAGCTCATGCTGGATGTCGATTACGAAGAGCGCGGTCCGAGGCATTGTGGCTGCTGGCAATGGTTGTTCATGTCCAGTTTAGTCTCGATATCTTGTCTCTCCATCAATGTGGGCAGTCAAGAATTTGTTGGTGCCTAATGTTAGAGACCAGGATGTCTCTATATTTCAGGGTCCTCCCGTTTCCTACCTGTGACCCCGTATTCCCAACTATGACAGCACATCATTCATCCCGCGATGTTACCAGCCCCTCATTCTTTGCTTTTTCGCTAGTCTTGAGGAAATCAAGGTCTCTACGGCCACCGAATGTATACAGAACTTAAATATGGGCGTATTCCTGGAGTTTTTACGCTCATTACTATAAGGATCAAGGACAATCTATCTACGCTCTTTTGGAATCTAACGGTGTTTTCCCACTGTATCGCTGCACCAATCACCTGATTGAGTGAATCCGCTATTATATTTCACACCTGAGACAGGGACAGCATTTACTGTGGGGGGGACAAGGGGCTGCTATTCTGAATTTCTTATACTCAGCCAAAACGGTCACACTTGACAGGGCTGCTTCACTCCTTCAGCCGAACATCATCGATACTATATGAGCTAATATCCAGATATCAATGGAATATCGATGAGAACGGCTTATTATGGTGGTCAAAGACCCAATCTGATGACAGGATCATACCTTTGACGTCGCTCTGTGCCCGGAGAGGAGAGGTCCGGCTCATGGAGCTTCCACCGGAATGGGTCACTCTCTTAACTACGTTAGATAACTCTCTCCTCCATGCCTTGCTAAAAGTCTAAGCAATGAGCTCCACATATCGATTTTTAGAAGGGGTTGGTCATGAGACACATTTTCCAGGCTCGACCCGCTCGCCTCGCTCCCGACGAGTGATTCCCAATATTACATCTGGGGAATCTGACGTTCAATCAAGACATCTCCCGACCCAAGTTCCGCCAGGAATGCCAAGAGATTTAAATCAACCTCCCTTCTCCACTGTCACCGGTATATTCAATTTTATATTGCTCTGAAGTGTAGTGGAATTAGGGGAATCCGCGCTAAACCTAGTCCCCCAGTCTTTCATTTCATCTATTGAAATCCGCGCTCATATTCAAGCCAATTGTCTCTTTAGCGGTGTCATTGCGTCTATATGCTTATACGAGATCACACTATTAATACTTATTGTTGCTTGCATTTACTATGATCCTATTCCCTCGGACCTCTCTATCTAAAGTCTAGGGCCGATTTGCCGCCTTGTTATAGGTCCGAAAAGTTCGGGAAGATTGATGGGCAACAATGGCTCCATATACCGCTCTCGGCGTTCAGCTTTTGAGAATCGAGTCTACCCAAGGTGATATAGATCATTGTTCGTTCGTTCTTTTCGGTTTTCATTCAATTCATCAATTCCTGCGGCTACGATGAAACTCCCTTCGGCAGCTGGGCTGCTTCTCGCAGCTCTGACCGGTGTCGTCAATGGTCAAGGGCAAACATTGGCAAAGAATGTGCGTATCATACTCAAGCCAACCGTTGCGGTACCAATTGTCTCAGCAAAATAACAACTGTTAGTACGAAGGCAACGCCGGGTTTCCCACCTCTGCGCAATGGGACGCTCTGAATTCCGCTGTCGGAAACAAGTTGTCTCGCTGCGGCTCTGGCCGTCTCGAGGCTTGTACATCTGAAGACACCCCGTCCTATGTGCTTCGGGCGCGAAATGGGCAGGACATCGGCAATGCGTTGAAGTTCGCGAATGAGCACAACCTGCGGGTGACCGTCAGGGGGACGGGCCACGATTTCATGGAGAGGTATATACACCCGCCTCCTTAGCCGAAAGTCTGCAATATATTGGTAAAGATGGAACATCTGAATAACGATGATGCTATAGGAATACTGGCGCGGGAAGCCTCAATATATGGACGACAGACATGCGCGGAGCGCAGTGGACGGCGAGCTGGGCGCCTTCAAATGGATCTGCTCCGAATGGCCCAAAGTTAGCTGCTGTAACCATTGGTGCCGGTATGGCGTGGACGTCAGTGACGTCCACTGTAGAGCGGAATGGGCATGTCGTAACTACAGGTGCTGACACGGTAAGTCTAGAATCGCAGCAAGATACTACCGTCGAGACTGACTCTATGGAAAGACTGTGGGCGCTGCCGGTGGTTGGACAATGGGCGGAGGTCACGGTCCGCTCTCAAACCAATATGGCATGGGATGCGACAATCTCCTTGAAGCTGTCGTGGCGCTTCCATCCGGGGACATCGTCACAGCTAATGCCAACTCCTACCCAGACCTTTACTGGGCCATCCGCGGCGGTGGAGGCGGAACCTTCGGGGTCATGATCAGTGCAACGATGCGAACCTACCCTAAACCTACTATGAATGGCCTCACGCTGCGTATCTCCGGACGTGGCTCAGGATACGTCAATGCTCTTGCTTACATGTGGGCCAAACTCCCCGAGATCACCGATTTTGGCCTCAGCGGCTACCCCACTATGTCCTCATCCAGCTACTTCGGCATGCTCAACGCACCCGGAAAAACCACCGCAGAAATCAACGCCTTCTTCAACCCCATCGCCGCGAAAATGCGCAGCTACGGCGCCACAGTCTCCGCCTCCGCTTCATCCGGCGGACTTCTTGGAGGACTCCTTGGCGGCTTCGGCGGGCTCGGTCGGCGCAGCTTCTACGAAACGTACGGCGAGCCCACCAACCAACGTGTCAAGCGCCAGGCGCTCACCAGCGTCGGGCTCTTCTCTTCCCGCCTGATTGCCCGCTCCGCCATGAACGAGGAAAACCTCCCAGCGATCCGTAAAATGCTCGAAACGATCCTCGCCACCTCCCGCGTGTCCGTGCTTCCGTACCCCAACTCCGGCGGGCAGGTCGCTCGCAATGCGGAACTGGACGTGGGGCTGAACCCCGCGTGGCGGGAGAGCGTAATGCATATGATTGTCCAGCGGATGGATGCGAAGGCGGCAGTGGCGGCGATGGGACCGTTGAGCGCGAACGAGGGGGCGTATCTGAATGAGGCGTATCCCGAGGAGGTGGACTGGAAGCGGACGTTCTTTGGCGGTGGGGAACACTATGAGAAGCTGCTCGCGGTGAAGAACAAGTATGATCCGAAAAATACGCTGTGGTGTATGCCATGTGTTGGCGGCGACGTGTTCGTGGAAGGGAAGGACGGGAGGTTGTACAACCCGTAGTGAACTCGAGATGACTTAGGTTTCTAGGGAGGAGCCTTTAACCTTATCTTATCGCATTTATCTCACTGGCGTCGAACTTCACGCCATCGCCATGATGGAATTGACGAAAAGTCCGTCCACAGAATCCAATGCACTTTGGAACGTGGAGTTGGGGGTCATCTTTGTCAACAGCGGATTATGTCGCTTACTAAGCTAATTAGCGGCGTATTATATATTCATTGAGTGAGTTTCATTGGCTTATACAGATGGTTTCACAATACATGACCGTAGGGAAGATGTACTCCGTAGTAATTATGGAATTTTAGCTTGGGAATGGTGGGCACGTGATTGGGATCACCTATTGAATTCAAGGCTATGTTGACAGCAATCTATGGAATTAGAGTATGAATCTACCAATTCGGATAGTGGACAACCTTTCTGAATTATGATGCATAACGTTATTTCATATTCTGTCCTTTCTGTATTTATATCCATCTGTCTGCTGTTGATTTCATAGGGAGAAATACTTACACTCATTTTCCTTTGCTGATCATTTCCAAGTTCAACCTGTCTCCTTTCTGCAGTCTTTCTTTCGGAGTGTCCGACCTCTTACGCAGTAAACATGAATCGTCCTTGAAAGTCGAAACCACTTAGTCTGGACATGATGGCGATCGTTGCCTTGTGTGCTTAAAAGCAGCCATCATCAATCCACAGTTTCAGGGCGTGGACACGCGTTGTCCATGTGCTTCAACTGCCAGATTCCGAGTCCGTTCAACAAGTTGCAGTTAACTTGCAGAAGATGCGCTTCCGACTCCACATCCGAACCTAGATTGTTGTTCATTTTAAGACATCTCGTTTCCAAGTTTATACGACTCTTCATTGTCTCTTAATCGTTATTTGATGATATTCCTTGGAATGGGTTGTTGGCATACCAAAGTCACGATCGCACGTGACTTTCCCCGCTCCAGCTGGCCGCGATGTTTCGGTTGTGACCCCCCAAGTTTACCGATTTTACCCCTGGCTCGCCTGACTGCAAGGGTGATTTCGTGCATCAGCAGCACGGCATGGAAATTAGAAGCAGATCGATATGTCTCGCTGTTTGCCTCTTGATGCTCTTATTTCCGGTTTTGTCGTTGGTCTTTATGCCTTTACGAACGATCCACGTCATGGAAAATAGGCGATAACCGATGACCTCGGGCTTGTCCAAGGTTAGTATTACCGCAAATTCCTTCCTTTGGGCCGTAGCTGGAAAAGCTGTATTAGTTGTTCCCTAGCGTGTTATCTCCGCACTACGGCCAAATGTCTTCTGATTCGTGTTCCTGCTTTGCTTGAAATAGTGATATGCGAGAGTCGAACTATTCCGGCCTTGAATTCCCCTCATAGTGCAAGCTCCTGGTGATCAATGCTCCATCCAGCCCTTAATACAGTATATCAACTCAGAGTTTGCTCAATGGTCCAGGAGGAAGCTAAATATCTCATTTCTGCTGGCTCTGATCCTACATTTCCCCGCGATGAGATCGGGAATAAGCTCCACGCTAGGATTCTGTTTGTGACCTCCGCTACCTGGGGAACAATAGAACAAGCTATCCAAACCGCCACAGAGATCTAGACAAGCTTATCCGGACCTAGATCCTAGGCCGTGGTGGAGTAGATCCACCTCTCCGCTTCCCCCAGGGCTTGGCTGTGCGGGGATGGTCCGAAGTCATCAGGTTTCCGGAGAAGTATCTAAACCCTTAATTAGGAGTAAGTATAAACTGGGCCTTCGCTGCCTGACTGATCTCTAAAGACGAGCACTCCCATCAATCTTTTCAATCATCTATCGATACCTGGGCTTAGTCATTCACAATGGGCGTCGAGGAGAAAGACACATACGCGGCGGAGGTCGAGAACGTCAAGCACGATGCGTCATCAACTCCCCCTCAACAGCTCGAAGACTTCGACGAGAAGCTTGCGGCCAGAATTCGACACAAGATTGACCTCCGCCTCCTCCCTGCGCTTGGTGCCATGTACGCCATCTGCCTGTTGGACCGTAACAACCTGTCCAACGCAGCCGTTGCTGGCATGAATGTCGAGCTGAAGATGGAGGAGGGGGACAACTACAATCTGGTCAACATGTGCTTCTTCATCACTTATATCACCCTGCAACCTTTCGCGGTTTTACTCTGTCGATGGATGGGTCCGCGATGGTTCCTACCAATGATCTGTGTGATCTGGGGTTCTGTCATCATTGGTGCTGGATTTTCCCCGAATTGGCAGACGCTTTTGGGTCTGCGACTCATTTTGGGCGCTCTTGAGTGTGGCTTCTTCCCAGGTTGCCTGTACCTTCTCTCGACGTGGTACACGCGATGTGAGTGACCAACCTGTTCCGACCAAACTTCATATACACTGACGATGGAATCCAGTCGAGAGCTCGCGTCGCTATTCAATCTTTTACCTCCTTGGCAGCTGCGTGGGCTCCCTCGGAGGTATCCTTGCATTTGGTTTGCAGCAGCTGGATGGCAGAGGGGGACTCGGCGGATGGAGATGGTATGGATCATCCTTCTGTTTTGTTCTGAATGGAACATGAACCACTGACGACTTTATCCATAGGATCTTCATTATTGAAGGTGTTATTACCGGCGGGATTGCAATTTTCGCCCTCCTGTATCTTGTGAAATTCCTCGATGAGGAGTTGATAAGGCCATCTTGGAAGTTCCTCACGCGGGACGAGTTGGAATTTGTCGCTGCTCGACTCAACGCCGATCGAGGCGACGTCGAGGTGGAGCCGTTCACCATCAAGCGCTTCCTCGAGCCCGCCACGGAGTGGTTCATCTACGGCTTCCCCATCATCCTCATGTACGCGCAATTGCCCCCTTCGTGCCTCCAATCTCGCTGACTTTCCCTCCTAGGCTCACCACCGCCCTCGGCTATGCCTTCGCCTTCACCCTCCCCATCATCCTCCAAAGCTCCCTCGGCTTCGGCGTCGCCGAGGCCCAATGCCTCACCGCGCCGCCGTACTTCTTCTCCGCCATCCTCATGTATGTCGCCGGCTGGCTCAGCGACAAATACCGCCAGCGCGGCCTCGCGATCGTGATCCTCGCCACCATCGGGCTGATCGGCCTGCCGATCATGGGCTGGGCAAAGAATCCGTGGGTACGGTATTTCGGCGTGTTCGTGTCGGTTGGCGGGGCGAACTCGACCATTCCTAGCGTGTTTGCGTACCAGGTATGTAGGCTCAGGTGTCGGACCAGACATAGGAAACGAGTGCTAACGGTTGAACTAGGGAACCAATATTCGAGGACAGTGGCGCCGCGCGTTCTGCTCCGCGTCGCTGACCGGCCTCGGTGGCATCGGTGGAATCATCGGTGCGCTGATCTTCCGCCAACAAGATAAACCGGATTACTTCCCGGGTTTCATCGCCTGTATTGTGTAAGTTAAACGCCCTCGCTGTCCCCGGAACTGCTCTGGCTTCCCACTGATTTGGCAATCGTGCGACCAAAATGTTTGAGGAGTTGCTAATCATCTATCGCAGCGCGTCCGTCCTGATCGTCATCACCGTCGGGGTCATGACTATATACTTCCGCCGCTGCAACGCGGAGTGCGACCGGGGCGAGAGGGTATTGATGGGCGACCCAAATTTCAGATTCACAATTTGAGAGAAAGCCGGAGTTCGTGGATGTGCCATGCGTGCAATCTATGTCGCTGCCAGGAAGTCAGGTAATATAGATAGATCTACAACGATGAAGGAGGGACAGGCATCGTTGTTATGAGGACGCCGCGGCGTGTGGCCAGGAATGGTAGAACCAACAGTCACAGCATCGCAGTTGCACAGCGAAATAGAATCTACGTGTGCTCGTATTGATTAAGATACATGAATGGGCTATTTTGTGTCTGTGCTTGATTGAAAAGAAAAGGAATTCGAAGAAAAGTGGAAAAGGGTCTGCGATGATGTATGAGAAGCGCTGAGGTGCCTTGTCGTACATGGAGTGCAGAATCGAACCTTTCCATTAACACAAGTGCATACATGACTGGGAATATTATTGGGGTGTGCCTGTGTGATCAGAAAGCGAGAGGAGTGCATGCAGGTAATCAGTCCATCCGGCCATTTCGCAAATCGGATCCTCCTTCTTTTCCGTAGATGAACAACCTCCCGTTGCTTTTCCTTTGACACATGTCCACGTCTACTTCCCTCCTACACGGCAAGCCACTACCAAGATCAGTTTCCAGGCGACAGCATTCCGCAAACCACAACCCATCCACAACGGAGGGACATTCAGGATGATTTCAGGTGCGAACCTCCACCACATTGTTTGCATGGATTGAATAGATGAAAGCAAGGGAGAAAAGGGGCAAGAAAAAACCAGCAAAGCATACGATAACAAAGTCGGATTTTGAAAATAATGAGAAAGAAAGGGGCTCTCAGCATGGATGATGTCGGTGAGATGCTTGGGGGTGGAAGATTGGCAAGATGATGCTTCGTAGAAGAAGGCATTGCAACTCCAAGCATGAAGTAGAAGAAGGCACCGTTAGATCTACAGGCGAAAGGCTGCGAGTCGAGATCGAAAAAAGATCCCTCAAGGCGGAAAATTCGGGGTTCGAATGATAAATGCCCTAGGCTCCGCTACGATTGGAACTCGAGAACAGTTGGCGGTCTTCTCGAGCTGATATGATGACCGCGAGATTTGAACTGTGATTTTCGACATTGTGCGGGGCCTCGGGGATAGATTATGCTTGATGATGTCGAGACTGAAGTGTATCCGGTGGATGAAATCAAAGAAGAGAATGGGTGTACGTCTCCAATCGGTCAATTGAAGTGAGAAGAGCGGGAATGCATACCCCCGCGGGATTGGCCTCCGTTTTGCCCTCCGTTTTGACCTCCGTTCTGTCGGGAGTGCCACTGCTGCTGGGCCTAGTTTTTAGTACATCCGACCACGATAACCCCGACCATAACGAGGACCAAAAACATCAAGAGGCGGAGATGGACGTACGTTGCTCGCCGGATTGCAGCAGAGCATGGCGACTCGGGAACCATATTTGTTTCCACGGAGGCTGACCATATGCTTGCGAATATGAGTGGAGACAATCTCCCTCTGGCGAGAAGTGCAGTTCTGGAGGATGTACTGAATGAGATAGTTGCCGAATTGATCAGAAGAGACTGCAGGGATGTTAGACGCGAATTATGTGAAGAAGGGCGGTTAAACTTACTATCGATGAGAGGCATGCGGACGCGGTCCTCGCGAGGCTCAGAAACGATCTCAAGGTAGCGATCAATGAAGTTGTTGGCATTGATCTTGAGGCACTTCTCAACAACTTTGGAGCCGTACTGGTGAAGAGAGTAATCCTTCGCGTTGGCAAGGACATGATCGACGGCTGCCGCCTTGTCGGCGGTAGCGCCATGCTCACAGATGTGCTGAATACACCAGTTGCCAAACTGGCCCTTGCAGATCATGTCGATGCTGGCAAGAACTTCATTGATGCAAGGACGCTGGAGAAGTCAGTGATGTGACGCTACTGAGTGATGTTGACATGCATACCTTGTCCTCTTCAAGGCAATTCTCAAAGACGTTCTGGACTACGAGACTGCCAGTCTCACCCATCGCAACCTTGTCCCACATGGTGCGAAGAGAATCATTGACATACTTCATGATCTGAGGTGGGGAACCGCTCCAGCGCAATTCGAAGAGCTTCTGCCACACATGGCAAGCATAGCGGTGGGTGACCGTCTCAGGGATCTTGCGAAGCAATTCATGAATCATCAGCGCCTTGTAATCTTCGGTGACGCTGTCGAATGCCTTTTGAATGACATGGCAGCCAAAGGGATCCTGGCTCAAGGTAAGGGTATTTCCCCGGATGCTGTCAGCAAGACGACGAATCTGATCGGTCGTGCCATGTTCGAAGCAACGCTGAACGAGGAAATTGCCGAATCGATTGATCATGAGACCATACGCGCTGCCGAGGATAGCATCGATGATATCATGCTTCTGCTGCTCGGTGCCAGACTTGAGCTTCTGTTGAAGGAAGATGGATGCCTGTTGATCATTGAAATCGACAATCTTCCCCACAATGATCCTCCAGTCCGTGGTGGCATTCTTCTCAAGAAGAAGACGGTAGTTGATAGGCTCATGGGGAGCGACGTACTTCGTCCCATCCGCAGTGGTATCGACGGAGTCCTGCAAGGCACATTAGTGAATGATTATATCACTTTGTACTTCGATAAAACGTACTGCAGAGCCACCCCAAGGGTCCTTGGCCTTGTCAGCAGATGCACTACTATCAGCTCTCACCACATCCCAGGGAGCGACGGGCTGGGACAACGGGGCAGAGGTGATGGCGTAGGAATTGGGCTGCATAGGGCCAGTGTATCCTTTGGTGACTATAGCGTCACGTGGAGCCGTGAACTGAGCACTTGCCTGGTTGAGTCCATCGTGGAGTTCGTCGGTAGTAGTGAACTTCAGATGATCACCAGCGAAGTTGCCGTTGTTCACTCCTGGGAAGTGCCCTTGGAACGCTCGTCCGGTGGCTTGGCCGCTGAACGCAGGAGCAGCACGACCGATCACCTGATTCGCCCCAGGTACACCAGTCGCCGCAATCATCGCGGCAGGAGCACGTGGCACATTCATGGGAATACCACCATACGTCCACGCATTCTGGGCTGCGGAATAGGGTCCACTGTGCTGAGGAACATAACCCGTGAATGGCGGCTTGGAAGGGAGCGAGAAGCGACCCTGTTGCTTAGGAGCGTTAGCCCCATGGCCCATGACACGGTTTGCGCGATGATGTGCACTAACCTGGGCATTCCTGAGCGCATTGGCAGGCATTCCCTGAGCCTGGTTCGTAGGACGTGCAGGAAGGGCCGCATTGTTCGGGAGAAACGGGGTGTTGCCCCAAGGCGGCATGCCAACAGCGTCAGTAGGAGAAGTGTGCTTGCTGCTGTTGTCCAGCCCCCGATCGTTGACAATTTCGCCATCACATTCAGAAGCGGAGACGATTTGTTCCAAAGTGTGCTTGGTCACATGCGACTCGGAGGTGTTCGCCTCATCTTCAAGCTGAGTGATTCGCGCTTTGGCCAACGCCAACTTCAAATTGAGGATCTCCTTTTCATAGTCCTCCACGCTGCGTTGAGATTTATTCGGAGAAACCTTGTCGTCACTCTTGTTCGCTCCGAAGGAAGCCTGGCGCTGGACCCCCACTGGAGCACTGGTAGCGCCCATAGACGCCGCAGTAACATTTGCGGAAGTGAAAGGAGGTTGACCATTCGGAGCAGCTTGGTGGAACGACCCGAGACGCTGGGGGATGACGTAGGCCTGGAGTTCATCCTGGGTCATCGCACTGCGGTTGTCTTGCTTGTACTTCTCGGTAGCTTGAGCATAGAGCGCATTGAGCAGTTGCTACGACTGTTAGTTGTGAATCCATCCGAACCGATCTCAATCAACGTACTTGCTCCTCCTGATCAGCAGCAGAGAAGGACTTGGCTTGCTTCAGGCCAGCAATGCGACCGTTGGGGATGCCATGGTGGCTGAAGTTAGTGGTATCACTCAAGACAGCCGGGTTTTGAGGACCCATCATCTGGAGACGGGACATCAGTGACTGTAGTAAAGTGATGGATCTTCGGGCAAGCGAGCGGGAGTGTTAAGAGGAAGCAAAAGGGCAGAAACTCACTTCGCCAACACCAGAATCCTGCAGCTTCAGCTCACTGAATCCACTGGCAGTACGATTGTACTTGGGCTTCGGGGTAGGAGAGTCTTCCAGCGACATCTTGACAATTGAAGAGACTGATAGATCGATCCAAAGCTTCTGCTCCCAATTGGCGAAAGTAGACGTTCGTGAACACGAAGGTCAGGGATGAACGCGCCTGCTGCGTGTTAACGTTCTCTCCTCGCGGTAACTTCGCGCGATGAGCGAACAGCGATGCGATTGCGATGCGACGCGATGCGACGCGACAGATCAATGCGCTCCTTTCAGAGTAGAGCGCAACGGAGACAAGGAAAGCGTGGATAACCAGAATAGACGCGGGATTGGGGGTGATGTTTTCAAAGTGAACAGATTCTCGTTGCTGGATAGATAGCCACGAAATCAGACGAGCTCGAACGAAGATGATGAGATTGGCATATGAAGCAATAAGACTTACGGTGATTGCGCGAGTGAAGAGGAGAAGGGAGATGAAGATGCAGTGGGTTGGCGATGAGCAACACGGAGAGGGAGTGACTGCCGTGGTGAGCAGAGTGTGTGGTTCTTTCCTGGTTGGACGGGAAGTGATGGATTATGGAGGAAGTTGCGGTCTCGAGGATCGGTGGGAGAAATGTGTTGTGACGTAGGCGCTCCTTCCTTCAATGGAAGTCAACACCGATGAGTGACGACGGTAGGTCACGCGTCCAATTGACGACAACCGTCTCCTGAATAATGGAGAGGATAGCAAATAGACGAGTAGTGAGCTAGCTACGAACAGCTAGATCGAGATGGATGAGGTTAATGGTTGAAAAAGGAAAGGGGATGAAGGCGATGAGATGGGAATTTTGAAGGACTTTTGAAGTGTGTGTGGGAGGGGGAGGTGTGGGTGAGAGAGGAAGAAGGGAGATTGAGAAAAGGATGGCGGAAGAAGAGTGAAAGGTGATGGGAGGCTTCAAATTCAATGTGTAGGCAACGAGAGGGTGCCTAGGTGCATAGGCTTATTCAGGAGGTCAAAATGGGATGATTCACAAGATGGGTGAAAAGCAAGTGATTGGAGGGACCGATGGTGAATGTAGACCATGAGACTATCACACACAATGTGATAGATAAACACAACAACACGAATTGCCCCTAATAGTGAAAGACATTGTTGACCACCGACCCCATGATCTCTATTATCCTGTCAAGGTAGGAGAACTTACACGTATGACGACCGCTCTGCCACCCGCCATTCATCATCAAAATACCCAATCGCTCTCACACCCGCAACACCTTGCCATGCCATGCTCTTGTCTAGCACCACGAAGTCGGGCGACCCAACGCCGGTTAGTAAGGGGACGAGGCGGGATGCAGAAGTCAGTCCAGCTTCATCGACGCCCCACACCACCAGCGCAAGGCGATGATTATCCAACGGACTGACGAATATGGCGCCAGATATCTCCTCGAAGGGGAATCTCTCGTCCCAGTTCGCTCGTCGAAGATGGAGTCCATCGTCACGGATCGTGATAGGGCTTGGTTCCCCAATATCAATCAAGGGCTCGCGGGTCAGACTCGTCAAGATGACATTCCCAGGGGCGCTCGACAGGGCTGAGGAGTCATATTCGGCGATTAGACTGTCGGCGGCGAAGTACTGGTAAAAATTCCGCGCAATCTGCTGTGCCTTGACGAAGGTAATCGCGTCCTCATAAGTTACTGTAAAGCGGCCTTTCGTGCGGAGGATCGCGTCAAACCCGCCCATCTGGATAGTCGAACGCAGTGAAGTACTTGTATCCCAAACCAAAGACTCCTACTAACAGTCAGCAGATATAATTGAGCGAGAAGTGGCGTCAGACCATCCAGAGACCATCGTTGCCCTTGACGACTGGCCACTCGAGAGATTCCCGAGAGATATCAGCCACCAACTCCTTTCCATCGACGCGAAGACCTACGATGCCGCAATCATAGTACTGAAAGCCAATTTCCCGCACATTCCTTGTCTTCAGCTCAAAAAAGCAAGTATCCGCATCTATTTGCTCGACCACCACATCCACCAACCCGACTCTACTAGGCTCTTCCAACCGCCTGATTCGGATCCCCTGCTTCGGTCCAGTATCCCCAGGGTTTGCGGACACAACTCGAAACATATCCAGCGCCATCGCTCGCTTCTCGAGCGCGGCCGAGGAGCGATAGAATTCCTGCAGCGCGGGGGTAGTCATGACGCCGTCAAACCAGTGGTTCCGATCGGGGAGCTCCACGTAGGTGCTGGACCAGTTCGCTTCGGCAATCAGCTGGGACATGAGACGAGCATGGTATGCGGGGACATTGTCATCGATTCGGCCGTGTTGCTGGAGGATGGGGATCCCTCGTGAGTTTGGGGCTAACAATTGGTGGCGATAGCTGCTGAGAGACGACTGCACTAGAGCGAGGATGACAGGGTCCGCTTGATGCCAGAATTGATATGGCACATATTCTACAATAGTTCAGAACGAGGTTTCTTAAGTTAGAAGGATAGAGACGATGCTTACGAGGAATAGACAAGTACCCAGATACTGGAGCAGCGGCTAGGACTTTGTCCGGGTGATGAGCGAGGATATACCAAGTTCCTTGACCTAACAAGAATAAGTCTGACAACTCGTACGGCAAGAGCATCGCGCAATACTTACCACCGTTAGAATGGCCACTGACGATCCAACTCTGGACATCAACGCCCGGTCCAATCCAGTCAAACCTCGCCATCCAACCAGGAATGGCATCCACAGCAGCCTGCACATCTGCAAACCCCCAGTTGTCTAAACCATGTCAGTTTCGGATCAAAAACACTTGCTACCAAACCTTACGCCAATCATCACCGCTCCAAGTCGTCACTCCGCTTGGGAAGAGCACCCATGCGCACAGGTCCACGACGGCGTCGAGAGAATGCGTTTGTTGATCACTGTCTGCATCCACCCCTGCACCATGCAATGCGAGAAGTATAGGAGCACGGAAGTCCTGGATTTTAGAGCAGGATGCATTTGCTGCGGGTGGTCGCAGCATCGCGTAGGATACGATACCTGAGGGGTGCGGGTAAGTGAGTTTCTGGGCATCGTGGCGTGATCGATGTCGGAGCGGGATATTGATAGAGGTGGTTGATGGGATGGTTGTGGTATTGGCCGTATTGGCCGCTGCGTACGTCACAGTGACCTCGATGCTACTCTGATGGTAGCCCTCCAAGTCTATCTCGAAGGCAAAAGGCCGAGTTTGACCTGGTGCTAAGAGGAAGGAAGATGATAGATCATCCAACCGGTGAGTGGATACCTTTCGGAGAGTTAGCTGGCTAACAATTGGCTTCGACTGAGATACAGTAAACGCATGTGAGCGGATGTGAATCTGGACTACTCACCCCTGCGACATCCACCGACTCAGCACGCACCCAATCGCTGCCTGCGTTCCGGAGAGGAATCGAGATATACGGACTCGAAAGTACCCCATCAACTACATCCGGCACCAGCACACTGCTCTTGATGATCTCGAGGGACCTGCGAGGTCTTGCCAATTCCAGACGAACCGTGGTACTCGGCTCACCAGTGCCACCCATGGCGCGGACGTCCCGCACCACGCGGATGTCGATCGTATGCAATCCTGGCCGCAGATGAATGATGTGGGGAGCACGGCGATATGAATAGAAGTCACCTCCCCAATGTCTCGTTCCATCAATTGCGTACTCGAGGATCTGGTCGGTGTACAAGAGGACATTCTCGGAGGTGTCCCCTTCATTCAGGATGCTTCCACGCATCCACGCCTGATATTGCTTTGCGGACCACCCATAAACGGACTGCAGAAAGTCCCAATTGACTTCAGGGAATGACAACGATAGGGACATCTGCCCGTATCCCGAGTTGCATTTGTCCATTGACTCCATCCATATGCCGGTAGTCTCCGACCATGTGACGGAGCCATTGAGTCCCAAGGCGCTCTTGAACGATTCTGAAGCATTATATTTTATGGAGGGGAATCCGCCATGGTATTCCAAAGGATCAGATCCCCATGCTGCTTCTGTTCACTTGTTAATGGAGGTTGTGGTTAGTCGTTGTATGGGACGCATGCCTCTGGTCCCTATCTGGAATGGGCCAAGGATCTGCCATGTGTCTGAGATCAATGGTGATGGAAGGCCAGTTATGGTCTGCAAAGGGCCCACAGTCCATTGTGAGGTACCTGTAATTTCACATTGATACAGGGCTAGGAGAACCAGCCATACGATGGCGTGCGAGACCCCAAACATTGCATATACGTGAACACTGAGCCACCAACATCCTCTATGGATGCAATGGATGGATTGAGAATCGAGGATTTAGGAGTCAGGATTTGGGATTCGGCTACATATTGCATCGATATGAATACCGATAAAAAGAATCCCATCAAACGGAGTTGAACTTCCCGCGAGGATGAAACAGTTGAGGTACGGACTATGGTTATCGCGAGGATTCATTTGCGGTGAGACCTAATGGGGAATGGTGTTCAGCGTATCAATGATCCGTGCATGGATGTCCCACCCCATTCCATGGAACTGCAATTTTCACGTAATTTCCGCCACGCTAATCCCAAAATAGATTCTGGAACCAAGGAGCGGCTGCATCTTCCCACGTTACGTATTTCCTGGTCCCTATTGCGTCCCGCTGTGCAGTCTGATGTAACGGTGTTAATACGAGATTCCCATTCTTGAAAGAACACGCGATTCACTTGGGTTCAGCGTGGTGAATGAATGGTGTGACAGACTAACAGTCCTACCGATTAACGGCTCATCTCCATCCTGAACCCGATCTCTCCTCATCGCATCGATATCTGATATCGGGCGGCTAGATATATCGTCAGTTCGCCACGCATCAAGAAGGCTGTACAGCTCTCACCAACCAGACGAGACGGTGCCTCATTCGATATACTTCCTCTCGAGACCATTCCGACATTTCCGTCTCCCCCCTGGATCGCATTGGACAGCATAACCCCATTCCAGCGACGATGAATCCTCAGTAAACCCCCTCAGTCGGTCATCCACACGCCCGCCCGCCATCAATGGCCTCCACCAACGCAGGGGATGACATGACCGCAGTTCCGAGCAGCCCTGGTCCATCCACCTTATCCAAGTTCCCAGCCTTCGACCCGCCGGAACAAGACTCCCTCTACAGCGGCCGAAAATCGCAGTCTCCTGCACGCACAGGGAGCTTTGGGAATGGTCATGCCGGAGGCGACCGGTGGCAGGCTCGGAGAAGTAGCGGACCACGATGGCCCGCGAGCAATGGAGCTCCAATGCCAGGGCCGAGACATTCGCGGCAGAAGAGCTTGAGCGAGGCGATTCGGACGATAAGGACGAGGAGGGCGAGCGTGAGCGCCAATGCACATGAGATCGCAGATGCATTGAAGGCGCCGATTTCGCCGAAGCTAGTGGTATGTAGCACCCGAGAACCGGAAGATGGCAATCGGTTGACGATGAATAGGTGCTTTGCGGTATCTGGTATGCGGCCTCGGTGATCTCGAATACCAGCTCGAAAGCCATTCTCACGACGTTCCCGAAACCCATGACCCTCACCATCATCCAATTCGGTATCGTCCCTACATGGTGCGTTGTACTGGGCTGGGTAGCAATACGATTTCCTGCCGTAGCCCGTGTGGTGCCGGTGCTCAAGAACGGCGTTCAACCTCCAAACCGAGATCTCATCCGGGCCACCCTTCCACTCACCGTTTTCCAAATCGGTGGCCACATCCTGACCTCCGACGCGACGACACGGCTCCCTGTCTCGCTGGTGCACACCATCAAGGGCCTGTCCCCGCTCTTCACCGTCATCGCATCCCGCTCCCTCCTCAACGTGAAATACAGCACCCCAACCTACCTCTCCCTCATCCCGCTCACCATAGGCGTCATCCTCGCCTGCTCCGCCAACTTCAGCAGCAACCTCCTCGGCCTCGTCTCCGCCGTCTCCAGCACCCTCCTCTTCGTCACCCAAAACATCTTTTCCAAGCGCCTCTTCACCGAAGCCGCCCTCTCCGAATCCACCCCCGACTCCCGCCCCTCCTCCAAAAAGCCCGACCGCCTCAACCTCCTCGCCTACTCCATGGGCATCGCCTTCTTCTTCACCTTCCCCCTCTGGCTCTGGTCCGACGGCATCACCATCCTCCGAGACCTCCTCACCACCTCCTCCATCCGCCTCTCCGACCGCCCCGGCGCCCTCGACCACGGCGCACTCACCCTCGAGTACATTTTCAACGGCACCTTCCACTTCATCCAAAGCATCGTCGCCTTCATCCTCCTCTCCCTCGTCTCCCCCGTCACCTACAGCGTCGCCTCCCTCATGAAGCGCGTCTGCGTTGTCACCTTCGCCATCCTCTGGTTCCGGAACTCCTTCTCCAACACCCAGGGCTTTGGCATCTTCCTCACCTTCCTCGGCCTCTACCTCTACGATCGCACTAGCGACGCCGCCCGCGCCGACCGTCGCGCCAAGATGTTTCAGCCCCAGGCTGAACCGCTGTTGCCGCTCGTGGAGAATCCGGGGGAGTCCGGGAGTCCGCCGGCGGCGAATGGGCATCGGTGGGAGGGGAAGCGGGATGATGATCGCATGCAGCATGGGAGGACGAGAGGGGAGACGGCGCCGCAGTGGTTACCGCCGGGGACGAAGGCGGAGCAGACGTGGATTCCCGGGCAAGATATACGCGGAAACCAGGTGACGGTAATATAAGTAACTTCCGGCGTCTGGTCACGGACCGAAACCGTTCGGAATGTGTTTGGGGCGTTCCTTTTGCAGGAAGTGGTTTGCGGCTCTACTACATTTCTTTTCGAAAATCAAAAGTAGCAACAAAACAAATCGGTTGATGCAGGACCTGGATGATAGAGTCCAGTGCACCAGTACTTTCTCTCGTTGGCGCTGGGGAGATGGAGGCGATATGGGACCACACACACATAGTTAGACTGTATACGTATGGATCATTGTAGGTACATGAGTTCTCGCCCGTTAGCGTCTCGTCCAACTACCAGCGAATCCAGAATTTTCGAAATCCAACTCTTTCATGCGTGACCTCTGTTCTAACCCGTGCCAAACGCCGTGTGTCCCCCTCTCCTCTCACAAAAACAACCCCCTCCCATCTCCCCTTCCTCTCCTCCCTGCCCACCCATCCCACCCCACAACCCTCCACCCCACCTTCATCTTCCCCTCCGACCCCTCCCACCCCCCCAACCCCACCACCACGCTCCTCCCCTCCTCCGCCGGACACCTCACCCACACCTCCTCCCCCTTTACCTTCAGCACGTCCAGCGCGATCGCCGTCCCCGCCAGCCCGTGCGCATGGCGTAGCGCGGAGGTAAGGTGGGTGCGGATTGTGAGGGGGTCGATGTCAGGGGCGGTGGGGGAGGGGATGGTGGTGAGAGGGGTGAGGAGGCGGAGGTGGAGGTAGGTGTGGGTGGGGTGGAGGGTGCGGGAGAGGAGTTGGGTGGCGGCGTGGGGTTTTTGGAGGCGGCGGGAGGGGTTGGCGGTGGGCGGGGGGTGGGAGGGGGCTGTGGTAGTTGTAGTGGGCATGGTGAGGAGGTTCGGAAGGGAGGTTGTTGGGTTTCGAAGGTGGGCGGCAATAGCGCTTAATGTATGGAGTGGAGGATTCTAGTTGCTTGGTTACCGGGTGAGTTTGTTGGGACTTGGGAGGGCAGATAAGTGAGTTACAAACGACGCGATGGAGAGTTTTGGCAAATGGTAGTCAAGGTTTAGGATGTGAGGCTTACAAACGACGCGATGGACAGATTTGGCAAATGGTAGTCGGGGTTTAGGATATAACGGATATAACGCTCAGCGATAAGCCCATGCGCCGACGTTGATCTTTGCGTATGTCTGCACAAAACGAGCTTAGTAACCAGGTCATGTTTTATGGATGAAGGTCTTGTACTTGGGATTCCGGAAAGAATGTGGTGGTTTAGGTGCTAAATAGAGAGAGAAGAATGGTGGGTGTTGGGTGAGGAGGGCAATTTGGAGCGAGTTAGGAAGACGCCGAGTTGACTAATGGCATCCAGCATGTGCAGCCCTAGGGTTGCTGCGGGTCGAACTTAGTGTTGTCAACGGATGGACAGCTGAATAAATTCCTCTAGATCGGGGTGGGATTGGAAGTGGTTCTATGACGGAATTTCAAAGGGAAAATGGTATCATGGAGGTAATGGAGATAATGAAGTTGGTTTGGGATGGCACTGGAGAGTACAAATAGGTGCCTCGATCAACCATCAGGACAGGATTGACCAGCAATCAAGTCACTCGAATTTGAATCTTTACATATATACGATCTTCTATCAAAAACCAAACCAACCCGATCCCACCAGCCAAAATGTCTACACTCCTCCAATCCTCTGCCGCCCACCCCATCCTCGTCACCGGCGCCACGGGCTTCCTCGGCGCCCACATCGTCTCCCAACTCCTCCACGCTGGCCACCACGTACGCGCCACCGTCCGCTCCCCCTCCTCCATCCCCAAACTGCGCACCACCCTCGCCCAACCCGCTTCCCCCACCTCCCCCCTCACCATCGCCATAGTCCCCGACCTGACCGCCCCCGGCGCCTTCACCGCCGCCGCAGAGGGCGTCGTCGGCATCATCCACTCCGCCAGCCCCTTCGTCCTCAAAGTCGAGAGCATTGAAAATGACCTCCTCAAGCCCGCTATCAACGGCACGTTGGAAATCCTGGAGGCCGCGGCCGCCACGCCGACCTGCGCGCGCGTCGTCATTATCTCGTCGTTCGCAGCCGCGCTGAACCTCGAGGCCGGGAGCCGGCCGGGGTATACGTACACGTCGGCAGACTGGAACCCGTCGACGTACGAGACGGCGCGGACGGGGGACGCGCTAAACGGGTACGGGGCGAGCAAGACGCTGGCGGAGAAGGCGGGGTGGGACTTCGTTGCGGAGCGGAAGCCACATTTCGAGTTGGTGACAACGTGTCCGGCGTGGATTTTTGGGCCGCGATTGGATGAGATTGAGGATTTGGGAAGGCTGAATGAGAGTACAGGGGCGATTTACAGGTTGATTAACGGGACGTTGAAGGAGGTGCCGGGTACGGATTTCGGGGCGTGGGTGGACGTGAGGAATATCGCGAAGGCGAGCATACAGGGGTTGGTGAGGCCGGGAGTGGGGGGAAAGCGGTATCTCGTGACGGGAGGGAAATGGAATTATCAGGATGCTGTGGATGCGATATTGGAGGAGTTTCCGGAGCTGGAGGGGAGGGTTCCAGTGGGGAAGCCGGGGTCGGGGAAGGATGAGATTGATCTGTGGTATAAGGTCGATTCGAGTCCGGCCCAGAAAGAGCTGGGAATCGACTGGATTGATCTGAAGAAGTCTATAGTTGACATGGTGAGGACCTTGCTGGACAACGAGAAGCGACTTGGAGTTACTCACTAATTGGGTATTCTGAGGTCATGGATAGTCAACTAGCACTGAACGGCATGATTGTTTCTTCAAAAATAAATAAAGAGATGTATAAGGACGACATCGACTAGCATTACGATTCTCTTCTTCATATTTGATTTTGCGTGACTAGAATAGAATTGCATGGAGTGATCTTGACGAACCAAACCTCGATGATTGCGGATGACTACGGGAAGTCTATGAGGACCACAAGGCACTAGCATCAAACATAAAAGGAACATATCCAAGTGATAAAATCCACTCTGATGAGGCATACACCAGATTGATTCCCGCGATATTGTTGGTATTGCGTGCCATAGTGTCAGACAGGAAGATGTGATTGAGTGAAGTCCACGGAATGTCAATTCGTCATCTCATTCGTCATTCGTGATTCGACTATTCGAGATACATACTCTATACTATGCACGAACCACTGGTCAGGGTCGTGGAGCCTCCGAGCAAGGCTCCAAGGCGTCAAGGCGTCAAAAACGTGATTTCAAGGCAGCTGCACACACGAATGATTGACATTTGAAAGTGGGTCCAGGGAAAGCCAAAGACATCGCCCGCCACCAAATCCATCCTCCACCACCTCACGGCTCCATCTACCTGCCCAACCCTCTCTCAACTTCACCCTTCTCTGTCCATATCTATCATTTCGATCCCAAGAATCAAATCCCACTGCCGCTCAGAAGCAGTGCCACACACTGTCCCCAATATCCCCCGAACAATCAAACACCATCTTCCACAACTACCCCCACATCGATCTGCCAAGATGAAGCTCACCTTCAAAGATCTGAAGCAGCAGAGGTTCGTCATCGAAGCCGAGCCAACTGAGACCATCGGAAATGTCAAGGCGAAGATAGCTGCCGAGCACGGATGGGAAGCTTCTGGACAGAAGCTGATCTATTCGGGTGGGTGGTCTGAAGCCTATTGTGCCATATCACGACTAACGTACTGCAGGCAAGATTCTCCAAGACGACAAAACCGTGGAGTCCTATAACATCGAGGAGAAGGGGTTCATCGTCTGCATGGTCTCCAAGGTATATTCGTAATCATCCTCTTTATATTGCCGTCATATCTAATTCATTCCCAGCCAAAAGCCACAGCTGCCTCATCAAGCAAGGCTGCTCCCGCGACTCCTGCTCCTGCAACCGCCTCCACACCCGCTGTCCCCGCCGCTCCAGTCTCATCGTCAACAGCCGCTGCAGTCGCCCCAGGAACCCCATCTCCCGCACCTCAAACCGCCTCATCGGAACCGCGACAGTTCAACGATCCCTCCGCCCTCGCCATCGGGGCCGAGCGACAAGCCGCCATCTCCAACATGGAGAGCATGGGATTCCAGCGCGGAGACATCGAGCGTGCACTGAGGGCCGCATTCAACAACCCGGATCGCGCGGTTGAGTATCTGCTTACTGTATGTCTGCCTATTACATTTTTCCTGCATGGATTCTGACAGATACCTAGGGCATCCCTGAAACCACGGACGACCAACCCCCCGCTTCCTCCCCCGGCCAAGCTGCCCCGCAAGCTCCAGTTCCAACCCAACCCCAACAACCCGCCGCCGCCGCCGCCCCCGCCACTGGTGATGAGCCCGTCAACCTCTTCGAAGCCGCCGCCGCCGCCGGCAACCGAGGTGGCTCCGGCGGGGCTGCCCGAACCGGAGGCGCGGCGACAACCGGCACAGGTGCCGCCACCGGCGTCCCGGCTGGGAGCCTGGAGTTCCTGCGCAACAACCCGCAGTTCCAGCAGCTGCGGCAGGTGGTGCAGCAGCAGCCGCAGATGCTCGAGCCGATCCTGCAGCAGCTGGGGGCAGGTAACCCGCAGCTGGCGCAGCTGATCGCGACGCAGCCGGATGAGTTCCTGCAGATGTTGGCGGAGGATAACGATGAGGATGCGCCGTTGCCGCCGGGGGCGCAGGCGATTTCGGTGACGGAGGAAGAGAGGGAGGCGATTGAGAGGGTGAGTTGATTTCCTATAAATAAAATTAAAAGAAGAAGTGAGAGTGTGCTAATGTTTGATGTAGTTGTGCCGTCTTGGATTCTCGCGAGATCTCGTCATCCAGGCCTACTTCGCCTGTGATAAGAACGAGGAGCTGGCCGCGAACTTCCTGTTCGATCAACCCGATGACGATGCGGAGCAGTGAGTTTGTTAAACCACAACACTCCACCCTCCGTCTCCGAGAACCATGCTCGCACGCACCCCCCAAAATTACTATTCCCCGCACACATGAATCCTTCTCTTCCGAATAGTCTTAGCCGAACCTTCGATTTGATAACCCACCTCCCTATTACCTCCCTGAAATCACGGTTCCCTTATCACGCTTAATGAAGTAATTGTCATTAATCTGTCCGATGGCGCAGCAGCAGCGCACCCAAGTGAGGGTGATACGGGTGATAATTGATAAATGATGAAGCAAGGGTGGAGAGGCTCCAGAGGGTAACAAAGGGACGGGGATGGACAATCGCTCGGACTTTCGATTATTCGGGAAGATCAATTTGCGAACGTCGTTCGTCGCCATGATCGCCTTATAGATCAGTGACGAGCCACCACACCAATTTCAATGAAATCAAACACCATTCATCCACGGAGGCGAATTCTGTATGCATTATCGTTGTTGATTTCGCGGGATGTTTTTCATGGCCACCGAGGCTAGTTAACTGCCAAGCTACCATGGCCACTCGTCCGATCCGTTTTCAATCGATGACATTTATAGACCCCACAACCCAACGCCATGCTCATCCACCATGTAAAAAGTCCGGAGTTCGCGGTTTTTGCTCAACTCGTGACATCTCGACTCAGATCGTGAAATAGTGAGAGAACGCTACATTTTGGTGAGGATGGTTTAGTAGAACGACTCGACCATCGTCTCCTTGTTCGTCGTGTTGATGTCGCCGGGGCCTGCGCCCTCACCTAATCTGAAGACGCTCTCAATGACGGAGAGCTCGGTGGCGGTGGTGTCGAGGCCTATACAAAATAATCAGTACCGACATCATTTAATCAAGCAAACAAGAAGGAAAGGACAACTCACCAGTCACTGCCATCCAATCATTCACCACAATCCCCGCGCCCACTACCGGACTTCCCCGATTCACACTTCCCGCCACCAACGGCACCTGCAACAAACTACTCAACTCATCCTGATCCTGCACGCTCGTCTTCGGATGCACCAAACCCCCCTGATTACTCAACGCCATATAACTCCCGGTCAACACATGATCGGCCACTGTCTGCCTGAACACCTCCACTCCCAGCACATCCGCGATCAGCTCCTCCGTCTCCCGCTCCAGGTCCGGATGCACGAGCGCCACGTGGTCGTTCGCGCAGATGACGTTGCCGAGGGCGGAGAGACGCTCTTCAAGGCGTTGGATGGAGACGGAGTCGGGGAGGGAGTTGCGGAGGTGCGCGAGCTCTTGGTCGGTGGTGCTGGTGGGGACGAGGAGGCCTTTGCGGTTGCCCGTGGTCAGGCGGCCGACGATGCGGGTGCCGGCGATAGTGGCGTGGCAGATGGGGATGACATCTTGCAGTTCGGATTCGAAGATGCTGGGAGGGGGTTAGTTTGGGGTGATCAAGGATTCGGGGTGGGGGGTTAGGGTCGGGGGATATGGCATTGTGCGGCCGGCGGCGGAGGGGGGATGCGGGGAAGATTCAGTGGACGTACCTGTAGAAGTTCTCGGAAGCGCCTTGGGCTACGATGGCGTAGGAATTGGTAAGTGTCGCGAAGACACCGACTCTGTAGACATGCGATTAGCTTGATGGCGCCATGAAGGTGCGAAGGAGGGGTAGTGGTCATACTCATTCGAGTTCTCGAATTGTGCGCGGACAGCCATGATGGGTATGTGCGGTGGCTTTTATGCTTTAAGAGGATTTGCTGGTATGGTAGATGGGGGAAGAGGATATTCGAAAGGCGGTGGAGTATGTACGATTGTTTGAGATTATCGACGGATATCGAAGGGTAGTCGGATGGGTATCTATATCTGAATTTCTTTGCCGTGAGGTTGTTGCAGGTGGGGCGATTTCCGTTGGAGATTTCGGCGGAGCAGCAAATTCGGAACTGCGCCACTTCTGGGCTTTGTACTGACTGCACTGCACTATGACTTTGACGGAGTCATCGATTCTTAACTCTAAACCTAATTCACATTTCGTATTCTCCGTCCAGTCATCTATTAACTATCTAGCAAATCATGCTATAATCACTGGTGGATTCTCTCGTCAAATCATTATGAATCATCGATCTGCAATCACAGCATGTAGCTCCTTGAACGGTCGAGCCACGACGGAACATGGAGGGGGACCGGGAGAATGGATCGCCTTGAAGCATCCTTCCAGCCCTTGAAAATCCTGCTGCCGTTACCTCATGTACCTCCTTAAGCCCTTACTTAGTTTTCTATCATTCGCAATACATAATGCTCCCTTATCGTTCAATCCTGTTGTCATCCTCAGTTCGTCAAAGTCTTAGAGTAGTCACGTGATCTGCCAACCACCTCCATCTTCATCAATCAAGCAACCTTCAACTTCCCAACCGACCCACTGATAGATAGCATACAAGTAGCCACGGAGAGGTGAATAAGGCTTGCCCTCGAAGGCTGGCCACTTGTCCATCATCCGTCTCCATCGCCTCCGCTCACGATGCCATCCGACCCAGAGGGAGATGGATACTGGAAAGTCTATCTCCCGGCACCGGAAGACTTCTCAGCATTACGCTGCGAGCTGCGGCTGTAGAGAAGAGCGCCGAAATCAACAAGAGCTCACGGGGGACAAGAGTAGGTGACATCAAGAAGGCAGGATCGGATTCACGAATACACGTTTTCATCGTTCACCGGGACACTGCGTTTCGTCGGCCAGTAACTGGCAAGAGCCATTCTTAGCGACCATCCACCGGCCGCTCGCCCCGGGGGGACAAAAGCGCTTGGATTCAAAAGTTGCGTATCTCTGGACATTGCGGGGCTTTGGTCTATACTCATCGCAGGCGAAATCTGCACATACTCACGGATGCTCCGTCACGCTGATTGAAATCGGAAGTCACCTGCATCATTGGGCGTTGGATAGGGTTGTGGATATGTTGGCTGTCTGGATTCCACCTGGATAGGCGTGATATTAGAACTACATACATCACTGATTTGGGATTCTAGGCCATCCGCGATGGAGAAAAGTGGTGGCATTTCGCCCTTGACATCCACCCCCCAGCCTACGAACACTTGGAGTGATATCTTCCGACCGACTTAACGAGAGCGGAAACCGCACTTCTGTATTAAAAGAGAGATGGCATAAGGCGAAAAGAAGGTAACGATGAAGAGTATTCCCTGCAGATATACGCCAGGACCATCACACTCATTCCCCAGACAATTCCATGAACCACTTCACGCCCCTTCGCGTACCGGCTCTTAGCATCCTAGAATGTCGTATTCGCGCCCCGATCTCCTCATTTCTCATCCTCAGGAAATATCCACGTTCCTTTTCCAAGATTTGTCCTTAGCCTGCTCATCCAACTCCGTATCAGACGTTTTCTGAGGGTCGCGTCTTGCGCCGTATGCAAATACCGTAGGCTACGACTCTATGGCAATGGATGATCCTGCAACCGTCGATGATTCCGCATCGGTGGAATTTGCTTATTCCGAATCGCCCAATTCATTCAGCAAACGGCCTTCCAGCTCGTGAATAGGATTCAACCCATGTCCCGTATTCGTGGCCATACGTGGAAGCAAATCTAGTCCCTTTTCCAGTGTATTCGGCGACCCTAATGTCTAGTTAGATTAAGGTTTATTAGTTAGTCATTCCGAATTAGCCTGGAACGTAGGTAACGAAGGACAGGAGAACATATTGGATTTAGATTTACACTGGACGACTGGAAACTGCTTTGTATTCGTGCTCTATACAATACGCTCCGAATCTCATACTCTACCTCCTTCCGAGTGACGCACTAGTCTTCATGACCGGGCTCGCACAAGTCAACCTTGCACCTTTCTCCAATTCTTCGGCTGAGATACGAATATACCTCATAGCTAGGGCCATAGTAAATCGCAACATTGTTTCAAGAGTGGTATAAAATCATCCTCGACTGAGTGTTGAACTTGATAATAGAAGCGTAGACTTTAGAGAGAATTATATTGAAACGCTAGCACTATCGATTGAAACCAGACTCTGGATCGAGATACTAAGGCTCTCGGAGCAGCTGCGCTGGAACAATATATTCAAGGTCATATGCCTCAGAGTTCTTTTGCTCCTGCATGAGCTCGTTGATGAGCGTCAGGACAATACAGTACATAGTGACTAGGATTAACTATCGATTGTGGCACGGGATACGGAATACATTCCCAGCCCTCCTGAGGGATATAGGAATTTTGGTTTAGTGCAAGAGGTGATAGTAGCAAGTCGGTATACAGTATTATATATGCCGGCGGCGCTCTTCTAGAAGACGATTGCATATTCCGAATTTCAGATTCAGCAAGGTGATGATTTTAAAATGCGGGTAGCAGTGAAGTTTGGTGGGAGCAGGATGGCGGTTTGATCGCAGGTTGTCCCGAATCAATCGCTGCCGCAGTTGACGATGATGTCAACTTGGAAATAACTTCCACGTTGAACGCGCGAGAAATTCGCAACCCGACACCCTCTTTTCGTATCTCCAACCTGTAGGATAGCAAGACGAGGGTTTTGATTTCCCTTGAAGAGGTACAAGCCATATTTGTCTACCTCCCGACTGTATCTTTCCCGTCGAATTCCACCATCTTTACCCCTGATATATGCCCGCGCTTCGAACGAAATGTCTCCTCCTTCTCTGCTAAGAAGATCTATCTCTTCAGGGTTCGTGCAACTGAACCCCCGAGAAAAATTTGAAGAAGAGAATGTTCCCTCTAGGAACCTCGAGGACTATCATCCCGTCTATATCGGCGAAGTGTTGAAGTCCAGATATCAGGTCGTCCGCAAACTTGGGTTCGGCGTGAACTCAACCCTTTGGTTATGTCGTGGTCTTCGGCAAGTGTCTTCACGAGGCGATGATTCTTCTGCATATTTTTCTCCTAATTCATCAATAGCTGCGATCAATATCTGACGCTCAAGGATTGTTTTCGGACAAAAGAGCAAAGATCCACTATTAAGAGATTTGTCTCCCTTTACCTGAACATCTAATTACCCCCGTCTACAGGTGGGGAGAAAAAGGGTGCGGGTCGTACTAGAATACTTTGAAATCACCGGTCCAAATGGCAACCACGTCTGCCTCCTCTATGAACCACTTGGGATGAGCTGGAGGGCACTTGTCAAGTCATTCCCTAGTAGAAGTTTCCAATAGATGCTTTCCAATCCGGCTTTCAACCCCTACTCGTTACTGTGGATTATCTACACAAATGTGGCGTCGTTCATACCGGCATTTCACCAAATAACATCCTCCAATCTATCGGCGATGAGTCGATAATCTCCCAGACGGAGTAGGGCGAAGCGGAACAGCCTGTGGCTAGGACGATTCTCAGCGATCGTACCATCTACCTGTCACCATAAATGCCCTTCCATGTCGGGAGCGAGCCAGTACTTTGCGATTTTGACGAGCTAGACCCGGCCATCAAATATATAAGGGTAACGCCATGCCTGATATCCATCGTGCTCCGGAAATGGTTTTAGAAATACCTTGGGACAGCAAAGTGACATGTGGCCGTTGGGGCGCTGATGAGTGCACATTCACAGCACCAGACATGAGCAGACTCTGTCCGATCTGGGCGTTGGACCTTCTCGAAGTCAGCCATCTCTTCGTTGCCACGGAGGACGGAATAGTAAACGAGGAACAGCATCTCGTGGAGGTAGTTTCCCTCATGGGCCCTCCATCCTTAGAATTCCTCAGGCGAAGCGAAACGTTCCGGACGTATTAGGACGATCAAGGTATCGCCCGGATATGCGAACCCTCCACATGGGGAAGTGGAATATGTAGAAACTCGCTGACCTCATTACAGGGAACTGGAAAGGATCCATTCCCATTCCCGACCAATCTTTCAAAACTCGCGTACAGTCTCTTGATGGCGAGGATCGGGCCCTTTTCATACAGTTCATGCGAAAAATCTTATGCTGGATGCCGGAAGAGAGGCCCTCCACGAAGAAATTAATCTACGACGATTTCGTGATACAACCACGGATGGCGGAGATCTTGCCTACTGAGAGCCATGCATCCGCGTAGAGGCCCGCTCTTGACTGTGACTTTTTACAGCTTCCAGCTAAGCAGTGAACGGAAGGGCATGTTAGCATGAACGGTGGCGGTTTTAAAATCACTTGCTATGTTGTCGAGGAGTAACCGTTGGGCATGACGTATTCTGCCCAAACAGGTAGGAGATGCCTCTTGCTGGCTGACCAAGGATTTTCATCCTGAACTCCCGTTGGCAAATTCTTCGTTGCAAGGTGTCACGATTAAGCAAACGATATCAGCCATATCCTATCAACCAGTTCTTTCCACCACTCCGAGACAATGCGGGGCAGCTAGACAGCGAAAGGACGCCAACGACGGACCTCCGACGGGCGGTGTGGGTGTGCTCTCGGCATCGACCAGGTGCCAGCACTAAGGTGACGGTGACGGTGGACGATGACAGTGAGGAGAAGCCGGGGCGGGGAACGGATAGACACAGGTGTGCGATGAAGGGTATGCCACGTGCTAAACTTCGAGTCCTGCTCTGCTCTCCGGTGTCTTGCCTCGGGCACCTAGGAATTGGGGGTTGCAAGCCACGATGGGCCAGGGGAGGTGCTAGCCATGACAGCAAGTGCTTGCGATCGGTGCTTCGAGGCTGGTTGGATGGGAGAGCTCTGCGATGACTGGTGGTTGGACAACTTGCGCCTATGGATCAGAACAAGGAAGGCACCTGTCTAACCGCGTAACAGCTTAATTAGGAAGTTAAACGGTCATCGAGACTCACACGTCGTCGATATCCAATGTCTCCATTCCTTAGTCTCTTTCTGAGCTATTTTTGTATACGAATCGACTTCCTGAACATGCCAACGGCTCCTAGGGCTGCTAGGAGACAACGGCTTGATGTTTGAAACCTCAACAACAAATGCCAGTAAAACTATGATATCAGTTGGTATGGCAATCCCGGCCCGTCACGTAATAAACCTTGAATATGGCGATACTAAAACCGATCCGTCCGGTTGTTGGCATTCCCGCACCGAGTACCACGTCCAGCATGACATCCCGCCGCAAAGTATCATTGACCTGCCACCGACCGTTAGACTAAGGAACCCTATTGATACGCCACTCCTCCGCCCATTGGTCTCAATCTCCGTGAGCAGGGAGTGATCGGGCTCGCTGCCCTCACATCGTGGCGAGCAAGGTTATGGCCCAATGTTGTGGGCACGAAAGCTAAGTTAGACTCGTCGGACGGATAGGGGCACCCGTCAGTCCGTAGCGCGTCGGTATGGTGAACAGAGCGTGATGGAAAGAGTGTACTGGATGATGAGCGCCCGGTCAGGGACACAAGGTGATGGTGCAGAATCTTGCATCGCATAGAGCGATATCGACATGGACAGACGGAGAGACTTGGAGAGGAGCGGAGTAAATATGGATGTGTTTGCCCAACCGACCAATGGGATATATCTCGGGAACCGATTGGTTGAGTGTTGAAATTACTGGATTGGGCGCGGATAGAGTACTCATCTAAGACTAAGCAATTGGATGAGAAACAGATTTCTTGGACGCTGTTCTAAAAGCCAATATTTCTGTGGTCCATTGAGGAAATATTCGGGTAAGGTATTACAAGATTTCGGACTTTTGGGATCTGCAGGATCCATTGGATGAGAGATGAAAATATGTCGTTCGTACACTGAAGCAGCAAACCAATTGTTTTGACCTCCTGCGAAACCAACATCTGTTTGGATTAGCTAGGAGGAAATATTGGCAAGGGAAGGATATATTGTACGAAAGTTGACTGGGAAGCAGGATCCTACCGGTTCTCAATCACCTTCCATTTTCCTATATTGCTAATGCGCCAGTGAAGGAATCCAATGTCTGGGATATCCAGAAGCGAGAAACCCCTTTTCTCAAGTCTAGGCCAATAAATCGCCACAGCCCATGTCGAAGGATCAACGCTGTAGAAGGAATGGAATATTCCATAGCACGCCGGGGTATTTCGGTGATTCGGTCCACTATGAACGAGTCCCTTTGAAATATTTTCTCAAAAGCGAGAAATTCCTGTGAATGCGGCAATGGGTTTAACTTCAAGTCAAGTTGTGATGAGCAGAGCTGTTCTTAGAAATCGTGCTTCATGAAACTCGCTGGAAGATTTGAGATCTTATGCTCAGTAACTACCCGCACCATTTCACAACCACAGCATTCAGCGGGCGTCCGATGGCGTGGTACCAATACTCGGAGCGTTCTTCTAATCTTGAGATACAAACCTTCTAAAGTGGCCGACATATACGGGATATTCTGATAGACAGAGGAGCCATTGAGCCTCCATCGGGAGATGCTACGAAACCATTGATATTCAATGGCACAGAGGCATTGTTTCCCAACGAATGGACGCCCGACGGTCAGACTGTTTGACCCTTTGAAGCATCCAGGTCTGCTCGATATTACATCGGCGATCCTTGAATCGGGAGCACCGCAGCGTCTTGAGACGACGCCGTGGAACCTTGCTGCTGAAGGACAAGGCGTACCTCAGCCAAAACCGCGGTTCTGATGAGAGGAAATTAGGCGGGTCCAATTCATGAGACGTTATCTCAGTCCATGGCTTTCTCGGGTCAAGATCGTCGGCTCAGCCTCGTAGAAATTTCACTAATTTATAATTAATGACTTTCTCGCGTGGCCGGCAATCGAAGACATTTTGCGAACGGAGGGATGACGATCATTAAGGTAAGCTGTATTAAATTGAATGGGCAATTCAGAGGGTACTCCCATTGTCAGATTTGAGTCGACGCGCTTCACAAAGAGGGATCAGTACATCACAAGCAACATCCGATCTCGTCTCCTGTTGTTTACATCTCGAAACGCGGTGGACACGGCCCTCCCCGTCACTACTGCAAACATCGCCCCCTTCGCCTTTGCATCCAGTAATCATATCCAGAGGCCAGCGTCAGGTGTGACTGGCTGCAGCCGAATTGCAGACAGCGGTCCCGTTGGCTGCAGGAGGGAATATCTTCCCGGGGCTTCTTCGAGGGTGTAACCAGTTGTCCTACAAGGACCATCCCGACCGTGACGCAATCCAAGCGCGATGAAAAGACATGGATGCGTGACGATGGAAGAATTGGGTGAGATGCAATATGAATTTTACGATTCATTCGGGCAGGGCTGGGATGCGCTGCAAGCTCGGGTGTAAGTGCTGTAGATTCGATGCAGACTGCAGTGGTTGCAGTAGCTCAATCTACCAACGATTGTAGGGGACACAACAGATTTCGGGGAATGGGGAGGAGGATATCGTGAGTTTCATTGTGTAAGGTTTAGCATACAATCTTCAAGAAGATCCAATGCAGGTACCATCGACAATTTGTCTCCGTGCTTTTCGTGGGGAACTGATCCGACGTGATGGGGGAAAGACAATAAAAGTGTATCCGCCATTATCCCCTGAGTGTATTTACTCAAAACAACCTGTTGCTTACCAACAAACGCGTTCGACAAGCTTGATGACTTCATCGAGACGGAAGTGCAAGACAAGCATCATGGAGACATGGATCGCTCCCGCCAACGGTCGCCGAACTATGGTTTGAAAATCTCCAAGCGTGAAAGGTTCTTGCTGGCTGGACTCCGAGATCGTCGTGTCACTTGTCAAGATTCTCATGACTTTCATATTCAACTCCACTATGTCTCCACGAGCCATCTCCAGTGCGGAGCCACGAGCCGTCGATCGAGAAAAATGAACGGGCTTCATTTTGAGTAACTTTGGAGATAGGTATCAATTGGATTATGACAATAGAGTAACCGCCAGCCAACGCACAAGCAGATCCTGTCTTGGGTGCACGATTGGCACGTTTCTCTGTCACCATGGAATGACCCTCTCGGAGAGGGTCATTTGTGTCGCGTGTCCCTCGTTCTTTTCCAAGCTGCTATCCTTTCTATGCTTGCTCTCCCTGGTCCTTCCAGAAGCTTTTCACCAGGTATTCCGTATTGGACGATAGCCTGGAGAAAACCCGCCTATGAGCAGCATCGTTACAGCGGATATCTGGGGCGGTGGCGCCGCAAGCCATGACCGTCGTGTGCCGTAGCCCGGAAGCCTACCAGTTGCAAGCCATCGACGCGTCCTGCACATCTTCCGCCGCTGGAGTCTGGAAGTCTGGACTCTGGATGCGGACGGAAGAGGAGAGTAACGTGGGCGCCTAGGCGGGGTTTTCAATGGTCCTGTGATACGGTGACTATCGACTATGACCTCTTCAGCTGCCCGATGGGAGGCCATTCTCGTAATAGATATCCCATCTAGCTTGGAAAGGGGGAGAAATCGATGTCATGGGAATGCTAGGATTGTCGGAAGACATACTGACAGCAAGAAACTCAAACCCAGTCGTACTAATTCACCAAGTATCTTCCCTTCACTTAGCTCCATCTCAACAGGCCCGTAAATAGCGGGAGATTAGGCAGGGGGGGTGCCCAGGACCGATGCTGTGTAAGGAAGGGAAGTCTAGGTTGTCCATGTCGATCCCAGGACTTCCATGGTATTCCCAGGTCAACGCCGCTTTGCCTTCTGTCGTGGAAGGATGTTCCTCGCTCTCCATTTGCTCTTCCACTTTCCCTTCACCACCAATCCAACCGTGAAGTCCCTTTCCATGAACAGCCTTGGTCCATGTACCTGGCAAGACATGACCGCAAACATGAACCTGGACCTTAACGGCCAATAATTACCGGTGTGGTTGCTCCCGAAAACTGCTGCTGCGGAGTGGAGGCCCCGAGAAGAGTCCAACACGCTCTTCGGACGCGGATTGCTGATGCTCCCCCAATTTCTTGTACGATCCGAGAATCCAGGCTGTTCGCTGCTCCACTAGGGCCTTTTCCTCTCTTATAATTATTGTTTCTTTCTTCTCCTAACGATTTCTTGCGTCTCCCGTTGCTGTCATATCGAGTCTTGACCTGTTCAGTCTTACGGCGTTTCCCTTTCTCGTCACATCTCTCGCAACTGATTCTACATGGCACACGTCGAACACTTTGACCGAAGGCTCAAATAAACTCTACGCCTCGATTTTCACCTGCGTCCGCCTGGACTGGACATTCCCCGCCCGAAACACGCTACTATCTCTGCCATTCAGAGTCCTCGTGGACATGAAACATCGTCGCATGCTCTTTCGAAGAGCTTGGACTGCTGAGTTCATGCCCAGGTCTGACAGTTCATAAGTCTACAGCCGGATGCTTTTTAATCCTCGAGATCTACTCAGGCCATCCGTTCGCTCAATACAAACTCGGTTCGCTCATTCTGTATCGGGCATCTTGTCCGCGTCATTCGTTACCCCATTGCAGTCGTTCCTCGAGTAGGATTTCGACTCGACCGTTCGTTTCTCTCAAGATACCCTTCACTATATTCTTTCCTTCTCTGGACTGCGACTGGAATACCCAGGATCGGTGTTGTCGCAGCGATAGTCCACTGCTTATGTTTCGAAACCTAATTTCTGGACCGTGGGATCCATAGACGGACAATTGCACAACCGCGTTCGGGTTTTGTCAAGAGCTTGGATGCCCTGGTTCGACCTTGTTCTCATATGGTCTTTATGAGAACCATATCTCGTCATGGAGTCGAAGCACTCTCTCTGGAGCTCCCAATCTACCATGGTGTCGCTAAGAACCGTCTGCGGACGATTCTGTGTCCCGAGAATCTTAGCCACTGTTATCGGCACAGCGACTTTCATCACGCTCGCCGCATCAACTGTGTTCACAGTTCTCAATGCAATCGCATGGGCGCCCGTTCCGGTGGTATTCCGGGGCGCAGCGACTGCCGCAAGCGTATTCGACGTTCTAGCTATCCTATCGCTATTCCTTGCCTTCGTCAGCGGAACTTGTAGCTGGGACGTGAAACGGTTACCGAATAACTGTTTTTGGCGGTTCGTCCCAGCATTGTGCATAACGATTGCCATCATTGCGATCTGTTTGACTGTTCGGACGTCGATCTTGAAGTCCCAAAATGACGACCTGCTAGGGAAAAATTCTCTCCCAGTGTGGACCGCACCATCCAGCGCGGAATACGCGGTGTGGGCTTCGGCAATGGTGTTTCAAATCGCTTTTTACTCTATCATTCTCCTTGCTCGTCTGAAGCGCTGCACGTCACGAGCTCACACCACAACTTCATCGCCCCGGTCACAACGATCCACACGGGACCCAAAATCCATCTCTGCCGCGACGGGCGACACAGAGAGTACGATGCAGATGTCCCTCACCATAATGCCTCCCCAGAGCACTCGTTCCTCTGTCGGACACATATATCTCCCTTCCCCCACATACTCGTACCACTCATCAAGCTCACCTCGCCGGTCATGGCGAGAATCCCTCCATCAGGCCGTTCGACCTATCACCTCCAAAACAAAACTCATCCGAACCACTCCATCTGTAAACGCCTCATTCGTGGCCTCCGATGCTCGATCATTTGATTCCTCAACCCCTCGTCACTCCGATGCTTTTGATGCATGGGATACGAGTGATGTTGACCCGGGCTTTAAGGAATCGGTTATACATGGAGGTGCAACCGCCGTGCCGAGATCACACGCTGCACAAAAAGTCACGGCACCACAACCCCGTGGATCGACTCCGCTTCCAACAATACCTGGCAGTCGGCCGGTATCACAGGCGGATGTTCTTGACAATCCATTCCATACACAGCTGGAGGAAAACCCCCCCAGCACCACATCCACAGAAATAGACAACTACAAATCCACGCAGCAAGGCACAAACACCCCCCGCAAGCTCTCCACAACCCAATCCCAACCTAGCCGATCTAATTTCTCCTCCACCTCCGTTCCCTACGCCTTATCGACCTCCAACCTCCCACCTCCGCCCCCCATTCGCACCAACTCCCGCCCCACCTCCCCATCCCTCCACTCCTCCCCCCTCGACCCCCACCCTTACGACCTCACCGACCTCCCCACCCCCGACGAATCTTTCATCCATCCCCTCTTCCGCTCCGAATCCCCCACTCCACCTCCCCGCGCCACCCCCGGAACCTCCATCACCGGCTCCCACTTCCCCGGCACCATTATTTCACCACCCCGTGCCCCCAGCCGTATGCGCTCCGCCTCCCCGGCCCCTTCCCTCTCTTCTGACCTCCCGCCCCACGCCTCAACCACTAGCCTCCCCCCTGCCGACTCCCCCCTCCACCAACACACTCGTGACTCCCAAATCGCAACCCCCGAACCCTTCCAACCCCGAAGCCGCTCCGCCAGCCGCACAAGCAGCTACTCCACGAGCACGTACCCCGATACCCCCCTCTGGCACGGCCAACGCCGGCCCAGCAGCCGCGCGATCGTTGGGGTCGGGTTGCCCCACCCGCCGAACATCGGCAGGAAAATGTCGAATGAAACGGTCTGGAGCGGGGTGACCGGGGCGGTGGGGTTAGGGATGGGCACCCCTCACTCACCAGTTCGGACGAAGAACAGCGCTTCTTCGATGCAAGGGGCGGGGACAGCGACGACGATATCGGCTGGTAGGAAGGGGAGTGAGACGAGTCCGGGACGCCGGAAAGGGAGTCGGGGAGCAATAGAGGAGAAAGAGGGTGAAAAGGCGGAGCCGCTCGTGATGAGTGGGCAGACAAGCAAGAGCGGCAGCCGAGCGGGCAGCGTGCGGACACAGCAGTCTGCGCGGGAGCGGGATGAGGGGGCGGCGATTCCGGGGTTCGTGTTGCAGGCGCGAGCTGAGAGGATGGGATGAATTTTTGGGATCGGGATTGGCGTTGGAATATACACGACTGGAGCGATAATGCGATATGGGTTTACGCTGGGGTGAGTGGATTCGGTCCCTTTGGTGTATCTTGGATATCATGAGCACGACGGACTAATTGTGCTGGGCTGTGGGATGGAGGAGAGGGGGCTGGATGCGCCTCTTGCTATATGGAGATCATAACGTATCATAATTAACAATGGCATAATGATCGGAAGCATGCAGGTATGCTGCGATTCTGAATCTCCGATCAATGGATATTCTATATAATGGGAGATGTGCAGCGCTGACGGACGCTCCTTCCTCAGTCCCACTATAGTGAGAAATGTTTAATTCAGCTTCGACGACACGTGGCTCAGAATCGGCCGCGTTAATCCTCGAATTTGAAAATGGTGATACATTTGCATTCCAGTTACATGCTGTTTTGCTCTAATTTCTTGAAATGCAGACTCTTCAAAGTGGACGGGGCTCAGTGCTGAAATATCAAATTGGGCACTGCGCTTTGGTTATGAAGTTCGGTTGATTCTGGCAAGGACGCCTCCACATCCAATACCATACTATAACGTGAAAGAGAAGGAAGAAAAGCATTTAGGAGATCAGGTCATCATCTGGGGATTCAGAATCAGAAAGGAGCTCTTCTGTATTCTTCCATTTTACGCCGACTTCCTTCTGGCCTTGATTGATCACAACGGGAGTGAACAGAATATACAAAGTTTGACAACTGAAGGAATGAACGAGGCACGTCCTATCCCCGCTATTCGATGTTGTCTATCATCTACCTATTTACGCCAATCCGCAACCATATCCAATTGCTAAAATGCTGACGGTCGATGATGGATATGCCACCGACTCAAAATCTCACCGGACAGTTCATCAATCAGGACAGCAACTGAACAGAAGTGAGAAATGAGAATTGACGAGGTTCCACATTTGGTACGAGATGGACATCAACCAATGAGAATCCCCAAAATGAGTTGCGGCTGGGACCGACTCCTCTTGACCCATTTGTTTCCATCGGTTTGGGTTAGCCTTTCCGACGGCTTCCTTGCTTTGAAGGATGAGACACCGCAGGGCAAGAATGAGAGAAATGCTCGAAGCGAGAATTCGGATTTCGGGGCTGCTCGGTAATTACGAAGAAATAGGAGGCAGACCAAGAAATATGATGATGGGATGGTATAAAGAAATATAGAAGATAGAAGATGAAGATGAGTGAGAATTAAGAATAGCCCACCATCTACGAGCCAAATCACGATTTAAGGAAATTTGAGACAATGGGATTGGAAGAGGGCGGCATGATGCATTGACATGATGCATGGACATGGATCAATAAGGAATAGCGTCTGATTTGGGTAGAACCCATTTGCTTGGCCACAACGCACCACCTACTTCGATTCCACGAAGGCAAAAGCCCTGATGAATGGCCCCGGAAGAAGAACCTGTCCTTTCTATCTGGATCCTAATACTCATTTAGATGCTTCATTCAGATGCTTCATCCAAAAACAATAGCATCTCCTCGACTGATATGACATTATTATCATGAATTTCATTGACCTCTTCCACGTCTCCCTGCCCTTTTGAAAACAGCGATTAAAGTCCCAAGGGAGTCTCTCATCCGCTCTATTCCCGCCGACCAAGACCATCTTACTTTGATGCCCTTTCGATTATTCGCTCACATCCAGCATTTCTGCATCATATCCCTTCTCATCCTGGTATCTAAATCATTTGGACCTTTCTCTTACCTTCTCTTCCTCTATTTTCTGCTCTCCACGCCATCGTACAGTCTCATCACCCGGTCTCGTGGTACGGGTAAGGACTTGATCCCAATTAAGGTTAGTGCGCTAATTCCCGTTTTGCGCCGCCCACCCCAGCCAGCCATATCCTCCATCCATCCATTTCTTACATCTTTGCAACCTTTTAACCTATCTATGACCATACTGTCTCATGAACCTTTCCATATATTCCTCGGTTCTTTCTTCATGATTTGTTGGATTGGCGCATTTTTTTCTTCACCTTCCGCGCTCGTCTTTGGGGGAGACTGTGGTGGGTTATGAGAGGGTAGTGCCTTGCTGGCATGAATGTCATCACCAGCCATTTCTCAGCTTGGTGCAACGTACGTTTCCTTCATTAACTTCAGTATCCGTTTGAATCGCGTGTTATTATGTTTCTGGGGTTCTTTTATATATTGCCAAGCGATGCCATTCTCTTCCTTGATTCACTCCGTCTTCCATTGACTTCTTTGGTCGCCCTGTTTCATCCTGGTCGACCATGATGAGTTTTGCGCGTGAGCAAAACATATCGAACCTAATGCTTTTCACCTGAGTTATTATCATCATCATTATCCCTATATTCTCTTTGGCTTGGTTTTACTAAATAATTTTTGTTACACGCGCGAGGTTCTATTTTGGATACGATCACCATGACCCGGCATCTGTCCTTATCTTGTAAAGGCTGTCCAACTGACGACCACCACAGGATGGCTGCCGGAAAGCGAAGTCGTGAACCGGAACCAGACGTTCCATCAAAACGTCTTGCGCTGGACTCAGAGGTAGCCAAATCCGGCAACGAGACCCCTGCCGACAGCGATGTCGCCATGGAGCCGGACGTGACGGTCGGCAATGATGCTAGCGAAGCACCGGAATCGTCTGAAGCCCCAACAGCAGCACCAACTATTGTGACTCCTACAAGTCGGGGAGGTTACAGAGGTCGAGTACGAGGTAGCAGGGGTGGAAGAGGTCGTGGCCGTGGTCGAGGAGGTCGCTGGGCGACGCGAGCTGATGCAGGCCATTCGACTCCGGCGGCGGGGTCTACCAGATCCGAAGTGAATGGTGATGACGCCGACCAGTCTACACAACCGAGGAACGGAGACGAAGATGTTGATGGCGTCGATGATGTCGCGGAGGAAGCTGGCGCTGAGATTGTTGCGCAGAAGCGGCAAGGAAGAGGAAGGCTGCCTGGGAGAAGAGGCAGATACGGACCCGAAGTTGCCGCGGCGATCATCCGAGCCAAGGAATTGAAGGGATGTTTCAAAGCGGTTGCCTCTGCTATGAAGCCCTACCTCGAGGAGCTGAACAAAAGAGCATTGGACGAGCTGAAGCAGGAGTCAGAAGAGGCACGCAACCGCCTAGAAGAGATGGAAGCGACAAAGGAAATCCAATTATATCTGTCGCGCCGTCTCGATGAGCGTGTCAAGGAAGTCGAAGCCATGAAACAGGTCAAACTTAAATGGGCGGAGCGGAAGAACGAAGGAGAAAAATACCTGATCCAGGAGAAATGGAACCGGAAATTGGAAGCCGCCGAGGTCGATGTCATTGAGACTGTTGAAGGCTGTCTCTTGGCGTTTGCGCACAGTTCCACCATCCGCCTATCAGATAGACGCGTTGAAGAGGAAGACGCAGCCACGGACGATGGACGTATTCTGCCGACCGAGGACGAGAGGAGCCTTGGGGCGCGGGGCTTGTTCAAAGAGAGACTCCTCTCCACCAAGTACACTCACAGCGGCTCTCGAACCCTCAAACCCAATGACCTTGAACGTTTTGCAGCAGATTCAAGGTTGAAACGGGGGATGGATCAGCAGCTCGATGTTCTCATACTCGATTCCGATTGGGTCGATTCTTTATTAGAACCCTCTTGGGTGTACCGACGACCGTTTATTCCTCCCAAGGCCCCAAATAACCAAACCAAAAATCAAATCGACCCAGAGCTCCTCCGAGCTGTTTACGACGCCCAGGATGAGTCAGTCGATGAAAACCTTGAAGAGCAGGGGCTTCCTGAGATCTCCACTGAAGAACATGGCGTGGTAGCGGAGGTAGATGTCGGAATGAAACGAAGAAGAACCAAGGGGAAGAAGATCGCTACGCCAACTGGCAAAGGGAAGGCAAAAGTTGGGGCTGAGACAGCTCCCGGATCGGCCACCGATTTGGCAGACAAGTCAGGGCCAGGCCCATCGTCCCAACCCGAAGGGTACTATATCGCAAAGTCGGTCGAAGGCGATGCTCGCGAATCTACCGAATCTGGTGACCAGCTTGCTGATCGCCGTCACATGGAAATTTGCGCCATCATTCCCAATAAGTCTACCGACACGCATACAGGCGGTGAAGATGTGGACCGTGAGGCTGCTGCTCTTAACGCACTTATGGAGCTGAAAGGGCAGTATACCAGAGTGGCGAGCCAACAGATTCGCGTGGGTCACACAGAGCAATTACGGGAGGCGAGAGTGGGCGAACGGAAGCGATCACATTCAGAGCAAAGAGACATCGAGGAGAAGATGGAAGCGGAGAGGACAAGCCGCGAGTTCGAGGAGAAAATGGAGGCGGAAAGGCAATCCAGGAAGGAAGCCGAGGAGAGAGAAAGGCCGTCGACCCGTCCGAGGAGTGCCACAAGGGGCAAGAAGATTACCGATTTGCTCAACGCGCCGCACGAGCTGGAGTCGCCCATTCTGAAATCCGAACCGAAACAGCAACCCTCCATGAAGCAATGGCGCGTGGAGCCTACACCGACAACTATAATCCATCAGGGGTCGATCCCCGTCTCCACGTTCTCGATACGAACCGAAGATGGGAAATACAATTCACAGAACAGAGAGAATAAGCAGGCGGGTATCGCCACGCAGACCGTGTTCAGCTTGAATCCAAACGATCCATCGCTTGAACGTGCGTCGGAAAAGGCGACGAAGCGCGGGAAAACTTTCTGGCAGGCGATCAGCAAAGGAGCTCATGGAGCAACACCCCCTCCACCACAGTCCGGGCGAACCAGTAGCCCCGAAAAGAGTGGATCCGCTATGTCTCCTTTCATACCAGGACCGCACGGCGGGTATCAATTCCACGTCCCCGGCGCACCGCCTCCACCACCAAACGCTCCTGGCGCATTCCCACCGCCTCCTCCGGGATACAGCTACGCTCTACCACCTCCTCCCGGTCACCCACATCATCTTTCGCCGCCGCCACCTTCTCCACAGACTCCGTACTGGCGGTTTCCACCTCCCAATACAGGCCCTCCCCCTCCCCCGACACCCTACTGGATTCAATACCCCCCTCCCCCTCTCCCATCGCAATACAGCACCTCACCAACGGCAGCACCTCCTCAAACCCAAGGTAGCCCGAACCCTCCCGCCGCCGGCCCCGTCTCCATCGCGCCGCACCCTCCACCCACCCCAACAGCCCCTCACCCCCCTCAATCTCCCTACAACGGCCCCCAATACGGCGGCCCCACCATTCTCCCCGCCCCCATCCACCACCACCACACCCAGCAAATGCAAAACCACCACCACCACACTATCCCCAGCCAACTCCCCCTCGCCCCCGCCCCACCCGAGCGCCCTCCTACCCATCCTCCGCCCTCGCATCCTCCTTCCGCCAGCTCCGCGCCCGGCATCGCGCCGAGCCCAGGATCCGGCATCCCGCCGAGCCCAGGATCCGGCATCGCACCCAGTCCCGTATCCGGCATCGCGCCTAGCCCAGTCGCCGGAATCACGCCCACTCCCGTTTCCGGCATCCCCGGCATCGCACCCAGCCCCATCTCCGGCGCGCCGGCGTTCGCGCAAGGTGGCGTCAGCATCACGCCTGCGTGGGAATCGCGGAGGCGGCAGGCAGGAGCGAAACGAGGGAGGGCACGACGGGAGGAGCTGGCGGCGGTGATGAGGGAGAGGGGGGAGACGGTGGCGACGGAGGGGGGTGGGGTGAGGAGAGACGGGGGGAGTGGACGGGGTGGCGGGCCAGGGAGTAGAGGTCCGAGGAGGGGGAGGGGTGCGCGGGGCTCGATGGGGGAGGTGACAAGGTTTAAGAGTTATGAGCCACCGGTGGCGAAGGAGTGATGGAGAGGGGGGGTGGGGGAAGTGGTGTAGTTTGTAGTTGGATGTGATGTAAGATTGATTACTAAATGGAAGATCATTCGTATTTCATGCACTATGAAGATGATATATTGTAAGCCATGGATCATATAGGCCTGGGTAGCGATCATAGACGTAAGGTTCAAAGTCTGTCCAAGGTTTGCTATGTTGAATTTGTATCGGATATTACGATCCCTCCATTCAGGGGACCTTCCGCCAGGATTCACCGAACTTCAGCCGGCGCATATCAGCATCGTCATCAAACAACAATCTTAAACTTTGTTTTGCACATTATCTAGTTACTTCACTTACCCCTTCTACATGTCTCGATCACATCTATAACCCGATCAAGTCCTCGCCATCAACGAGCCATGGCGTCTTCCCCATCAAAAGCGCTCATGAAGCGCTCCGCTCCCTCCGAACTCACCACCATGCCCCCACCACCTACTAAACGAATAAAGCGGCCATCCACCGTCCTACCCGAAGACACCTACACCGACGCTCTCTCTCATATCATCAAGCGAGATTTCTTCCCCGGGCTGCTAGAAACAGAAACACAGCAGGAGTTCCTGGATGCGGTGGAGTCGCGGGATCGAGAATGGATCCTCGATGCGCAGGGACGGTTGGAGACCCTCATGACGCCGCGGGCGGATGGGAGACGGGTCGTGGGGAGAAGAGGTGTGAGCATGACCCCGGTGAATGATGGGATTGCTGGGGAGACGCCGGTAGGGTGGACGGGGGCGACTCCGACTCCAATAGCGAGCCGTACGCCATCCCGGGACGCTGCCGACAGGAAACCCGAACAACCTGAAGTCGACCTGAATCTCAGCCTTGACGCATTCATGGCGAAATATACCTCCGAAGACAACGAATCGTTTAACGCCCTCCTCGATAAGCAGAACACCAAGCACGCGGAGAAATACAGATGGCTCTACGCAGGCAACAAGATCCCCTCCACTCGCCAACTCGAATACTGCAAACAACAAGCATCCCTCCCCCCTTCTTCCACCTCCCAATCCCTCATCCGCCTCTCCCACGCTCCCGACACCCGCCCCGCCGCCCCCACCACCCGCCGTGAAAACCCAAAGAACACCCTCATGTTCCCTCCCGACGCTGTCGAACCCACCACCGCACAAGCCGCCGCCTCCGCGTCCCGCGCTGCGCCAAAGTCCGTATCCTACTCAAACACCCGCATGCCCGACCCAATGCTGCCGTCGTCTCACGTGCCCATACCCCCGAGTCCGAGCATTTCGGCCGTGCGGGACGCGTTGGCAGGGCGGGAGAGGCGGACAGAGACAGAGGCGGGGTCAGCAGTAGATGGTGGGGGCGGAGAGACACCCAGGGTAGGGGGATATGCGTTTGTGGATGCGGAGGCGACGGAGGCGGAGGTTGCTGCTGCGGCAGGGGGAGTGGCGGGGGATGAGGATGCGCGCACGAGTGCGTTGTTAGCGCGGTTAAGGAGCGGCGCGGATGGTGGGAGAAACCCGTTTACGATTAACGAAGCGAGTAGGAGGGAGGCGTTGCATCATCGGCTTGTGGAGAAGGCGAAGGAGAAGGAGAAGGGGGTGGAGGGGAGAGGTGCGGAGGGACGGACGCCTGGGACGCCGGGGACGCCGAGAGGGAATTTGACGCCAGCGGGGGAGAGGTTGTTGAGGGGGATGAGGACGCCGAGGAGGGAGGCGTTTGAGGGGAGGAGGGGGGTTAGGGAGCGGTGGAGGGTTCCGGTTACACCGAAACTTAAGAAAAGGAGTTGAATACCGGCGTGGTTGTCGTATAGAGCACAAAACTTGTGATTCGAAGGCAGCACGTAGTGGCAGGATGGAGGACTGTACGAATGGCTGAGGCAATCGGAAGCGATATTGCGCAGACACCCGTATTGTTTGCTATCGCTTCCTCACGCGGTGCGACAGAGCTCCTGAAAGGTCTAAAACTAGGTCCAAGACCAGGTCGCAAGGCTCCACGATGCCTAGTTCAGAATAGATGTCCCATCGAGTTGACGACCGAATACTATATCTATCTTTTCGGTGGTTCAAGGTTCGCTGGGCGATGGAATATTGCTTTGGTCTGTTTCCACTTCATTGCTTATATTTCATCTACTACAAACATGCCTCAAGCGTTTCTTTCGCCAAGTCACTTGCGTCAACCTTATCCAAGTCGAATTTTGCGAAAATGGTCAATCGAAAATGTCGTCTTCTATACATGCTTAACGGTTATCTTGTCCCATCTTCTCCTTCGACTCAGTCGAACGATATGTGTTTGATTATATGCACGGTCTGATTCCGATGGCATTGACCTCCCTCTCGCTGCTCGGGTTCATGAGGTTCGTTCGAGTTCTATTGAAGCTCGCCATGGGCAGACAAGTGTGCGAATCGGGGGGGCTATCTACCTTTAACCTGCGACCATTTATGGGCGGGAAGACAACGTCCATCGATGGCGGCTGGTTATGCAGGAATATCATACCGAAGAAAGCATGATCTGGGCTGCCGATACCGGCTCGGATGAGCTCAACCCCCCTCCGCGGATCATGCAACATGTTCGAGAGCCTGAGACCCAGTATTGGCTGTGGGCTTCGGGCCGGCGGTTTCGGTCTGTTCTGGTTCAGTTATCTATCTTGCGCTGCTACAATTGCTTGCCATCGGTACGACTGCTAGTATCATTGTCATATACCGGCCAGTGTTTTCCGAAACGCAGCTATATAGATCAGTAGCGTTGGCAGTGTCTACTGTCCTTGCATCGACGTTATGGGGCTTTCTGTACTTGCTAGGACGGATACCTCCGCCGGGGCATAATATTCCGCGAATGGAACCCAGCAAATAGGGTACTAAACGAAGCCTACTGTTGTGTGAAAAGGGGAAAGTCTGGGGGGTTTACAACGTCCGTATTCTACCCGCACATATCCACATGCTCGTTCGAGTATGTTCGATTACACTGGCTGGCATTGCAACTTCTGCGTACGATTGTCAGTATGTGAAGTCAGAAAAATTTCCCCGCAAGGAGCTGCCGTGTGGCTAGGCATTCAAGGTGCTTTGGCATTCATTAGACTTGTTGGCTGGACGCTGTATACTGGTGTCTTATGCCGTTATCCGCTGGATTTCCCTCGTCAATTTCGGCAGAGTTTGACACTCGATCAATTTGAGCTTCGGACGGCATGGTGGAACAGCCTCAAGAAATAATCTATTAGTCGTCCGTTGAGAAGAGGTGGCGATGCGACTTCATCAAACCCTGGTGTAGCATCGGATGTGCTTCAGGTGCCAGCGTCTCTCTTAACGGCTATTTCCGGCCGGAATGGAGGTAGGGAGTACCATTTGTGCTCCCCTCTCCTCGATATCCGGACCGCTTTCGACCTTTACCTGGCCAGTCTATACCGCGAACCAGGTGCCCCTTACAGCGACGATCTACTGGCCTGCCTTGAGACAGGCGAATGTTGGTCATTTCTGCCTGGCTCATTTCGGGAATGGCTTAGTTTCTACACTGATGTCCATAGCATCGAATTCGAGATCGGATATGATATAATACCCTACGATGGACACTACCACCTTTGGCGAGGCCTGTGGTTTGACAAATTCTACGTCCTAGGTATGTTGGGATCATGGCCATGCCTCGAGCGCAAAACATTTTTCTGTACTTTCCCGAACGAGGAGCAGAGCATGAGTTTGGTTCGCATAGCTTACAGGGGAAAAGACGACATAGACTGCCCTGTTCGTCAAGGCGGTGACAGAATCCTTCCCTGGAATGCACTCCTCAAACGGCATATGAGCACCACAAAGAAGGACGTCCCGGAAGGTTTTGACCTCACTCTAAATGACCGAGAAGGCGCGGTGCGAATAGCCTTGGAAGACCTACAAAATATAATGCAGACGTTGCTGGAGGACAAGCCTGCGCCCCTTATCCTGAATTTAGATGCACATCTATGTCGAATCGACGAAATCCACTCGAGAGCATTGATATCCAAGGCATTTGATGCGCTGGAATCAATTGTGATGCGCTTATTACCCCAACGCTATCGAAAAGAGACTTGATATGCAGATATTCTTTGGGGATTTGGCCTTGGAACAGAAAGTTCAATTGCATATTCCACAGGTGCAATGTACGTCAGGTATCAATAATTTGAGCCAATTTTCCTTTAAGGAGCCGCTGTGGTTAATCAACAGCATAAAGCAGTTGCTGTGGGGACAGTAACGAGCTACGATCAAGCCATCTCGACTTAAAGGCATGCTTCAGAACCGTTAAATTCATCCACCCCGGATGCTCTGATTTGAGATATTGAGATCACGAACCTTCAGCCATTGGGATTGCTTCCATGAGCTCAAACCAGACAAGCACCCATTCCATAGAAATGAAACGCTCGCAGACGGTCAGTATACCGAACTGCCCAACACCCACTGCGATCACATATCGCTCTAGCACGGATTGCATTCCATCCTACCATCAAAACTCTTCGGCTGACATCGGAACGCTCCCTCAGGAGGCTTCGCCTCCTGGCCACCACTTGACCGGTTGTTAAATAGGGACGACCTTTCCCAGTGCCAGCTCTCTGGATTTGGTCGCGAACCATGCTCCATCGCCTTAATATGTAAACCATATAGCGAGATGTATAGCCAGTGCCGCCCAGTGAGATCAGACGTTTGAAGTTTATTGAAGCCGCGGGAAATGAACGAGCAATTGACCAACGTGTGGCTGAATCGATAACTGAGTAGACTCAACTGCATCCACAGACGTCACCACTGAGGTGAGGAGACCAAATTTTCGCAGACATTGATGATAGGGTAATTGAAGCGGAACTGGACTTTGAATGTTGTTGATGCTGGCGTCCGTGCGTTTTCGTGAATATATATTGATTTCTCGGTTTAGACCTAATCTAATTTATTGCGTACATTTACAGAACTGCAGGCGACTGGCTAGTTAATATTCCGGTTTCGCTTTGGCCAACTGCCGCCCAAGTAACTACATTGCTATAGGGCCCAGACTCCAAAATAGGTCGTGCCTCGTCCCAATTAGTATTTCGCATTTACTAACCGAGCAGTGTCGCCGAATGAGAATACATCTACATAGGTACAGAGGAGGGCAGTATTGCAGCAACCCTAACCAGAGCTTTGGTCATGTACGGTTAGGCTGGTTGGTAGACGGGGGTAAGAAAGAGTTGGTCGTATATCGAAGGCCGGAAACCAATGACAATGCTCGGAGATATAGACTCACCTGCGTAGCCATAATATAGCTAACGTAACACACCGTGGACTTGCCCTTCTTTGGCATAAGAAATACTTAATCGAAATGAACTTCCCCGTATTCTAGGAATTACCGAAATACGGTGGGCACCTCTAGAACGAGCCTACCCCTATGATGAGCAGACCCATGCTTTCATTTGTACAGCCAGTATAAGAAAAGGGGAGAAACCCAACTTCGGAGAGACAGGAAACCTGTCCCTCGTTCTAGTTCCAAAATCTGCAATACCTGAAATCATGAAGACCACGGCTCTTTCAGTCTCTGGCCTGGTGCCACTTGTTCTTGCTCTCCCTGAGCCCATACCCCAATCGGGGTGGCAGTTGGGTGGATGGAGCCGATGGGGCAACATTGGCAATACCTGGGGGACCAGTGGTTGGAACTGGAACAACGGCGACGATAGTATTGGTGGTCTTTTTGGAGAAAGCGTGGGAACCGCTGTTGGCACCATGATCGGATGCAAAGTGTTTGGAGGACTCGGTTGCCTTGTGGGCGGAAATATCGGAGGCCAGATTGGCGACTCTTTGCTTGGAGACGGCCAGTCGCAGTCGTGTAATAACCGCTGCAACGTCAGCGCCTGCTCGGCCCTTAGCGTACGTTGTGTCCTGGAGCGATCTTGTGTGGGTGAAGAGCAAGCTAACGCCCCCAACAACAGGGCTCGCTTAAGTGCCAGTGCGAGAACACCCTTAAGCTCCAATGTTACGCGCAGGCCGAGTATCGATGCCCTTTCCCCATAGTGAATGTAAGTCAACACTGGTCTTTGTGAGCATCAAAACTTCAGCACTGACAGCCCACCAGACCTGCGGCAGCGAAGGTCCAACGGCCAGCGACAGCGCATTCCCGCCCTGTGGACCGGGCCATGATTCTTGCGACTCCAACAAAATCTGTCAATCGATTCAGGATAGCTGCACTGGAAGCCAATGCCAGGGGGTCTGCATCCCCAAACCACCCACACCACCCACCTCAGGGGGTAGTTCTGGTGGTTCGGAGGCACCTACCGTATATCGGTACTGTCAAGAGGATAGCTCCAACTGTCGATCCGGCGAATACTGTGTCAGGAACCCCAGGAGCCCGTGTGGTGCTCAGTGCGCGCAGTCGTTTGTCTGTGTCGAACCTCGGACGACCTGTGGTGGGTCTGATGGAGTTAGCTGCCCGCGGAACCAGTTCTGTGTTGACGATTCGGAGTATTGCTTCGTGTCGGGTAACGATGATGGCGAGTGCGTTGGAATCTGTGTCTAGGAATAGTCGCTGTCCATGACCACAGAGGCCATCGGATGGGACAGTAGCAGGCCATAAAATGTGATGATTTCTGAGGAACCTCGAAAGTAATGATAATATATATGCTCGAAAATTGACAACATTTTCACACGCAGGAGAATAAAAGGAGCCTCGCGCTCGGCATCGATCAAGATGAAATGGACTTGGAGATAATATCAGGTACATGGACGGAATTGAAGATGCTTTACGACACAGTACTCACAGGTGTGGTGCTATTATATCAATATGCACCAAAATGAATGTCATTTTAGAATATCAAGGCCAGATACCTGTCGTTTTATGATGAAATATGGTTAACTCTGAATGCAGTGCGAAGATTAGGTGACGTTAATGGACTCTGGCTTACCTTGAGGAATCCGTGATCGTCCAGGTCAGGCCGTGAGGCTGGCAGGCTGCAACGGTCTGCAGGTGTGTCATCATCACCAGCCACAGTCAACTACTACCAGCCACAGTCAACTACTACCAGCCACATGTTGATGATCACACTCTGGACTCGGATGACCTGGAATCCTGGAGGATGCATGTGCTCGATGTAAGAACATCCGCTGTGGCCGAAACGACACATCAGGCAGTTGGATTTCCTTTATGACCATTCCCTTTATCTTCTGGACATCCACGTCTACTTTGCTAATACTCGTTTATGAATTGGTGTTCACAAACATCATACATTTGGACAACCGCATCTTGTATCTTACCCCCTTCTAGCCACTACACAGCTTGGCACAACCATAGATTATCGAACAGTTACGGATACTTGTGCTCTGTACCAACTAGGTTCAAATTTTTGAACCATGGCGAGCCCGGCCAGAAATGGACGGCGTCCAAGTGCCGTCCCTACTCCGTCGGCACCCTCAGTCATCATGAATGGCCATTTCGCATCCAACGAGGCGGCGACGCCGGAGCAGTACGAGCATGGCGTCCAAGTGATAGACGAGGACAAAACTTTCAAGTATGTAATCGCCGCGAAGCGAGGACACGGCGGATTGTGCTAATTGAGTCCCCCAGCTCGAAACTTGGAACATACCTTGCCATCGAAAACATCATACCAGCTGGATTCAACTACCATTTGATATCTGTCTTTGGTTCACAATCGACTGGCAAATCGACGTTGCTCAACCACTTGTTTGGCACCCAGTTTGGGGTGATGTCAGAGGAGGAACGGAAGCAGACAACGAAGGGTATTTGGCTATCGAAGAATAAGAAAGATGGTGCAAAGGACAACTCAAACCAACGATCCATGGCAGAGAATATCCTCGTCATGGATGTCGAAGGGACCGATGGTAGAGAACGAGGCGAAGATCAAGACTTTGAGCGGAAAGCCGCCCTTTTTGCTTTGGCTACCAGCGAGGTGCTGATTGTCAACATATGGGAACACCAGGTCGGGCTTTATCAAGGTGCAAACATGGGGCTGTTGAAGACCGTGTTCGAAGTCAATCTTCAGTTGTTTGTTAAGGATAGAGAGTGAGTACCCGGTGCCTTTCAAACGGTTGTTGCTAACTCTCTGGCAGATCCATACCCCGATCGCTGCTATTCTTCGTCATCCGCGACCATTTAGGACACACACCCCTTGCCAACCTTCGAAACACCCTCCTACAAGACCTGTCGCGATTATGGTCAACCATCAACAAACCACCAGGTCTCGAAATTTCTACCATCGATGACTACTTCGACTTCGCCTTCGTCGCACTGCCCCACAAGATCCTCCAACCCGATGCTTTCGTAGCTTCGATCGACAAGCTAGGAAAGCGATTCAAGGAGGGCTATAAGGATCCCAATAAATCCCAGCCTAAATTTCTGGAGAACGAAGATGAACCGATTCTATTACCGCAGTACCACCGACGCATTCCCGCCGACGGATTTCCGATATATGCGCAAAGCGTATGGGATCAGATCAACAGCAATAAGGATCTCGACCTACCCACGCAGCAGGAGTTACTCGCGCAGTTCCGCTGCGATGAGATTTCACGCGAGGTGCTCGAGGAGTTCGACGAGGTGATCATGCCGTTTGAACGGAAACAGGCCGAAGGAGCGCGTGTCGGGACGCCTGTCGTCGTCTCGGATCTGGGCAAGGGGATCAACAAGGCCCGCGCCACCACCATCGCAAGCTTCACCGAGAAGGCCAGCCGGTACCACAAGGGCGTCTTCGCGCGCAAGACGGTGGAGTTGGAAGACAAGATCGACTCGCGCCTGAAAGTGTTGGTAAAAGGACAATTGGACGCCGCGCATCGAGACTCTATCCGCGGCTTTAGCGAGGGCGTCAGCCAAGAAGTCAAGCTCAATCAGAAGAAAGGCGGCGTGTATGACTTTGCGGAGATCGTTGACAATAAGAAGCAAGCGGCGCTTGAATTGTTCGTGTCCGTCGCGACGGCGACGGCCATCGAGGGCGCTGACTGGAGTTCGTTCGATGAGGAACTGGTGCTGTTGAAAAAAGAGCTGGACGACGCTAGCAAGCGGCTCAGGGGCGAGGAGATGCGCCGACTGGCGACTCGGGTCGAGCGATGGGTTAAGTCACGAGTTGGAGAAGCTGTGGGGCTGGAGTTCAATAAATTGGGCTCCGGACGCGGTGGCTCCGGCGCACCGGCTGAGGGTGAGAAGCCGGCGGATGAGCGGGACTTGTGGGATCGGGTGTGGAAGACGTTCGTCGACATCGTCGCGCACGCGGAGTCCCGGTTCAGCGACCGCGCCAAGAGTTTCGACGCCAGCCCGGAAGAAGTGGAGGTCGGGCTGTGGCGATTGCGAAGGAAATCGTGGGGCGTATTGCAGGACAAGATCGAGGAAGAGCTGATGGAGGGTAATCTACTCTTGAAACTGCGCGAAAACTTCGAGGACAAGTTCCGGTACGACGACGAGGGCGTACCGCGCATCTGGCGGCCGACGGACGATATCGAAGGGCTGTATACCCGCGCCCGCGAGTCGACGCTTACGCTCATCCCGCTACTCGCGCGCTTTAAACTGCTCGCGACGAACTCGCCGCCACCGCTAGAAGAGTGGATCGGGAACGCACCGCAGGCGATGACGCCAGCGGACGAAGAGGACCTCGCTCCGATTGGCGGGGTGGATGAGGAGGAAGGCACGAGTCTGGAGGAAGAGATGACTGTGTTGAGCGATGTGAAGATTCAAGATCTGACGGTGCGGTTTAAGAAGACGGCGGATGGAGTGTATGTGGAGGCGAAGCGAAGTGCCATTGGAGGGATTACTCAGGTGCCATTGTATTTCTATGGGATTTTGCTGGCGCTGGGTTGGAACGAGATCGTTGCTGGTATGTCGCTCTTCGAGATGATTCTCTACTCACCCGCTAACCTTTCTCTAGTGCTACGAAACCCTGCCCTGTTCATCCTCCTAATCCTCTCCATAGTCGGCGCATACGTTACCTACACCCTCAACCTCTGGGGCCCTATGATCCGCATGACCAACGCTGCTTCACAGCAAGCCCTCGAGATCGGCAAGGAGAAATTGCGGGAGTTCCTCGAGCAGTCGGACGCGGGGAGGCAGGCGATGGCCATGAGTGGCGAATCCCGACGAAAAGATGCGGATAACATCAGCTTGGATACGTTGAATAGCCAGGGCAGGAGGGCCAATGATGACGATGACGATATTTGAACATCATGCATAGCGTTGATACTGTCGTTGTCTAGCATTTGTATATTGAGTTAATGCTCACCGAGGCGCGTTATATCTGGGCCATTTGCGGTTCTTCCCTTCATGTTGTCGTGAAGTGCTCTATCTTGTCACCGTCGCGTCCAGTACTATCCTTTTGCTTGATTTGTGATCGCCTCTGACGATGCTTGAACCACCGCGACATCCATGATCCTCCACCATCGAACTCCAAATCAAATGGACACTAATTCACGCCAGCTATAATAGGGTGTTGTGTTTAACTATGAGCGTGTCCTATCACATTTAAAGGCAGTATATATTTACGCCTGGCAACTTGAACTCTCAGTGGAAATGGTCATGTTGGTTTAACGACTGATGCGGATCAAGTACAGCTGAAAAAATGATACCAGTCCTACGGAACAGACACCTGAGGCCTGCGAGATGGTTGACTTTCTTTGCGTACCCAAGAAGGTGGGGCAAGTTTTTGTTGTTTTGATGGACATACAACTTACTGGTGTCGGGTTGCAAAAGGTACATCGAGTGTTTATGTAAACTAATATCCGTACTTACAAGGCCACGATTTCGAACTCCGCTTGCGGCAATTCTTTTTGACATACAAGTCCCAGCGCTTTCTTAGATTTGGATGGATTTATCACGCAAGAACTATTCGTAATTATGGCATATGTGCTATATTTGCAAGAAGCGCGCGATAAGCCGCGAATTAACTTGATATCATTTACGTCCGAATACCACCAAGCTTCCCTTAGTCTGTTTATATCTGTATCCAGCGGATCATAGTTGAGATCTGGCTACGCGGAGTTTGGGTCCTTCCTATTCTCCAGCTGGCGTTCCAGGTAGGACAGGTATGCGGGATAAAACTCCTTCATCGGACGGAGTGATTGTGGGAGATGAATATAGCGGTACTTTACTAAGTCAGTACTGATCAGTTTGTCCAATGAAGCTCTGTGGTCACTTTAGTATATTTGGTTGCCTCTAAAAGGACTCTGGCCCTCAAAAGGACTCGAGCAGCTAGAATTCAACAGAAATTATACCGATGCATCCGCTCTTTGTATGATTTCATCTGCTTGTTCAAATCTAGAGTAGAGCTTCAGTCATTTTTACGACCCATGGAATGGGTGTAGGACAGGAGAAATAGAAGGTTGTTTACCAAACAGTCAGCCAACGTCTTCAAATAACCGAGAAGGCCTCGACTTTGACATGAAGATCGTATCAGATTGGAATTGACACGCCTGTGGTATATATACTTGCTTAAACCACGTGAATATTTCATCTCTATAGTGTCCTCGTGCGAGGAAAGGATCTCAGCATCAGCACCCGTCTCTGTAAACCCCTGATAACTCGCACTGAAACCTCCCACTCACATGTTCCTCGAAAAACCAACAAAACTCACACTACCAGGCGCAAACACGCCTTTGATAATCTGACCATAATTCGACCAGAAACATGCACCCTCTCAAATCCTCCTTTAGAAAGGGCTGCGTCACCGACCTAGGTGACGAGGACGAGCGCCCCGTCATGGAGCTGGCGCGTTTTGTCGAAATGTTTAACAACTAAGAAATTGACTGGAAACTAACAAAGCTCAACCTGGGATGGTCGCCTTTACCTAGAACTGGTGGAAAAGCTGTTATTGGTTCTACTTCTAAGTTCGGTGGCGGAAAGGTCTTGTCCAAATATCGGCCGGGAGCAGATCACTCAGTGGGATCGGTGATGCGTTCAAGGGTAGGAGATACGTCGATGATAACCTTGGATGGGGATTCGTCTCCACTGCCTGGTTTGGCCGAGATACCCAGTAAATCTGATGCCGCGGATTCCTTCGGCTCAGTGAAAGACATGGTTGACTAGCACTGTCCAGGGAGGGCCGACATGTCGCACTCAAGTTCCTATCGACCGACCATTCTGCCGGGTGGACCAAGTCCAGTGAGGTGAAGATCATGCAACATCTCAACTGAATTGAACCGGAAGGATAGATGCCAGATAGCGACCGCATTGTCCACTTGCGGGATCATTTCCAGTACCAAGGGCAGATCGGGGAAATAGAGATGCTTGGTGTTCAACAGTATGGGTTAATCATTGGTGACGTATCGTACGCGATTCGAAAGACATAAATTCCGCTTCCGATCCTCAAAGGGATTGTGAAGGAGATGTTGCTTGCATTGAGCTTCCTTCATGATTCTGGACAGGTTATCCGTGAGGGGTCAGTTTTCTAGGTGATCGAAGTGGGGAATTCGCTGACTGATGTGGACGCTAGTTGTAGATATCACAACTATCGAATGTCCTCATTGAGACTGTTATTGAGACTATTTCGACGAAGCTCGTCGTAGAGAATGATCTGCCTGGGATGTTAGAGAAGGTTAAAGGCCCTCCATCCCTCGGCCAATCCATCAAGGAGATTGAGCGATGTGCTTTGGTCCGGGAGGATACGGAGCCGAAGTCAGTGTCAGTGAGGTTGGGAAACTTTGGATCCGGTGAGTGGTTAACCTCCCGTTCACAGAGCCATTGACATGTATTTTAGCGAGATTCTTTGATACCCCCGCTGCGGACTGCATCCCACCGGACTGGCAACGCGCTCCGGAGGTGCTTTTGGGCGCCAAATGGGATCATAAGGCTGATATCCAGAACGTTGGTGTCTTGGTAACCCGAACAGTTCCATGAGAAGGGCGATGCTGACTTTTGCCTTTGAGGCTTGGGAACTGGCAATGGGTCGGCCCATATTCAAACCTTCAGACACACTCCAACCAGGGTATAGTCTTCAGGGCCATCTACGCATTATGCGACAATTGCGTGGTCCAATGCCGAAAGCTCCTTTGCGGCGATCTCTATACAGATCCAAATATTACGACTCGGAAGGGAAGCCCAGTGTTGACGAATTTCGTTGGATCATGACTGACTCCTCATGGGTTTTACTCCGGACAACCCATCCATCCAAGAAAGAGTGGCTTCTGCTACCGTGGATGAAGAGACGGATAGATAGGAACGCGAAAATAGGATGCGATTCCTTGGTCTCATCTAGGTCATGCTCACTTTGGATCTGGCGAAGAGACCTGATGCATGAGAGTTGCTGCAGCACGAATGGCTGCAAGACGCCGCAACAGCAGATGGTGCCGAGGATTAGGAAACCAGTGACGGGATTCCTTGCCCATCACGATTATGATACTCTTTTTAAGACAGCGGGTCAACAGATATTGAAAGAATTTCACACCAGGACGAATTGGGTGGTGGAATGATAAAGGGAGGAGTTGTGCACTGTCGTGATGACATCAAGCAAGCACGAAGTCCATCAAACTTTGCAGCACGATATGTACCTAAACGTCGTATCCCCCAGACGACAGCCAATGACATCGTGCTTAAAACCGATTTCAAGTCATTTGAGTGCAAAGAACTTAAAGAAAGTGGGGTATTTAGGGAGCATTTTTCGCTGCTACCGACCAGACCCTGGGCGAGATATCAAACTCCCCCCTATGATCCCCCAATGCCCCGGAGTTTCTGAGCGATATGCATGAGAGAACCTTGTCTTTCCATGACGATTTGCGAAAAAAGACCTTCTCGTTATCAGCTATTCTAGTGATTGTCGGTGATCCTTAGGCTTGAAACTTCTGGTGTAGCAACGAAGGTTCACGACGGAACCACAGACACTATTACCGCGTGCTTAAAATTTTCACGGGTTGATCCTCCCCGCTTCTTAGCTCTGATTACCCCAATTGAGTCTCCAGTGCACGTAATAATTAGCCGTTACTCCACCTTGGTCGGAGCTACCGCTAGAGGTCTCTAGATACGGATATCTCCAATCTCTTCATCACCGTTGGCTTGGGGAGCTAGAGCTAGGGACAGTCTGCGAGAGTTTGACAGCAAAGAACTCGAACAGGAGGACAATTTCTTCCAAGGAACGGATTTGTCAGAGATCATATACCTTTACTCCGTACTCTCCAAAGCTATCCACGTGGTGATTGCTTTGTCGAGGTACCTTGCTTCTTCAGCTCTATTCAGAGTATTCGCTGAGTGGCGCAATCCTCAGCCCTGTCCCGACCCGGACCCATTGCAGCAATAAGCAATTCATCCTGCCGATTCTTTTCGTCCGCACAGAAATTCAACAAAGTCGATATCCGACGGCACGAAGCTCGATACCCAATACCATTCGCTCTTTATTCCGCATACATCACCTTGGAAACCCATCCTCCGCCGTTGTTGCCTCGACCCGCGCCTTCAATCCCGACCTAGTTACCCCGCGAGGGGAACAAGCGAATATGGCGAGCGCCCATGACGGCGCTGAAAATGTGGAGGGAGGGTTGAAGTTGGCGAATCGCGCCGCGGAGAGCAATAGTCAATACATCCAGAGCCATAAGAATGATCTGGTGGCATGGCAGCTTTGGGATGCGAAGACATTGGAGCTGGTGCGAACAAGCGGACGACTTGTGTTCCTTAGTATTGGATATGCGTCATGTCATTGTACGTGCTCACTCCGGCGAATAATTCGACAATAGTACCTTTACTGACTATCTCTTCCATTCAGGGTGCCATGTCATGGCTGCCGAAACCTTCAGCGACCCCCCAACCGTCAACATCCTCAACGACTCGTTCATCCCTATTATCGTCGACCGTGACGACCGCCCCGACCTCGATCGCATCTACATGAACTACGTGCAAGCAACCACTGCGACCGGAGGCTGGCCGCTCAACGTGTTCCTCACCCCCAGCCTTGCGCCGATCTTTGGGGGCACTTATTTCCCTCCCCGTCGGGCCGGCGCAGGCGGTCGCAGCGGCACATCCGCCCCCTCCGGCACCGCGAGACACGCCGGCAAGTTCCAGCGACCCGATCCGACCGACACCGGGAACACCGGTGCCGCCAGCGGCGCGGTGGCGCCGCCGACCTTTGTCGCGATCCTCCAGCACCTCAAAACCGTCTGGGATGCCGACCGCGCAGGCTGCGAAGCGACGGCGCGGCACATCGTCAAGCAGCTGAGCGACTTCGCGGCCGAGGGCATGATCTCGCGGGAGGGGCGGCGCGAGTCGTTCATCAATCTGCAGGCGCTGAACAAGAGCGATCGATCAGATTCGACAAACACGAACACGGGGAGCGCGAGCGGGGCGTCTGCGACGGAGACGGTGTCGGGACAGGAGAAGATTGAGTTTCTGCCGCTGACGCATGCGCCACCGCCGGAGCAGTTCGTGGAGTTCGAGGACGATCCGGCGCAGATGCTTGAGCTCGATTTGCTGGACGAGGCGTATGAGCACTTCTTGGGCCGCTTCGACAATGCGTTCGGCGGGTTTGGCACGAATCCGAAGTTTCCCACCCCGATCAATCTGCAGTTCTTGCTACGGCTGGGTGTCTGGTCGGAGCCGGTACAAGATTTGGTCGGCGAGGCTGGGGTCACCAGAGCGCGGGCTATGGCGCTGCAGACACTGGATGCGTTGAGTTTGTCGGCGCTGTGCGATCAGTTGGAGGGAGGGTTCCATCGATACAGCGTGAGTCGTGATTGGAACGTGCCACATTTTGAGAAGATGTTGTATGATCAGGCGCTGCTGTTGTCAACATACACGGATGCGTGGGTGTTGACAAAAGAGGCGAGATATCTCGACGCGGTCAAGGGGTTGGCCGCGTATCTGCTTGAGGGGCCGCTAGTGGCGAAAGAGGAAGCCGTCGCAGGAGCGTTCTACTCGGCGGAGGACGCAGACTCGGCAGCACATCCCACCGAACAGGCGAAGCGGGAGGGAGCGTTCTATCTATGGGGCAAATGGGAGCTGAACAAGGTTTTCGGAGAGGATAGCCGGGATGCGGAGATATTGGCACGCCATTTTGGCGTTGTCGATGCGGGCAATATCCCAGAAGAATTCGACAGCGAGGAAGAGTTCCGCGACCTGAACGTCTTGGCAGTCAAGGTCCCCGCGACGAAGCTCGCAGAGGAGTTTAGCGTATCGGAAGAGGAAGTACAGAAATTGATCACGGAGGGCAAGGAGAAATTACGGGTGTATCGCAGTGAACGAGGAAGGCCGGACGTCGACAAGAAGGTCGTAGCCGGATGGAATGGTTTGGCGATCGGAGCCTTAGCGAGGGCATCGCGAGCCATTGATGCTTCCGATTCCGTGCCAGACTTGGCCGCGAAGTTACAGCAAGCAGCAATCAAGGCGACGAACGTCCTCAAACAATCTTTGGTAGACGACAGCGGTCGGTTGTATAGAAGCTGGGGCGACGGACGACGAGGCGATGCGGAAGGATTCGCGGAGGACTATACTTACTTGATCTGGGGATCGATCGAGTTGCACCAGACGACCGGCGACGCCGGGATACTTGAGTGGGCGACTGACCTGATGGGTATGTGCTATCCACCGAACCATGCTAACCGACCGCTAACATCGATCCAGAAACCTACATCTCCCTCTTCCACGACACCCACCACGAAGGCTTCTTCGCCACCTCTGCCCCCTCTTCCGCCCCCGACCCCTCTTCCCTCTTCCACCCCTCCTACCTCACGTCCACCTTTCCCACCACCTCCACCCCCACCCCTTCCTCCCCAACCTACGCCCCTGACGCCTCTCCCTCCCGCCACGCCTCCCTCACCGAACCCCCCTCCCTCACCCGCACCCCCACCGCCCCCTCCTCCGAGCTCATCCTCCGTCTTAAAGACGGTATGGATACCGCCGAGCCCTCCGCTAACGGCATGACCGCGCAAAACCTCTTCCGCCTCTCCGCGCTGCTGACCCGCGTGTCCGCCCGCCGCGGCTCCACGCACGACCCCGCGCCGTCCACCCACGCGCAGCAATCCAACCGGTACGACCGGCTGGCGAAGCGCACGCTGCTGGCGTTCGAGGCGGAGGCGATGCAGCATCCGGGGTTGTTTGCGTCGTTGTTGGAGGCGGTGGTGATGGCGCGGGAGGGGGTGGGGAGGCTGAGTGTGGTAGGGGAGGGTGAGGGGGTGCAGAGGGAGGTGAGGAGGTGTTGGGCGAATCGGAATGTTATGGTGGGGGATTGTTGGGTTGTGGAGAGGGTGGGGAAGGAGGTGGAGGGGGGAGTGAGGGTGGAGGTGTGTGAGGCGGCGGGGAAGAGATGTAGGGTTGTTGGGGTGGAGGAGGTGGAGAGGTTGAAGTGATGGTACTGGTACCGTATGGATTTGATCTGCCCGGAAGTATGGCATGTTTACTTCTTTTCGGCGTTTTTAAGTGGCTTTGATCGGCGTATTGGGACGATTGCATGGAGAGGACATTATCATGAGTGGACCGAGTTTATAATGCTCGTCGCTCAGTAGTAACGAAATATAGACATGTAATTCACGCATATAGGCAATCTCGAGTTATTTTACCAGTTTGCTCACAGAATAGTCTATTGACGAGAGTTTACGTCTAGACATGACTAGTGCAGCCCTGTTAGATGAGAGATGCCGTAGTCCTCCTGTCCTGTCCCGGTATGGCAAGTTCACCACTGTCACGCCCTTCAATCGATACATGTAGTTAAAGGCAAGTAAGTTACAAAAGTCAGCCTATCAATATCTCTTATAAGCTTGACAAAAATTCAATTCATTTGACCTATTGAAATTACCTTGAGTGAATAGTAGTAACCCCTTTTCATGGTGAGATCTATTCCTCCTAGCTACTTCCATCATCTTGCTTATTCCTGAACGCCGATCGGAACTAGCCGAAACTCTAACCCAACTCCACACCTTGACTGATAACTTGCCTTACCTGCCTTCATTATTCTGTTCTCTCCGCTAGATAGAATTGTCGAACCATTTCAATTTCGCTCGATTTTATGGTCAGACAGATATCATACCCAGCGGCTTCGCAAGTGTAATTTTGGTGATGGATTGGTGTTAGGTTTCGGACTCGTATGCCTACAAGCTTCTCGAGAGGTGGATGGCGCCGCGGCTAGATGTGTCACGGAGCGATACTGCAAACAACCTAAAGAGCAAGGGCCACGTGACTGGGTTTCTTCCATGTGGATTCATAGTCTAGCTTTCTAGGCTACACCTCCGATATTCGAGATCTTAGAAGGCTGATAGATAATCGCGCAAGCCCAACTGGGTTTCCCTTAGGGACTACGACCGGGAGAGATCGATTCAGGACGCAAACATCACTCAAATCACGTCAGGGTAAGAGGTTATTTCGGCAGAGTTCTTGCTTCGATTCTCGAATATCCACAGTCTGGTATGGTGCTCATCTGCAACTATAGCAACAACACGAGAAACAAGAAGATAAAGCAGGCCTATATCGAGATTGGTGGTGGTGCAAGTCTTTCGATGATGGCGCACGCATGGAGGTCTAATGGCCATGTGCAGGGTAATGTAAGGGGATGTAGAGAGAACGAGGGAGGGTACAGTGTGTGAGGGTAGTCAAAACAGAAAACGGCGGCATGGTTAGATGGTGGATGGTAGTACGAAAGGAACAAGGATTCGGTACAGGAAACACGCAGCGGGAGTAAGTCAAAAAAGCAGAGCTAGGCGCGAAGTGAATATGCGAGGGAAACATCGAACAGCATGCGTGAGTGGATGGGAGAACTGTACACTGCAGCGCTATGAGGGGTAGGCCATGCAACGCGAAACGAACACTAACGACACATGCTATACATGGCGGCTCGTGCTGCAGGGGTGGGGGGAAAGGTGTATGGGGCTACGTATGATTATCCTGCCCGGATGGGGAAGAATCAGTAGTTGTAGTCCCAGTGCACGACAGGATGGCCCTGGGGGCGGTTGACCATCTTGTTGAACTGGCCGGGGAAGTTGCCTGTTTTGTGGTGTCAGCCAACAGGCGTATGCCTTTGAGGACGGGGAAATCAAAGAGAAGACTTACCAGACGTCTTGTAGTTGCACACGGTGAAGTACGGCGAGCACTCCTTGCTGACGTTCTCTAGACCAGCGATCCCCTTGCCAGAGAATCGACAATCGTACGTGGCGCAGCCGACGTGCGTGGTATCGGCCCAGACGATCTGTGTAAAGTGGCCCCAGCCGATGAACGCGTCGTGGTCGTTGATATCGCCGGGTGTCTCCCAGCCATACCACTTCTCGAAGTTCATCATCTCGTGGTTATAGAAGATTTCCGTGAGGATGGCGGTGATGTTGGTCTCCTCGGCGCCAGCGGCGATGTTCTGACCGTAGCCACCGCCATCCATCTCACTAGGAGACATTAGTATTGGTTGGTTGGTTTGTTTACTTATGGCTACTGAAAGTAAACTTACACGTCGTGGGCATAAACGCAGGTCTTAGCGGTCTTCAGTGCGGTGTCGGCGAGGCCCTGGTCCCAGTGGATGTCGGCAACGGAATGATTGCGGCGATGGACGTTGTGATGATCAATCACATGGCGCTGATATCTAGGGACTTCTGGCGCGGCAGCAGGTGTGTCCACGGGTTCCTCCGGTTTCGGCTCAGGAACAGGTTCTGGTTGAATCCTTCCGCCCTCGCGACCTTTTCCAGGCCAAATCCAAGGCTCTTCATCCTCCTTCCCCTTCTGAGTGGATTCGGGAATGGGCTCGGGAGTGGATTCCTGGCCAGCAACGACAGTCGTAGTAACGACCACCACATCCCACTGAGTGACGACGGCGCGCTCCATGGCGGGGCTGGCAGCAGCCATGCCCATCAGGCCAGCAAGAAGAATGATGGCAACACGCATGGTTACAGGAGGTTACCGGAACCGGATTCGTTGAATCTAGGAAGGATACAAGAGCTAAGGAGTGTTCGTCCGGCCGTGAATCGCAGATCACGGAATGAGGATGGCTTAAGGATAGTTAGCATGAGGAGGGTATCTAATGTAAAGCTATATAGCAGTTTTGAAATGAGGGTGTGAAGTTGCTAGAGTGATTGGGAGGGTTAAGGAATGGAAAAAGTTGGGTTGTGATGTTTGGATGTAAAGAGAAGTGAGCGGTCAGGGAACCGGTGCTGATGATAGATGTGATGATGCTACTGCGCAGAATGTTAAAGAAAGCAAAACAAACATGACCTGTACCCAAATTGGAGAGAGGTGGAGGTTATCATGCTCCAGAAATGAGTTTGTTTGAGGGTATGTGCTCGAAACCATTCACGCTGCAAACACACCCCGTGAATCGAGCAAAGGGATAAGGGGACACTCACCTGAAGGATAAGAGGTTCCTCACGGAGGGTTTAGCAAGCCTTTATCAAATCGACAGATCTTACAGGCAGAGGGTGCGACTAGGGCGCAACAACGACTGAATCAGTGGGATGATTCCAGGTAAGGAAACGACCGTGGATGGGCGCCGTTTTGAAGACAACGAAACGGCCAGATCTGGAATCCAAAGAGGCGACGATGTGTTGAAGCCAGCGAGACCCTGTGAGCCCAAAGCCCGGACGGAGATGAGGGTTGAGTCAATGTGTGCAAAGGAGTGAGCACACAACAAAGATCTCGGAGCAAGGAGACAGCCAGATCCACACCCACACACCCACACCCACTGATCGCACAAAGGGATTTCTTGAAGTTGGTGTCAAGAATGTCCGGATGAAAGAGCGAGGGAAGAATTGAGGCAGGGCTAAAAGAGAGGATGCTCTATAATGAATGCGTGGCGTCTAGTCCGATGCTTGAAGATGGTGCCTCTTAACTGAGGTCAGTGGTGGTGCAAATGAAGGCGGCGGAATAATTCCCTGCTCCGGACATCCGATCAGTCCGTACGGTAGGGGAGTCAGAGTGAATGATAACTCGCCTTTGCTCGACTTCAATTGGGAAGAGAAAGGAAGGGATGTATAGACTTGAAACGAGTGAAGAAAACGAGCGAGAAACAATGGAAGAAAGGATGCCAACAGCCGGATGGAGGATTTGGAGAGATTGGGCGTTGGCACAAGGAGTTGAGACTTGAAGGGAACGAAGTCAGGGAGTCAAGTCACTTGTTTCGAGGCGGCTGGTTGGCTGTAGGGAAGGAGCGGGTGAAACGTACAATTTCCGTTTCTGTGCACAACTCTACCCGGCGCTTATTCGTTGAAGTTCGAATTATCCAATTTATATTCGCGATTCGGACATTATTAAATATCGGTTATATAACTACATGAGGATCATGTTTTGGTGTTGTGGATGTATTGGTACAGGTAATTGTCGTGGTTTCAGAATGTCCCATTGTATCGTGCTGCGATCATTGTATGCGACATTCCTGGAGTGCGTCGACACTTCGACAGCATATCATACCAGAAGTTACCGTACCTCGTTTGGTCTCTCCAGTTCCCGTTCCTTACCTCTATCTCGACCACCGGCTCTGCTTATACCATCCGTTCCTCTTCCTCGATGCCATTGTCACCCAAAGCCAGAACACACAAGGCTCAGTGTCCTGACTCCTGTCCTGAACCTCGCGCTCGGTCACGTCCCTGGTCCTGCGGCGAAACCTCTGCCCGTTGCTCCTGTACGACATCCCCCAACCCTCAAAGAAATTTGACATCTGCTGCTTTCTGGCTTGCAATTTTGTGAAAAATCTTCCTTTTTCCCAAGCGGTCCCTATACATAGTCGCATGCGGTGGAAAGCCAGCAACAGAGAGGGGTCCGGACCACCGCGGTCGGACCGTGGAGAAACGACAGCAACGTGTTCGGGTTGGAGGACGCCTTAACAGACCGGAATTGGAATGTCTTAGAAGTTGGAATTGGAGAAATGCGTGGTGGGGGTCAGATGGATTCGGTCCTGCAACGGTTTAGTTTGAGGAAGAGACGGCGAATCTCTCTTAAACCAGTAAACAACTAACCAAACAGAAAGACGCAAATGAGAGAAACACGTTCTCATTTCCAACGCCGTGGCTGTGGCCCGGGATTGATGATACGGGTAGGTGGTAGTGACGAAGTCGTCATCTGGGAGATAGGATCAAAGGAACACCATCGCACAATCGTTTCATACCATGTAGTCCGATCTTTAATTATGTTCAAATGGCCCCAGCAGTGCTTGAATTTAAATGTCGATCTCCTGTGATGAAGAGTTCGGGGAACGTCGCATGTGCTAACCATGGGTGACTCAATTCCCAAGTAGAATAACTATATTTATAGTTTAAAGTTTTATTTAATGATACATACGGCCACATCAACCTGAATATAGGGCATCCCGTCCGCTCTGCCGTACTCAAGCAGGTTAGAGATGGAATAGTACTACGGTGGGTGACCACGTGGGAACTCCCATTGCTGTATGTTTTTGTTTTTGTTTTGTTGAATTTTGCAGATTGCTAGGTTGATAGTGAAAAGTTTCAATTACTACTGCATACGGCCATATCAACCTGAATATAGGGCATCCCGTCCGCTCTGCCGTACTCAAGCAGGTTAGAGATGGGATAACTAGTACTAATTTATAATTACGGTGGGTGACCACGTGGGAACTCTCTCGCTGTAGTACTATCCTGCTTGCCTGCCATTGGCCGGGCATGTTACCATACATTCTTAGTCAGTGAAGGATATGTCGTTAGTTAGTTGAAGGGGGATTAGATTGTTAGTTTATGTTTTGCGCCCCTGGCAATCCCAAGATAGAGAGGAAAGATCGACCGCCACAAGATCCTTCCAAATTCAACCACAGGATTGCAATAATCACATCGATTCTCTGTTATTCTCGAGCCTCGGAAGGAAGCAACAAGTTTCCCTGCGTATTTGGTGCCTTTCTACATTACAATGGCGTCAAACGACGTGTCCTCGATCTTCTTCACCAGTTTGGGGTTTGTGAAGGCTATAAGGGAGTCTATAGGCATCTCCAAACTGTGGCAGAACAAGCAAAGGCATCCTCACCCTCTCTCGGAATGGACATCGACTAACCGTGCGTAGGGGACGGTCCGTCGATATGGCCAGCTTCTGGACGCCTGTGTTGACTACGACAATTTCGACTATCGGGAAGCCGGGAATGTGTCAAGTACTAGCTCATTTCAAACCATGCAGAAATGCGCTCTGTGACAACGGGGAAAGTTTTCAGAGGCGCCGACATTCCCCCAGGTGGATTGAGGAAGTCGATGCTGCACCGCGAGGTTCCACTTTCATTAGAGGACCTTTTCTACTCTCCCGGCGCCGCCATATACGACGAGACTGCCTCCAAGGTTGACAGCTACTTCATAGCGGAGGCGATTCGGACGGCATAGGAGATGTGACTACATCGCGTGCCCAATGATACTACGGACGCGTCAATCCCGACATAGGAAAGCTTTATATGGTATTTGTAGACGTTTCACTGACCTTGGGTAGTATTTCTCTAGGCACTCTCCATGCCCCTTTAGCCTTAAGCGTGGGAACAGTGGTTGGTTGACGATTCTGACGCGGTCTGGTTTCTAACATATCAGGGTTTTTCACAAGACACAAGCATCGGGAGTGGAAAAAGCTTCAATTTCCAGATAAAGTATACCTTGCTGCACAGCCCAGTGAATTTGAGGGCAAATACAATAAGTCCTCGTGTTGTTATTGAAGAATATGCAAAAGTGAGATTTTCCAAAATCGTGAAAAACACATTCAAATCATCGAACAGTCAGCAAGCGTCATTGATAGGATCCTCAGGCTATTTGCTCGAGGACTAGTCCAAGTAACGTGACCAGGCTGGAGACTTAATTCTTACCTCAGGCTCTCAGGCCCTTCAGTGGGACGCAAAGGCGCTAACCCAAAATGGGTCACCCACACGAAGGGCCTGAGCCAAATTTGAAATTTTTTGGTGGCGTTGACGTTCGTGGCATGCAAATTGGTGAGCATTCAGGTCAACATCATCAGCTTCATGGAATGATTCTACGCGCAATATAGACCAATTCTATCTCAAAAATTTGGAATTCGGAGCTATAGATCCCAGCTATCGACCATTCTGCTACACAAACTACCGCGCCCCCCTGATCGCGAGTCCTTGCCTTCGATGTTGGAGGCGGTAACAATGAAGATGGAGCAGATGCGCCATCTTCTGCTACAGTCGAAGAAGAAGTCCTGCAAATAGCCTGAGCTTGCTGAGGTAACAGAGAAGATGGTTGATATCCAACACAGACATGATGACCTGTCTTAGTTCTAGGACGAGAACGCGCAACATTTGGTACCTGTGGGGTTCCTGCGCTGTGTATGCAGTTGAAGAAAGCTTCAAACGACGTGCCCATTGGCTGGGTTCGCAACATTTCGTCTTCGTCGCATCCAGAAGTCTACCTTTCTCTATACCTCCCACGCTCAGCATGAACTTGAAATGTTGTACAATATAGGCATCTGGAAGTGGGTTTGGTTGGATTAACGGAAAGTTTACTCGGTCCTAGAAGTGGTAACATCCACTCATTTAATTGCTGCCATTTACGTGGCTCACGTTTGCAATTCTCTTTGAAGCGGAAAATAATGCTCGGTCATCGCTGACGTCAGGGTGATGTGACGGCCGTGGGACACCCAAGAACATCGACGGCATTAAGGCGCCTATAAAACCGAAGTATTAGCTGCAGGCCATATAGAGCATATTGCAAACACCCTCCTCGCTCAATTGAATTCCATCTCTCATCTCTCAATTTAGTCAATTAACGCCGCATTCTTATTTAAACTCATATCGAACCTCGACTGAAATACTGCAAATGGCTGAAAGTCAGTTTGAAAAAGGTAAGTGCAACTTACAAGGACCAGTATAGGTTAGTATCTGTAGACCACCCTTTAACTTGCCATAGGTCATCAAATCCCTCCCCATAATCAGGAGAGACCTGGAAAACAGAAAGACATGCAGGATCCGAAGCCTGTATCTACCCAGCTACCGACAGAGGATGGTGACTATCAGAAGTACAAAGCCGCTGGAAAGCTAGAGGGCAAAAAGGCAATCATCACCGGTGGGGACTCTGGCATCGGCCGTGCTATTGCCATCCTCTTTGCCATGGAGGGAGCCGACTCGTTGATTGTCGAACTTCCCGACGAAGAGGAAGACGCCCAGGAGACAAAGAAGCGGGTGGAAGAGCATGGCCGCAAGTGCTATTTGCTCGCGACTGACATTAAGGAGAAAGAAAACTGTAAGAAGATCATTGATACTGCGTTGGACAAGCTTGGTGGTGTGAATATTCTGGTCAACAATGCTGGTACCCAGATTCAAGTTGAGAAGATCAAGGATCTGACCGAGTAAGTCCATCATTTCATGTAGAATGTGATAAGTGACTGATTTATCGCAGACATACTTGGGAAGATACTTTTGCAACAAACATCAACCCAGTATTCTACCTCTCTAAATACGTCTTGCCTCATCTAAAGTCTGGCGATACCATCATCAACAATGCCTCCATCAACGCTTATGTCGGGCGCCCTGATCTGCTCGATTACACATCCACAAAGGTACTGAAGTTCGCAATCACCTCAGCCTCACAGTTGAAGCTAACAGATTTCCCAGGGAGCCATCGTCTCATTCACGCGGGCTCTGTCGAATCAGGTAGCCGGCGAAGGTATTCGTGTCAATTGTGTCTGCCCAGGTCCAGGTATGCGCACAGCTTCAACCATTTTCGATCAAGCTGCTGATACACATCCAATAGTCTGGACTCCGCTTATTCCTGCTACCATGACCAAAGAAACTCAAAAAGGGTTCCATCAGACCCCAATGGGCCGTGCTGGTCAGCCGAGTGAGGTTGCGACCTGTTTTGTGTTCCTGGCTAGCCAAGACAGCAGTTTTATCTCTGGCCAGAGCTTGCACCCGAATGGTGGAGTTGTCGTGAACGGATAGTGGACAGCTCCATGTTCCTTGACTCAGATGTGCACTATAGAAATATTAGAAGAGTACCCTTGGCATGAATGTACGCTGGACATAGAGGAAATCAAACGAGAGTCCACAAAGTGTTAAATGAGATTGCAAGAGAAGTTTGTACTATGGAGTCTCTGCTGTATAATTGCCATTGCAACATTCCAGGGCTTAGACTACATAGTCGCATTCTTCCATCGCCTTCGTCAAAAATGCCTGGCTTAATTCCATAATCTCCTTAGCCTGATCGTCCAGATTTCCCAGCTCCCTGTCTTTGCCCGCCGGGCCACCATCAAATATCTCAATACTGAACCAACCTCGGAACCCAGTGCGCTTCACCGCCTTCGCTACTTCCAAAACAGGCAAATACCCGCCCTGCTTCCCGGGCATCGGTCTAAACGCACCGCTCCATCTTCCCCTCGGCCTCAATCCACTTCCGTCCAGACTCGCATCTAGCGGCTGCGGCGGCTTGTAAGCATCCGACACCTGCAGCAAGTAGATCTTCTCCTTGGGTAACGTCGCCCCCAGCTGCTGCATGCTGTCCTGAAATCGATCTTCCAGCTCGTGCTTCGGCACATCTTCTCGGTGGCCGGATGCTGTTGTTGGATCGCCCCACTCACCACCGGATGACTGGAATGTGTCCAAACAGAGCCCTATGTTTGGCCGGTCTACGGCAACGACGAGGTCGTAGACGTCACGCCAGTTTGTCGCGAATGTGGCCCAGCACCAGTTCTCGTAGGCTAGGCGCATATTGTGCTCTGCTAGCATGTCTGCTAGTCGGGCGAGATCTGCCGCCAGAAATGCCTTGTCCTTCTTGATGTTTGGAGCATCTGTGGAACCGACCTACATCCCAAAGCTCGTTAGACTCAAGATATTATCAAGCCATATATCGCCTGCAAAAGTCATACCTGCAACATATCAGTTCCTAGATCCTGCATAAGTCGAATCCATCCCTTTGCTCTCGCAAACGCATTTTCCCGCTTGCTTCTCCCTTCTTCCGACTCTGGATCCCAGCCTTCAAAGTTACTGAATGGTTGAAGCATCATGATCTCCAACTGCAACGTCTTACATTCTTGCCGCAGTGCCCTTGCCGCAGTGCTTAGATCGTCCCAGGCCTGAGGGTCGACCTTGCGACCAAAGTGCTGCTCAACATAAGATAGAAAGTCTGCAAAGGCTAATTCAATTGCACGGAATCCTGCGTGGGTGATGGCGTGGAGTTTTGAGCTGAGATCGTGCGGAGCTTCTGTGGCCGCAGGGAATGGATTCAAGGAGGAGGTTGCGATGGATAGAGGTGGTAGCGATTGGGTTTGCGTTTGGGCCATTGCTCAATGAGTTGATCTGAGAAAGAACTGAGGTTAGTACGTAGAATACTCTCTAAAATGCACTGAATGAACGGGCAGTGGCGTATCAGCTGTTTTGTACTAGGGTTGGAGGTAAGAATATGCATGATGTCATTGATATTTGCGATTTCAACTAGCATTCGACAACCTAGCGAAACTGCTCTAGAGACATTGTATTCCGCTATTCTTCACTCAGCGCATCAGTAGCACGTTGGTTGTCCGATACGCGTTCCGGTCTCAGTCTATTCCGCATAGGCACGATACGCCACCAATGCCTCCTTGTCATTCGCCGTAAACTCTACCGGCACCCCCTGAGCAATGAAAAAGATACCTCCTTCTTGTAGATCTTTTTCTTCCGAGTTTGCAATCAATGATCCGGCACCGCTCGTTACCCATAAGATGCTGGGCCCTTCAATCTCCTTTACTTTCTCGGCTTCTCCCGCTTTCAGTGAAGTACACAGAACGCTAAACTCTGCAGCGTAGACAATCGTCTTTCCACTGCCCTTTTCGCTCTCTTTGGTAGCCAGAATCGCTGCGTCAGCCTCGTGTGGCGAAAACGAAAGAGTGTCTGTAAAGACATCGACCGAATCCCGATCAGCTGCAGGACAGAAGCCAGTGTTGAGTACATTGTCACTGCGCGCCATGCACTCCACAATGTCACCAGATAGGTATGCGTGAACGCTATCCTGCGGGACATACACCGCTTCTCCTGCCTTGAGCTTCATGAAGTTCATGCACAGCAGCGCCAGCAAGATCCCGTTGTCGGCGCTGGTGTATTGCTCCCGTAACCTTGGCAGCAAATCTAGCATGTACGCTTGTTGTCCTAGCTGCTCTTTTGAAAGTGACTGGAGATCCCGAACCACCTCTTCAACAACACTCTCCGGTGCTTTGAGTAAGGAGCTACAAATGAGTCGCAGATTGGCATCACTGAACCTATCTCTCTTGAAGCCATCTGGAAGAAAGCGCTTGAGGATATCGAGCCGAAAGAGGTCACTGATGACCTTGAGCGGCTTGAAACCGACAAAAAGCTCAAAATCTGATAGAGCAACAGCAATCTCGGGCTTATGGTTTGGATCGCTGAACTTTTCTGGGTTCTGCTTGTTCAACTGCGACGCAAGTTCTTTGTTTGGGTGAAGCTGGAGCGGCAACGCCTTTGCGACGGACAGAATCTTAGATAGGAATGGCAAATCAGCGCCATACTTTTCCAAGACTGTTTTACCGATGAGCTTCTCTTTGTTGGCATTGAGCAAGTCTTGTAGATTCTCGCCGGAAGAGAGCACATAAGACGGAGTCGTTGGGTATGTCCCCATCCACATCTGCATGCCCGTGAGCTTCTTGGTCTGGCGGGAGAGGCGGGCAATTTATACTTCAGCATATTCCTTACTGTCGTCGATCTTGAAGTCAGTCCCGGGAACCTTGGCACAGAGCCTTGCAGCAAGAGATTCGTGCCCCTTCTTGCCCCATGAATAGGTCTAGAGACATTAGCAGCATATTCAGGAGGTCAATTGGGTATCAACGGACATTGCAAGAGCATTTAAGCTGGATTATTGATTCCACCATGTCGGTATGTACATTGGGAGCAAATGGATGGTTGAGTTTTCAGTCAGTGGGAGAAAATGGACGCGGTTTTTGTCGAAATAGACTGAAGACGTTCCTGTGCTAAATCTAGGATGCGATTTTAGCTCCTTAAACGTATCCACGGCGGCGTAATACTGTCGTCATTGCCGCAACGCAACAACGAACGCTTCCTAGTAAATACTGACGTAAACTGATATTTGGGTCAAAGATAGTGTCAAAATTCCCCGCTACTTTCATAAGATTTATTTTCTAAGACTCAACCTCTAGTAAACTATTGCTATTACGATAGTTTTCACTCGCCACATGTTAGCTAAAAAATCATACTGCTACAACCTCCATAATCATGGCATTTAATCAAAATCAAACCTACAAACGTATCGGCATCGTCGGTGCTGGTAACATGGGCACAATGATGTCGCTTGGATTTGCTGAGCAAGGTCTAGATGTTTCGCTGTGGGACATTTCTAATGAGAATGTCTCCCAAGCAATAAACATGGCAAAAGAGGCGCAGGAAAAGGAGAAGCTCTTGAAGGGCAAGATCGAAGGGTTCCGTGACATACATGACTTTGCAAATTCAATGAAAGGCGACAAGCCCGCCGTGTACATCTTCAGCATCACGCATGGAAAGCCGGCCGATAGCGTCATGGAAAAGATTTGGGACTACCTTACAGAAGGCGACATCATCTTGGATGGCGGGAATGAGCACTATCGCAACACAGAACGACGCCAGAAGGCACTAGCAAGCGAAAATGTGCATTGGGTAGGCATGGGTGTTAGTGGCGGATATCAAAGTGCTCGAAGAGGCCCGAGCATGTCGCCAGGCGGCAACAAGGAGGCAATTGAGAAAGTGCTGCCACTGCTAGAGAAGTTTGCGGCAAAGGATCCCAAGAGCGAAAAGCCTTGTGTTGCATATATTGGACCAAGGGGCGCCGGGCATTTTGTAAGCACCTTCGCATCCCATTGCATCGTTAGCTAATTTTCATCCAGGTTAAAATGGTCCACAACGGCATCGAAAATGGCATGCTCTCCACGATCAGTGAAGCTTGGTCAATTATGCACAAGTCTTTGAGGATGCCGTACGATGAGATTGGTGAAGTTTTCAAGAAATGGGACTCTACTGGCGAGCTGCGAGACACGTACTTGGTACAGATAGGTAGCGAGATTTGCCGGACAAGGAAAACTCCTAGCGGTGACAAGAAGGGCGAAGGTGCAGGTACTGCTGGCTTCGTTCTCGACGATGTGCTGGATAAGGTCGTACAAGACGACGACAACTCTGAAGGCACGGGGTATTGGACAGTCTCAGAAGCAGCTCTTCGGCACGTTGCTGCCCCGACAATAGCAACGGGTCATTTTCTCCGTGTAGCCAGCGGTAATCGAGATCAACGACTACGCGTGGCAGAGAATCTCAAGATTCTAGACAACATTCCAGTCCCACAGGAGGCAACGCAGAACATTAAGAAAGCATTCCTCGAGGACTTGCGGCGTGCGGTCTACGCTTCGTTTCTCTGCAGCTTTTGTCAGGGACTCGAACTCATCGCACGCGCTAGCAAGGACGAGAGCTGGGACATTGATCTCGGCACTTGCATCCGCATCTGGCGCGCTGGATGTATTATCCAAGCGGGGCACATTGCCGACATGCTGGAACCAGTTTTTCATTCCGACAATGCCCAGGAACAACCCATCATGAACATAAAGCTCATTGATGAAGTGTCTTCTGTTCTTCACGAAAACTTCCAGCCGCTGAAGAATGTCGTGCTGAAGGCGATGGAATGGGACAATTATGTGCCGAGTTTGAGTGCCAGCTTGGAATATGTCAAGTATGCAGGTGGTACGATGTTGCCCACCCAGTTCATGGAAGCGGAGATGGATTACTTTGGCGCTCATTCGTATGATAGGCCGCATGCTAATGGCGAAGACCCTGGGAAGACTGAGAAAGGGGCACATCACTATGAGTGGAAACCAGCATGAGTATTAGTATTCTAATATTCTTGTATTAATACCATAGCACGGACAGGCCGATTGAAACTACAAATTCAGATTTGCTCGGGTGATCGGGCTGGCGGCGGACAGGCCCTCTGGTACGTAGCATTCCCAGCGGACTTAAAGCTTAACTTTGCAATCACACGCGAAAGTTGGAGCTATCCGAGGCGCTCGCTTTAAGTAGGCTATCATGTATCGTCGCTGTTGTTGTTGTTGTTGTTGTTGGACAAGAGCAGGCATATCATCCCATACCATCTGCACTCATCCCTACAGAGTACTCTGTCGCGAATCGCAAAGGTTCCAGAAAGTACTCTCTAGTGGGCTTGTTGAAGCAAAGCTTCTAGTTGAAGCGGGAGCAAACCGTGATTCGATAGATTGCAGCGGGTATACGTGATACGTGCCGTGAGATGTTACAACATCGCGGTATGGAAGAGGTTTTGGCGCTAATAGTTCGCAAAAAGGGTTTAAGAATCACGAAAGATTAGCTGTGGTGTCGATGGAGGTCATGGGTAATGACAATCTTGTATGGCGGTAGAGCAGTCGCAGACTCGCAGTCCGCTTTTTGCGCCTAGGTTCGTTTGAGATTCTGGTAAGCGAAGGAAGCTCGTGGACAATCCACTACCTGGATGTTACTATCCTTCTATGCACAAGTAGAAGACAGACCTCACATTAGAAACCTCCCAGACGGGTCCCGAAATCAGTTCTCCACTTGGGTTGACGAGCCTCATAGCGTAGCCGCGCTTGTACGAAGTTCTGTCCGATACTGGGACCGTATCATCGAGGGGCTTGCTCTGGAAATCAGCTAGAAGTTCTTCTGCCTCCTGTTCTCGGGCTTCGCCATTCATAATAAAGTGTCGTGGTGCCACTGTCGAGACGTTTCTTTAGAATGGATGTAGAGAACTTTCGCTGCTTGGAGTATTGATAGCGTCGAATACCGCCGAATTTGATGAGACTAGAACTGAAGGAGAGTACTGTAGACTACGAACAAAACGGTGACTGAGAGCGAGACTGGAAAACTAAGGAGAAACGGCATCTTTACAAGCTTTACCCTGGGTGCAGAGAGTGTATTATCGACGGCTCCGCGTCTCTCGGTGGTATTGACACTCTGATTTCGACCTCTTTTATACCGGCGGGAGAGTTATGGGGAACTCCCATTGCTGTATGTTTTTTTTTTGTTTTTTGCACATTGTTCGTAGAGGCACGGTAGCTGGATAGAAGCAGAGCGGAATGGATCCATGATCGAATTTGATATCGTGGAAAGCTTCGCTCTCTGATACACACGGCCACATCAAGCTGAACATAGAGAATCCCATCCGCTCTTCCGTTCCGCAACATCCGTTTAAGAACCGCCCCTCAGACCGCCAAGTCCACCACGGCCGCCGCTCATCAGACCGCCGAGTCCACCGCCTCTGAGGCCTCCCAGACCACCAGACAGCCCACTGAGTCCGCCGCTGCCAGAGAGCCCGCCAAGTCCGCCGCCGCCAGAGATCCCGCCGAGGCCACCAAGGCCACTAGGGCCACCAGTTGGGCTACCGGAGGAGCCGTCAGAGGAGCTGCCAGAGGAGCTGCCGCTGCTAGCACCACCACCTTGCTTGGCCTTATTAACGCCATCAGCAAGGAATTGGGCTGCGGGTTTCATCGAGGTGGAGTACGACATATGGCCCGCATTAACCGAAAGGCTGGCGCCGCAGACTCCGTCGTTTTCGTTACAGAAGATCTTGACCTTCTCAGGAGGGAAGTTAGGGATCGTACCCTTATCTTCTTCGTTCTGGGTATCACCGAAGGTGACGACGGCAGCGATCTTATTCTTAACATTGTCGGGTAGCTTCTCGATCGTGCGGTGCATAAGGGCAGCGCCTTGCGAATACCCTCCGGCGATGATAATAGAATCAGGACACTTCGTGTTCGCCTGGTTAAAGATCTGGGTGGCTGTGTTGATAGACGCTTGATCCGTACCGCCGCGTTGTAGGTTGCCTGCAATACCTGCCGAATATGGGACGCCCTGGACGGCCGTATTTGGGACTAGCGCCTTGAGGGCGCTAATCAAGGGGGGCCCGATGATCATACCCTTTCAAATCGATTTAGTTTATCGTTCCCGGTTGAACAGGAATATGCCATGAACTCACGATATTTCCAGGCTCCCCTGAACCACGCGCGAAGATGAAGACAACCTCCTTGCAGCTGCCCTGAGTTAACTCATTCGAGGTTGATCCGCCACCACCACCACCAAACTGACGCTCCACCAGTTCGACAGGTGCCGCCGCAGCGAGGACAGCCAGAGAAATAGTAGATAAGATACGCATGTTGTTGATGAAATAATATTGAGACGCGGCAATAAGAGAATGAAGTTGGTCAGAACCGACTAGCTGCGTGCTAAAAAGAGGAGCAATCGAGTCTAGGCCAGCCATGTCTTTTTATACACTTTCCTCATTCCCCTAGGGGTTAGGAAAAGGGGTAATATAGTGCTTCATGAATAGATTAGACAAGATGCTGATAATTACGGGGAGGCAAGGGCTAAGACTATGACAGTGGAATAATCGAGCAATCGCAAGATGAACTGAGCCTGGATCAATCGAAGTGTGGATGGTTTGCTAGTAGAAGCAATATAACTCAGAGAATAACTTTGATAGCGTTTTCATTAGCCACTGGGAGGGCCAAGTCGCGGACAGCAACGTTTACATACCCGTTTGATATTCTCAAGGAGCTTAATCTTGGATGGTCTCCCACTTCATGATAAGAACATTCGTCTGCTATCTTGGCCAATTCTGGCTCCGCACACTTGGCAGACAAGGCCAAGACGACTGTATCATATTCTGCTGTAAGTATGCTGCCGGACGGGTTTAGAGCATATAGAAACCGCTATCCGATAGGAGGCTTACCGGCAGCCAAAGTCGGGTCAGCAGGTTTGATGTTACCCGTGAGCCCGTTTACAACAGACGGACATGGGACTAGATCCTCCCCTGACATATAGACTGTTTAGACATATCTAATGTTTCTGTTTTCCATGAAATGTAGCCCTTTGGATGTTGGAAGAATTGGTGATTTGTTTCCTGTAACTTAGGGCCGTCTCCTGGGGATGGTGCATCGTGAAAAACATTATGCGAGATATCCAGGTCTCCAAGTACCCAACAGTGATCGTGAGCACTCTGCCAAGAGATCTTCATTTATAGTAAGTCATTAGACATCGAACAGAATCAACAAAATTCAAACTATACGAGTTTATTCCTGCTTGCTGACTGGTGGGAGAGATTGATTCCCAATGATTTTGACTTCGACCAGGCTTCGGGAACGAGTTCGCTCGCTCGCGGAAGGCGAACTCCGTAAACGACACAGAAGCGAGAAGGCTAATGAGATCGCGATCGATCAATAATAATCGATAGGTTGGTGGGAATTCAGAGCGCGTGTATAATCAAAAGGACGCGCATAGAAGTGCTGGAATGCATGGTCGACAAGGTTGTATGAAATAGATTGCTTTGCAATATGGTACTAGAACCTATCACCGCCGATGAAGGGAGCGAGAAACTCGCCCCCAATCTCTTCCATCCAAAAAGAGCGCCGGTGCCAACGGTTCGCAAGATATTAAAGGAGTGCAGTGCTATTATCTAGTTAAAGTACGGAGTACTACCATAAGGCATAAGCCAAGAGTCTGGGCACAGACCCCATTCTCAGCTGAATATCTCTACACCACCACTTACTTTGACAATCAATAACTTTACCAAAATGAGGCCTTTTGGCACAGAAATTAGTGGTAATCGAGGGCCTAATAAGGAGTTATCAGTCTATCAAAAAGTTGGGATTATTCAGGCTATTGAAGATGGGAAACCGAAGACTGAAATCGCGCGCAACTTTCGCGTCTCTCGACACGCTGTGTATGGGACTATAGAGAGGTGGAAAAAACACCAAACCACCGTATCCTTATCCCGTGAAGAGGGTCCCCATAAGCTATCACGCTCTGACGAACGGCATATTGTTCAAATCGTGCGTCGATTTCCTAAAATGGAGTACGGAGAGCTCCTCGCAGGTATTTCGTACCTCCGCGTTTCTAGGAAGACCATCTACCGAACCCTTAAGAAATATCACCTTACGAAATGGCGAGCGAAAAAGAGGCCTCACCTGAAGCCCCATCACGCAAAAGACCGCCTCCGGTTTGCCCACGAATTCCTTAAATTCGACTTCTCCCGGACCCACTCTACGGACGAGTGCTCGTATGAGAACGGGGCGGGCGGTAAGCAGGTATGGGTATGGCGCCTGTACCACGAAGCGTATAAACCGTGAATGGTAGAGCCAAAGACGTCAGGGAAGGCGATTTCGCAGATTATTTGGGGCTTAATTTCGCGTGATAGGCGATCAGATCTGGTGATCATGGACCGCGACGAAACCTCCGCAAGACAGGGGTATTCCGCGAAATCCTACATCGCTGCATTGGAGGAGGGACTCCTCCATACGTACGAGCCCGGGGATATTGTTATCCAGGATAACGCAAGGATCCATACGGCCAAAATCACCCAAGAATGGCTGGAGACGCACGGCATCTGGGTCATAGATTGGCCGGTCAATTCCCCAGACATCAACCCCATCGAACACATGTGGCATCTGTTGAAACCAAGGTCATAGAGCTCCACCCTGAATTGAAGATGATGGGCGCCTCGGAGGAGGCACGGGAGGCCATGAATGCGGCGTTAAAGGAGGCGTGGTGGGCGATCCCTCAGGAGACGATCCGAGAGCTGATTGACTCAATTCCGCGACGTCTACAGGCATTAACCAAGGCAAAAGGGTGGCGTACGAAATATTAGATATTTCCCAATTAAGAAATCAAAAAAGTAGACTGAATTTGCATTTGTACGTGTTTTTCAGTGTATCTCAAGATACGGTGTATGGCGATCAAATTTGGTGATTTTCGGGGGTGTGCCCAGACACATGTCTACTTAACTTAGTGTAGCTAACTAACTAAGCACGCTAACTAAGTTAGTTAACTAAAGTTAACTTAACTAACTAGTTAGTTAGTTAATCATTCCCTAAACTATACATAGTCGGAGTCACCTTTCTTGCACTTTTATCATGTCATATCGTGGCTTATAAGCTATCTCAGGATTAACTACTCTGGGGAACGGTTACTAGTCTCATTCTTCTCCATTTTCCCAATAGTTAGTGATTCCATTCCAGCTCTCTAAGCATCGATTTTCTGGTTTTTTTTACAAGCGCCGATCCCTTTCCTCCGCCTCATTGGTGGTTAACTTTTAGTTCTCTCTCGCTCATTCGTCATTCCCACTATCCATGTCCTCGCATGAATGTCTAGCAAACCCTGGATAGATAAGGTTGATACCAGTATCTTGCATGTAATTCCCTTGAGAAACTTGGAGCCGCTAGAATGGTTTCCTTGATTCCGCTCCGACCCCTGAAAATTGGAGCAATACTTGGGAATATGGGATGAACGCTATACTTCCTTCGGCGAGTTATCAACTTAGTGCTTCATGGCATTCATGTTGATGATCAGCATTTCCCTATCACACCCCGCCTTTCGGCTAACTGATAAACTCCAAACAGTTCTCTATATAGTCCAGAATGTTGCTATGAAATACTACGAAGGACTGAGAGAGTATCGCGTTACGCTTGCTGTCGAGCACTATAGACTATCGCGATACCCTCATTGTCAAGAAATATCCCGGAATATCACGACGAAGTGCAGGAATAAAGATGCAGGCGGCCAGCGTTCAGTCAAGATCACGCTTCGGTTTGTCCTGTGATCTGCTCATTCGGGGAACTGGAGAGCTGCTGATAACGAACAGGATGCACCACATGTCGTCGCAAGCATCGGAAGTGTGACGAACAACGACCGATATGCCGGAGTTGCCAATCCCGTGGTCTTGAATGCGGTTACCAGACGACATTGAAATGGACAAGCATTGGCAGTATTAACTCCTTCGATAAGGCACAGCGCCAGAAGAACAAATCCACCAAACGCGTAACGACCTCTACCGCTCAAGGATTTCTGGCGTCACCTCCATCGACACATGCTACACGCAGCGAGCGAATACCTTCGCCAGAGATACCATTGCAGCCTACAACTAGGGTTACTGAGGCGCCGATGCAGAGAGTTCGCTCATATACCCAAGAAGAAATTCTCACGGCGCGTCCAGTGGTTGAAGACCCACCAAATGTACTGGACTTAGACCCAGCATCGCTCGATTTGTTTCCGGAGCTGGGAGCCGACTTTATGGATGCGCAATGTCTACGATGGCCCGATATCATACGATCCACCAACGAACCGCATGGTTCTAAAGAATTACCCTTTCAAGACGATTTCCCGGGAGGGTTTGAGATGCAGGAATCCACGACTGTGGAAGAGCTCGACAACGACATCCAGGATGGGATATCAGGGGATGATGAATCATGCCAAGACGTCTCGCAACCCGCCGGCTTTAGCTCTTGGGTCATTGATAATACGTTAAACAGCCTCCTATTCCAGATATTTCAAAGCCCAGGGGAGGAGATTGCATTTGCATATTGTCAGTAAAAATGATAATTTACTCGTCCGGGAACTCGGCAATTGCTAACTAACTCAGATTTCAAACGAGTCTGCACTTGTATACCTGCGTATGATGGAGCTCAGAACCCGTATCGAAAGCTTGCTCTTGTCGCACTCTCCTACCCAGTCCTCCTACATGGCATACTCTCGGTCGCTACTGGTCACATGTACAACTACGGTCGGAGCAGCGAGGGTTTACTGTCGTTACGGCAAACACGAGCGCTCAATTCTCTTCAGGAGGCTCTGAATGATCTATGTGGGAACAAAGATGCGGGCGAAGCCACCAGAGTTGAGTCTGGAAGTATCTTCCAGACAAAGGGTGTTTTCTCGATACTTTCGCACAGAGAGATTGCTTTAGCCGCCATCATGATGCAAACGTCATCAGTGCTTATGACGGGGATCGGATGCGCTGAAATCCACATGAAGTGTGCTTCACATTTCATTCGGGGCCTGAATTACCTTCATCAACCTGCCAACTCCATCTTCCCGCGATTACTCGTCTATCGGTTCGCGATGGTAGACGTTGTACTCGCTCATCTACGTTTTCGCGCTCCATTGGCGCCACTGGACTTCTACATGTACCAAAGCAATGAGGACCTTGATCATGCGGACCCCTCGTTCCGCCAGATGCAAGGTTGTCCGCAACGAGTTCTCTGCTTCCTAGCCCAGATATCCGTGCTAAGTGCAGATATAGTGATGGAAAATAGCTCGCAATCTCGGATTCAAGCTAAGGCATACAGTTTGGAGACCGAGATGCGCATATGGGGGAGCCGCTACTATGACGCGATGCTTCGCGGAGAAGATAACAACGCGACCATGTCCGGCGAATCCACTGCTCTATCTCCGGCTCCATCTGATGAAACTCCTCTTGACATTGTCTGCGAATGCTTCTATTGGACCGCGCATATTCTCCTAATGCGCCGTGTGTTTCTGGATCCCACGAGGTCTACACGCGTCCAGATGATCCGAAGACACCTGTTCCGACTGATGGATCGACTGCAACCCGGCTGCGGCCCCGACTCGTCCGTGCCATTCCCCTTCTACATGGTCGCCCGGGAGGCCGTAACACCGGATGATCGGGATTGGGTACGGCGAAAACATGCTGCCATGATGGAGGTCTACCGTGACCGGTCGCGGGAATATATAATGTCGTCGACGGAAAGGATCTGGGAGAAATCGGCAACGACGGATCCACCGGCCCCCGAGGGGAGGCCGCTCTGGGAGTCGCCCACTGAGAGATTCATTAGAGAGACGGACAGGCAGGCCACATATTTTATGTTCTGAAGTTGAGTTGGTGACGAATAGAACCTGAATTGATAACTTGGAAAGACGTAAAGAGTACATCTTCGAACGCTCTCTTGAAAAATCTTCTCTTTGCTACCATATCAGTGTGTCAGTGCTAGTATCTTTGTGTCCGCATCTGCACTAAATTTCACGTGCTCGTCACAATCTACTTATCGAACTTATCACATGTGATCGAGCGCAGCATTTAAAATGAATCAATTTGATGGAAGAAACGTAGTGTTGCACTTGGCATACTGATATCAGTGTCAGGAGTTGGGTCGATCATTCCCCGGACACTGGAAACTGAAGGCCTCGCGCCATGCCACTTGCAGAAAAGCGAGCCGCATCTCTGAAGCTAGGATATCGAGACGGATAACGGTAGGCTTGACCACATATTGTCATGCCAATCACTTTCCCCGCCCAAACCTGGAGACACTACATTGTGTGAAGCGCCTCTTCATCTGGAGGTGGTATATTATTCCTAGATATTTCATGATAATCAGCTTAGCCATAACTTTGACTCCGGAATTGCTGTGGAGCATGTCAGATAATATTACCATCATCATTATACCGATAAGTCATTATGCCTTCAACATCTGTACTGGACTCGTCCCTGCCCGTCTTCGACTTTTCCGGTTTCCGTGCCGGTACCTCTGAGGAAAGAATGAAAACTGCCAATCGGGTCACCTATGCGTTCAAGACTTATGGTTTTGTGTACCTGGTGAATCATGGACTCCCAAAAGAAAGGATTCAGGCTCTTTTCGATTGGGTATGTCACTGAAACTTCGTCTTTGCAGTCTGTCGATGTGGCTTGCGGCCTCTCTTTTGGCTGAATACCATCAACCCCTTTTCGGGAGAATGCTTACACCTGAATATAGAGTAAAAAGCTTTTCCTCCTCCCTCAAGAAGTACTAATGAGCCCTGAGCTGCGCCGGCCGGAGCCAGAGTCAATACCGGGGAATCTCCAAATTTGTGCTCGGGGTTATGGACCCGTCGGTATGGAGAAACTCTCAAATCTGGATCCTAACGATGAGAACGGTTTGAAGGCACATCGAGGCATCCCCGATGCAAAGGAGTTATTTGAGACTGGCCCGTATTGGGGCATCGGCCAGGAACGTGAGCCCAACCGTTATCCTTCCAAAGATGTTCTTCCCGGATTTGAGGAATTCGTCAAAGAATTCTTCATGGAGGCTCAAGAGCTGACGCTGGACATCCTCCGATCCATCGCCATAGGTCTTGGCCTGGAGGAAAACTACTTTGTCCACTACCACGAAGACGCAGACAATTTGTTCCGCTTCCTTAGGTATCCTCCGATTGAGCGGGCCACACTGAGCTCTGGGGAGACGGCGCGGACCTCACCTCACACCGATTTTGGTACTATCACGATCTTGTTCCAAGATGATGTTGGAGGATTGCAGGTAGAGAATCCTGAAAATCCCGGCACGTATCGTAAGTGCATTCTCCGTAGTGCAAAACCGAACCATAACTGAAAACTGCGCAGTCGTTGCCACACCTGTGGAGGGATCTGTGATAGTGAATGTTGGCGATTTCCTTATGCGATGGTAAGCACTGAGACGATGATACCCCCTCTTCACCGTGACATGCTCATAATATGTACCATATGGAAAGTAACTAATGATGATGCCCAACAGGACCAACGACAGCCTGAAATCCAACTTGCACCGTGTTGTGGAACCTCCGGCGGAACGTGAATTAGGAGATGGGTTGGAGCTTACGAAGGAGAGGTTTTCAATGCCTTATTTCGTTCAAGCTGATCGTAGCAAAGTTGTCGAATGCATTGAAAGTTTGAAAGGAGACGGTGCAAAATATCCCCCTATTAGCGCCGGGGAATATATCAACCTGCGCACTAATGCTGTTTTCAAATCGTATTAGACCTTGACGATTGAATAAAATCGGAAGAGCTCACAATGTGGATAACGATTGTCACTAATATTACACCACTATTGCCTTATTCCTCACCCCTTACCGTCCTTAAATGCTTATATGATAATACTGTTAAGCAATTCAGTGCGGCTTCCCACTATCGCGTTCAGGGATTGACAGAGGGGATTAGTATTGTGAGAAATACTTCTGGAGGATGCAGGGCTAGCTGATGAATGAATATGCGTACTTCGAAAAATAATAATTACCACTCAAAATTCCAGCAGTTGGCTGAGTCAGACAGAAAATAATACCAAAGTTGCCTGAATGATAAGAGACGAACCCAGACTCGACTTTGGCATCCAATTCACCCTGTTCTTTCTGGCCAGACAAATACATCTCGATGTTGCAGTATATATTATGTAGATAGTCCTGCGTGCTCTCTTTTCATATACGTATTCTTTATTTAGCGCTCAGAATCACATCACCAGCACCGACGATACTTCCAGGCTTTTTCAGAATCGCATCGACCTTCAAGCCAGCTAAACTCTTTTGAGCATAGATATTGACCTCCATCTTCATGGCTTCCAGGATCGAGATGAGTTGGCCTTCTTTGAGTTCGTCTCCGGGCTTCACTTCTACCTTCCACACATTGGCCGCCATTGGTGATGAAACGGAGTTGGTGTCGTTTAGGTCCACCGTACTCTCACCTCCCAATTCCGCCTTCTCTTCCGATTCTATCTCGGCCTTCCACGTGGAGTAAAGGCCTCTTTCAATTTGCTCTTGCTCCTTCAGTCCTTCTTGTTGGCGCCTCTTGTACTCGAGAACACTAGCATCGGACTTCGCCTTTTGGAACGTGTCATATGCCTCGCGCACATTGAAAGACGACTCTGAAACCTGCCACTGATATCTCCCAGCAGAGAAATCTAGTGCTAGCAAATCGTACTCTTCGACGCTCACTTCGTAGAATTTGATTTTGTCGAAAGGTTCAAACATCCATGGCCTCTCCGAGGTAAATCCTGGCTTGGTCCCGAATGGGTCCCACAGCTCTAAGGACCTTGCGACAATCATGTACCCTCCTGGCTGCTCAATGGGGTAAGCAGCCACGATGGAGCCACCAAGCCCTAAGGTTCCACCCGGAGTCGACACCCTTGTGGGGTTGTATTTTTGACACTGTAGGAATGTCGGATTCAGTGGAAAGAGCATTGGAGCACCGCAGAGGAACCCAACAGCCACCACTACGTATTCCGTATGGAGCATTTTCTCGAAAACTTCCCTTCGTGACTGCAAGCCATTGCACTTGCGGAGATACTCAATGTTGTCGGGAAGATATGCTGCTTTGTTCCTGACCGTGTCCATGTATCTCTGGATACACTCCTGAACATCCGGATGGTCCATCACAAGTGGCAATCGGATCTCACGGCAAGGAATGGTTATATCGATCGTCGCCAGGATGTTGGATTCGATTTCATGAATGCGCGACAGGAGCTTGCTCTGGGATATCTGGAATGGATCGTATTCGATTGTCACTGATCCCACATGTGGGGTGAGGAGCAGCGTTAGATCGGCCAGCGACTCCAACTTCTCCATTAGCAGCCGAATTAAAGCGACCACGGCAATATCCGTCCTCTGCTCGCCAAATTCGATCAGAAGGAATCTATCCCCAGCCTAGGGGAGTCAGCAAAACAAGCATTTTCGTCTCCAATGTGTTGATACGTACCTGTCGATACACCACTTTAGGTCGGAGTGGATTTTCCGAGGATGCTTGGACGGTCTGCAAAACAGCACCGTACGGTATGATATCACTGCGACCAAGACTCCAGACCGGCTGTACTGCAGCCGCAAGCTTTCCATCGATTTCATCCGCAATAGCCGAAAGGCATAGATCGACACGGCGAATTTGCTGGACGGCATCTTCGAGAGACACGGGTATCATGCGAAAGGAGGTATCAGGTTTCAATTGGCCCAACTTCCACATCTCGGCGGAGATCACCGTGGTCGAGCAGATGAGTCCTCCGAAATTCGGGCTGTCCACTGAGAATATACAGCCGGAGTCACCGCCCCAGTTCACACCTCCAGGAGAAGGGTAGCCATAACTTTAAAGCTTTAGCGTTCGGGAAACCAACATCAATGGATCTGATCGCGGGGTGACAACTTACTCGAGATAGTTGGAAGGGTGGGAACCAGCCTCGCCTCCGTCTTTTCGAGCCCATTCCGGTGCTGGGCCAATAATGCGGACACCGGTTCTATTCGAATTGTGGCCCACTTTCCATTCTGTGTTGTACAACATGTCCTTGTCCGCCATGGTCATTATGTCGTCGGAATCGTGGGGACCTTGTAGAACATACACTTCCTTGACCTCCATCGGTGGTATCATGGCGGACGGGAGAGTGTATTCATGAGTCTCGGCCGCCCACGTCGAAGTCAAATCCGTGAGTTGCAGGAAATCACCTTTACGGATCGTTCGTCCCTGGGTACCACCAAATTTCAGGCTTGGAGTTGTTGACCTGGATCCACAAAATAGGGGGATATTAGGGAAACCTCCTCGAACAGCGAGGTACATTCGACAGCCAACACCACTAACTGTACCGATTTTCAGAGTTTGACCAGCCTTGACCACGAGAGTAGACCACATAGGTCGCTCACTTCCGTCAACAGTCACTAGAGCGCTTGCACCGCACACTGATACCACTGCTGCGGATGTGAATAGGAGCTCCGCCCCAAATAAGGTCATCTCAATAACCTCTGTCCCTGGTGCGTTGTGCACCAGGAGATTAGCAATACGAGCAGTTATGTTGTCCATTGGACCGCTCTTGGGAACACCATGGCCAATTGATGCTCGTGCCGGGAAATCTTGGATGGTCGAATAGGCGCCAGGACTAATAATGTCGATCCCGCACGGCTCATAAGCGAAGCGGGTGTCTAGGAAATTTGTCAATGTATCCCCCTTGTCGAAGGCATCGCTGGCCATCACTTTCCTTAAAAAGTCCAGATTGGTTGTAGGGCCTTTCAGAGCGATGCCTTCTGAACAAATATCGCCCATCTTCTCTATGGCCTGCTCCCTCGTGGGCGCATGCACCATGACTTTTGCCAGTAGGGGATCTATTATTCTCTTGTCAGCGCCAGATCTCGAAATACCCTGAGTAGCATAAAATTGTACGTACCATAGTGTAGGCTCACGTCCTGGCCAGATTGAACCCACGTGTCTATTCGTACCCCTTCTTGTTCCGGCCAGTGAACTTCTTGGAAGATACCGGGGCTGGGGGCAAACCCTCGGTATGGATCTTCCGCATAAATACGAGCCTCGATCGCCGCGCTGGTAGGACCAGGCTTTTGCAAACTGCGGAGTTCTGATGATGGGATGCCACCAGCCCCGAGTTTTTCCATATCAGCTTGTCGCAACATGAGAGCGACTAGATCAACGTCGTAACACAGTTCTGTAATTCCGTGTTCGACCTGCAATCTGGTGTTCATTTCTAAGAAGAAGAAGCCACCGCTCTCATCGTCGACTAGAAACTCGACTGTGCCTGCGGATTTGTAATTCAGTCGCATGGCATACCGCGTGGCGCATTCGGTCAGCTGTTGCCGAAGTTCGGGATGAGCTGCAACAAACGGACTTGGACACTCTTCGATGACCTAATTAAAAGAATTGTCAGATCAGTTCGTGTTGAAGCATGTAAGATCGGCTCCCACCTTCTGGTGCCGACGTTGAATGCTACATTCCCTCTCGCCGAAGTGAACGGTCTCGGTGCCATTGCCAAAGACCTGGACCTCTATATGGCGACTATTGAGATAGTATTTTTCGAGAAACAACCCTGAGTTCTTGAACAGCTTCTCTCCTCTACTGCGGACCATGGCGAAAGCAGCGCTAACGTCCTCGGTCGATTTGCAGACTTGAAGACCCATACCGCCTCCTCCACCGGTGGCTTTGAGCATCACCTGTGAGATCACATCAATATAAATTCTCGTTACTCGCTCTAGGGTGCCCTTACTGGATATCCAAGGCGCTCCGCGGCAGCCAATACTTCGTCCTCGGATTCGAGCAGATCGGTGCCAGGTACCACGGGCACCTTCGCCTGAATTGCAATCTCTCTTGCTCTATGTTTCAAGCCCATCTCTAGAATCGAGTCCGAAGATGGGCCAACGAAGACCATCCCGGCATCTATTACCCTCTTCGCGAAGTCCACATTCTCGCTGAGAAACCCGTAGCCTGGAATAACGGCATGGATGGCGTGTTTTTTGCATATCTGCAGGATATCATCGCTAACGACATGGTCAGAACAGATGAGCCAAATTATATTCAGAAATATCTAGGACGAATGAATATCGCCTACTTACACGTCCAAATATCCCGCTGTCCCGTCGCCCTGAAGCAAAAGAGACTCGTCAGCCTGGGTCACGTGCAGAGACGCTGCGTCGGACTTCGTGTATATCGCAACACTTGTCGCGTCCACTGCTTTACACGCTCGAATACATCGCACGGCAATTTCACCTCGATTGGCAATCAGAACGCGTTTGATACTCTGCAATTGTGGGTGCTCCATTGTCACTCGTCTAACATGCTCTCAGAAGATAAGGAAGAAACTGACGGCTCAATTTGAAATGTACATCCTCTGCCTTTGTACGATACCTTCGTGCGAATCCAATGGATCGCCTATGCTACATGCTGATAAGGTAGGTATGCCAACTGCCATCGCGTATCCCGAAGCATATGCTTTCAAGGCCGTAACTGCTTTCCTCTATCGAAAGGGGAGAGAGGGCTCGAACTGCCTACACAGTACAGGTAGATCCGAAGCTCTGATAGATTGCGCTAGACTCAACAGATCGGTAAGCCGATGATTTAGCCAAACAACCGTCTAAGCTAGTTTAGTTATTCTGGATCTTCCGCCAAGTTGCCTATTTAGGCAATTCTGCGATTACTATTACCTATTGCGTACTTTAGGCCCAGGAATGCTCGTAAAATCGCATTCAAGTATATACACCACCGCGCCTTGATCGGGTGTCGAGGGTGCGGAAATCTAGGTCAAACATCCTATCAGCAATCACAGGAAATATGCATCCCCTCGATCCACTTACCCCTCAGGAAATCTCCTCAGTCAGTGGCATTTGTATGGTGTGTATTGCATTACTGACGCTCGACATAGGCTGCAAGCGTAGTCCGGGATAGCTTCCTTGAGGCGCAGTTAATTTTCCGAGTCATCACTCTCTCCGAGCCGCCAAAGCAGCAGTTGATCCCCTATCTTGAAGCAGAGAGGCTTAGCAAACGTCTTCCTCCGCCTCCGCCACGTGTCGCCCAAATTCAATTCTATCTCGAGAATGCGACGCAATTCCGGCAGGCTAGTGTTGATCTGGGGGCCAGGAAGTTGTACGATGTGAAGAGCTTGGACGGCAACCATGCCTACGTGGATGCCGGGGAGATGAAGAAATGTGAAAAGGCATGCCTTGATGACCCTCAAATTCAGGTTGCGATTGATGCCCTCCAACTTCCAGATGTGGCTACCGTGATCTGCGATCCGTGGACATACTCGCCAGATGGTATGAACGATATGAGCCGGCGTGTCGTCATAGTAAGGATGGATATACCATAAATATGAACAAATGCTAATTAACTTTGAAGTGTTTCTTCTATGCCAAGTTCTCGGATCATGATGATGCAAATCATTATGCTTATCCCTTGGAGTTTATCGCTGAGCTGTCAGATGAAATGAAGGTAATGGAAGTCTTGAAAGTTCCTTCGGGCCCAGACGAGAAAATGGCTCTCGTAAACGGGAACTTGAGACCCTTTGATCGAACTAAACTTCATTCCACTAGTGAATATCATCCAGATTTGGTACCCGAGCGCCGAACGACAGTGCAGCCGCTGCATGTGGTCCAGCCCTCCGGTCCGTCTTTCCAGTGTTCTGGCAACCTGATAAACTGGGAGAAGTGGAGGTTCCGGGTCGGCTTCAACTACCGGGAAGGCCTGGTGATCCACGACGTGACATACGATGGGAGACAAATATTCTACCGACTATCATTGTCCGAGATGTTCGTTCCATACGGAGACCCGCGAGCCCCTTACCCTCGAAAGGCTGCTTTCGATTTTGGCAACAATGGAGGCGGCGTGAACGCAAACAATCTCGGCCTTGGTAAGTACCCTGACATGAATAGTATCATTATTGAGCATATCATGTTAATACCATTCCAGGATGTGACTGCTTGGGACACATCAAGTACTTTGATGCGTGGCACCACACGAACGATGGCTTGCCAGTCAAGATGCCGAACGTTATCTGCTGCCACGAGGTTGATGATGGCATTCTGTGGAAGCATACCAACTATCGAACGGACAATGCCGTCGTCACTCGATCTCGCGTGCTTGTGCTGCAGACCATTATCACCGTCAGCAACTACGAGTACATCTTTGCTTTCCAGTTCAATCAAGCAGCGGAGTTATCCTACGAAGTCCGCGCGACGGGCATCCTGAGCACTTCCTTTATCGATATTGGGGCCAAGGTTCCCTACGGAACAGTTGTCGCTCCCGGAGTCATGGCGCCTTATCACCAACACTTGTTCTCCCTTCGAGTTGACCCAGCCATCGATGGCCACAATAATTCTCTCATGGTGGAGGAATCTCATCCCGCACCAGTTGAGGATGCCTCCAGCATGGCCAATGTTGGCTATGTTACTAAGAAGGAGTTCGTTGAGACGGAGACATCCCTCGACACTGACAACCGAACTGGTCGCGTCTTCAAGATCGTCAACGAAAACGTCACCAATCCAATTTCTGGCGGCCCTGTTGGTTACAAATTAGTGCCGCACTATTCGCAGATGTTGCTCGCCCATCCATCCTCATTCCACTCGATTCGGTCGGAGTTCACGGACCACCCAATCTGGGTGACCCGACACCAAGATGTCGAGCGGTTTGCAGCTGGAGAACATACCCTACAATCGGAGGTTGGCTCGGGTATTGCAACCTGGATCAAATCACGAGAAGCGCCACAAAGTGTGCGGAACGAGGATATTGTGATATGGCACACTTTCGGCACAACCCACAATCCGAGAGTCGAGGACTGGCCCGTCATGCCTGTGGAGAAAATGTTGGTGACGCTGAAGCCGATCAATTTCTTCACTCGCAACCCGGCCTTGGATGTGCCTATCTCCAACCAGGCTGACAACAAAAGTGTATTGGTGGTAGACGACGCCGTGGAAGGCCCAGGGGCTTGTTGCGGGTCGGCCCGACTATAGACATGTACCGATTTCTGTACAATCCTATTCCCATCTTCGCCTTTTCAAATTCAAAGCAGAGATGATAACAACATGATGAGCCTTATTCATGCTTAATACATTGCTTGGTCCGATAACTTGGTTCCAGCCTCATCTCCCATGCTATGACATACCCCTGCGAATGTAACGAGACATCGCCAGTAAGCGCGGAACTTGTAGACATAGTGAATCTGAGCCACAATCACCTATTCAGACTTGATTCTGGTTCGTATTTTAAGTGAATTGACTCATTTTGCCTTTGTCCTGTGTGTACAAATTGTGGGGCTCATAAGGACCTGGCATGGCTGCGCTGGAACACTGATTACATAGTAGAGAGTGATTTCAATTCAGTGCTTTTTGTCAATAGTTGTTGCTCAAAATTTATTAGGGCTGGACACGAATAAGGATTGTGGCTATTCGTATTCCACTTTTCCCTTGGAATGATTATTCGTATTCCACTAGATTTTGAGACGCTTTATTCGTACGAATATTAGTAAGCGGAAATTCTAAAATTTATTCGTATTCGACTACGAATACTCGTGTCCAGCCCTAATTAATTTATGATGCGTTAAGGTAATGATATTCATGGCGATTCCTCAATGCCATACTTGGAGCCCACCATTCCAAAGCCCGATTCTTTGACACCTCCAAATGGAGTTGCGGCGTCTCTCGTCGATCATTTGTGGTGAACTACGATCGACACTGCACGTTGGAAAGCTAGCCCCCTTGCAAGGAACTAGGGGTAGATCGGACCCACCCCATCAACCTTAGAAAGGCAACCCGAGTCGCACGGCGGAATCTGCTATCTTAACCTACTCAGTACTTTCTTGGCTGGATCACGATTTAGAGCTATTATGGTTTTAGCGACGAGCTTCCCGAACCCTTCCAGATGCCTGTTGTGATTGTGATCCGAACATTTTATTTTAAGAGCTACAGTATATATTGTCTTGCGCAGTAGATCGAACTCTTGAACTATTGTTATAGAAACAAACCGGAATAGTCCATTCTCTCGTTGAATCTCAAATTAGAGCATACCACAGATTCCAAAAATGGCACAATATCTTAAGAAAGTTGCAATCAATTGCGACATGGGAGAGGCATTCGGGAGGTGGAAACTGGTACGTTGTAACAATCCTCGATTATCTTGCCGTGCTTTTACGAGCTGTGACAGCGAACTAATATAACTCTGCTCCCCAGGGACCGGACGACGAGCTAGTAAAGGTTATCGACTACGCCAATGTGGCATGCGGTTTCCACGCTGGGGATCCTACTACAATGCTGAAAACCATTCGACTTGCGAAAGAGCATGGAGTAGCTGTTGGTGCCCACCCGGGACTGCAAGGTACGCCGCGTGCAAATCACGCACCTCGTGTTTCGCCAGCGGCGGTGTGCATCATCTGATCAGACGCTTATCCGTTGTGAACAGATCTACTCGGATTCGGTCGCAGAAAAATCGAAATCCACCCAGACGATATGTACACAATGATCCTATATCAAGTCGGCGCGCTCAAGGCCATGCTGGACGCAGAAGATGTTCCGCTAAACCACATCAAGCCACATGGAGAACTATTCTTCTACATGCAGCGAGATCTGGCTATCATGGATGCCGTGCTTAGGGCGTGCGCCGTATTTAAAGTGCCCATTTTCGGTGCGAAAGGCACCAAGCACCAGGGTGCCATGTGCAGGAAGTACGACTTGATCTTCGTGGAAGAGGCGTATGTAGACACACAGTACAACAAAGACGGGGTACTCCAGTCAGTTGCGGCGAGCAACTTAGCTACGGTGGAAGACGTTTACGAGCGGACTAGGTCCGTCTGTTTCGAGGACTCTGTGAAGGAAAAGGAGGGCTCCATGATCAGACTCGGCTTTGAAGAACAGCCTTTCTTGTTCTGCATTCATTCCGACATGCCGACTGCGCTTGACAATGCTAAGGCGTGTAGAAAGTCAGTGGATGAATACAATATTAAGAAAGGTTGGTAAGGAACAGTCAATCCGTAATTCTTCTATTACGATTGGATGAATATTAGAAACAGAGACCTGAGTGTACGAGGCATGATCAAATTTTCCGCCCTTCAATATAAACAGCAAACTTGGCATACCTGTATGTTGGTGTTCCCCTAGTGACGCTTCCACTATGAGACTAGCGTTGACATCCAGTGAGCGAGTGAATGAGTGATTCATAAAGCTGACCCAGCCTCTGCGAGCTGTAGCCGTGCCGAATGACGATTGTCTACACTGCACGAATGAGTGCACGTCTGTACCTCACGAGCCACAGGCCCAGTAACTAGGTATCGATAAGATAGGAATCTTGTTCCCGAGTCCCGATAAAAAAGGTAATATGGGTACCTACCCACATAACTACTAAAAGTTTACACTTGGCTACCCCTGAATCAAATTGCGGGGTTGGATAAGTAGCCGGGTCGGCTCTCTCGACACCCCCCCATGCAACACCATAGTACATAGTGGCATCCTGAACCGTAGTCAACTCCAACTCAGATATATTATGAATACTCTTATCAGGATCCTACGGAACTATACCGCGTTAATCTATTCTCATCATACGACAATGACTACCTAAATCCTAATATAGCTATGATCGCCGACTCAGCTGTTGCCGTTATCCACTCCGAAATGGTAGACGGCACGTAGGACTCAGCATGCCCTCAGTCCCACTGATTAAAGATTATCACTGGCTGATCAGTCGATAGGGACCATTGCCCTAAGGCGTACTGTGGATACGCACATCTGCTAATCTTGAACCCCGCACTTTGCACTACAATTATGGCGAGCTTTGACGACACGTCATCATAACGACAGTATCCTTAAGACCATGGTTCCGATATGATAGCTATCCTAATCGAGGAATTATTTGCAAGTGTAACTCAGAACCACTGAGCAGAACTTCATATCAAGTCCATCCATCCTTATATATAGAGAACTCCGCAGCTCAGGAGTGCAGTGCCTACGATGAGTTCTTCGGGAAATGGACTTGAAACATTTAACCTGGGGGACTTTAAGCTTGAGTCGGGTGAAATCCTCACAGGTGCATTACTAGCATACAAGACCTATGGTGATCCTCAAAATGCAGCGATCATCAATCCAACCTGGTATACAGGATGTTCGGCGCCCTTGAACCGCACATCTGTGGATGTTCCTGCTGACTTCAGTCCTAGCTGTTCACGATTGCGCCAAAAACTTCTCGAGCTCCAACGTGTCACTGAATCCTTCACAATATTTTATCGTCGTCCCGGCGCTTTTTGGAAACGGTGAAAGCACCTCTCCTTCAAACCGGCCTGACCTCGGTGAGAATTTTCCAACGGTCACGTTTGCCGACAATGTTCATGCACAGTATCGGCTACTCACCGAGAAACTTGGTGTAAAACATGCCAAAGCTGTGGTTGGCTGGTCGATGGGTGCCGCCCAGTCGTACCAGTGGGCTGTTCAGTATCCTGACTTCATGGATTGCATTGCGCCTATATGTGGCTCAGCAAAAACTGCAATTCACAACAACGTCTTCTTGGAGGGGGTCAAAAGTGCGTTGATTGCCGCTCGTGGCGGTACCAGTCTAGGGATCGGCAAGGGGCAACAGTACCCTTCGAGTAGCCCCTGGACGACTGAGCAGCGGGTAGTTGGTCTCAAAGCATTGGGACGAGTATACGCAGGATGGGGTTTCAGCCAACCTTGGTACCGGCACAATCACTACACCCACTTCGGTGCTCGGGATGCAGAAGACTTCATTGTCAAATTCTGGGAAACATGGGCGCTTACGAACGATCCCGAAGATGCCTTAGTCATGCTCCGTACCTGGCAACTTGGAGACATTTCAGCCTTGCCACAATTTGGAGGAGACCTGAAGAAGGCTCTTGGGAGTATCAAGGCGAAAGCTGTGCTTGCCCCATGCAAGACCGATCTGTATTTTCCCCCGGAGGATTCTGAGGTTGAGGTAGACAATATGCCGAAGGGGAGAGCGACCTTGAGCGTTATTCCCAGTATATGGGGTCACTGGGCTGGAGGGCCTGGCGACAGTAAGGAGGATTGGGCATTCTTAGATGAGCAGATGGGGAGGCTCCTCTCAGAGGTGTAGTACTGCTGTACATGGATGTAAATATATCAGCCAGCCATTGTAGATGAATCTTCAAAATGCCTTAGAAGGTATCGATCAATATTCGTTCCCCGTTTTCTGAAAACCATGTATCGGCATTATTATATATCGTGCCAGACACCGGTATCTCAATCAAGCGTCCACCATGAATAAGCAGGCCAGGTTTGCGTTCAAGTTAAGCATGAGGTGGATGGCAGAATTCACAAATGTTGAACTTGAATTGGATGCTATCGCACGAATACTGTCGAACGAATATAGCAATTTAGATAAATTCACTCTAAAATTCTCACTACTAACATCGATTCTACGAGATTTTCATTGAAAGTGAAGAAAACGACTTAAATTTCTACCAGGGCAAAAATACCAGATCGCAACCCTTGTCTACTTCAGTGACCCACACCGAAGATATATAAGGCGCTAGCCTGCTCTAATCACGGCCAGTGTGATTGAACACCCCAGTGGTAGGAAGAGAAGTGAACCCTCTCCCACAATAGCATCTGCTCTATACAAAGAGTCGGCACTAATGCGCACGGAAGCCATGCTCTTCAACTAGTTTCCAGTAATGCGGAGCTGTAATTTCTCGCCCTTTCTTGCCGTAAGCAATCATGACGAAAGAAAGACCATGGATGCCCATGCCCAAAAATGCCATCAGGAGGAACGCTCCTTGAAGGCCCAAGTTGTCGATCATCGGCGACACTGCATATGAGAAAGCAAATCCTTTCAAGGTAGTCAGCAAATCTGCCATATATTAGAGAACCAGGGGCTTGTGAACTTACCCATGCAATTCCGGATGATAATAACAGTAATCAAAGCCTCTCCAGCAATCTCCTTGTAACAATCAACGCAATAGTTCAGAGCGAGGACAGATCCCATAACAATTGCGCATGTCAATACCCCAAGGCCGAAGCAGACCCCTACCCAATGGATACCTTTCGCAGCACCCACACCGTACAAAACGCATCCTGCGGGATGGAGGATAAATGGAACGATGGCCACCCATAACCGTGCTTCCGGCTCCTTGATTCCGTTGTTTTTTCGGGCCACAAATGTCGCAATGCTATCATTGAGCCACCCTGAGATCAGGCAACCAATCGTGCACCCAATCAAACAGGCGATGTACGTAAGACCGACCATATTGGCACTGAAATTGTACGGGTCGCCATCGAAGACCGAAGAAATGGTACCAAGCAGTACATTGAACCAGGAGAGAATGCCGCCAACCAGTATACCCGAGAAGACAATGCTGGGATACCGGAGAAGTTCGAAAGGCAAAAAGAAAAATTTCATGAAGGTGTTCGGCTGCCGGGGGTCGCGGTGGCCCCATAGTTTCAACTTCTGCACAGAGCTCTTGACTTGATACGTCTCGCCGACTTGTTCGACAGAAAGTCCCGATGATTGGGATGCTTTTTCGTCATCTGTATTCTTCTCCGCCAAGGCTCGGACGTCTGCTTTTTTGGTATCGTCCTCCGCGTCCACAATTCCATCGACATGCGGGCGGTAGAACATGGTCTCCTCAAACAGGAAGAAGCATGCAATGGTGAGAAGGAATCCCACCACGGCATACATTCTATTGATCCAGCGCCAGCCTGCGGCTTCCGCAAGAAACCCGGCAGGAATCGGAGCTATGAAAGCTCCACCCCAGAGCCCCCAGTTATATAAGCCCATATGTAGACCACGTTCGTGGATGAACTTAGTGTCTGTAATGCACAGCTCAATCAGGCACTCAATAGCGGAGAAAGAGATTCCGATCAAGATGCGGTTGGCATACCATTCGGCCGCAGAGTTCATGAAGGAGCTCCAGAGGACAAGGAAGGAAGTGATAAGCATTGAGAAGACGGCCGCGGGACGACGACCATAGTTGAGTGCATACGGTTGAGTAATCAAGTTAGCGAAGCCGAATAGCAGGTACATCAACCCATTGCCGGTGTTAAGTTGAAAAATTGTGATTCCAGTCTCTTCGTGGATGAGCAAGTACGCTGGAGTGAGACCGTTGATGTGTGCTGAGCCTAACAAGGTCCACGCCATCTGAATAAGGGTGCTAATCAATCGGCGTCTTGACGACCAGCTGAGGGGGTCATTCGGGTCTTCAGTCGGCTGAGGGACCAAGATGATGTCCTTCTGATTTTTCCCGTGGTGCAGATTCGACGTGCCTTGAAGATCGACCAACTTGACCGTACCGGGGACTGGGAGGGACGACATTGTGAAATGGTCGTTTTAATGACTCGAAAATATGAAAAGAATGTATGCATCTAGGACAGTAATTTGTATAGAGCCATCAAGGGGAATATATGCAGCATTTCAAGGAACAATGGACTGTACTTTGATATGAACGCAAGGTGATATGGATGTTAACTCTAGACTAGGAACATGGATCTCGAAAAGGGGGTCTTCGTCCTGGTGAGATACATCTACGCTATCTCCTAAGATAAAGGTCAATCAGCAAGCGTTCATTTGCGAATTGCGATGGACGATTATCCCTAGGCCGCGAAACTCACAGCTCTATTGCCGATGCAAATGCGTACCCCGTACTCCCGTTGACTTTAGTTCTCAGCCGCTGTCAACAAGGCTTCGGTAATGTCAGTCATCCCAGTATGCGATGTCTGATAGTCCGTCCCGTATTACCAAATTAGGCAATGCGGCAACCGGCACCAAGGTAGTCGTAGTTCCAAATACTCCGTTCCGGACGGTATCTCCTAGCGTTTCCCATTGTGGGTCACTTTGGAGGTCGTAGCGCCGTACTACGTACATCCTAGGGCTAGCGCTTTAGCGCATGCTATATCCGATATGATGGCAGATAAACTATCTTCCGTCATAGGTAGATAGGTGCAATATATGCGTATTGTGATATTCCTATAATGGACTACAGTGCAACAGCTTTGGATATCGATAATTGGTACGTTTATGCTCACTACTGGAATCTCTCTCCATTAGATATATTCAAACATGGAGTTCACACCGATAGAGACGGAGGGGTTGGTGATGGAGGAGCTAAATTCGGGATTTAAGCACATGCCTGTGGTTCTTGATGATATGCGACCTGATGAAGTTCTGGTGGAGATGAAATATACTGGAATTTGCCATACCGTGAGCAATGCAGCTTCGCAGCATATCTTATCTCTCCTATGTTTGGCAATGGCTGATCGTGTTGGAACAACAGGATCTCGTTGCTTCTGCCGGCGCATACACTGTTCTCGACTTTCCCGCTGTGCCTGGCCACGAAGGAGCTGGTGTTGTCCGCGCAGTAGGGCCTGAAGTTAAGGACACATCGCTCAAAGTTGGCGCGAGCGTGATCCTGTCTTTCAACCACTGTGACAGCTGTGCAAATTGCTCGGCAGGTCATCCAGCGTGCTGTTCGAGATTTGAGCATCTTAATCTCGCTGCAAAACGACTCGATAACAGCAATTCGGCGAAGCTCACAGATGGCCGGCGCGTATCAAGTCAATTCTTCGGGCAGTCGTCCTTCCTGAAACTCTCTGTAGTCAGTCAACACTCAGTGATTCAGTGTCCATACCCAGAAAATTTGGCGCTATATGCTGCATTAGGGTGCGGATTTCAGACCGGAGCAGGAACTGTCCTCAACGCTCTCAAGCCCTCTGTAGATGATTCCTTTCTCATATTTGGGGCCGGGACCGTCGGCATCGCGGCGATCATGGCAGCAAGGTACTTGGGACTGCGACAGATCATCGTCGTGGACATTGTCAACGAAAAGTTGGAGCTAGCTAAAGAGTTGGGAGCCACTCAGGTTGTCAACTCGAGAGAAGTTAAAGACATCCCGTGTGAGATCCAGAAAATTACGGACGGAGGAGCTCGTTTTGCTATCGATTGCACCGGTGTATCTGCAGTCATCGATATGATGATCGATTGTGTCTGTTGCCGTGGGACTGTCGGCGTGGTTGGCAGCCCTGACCCGAACTTTGTTTTGAAACTAGACCCAGTGCATCTTTTGCACAACAATAAGACTGTGAGGGGGATTTGTCAGGGAGACTCTATTGCCCAAGAGGTAAGGAGATTCGCTCCTTTACACTAGCCAACAGCTGAAACTTTGAACCAGTTCATCCCGAGAATGATGGAGCTGCATCGATCTGGTAACTTTCCCCTGGAGAAGCTCTGCAGCTTCTACGATGTAAAAGACTTCGAACAGGCAATAAATGAGGTACGGAATGGAAAGGTATATTGATAGCCATCTCTTGGAACAAGACGCAAGACTAATGTTGTGGTAGATCATCAAACCAATCCTGAAATGGAGTTGAGCCAAAAATGAAGTACCTACAGTTGAACACGACCGTTCATTCAGCCTTGAATGACGAATGTTTAAGCCACGATATTTCTTGAACAATATTTCGAAAAGTTCCACGAAATATTAGTATTATCTAAGTCCCAGTTAACTAATGGTGTTTGGAAATTCGCCATCGTTCCGGACAATCAGAACTCGGGAGCCTAGTATATCCATATACCATGCTCCGCCCCCACTTGGCCCTGCAACTTGGCCACATTTCTCTAACGCCCCAATACGTACGGAGTACCGTTGAGCCTCTGCTAGGATCTTCGGATTGTAGAACCACTGGCCTTCCTTGACAGCGGTGCCCTTATCGTCCCCCTGAAACCGCAGGCAACTTAAAGCAGCACCTCGCAGTTCCAGTCAGACTCTGTGAAAACTGTCACTGCTACTTCGGATGATACCATGATAATTTCGTGCTTACTCTCTCAGTTCCTGTAGCATATTCAAGCTGTACACAGTTCAGTTTTGTCGATAGAAGTTCGGCGACACACTTGTGGAAGGTATAATGGATGTTCCTAGCGTCTCCCTTACTACGGAGTAGGGCACGCCTCGGATCTTTCGGATTTCGGAGATCGGGGAACTAGGGCAAGGTCAAATACATGGGACTCGGGATATCCACTCCCCGGATACCCCATGGTGGCCTTGAATTTCTGACGTTAAATTCTTTTCTAGAATACGTAGTATAACCAGTTCAGCCAATCCTGCTTCGAACTGTTACTTCTTCGTGCCTAATATAGCTTAGTGTCTTCACAAAACCCCTGTCGATCGATTCAAGTTACTCCGTACCTCCGGTGCATGTCCAAGGAAGTGGTGCTAGGCTGGAATTTGAAGCAAGCGACCACTCGTGTTGTTTACACTCGGTCTGCTGAGCAATTGGTTAAGTTCGGTATTCGCTCGCCTCGTTTACGCGATACGAAGGGACCGAAAAGTATCTTACTATTTCTCGTTAGGCTGGTGAGATTTTCCCACCAGGTTTTGAGATTTCCCACCAGCGCTGGTATGGTGGAAAATTAATCGCTCAACTGGGCCTAGCGCTCGTTTCCCTTCATCTTCACCTAGAGATAACTGCAAATTTCAATGTTCAATCTGTTTCTTCTCTTACAAACGGAGCAGACCTCACCATTCTGGTGTTAAGACACGATATTACTACTACTCTGGTCGATCCGGAAAATATCAGTCAAGAGCAAGGATTCTAAGCACGAGTACACGCTTAATAGGGGTACTTTTAGGCTTCTCATATTCAAGAACAAAGACGACGACAAGTAGAAGCTGGAGGTTCTACACAAGCATCACAACCACCCCCGATCATTTAACCCTAGTGCGCATAATGTCTATTGCAGCAGACAGAACTGATCGAATCACGGAATATGGCTCTTGCTATAAGCGGAGTGTATGCTTGCTGCACTCCAACAATGGCATAGAGTTATACCTTTGGAGATATGGAAGCTTTCTACACTGAAAAATTTGCACAAGTCGATGCTCAAAATGCTCTTTTTAAGTCTCAAGATGTGCCCAGACAGCGCCCCAAGCGCGCTGCAGTAGAGGCGGCTTCAAATGCTTGGAAAGGACTCGATTCGTGCAAGAGGTAGCACCGTCAGTAGAAAGAGGATATACCTAATAATATAGAGAAGCTAATATATGTTACTTAAATGGAACAACAGATTGAACATGAAAGTTGTCGAAGATGGAAAATGAGCGCTAGGCCCAGTTGAGCGATTAATTTTCCACCATACCAGCGCTGGTGGGAAAATCTCATTTGGTGGGAAAATCTCACCAGCCTTCTCGTTATTAGCGGTACGATTCTGTATAACTAGTTATAAGCTGGTTTTGGTAAGCTTATCCAAGGAACTGAAAAGGTATGTTCGCTAAAACTTATACGAGCGTGAGCTTCGCGAGGCGAGCGCCTCGCCTTTCTTTCGTAAGGTATGATCTCGCTCATGTTCGATCATTAATCCAGCCTGAATGGTGCCAATCTTTGTGTAGTAAAATCAGCGTCCTTTTACTTACTTTCCTTCACATAACTACTACTTGCACACACAACTCGTTCCCAGAATCGTAGGGCTTCTGCAGGGAACACAACACTTATATTCCTGGATCACCTACGGAGTAGCGCATTAAATAATTCTACAGTTTGTGAATGAAAATCTCCCAATTTGGTAGGACTCATTTCATTCAGCTGTTCTATCACGGGCAAGGTTCAGTTGGTCTGAGGAACTGATACGACTGATATATTCCGTAGAAATGACCACCGTATGCTTGAGCATTACCTACAGCTTTCAGAGGTATAATTCGCATAATTTTTAGGTAACCTTTTGTTTAAGACGTTGAATTCCTTAACGGTTCGGTCAAAGGTGGTTCTCCAATATTTAATATAAAACGTGCGAGAAGACTCGAGATTGAACAACATCGGCGATATTTGCGCTACGATCCGCACGTCTATTCTATGCGGTATTGGACCAAATCATAATTGTTGTTTTGGTTGCATGTCTTCATGTCTCCGCAAGGGGCATGCGAAGTTCTTTAAGCCTAATTCTCGCTCGCTGTCCTCGGCTTCCAGACATTCCGGGAGGAAAGGTTCCAACTATTCGAAATCCGGATAAACCCATAAATTGTCCAGAGGCAATGGCGTAGGTTAGCATGATGAATGTGCTGCCAATTATCTTCGGGGGATAACACTGTGCTGCTGCTTGTCTTTGCTACGGATTCATCTCACGCCCGATGCTGGAATCAGTGCCGACAGTATAAGGTACGATAGGATTGTTGTGTGCGCTACTTCGATTACGAAAGTCTATGTATGTATCCATTATTAATGCCCACTATGTCCATTGGTATGGAATTGCCTTTCTATTCATTTTCCAGTGAGCCAATCTTACTTTTGGTATTCAGAATTATGTTTACAGTTAATTTTCTTGGTATTGTGTTTTAGCATCAATTTCTCAAGTCTATTCAGTTTCTCTCTCTGTCGCTATGCGTCTTTCCAGCCTATTGGCCCTCCTCTTCCAAACGTTCTGGAACCCCCTAATTCTGAGCCCCAGGGTTCTTTCATGTTCGATCCAAGAGGAACATAGGCCGGGATGCCGCATGCGCTTCCACCCTATGTTGCGTCTTCAAATCGCACTGGAACGCCAAATAAAAGCCAACCATGTTGGCCAGTCTCACCTAGTGCCGGTGCATTTTTCGATGGATTTATAGATCTATGGGGCCTTCGCTCCACATTCATTGCTTGTTCGGCTTGTGAAGAGTTGCGCACTTCGAAAATTGAACCTCGCGGACGCTCTGCATGCAAATGTGAAACCGCTCAAAAAGGAGATGCGAGATGGTCTTGCAGTTGAAGATGACCTTGGCAAACAAGGTGCCCTCCAGGTCAGTTCGAAGCGAAATGGGTCCGCTGGTTCCCCTTGCAGTGTCGAGGCGCCCATTGAAGGCGGTATTAAACGTTACCTCCTTGAGAGCGTCGATGTTGATCATGTAGGTGTATTGGGAAGGCTTGCCCCTGGTACAGAGAAGGAGGTTGAGCATCGAAATGACTTTGCCTTTGGACTCCAGCTCCTCGTCAATAGTCGCGTTGAGGTACACCTCAAGATCATATGGCCATCGCTCGACCATGGTGAAGCGGAGGCCTTGGACTGCCTCCAGGCTATCCACAATGTGGTGCTCGACGGAAGCAGTGTCGCCAATTTTGGATTTTCTCATGATGGATTCTCCTCTACAGGCAACATAAATGTAAGGAGGATTAGGTGCATATAAAATGGACTATGGAGGTCCTCAGTATCATCCCGTTGCTGGTCCACCCGAGAGCAGTTGTTTGGGTGTTTAATATCCGTATCCGACGGTGATTTATACGGGTACGATACATACAGTGCTCGAGGACAATACTAATACCTTTCAAATGTCATTGTTTGAATATTGAAAGAAATATCTCGCCATTTTTGAGCGACTTGTCCTTTGTTGCGTGTTGACTTTCATTGAATCATTGGGGCAGGGGGCTCTTTGTTATGGGAGTTATTACTTCTCTTTCAGGAGAACAACGCAATTGTTAAAATCTATTGGACCTTGAAAAGCCTCATTTAGAAGACTCGAAAACTCAGACTCGTCGGATATTGGGTAGTCGGCCCCCGTAGTCTATCCAGTTTGATGATCGGTGGAATGGAATCCCTGACTCTAACCCAGAGATCTTGAGGTTCTGCTTCTGCGAGTGAGTTCGATTTAATCGATATAGGAATAATGCAGTTCATCTAAGTTTGGGAAGGAAGAATGAGTATGAGAGAATCCCCTCCGTTCTCCCCAACTTTGACGTGGATGGGGTGAGGGGCGCTCTGGTGTCAAATCTCGGTCCACCACTGGCACCTCTGATGCGACCTTAGAGAATCACCATGATTTTGCCAAATAGAAAGCGAGTTCTGTTTTTGCCTTTGAGCTGATTTGTAGGCAATGTGCTTCAGATTTCCTGTCGGGTTGAGATACGGGCGATGTTGATATAGACAGACTGGATAGAGTAACAGATTGCACGCGTTTGACACGTGCAGATTAATATGCCAGTAACTTTCACAGCGTTTCCCGTTCCCAGATTGGATCATGATCTGCCTGCTTCATTATAAGGTTATTCTGGGAGCTAGACTCATTTTGAGAGGCATGAACAGGCTGCTAAGGAGAGCAGGCGACTGTCTGCAGTATCATTACAATCACAACAGCGCATCCGAAAGAGCGTAAGACAAAAATTTGCAGGGCTACCCATAGTGTTCGAGTGAGACATGCTCGCTCAATTCAGATGTGATGTACCCAGGATTCAAACATTCCCAACCCGGTTTCGTGTCACCGGCTTGATGTTCATCGCTATGCGAAGCCGAAGTCAGGATCCGCCCCGTCTCCGTCCGTCTAAATTCTGCTTCACTCACAACTCTGATCATGCTTTAGGTTGCAGCTGAACAGGTAGTCCTCTCTCCAGTTACCGACGGGTCTATCTCTTGATGTTTTCTTTTTCGCTTGTTTTGTTTTCCACCCATCGGTCCCTTGGGGTTCGAATATCCCAGACACAGATCCATTTTCTTCGGCTCAAACCAGGGCTCCTGTACTGCATATGCTGGTTCCCTAGACGAACACATCTTCGGATCTGCCACTCGCCACCACAATAATTCCTTCTCCGGCCCATCCGGGGCCTCGGACATGTCATCCCACTGCTGCACAAGCTGGCTGCCATACAGACGATGGAAGTTCGGGAAGCACAACACATCCTTGACGCAATACGCAACGAAGAAGTGGGTGAGGGGCCGAAGGCAGTAGTCGTGCAACGTGCCCCCTTCCAGTGGATCCAACGATTTGTTCGCTGCCAGGTGAATGTCGGTCCATGATTCGATCCACGGTAGGTCGAGTCCTGCCTTAAACCAATCTCTCGCCATCAAAGTCCCGAAATCATAGAGATCGTCCTTTTCCCGTCCCAATGTCGCGCATTCCATCAACTGCAATTCTTTCACGTTCTTGACGTTGACGCCGAAATGCGAGGAGAGCCTATCCGTAATTCTTTTTGCCTCGAAAACCACTATGGGCGTGTTGCGAGCTTCGAGGAACCCTTTCAGTGACATGGTCTTGTCACCAACGAGGCATGTGGTAAATGCGGAGCTTCCCAGGGCGCAGATGTCGACCGTGTAGAGGCAGTGGAAGGATCGTATCTCGGAGGGCGGTGGCGTTAGGTAGAGGGAGAGAACGGAGGTGACGCTATCTTCGCAAGGCCGCGTGCCGGTGAGATCGAGGTAGCAGACCCATGAGCCACGGAGGAGGAGAAGGGCTTCGATAAGCATTCTTACCTTCCCGGGGGTATCGATGAGTTTGTGGTTGTCGGAATGGATCCAGTCGGTTAGTTTGAAGGACCCGTTTCCGCGGCTTGTAAATATCGCCATTTTGGTGTGATGAGATCGAAGCAAGGTTGAAATCTGAAGGCGCGGCGGGTTGATTTGCTTCATCGTGAGAAATCAAATCAGGCTTTAAATTTGGTGTGGCCTTTTGTTTTGTTTCATTGTGATAACTCGATGAATTCACCGCTCGAGTACACGACCCATCTTCACTAGAGCTGTGTTAGATGACTCGATTAACTTCCCTTCCAAGAACATGAACATTCTTCCACGGCACTTCAACACTGGCGCCATGAAAACAATCACGTCTTCTCCATTAATACATTTTGCAGCTAGAGACGCTTTGAAAATGACTCTCCTTGAACTTGAACGCATTTGAAAAGGACCGAGTCAAGAAGAAATTGCAATGCAAAGGAGGAAGAAGGTAAGCAGGTACCCAACCCAAGTCGAAAACACACGCCTGCCATCGATTGATCATTGAATAAAGTATAGAAATTTAAGATATTGGTACTTAGCCGAAGGGATACGTAAACGGCGTACTTCAGCCTCTAGGTACTCGTCTGTTCCTTTCAGTCACCGTTGGTCTTTATATAAAAAGTTTGCTGGCCTTCTAGCACTTCGAGTATGGGATGTCAGGTATTACTGCACTGTATTCGGTCCATTTAAGGACAAATATGCTTCGTGATACCATTATTCGCATTATCCGCACAGTTATCCAAGCGGATGATATTCGCCGGTTGGGCTGATGTTGTCAGGTTGAGATCTGTTCCGAACTTTCTGATATCCATAGAGTAGCCTATAAGCCTAAGAGCGCCACAGAGTTCAAGCCACAAATCCTACTCTGCTTGACCCCCACGCGCACTTCCCTTCCATCATCTGTCGCTTTCCCTTGTTCTATTGGAATATGCAACTCAACCGTACCAAGTTAAGAGGAACGATGGTATAATGAACCAGAAACATACGAGAGCTATCCCGCTAGGGAAGTGTATTCTATGTGACTTCGCAGCCTCACGATTGTGGAAGTCCAGGGCAATGTGGTTCGAGGGACGGGATCAGGGTGTATGATCTATATAAAACTGCTCAAGATTTCCCGGGATCTGGACAAAGATGCTTCCATTTTCAGTTTCAAAGATCTACAAACGCTAATCCAGGCGAGACGCTATATGAGCAAACTGAAATGCTATTGGTGGCATCCATTTATGCGCTCTAGGTTGCCCTTGAAGTGATGAAACGAGCATGGCATCCTAGGTGCTTCTCTCCGCATTTCAATCACATTTATCTATACCACGTGTTTATATGATGTCTTACACCAAGAACCTTTCATTAACTGTTATTTCTCCGCCGCACCGTTCCAGGGCTAATGTTTGAGTCCAAGCCTCCAAGTCCGTGGCCAACAGGCTTTCTAGTCCTGCAACTCGCTCAAGTGTTTTTTCAAGCCAATGCGAACGTCCGTTTGGCGCTCCGAATATCAAGATCTTCACTTTCAATATGCCTGAAGCACGGCGGCGTACTATCGCGAATATTCCGCCGACGGGGAAATCTTGGACTGCGGGGAAGTCTGTTCTCCTTACATAGTGGATGCTAATACTCCAGGAAATAGGAATATAATAGCCTTGGGTTCCCTACTTCTGAATTCCAGCAACCGGTCACGTCGTTCCATTTTTGTTTCTCAGGTCTAAAGTCAAAGTCCATTCAAGATGTTCGCTAGTGCACTCCTTTCTCTTTTGATGATCGCCAGCAGAGCCAACGCGCTCCCTCAGGCAGGCGGATCTTGCGGTGCTGGTAAGGTCGATGAGCTTGTCGGATACGGTGCTGGAACAACCGGAGGTGGAAGCGCCTCTGGAACTACAGTGACATCCTGCGCTGCGTTAAAATCATCTTTGGCCTCCGGCGGAGTGATTAAGATTAATGGCATGCTCAGTGGATGCGGTGTGCTCGACGTGAAGGGCAGCACCACCATCGTTGGAGTTGGCGCCAATTCCGGTATGACATAAAGGAATGCAAAGACAATCCTCTAATGATACCTAACATGTATTACTAGGAATGACGAACGGTGGACTACGATTGAAGTCGGCGAACAATGTTATTCTTCGAAACCTGAAGATGAAAACTCCACCAGAGAAAAAAGATATCATCGCACTTGACAAATCCTCCAAAGTCTGGATCGACCACTGCGATATCTCATCCCAAGGAATATCCGGAGACAAGGACAAATATGACGGCTTGCTCGACATCACTCACGCGAGCGACCAGGTCACCGTCTCCTGGACCAAATTCTCCAACCACGTAAGCAACCCATCTATCCCCTCGTCAGCGAAACAGATCCGTCTTGCTAACCCCACCCAGTGGAAAGGCTCCCTCATCGGCCACTCAGACAATAATGCCGCGGAAGACCGCGGTAAGCTGAGAGTGACCTACCACCACAACCTCTTCACCAGCGTCAACTCGCGCACGCCGTCTGTCCGCTTCGGCACCGCCCACATCTACAGTTCCTGCTACGAGAACAACCCGACCTCGGGGGTCAACTCGCGCATGGGCGCGCAGGTTCTCGTCGAGAGCAGCTCGTTCACCAAGTCCCCGAAGTCGATCATCACGAATCTGGATAGCGATCAGGAGGGGTTTGCGCTGAGTAAGGATAATATCTTTGATGCTGTGAGCCAGCCGGCGATTACGAAGCAGGGGAACTTGGCGCCGCCGTATAAGTATACGTAAGTTGCTTCGGTGCTGGTGGTGGTGGTTGCATTGATGCTGACATTGAGCAGGCCGGATCCCGCTTCCTGCGTGTGTGAATTGGTGAAGTCGAAGGCTGGGACTGGAGTTGTTAGTTAATCATCGGATGCTGCATATTATTGAACCACAGCTGCAATGCATTATTGCTGAAAGCAACATGCACTTGAAGTTTCAATCGCAGTGATGCAGGCCCACAAGTGTACAAGATGCTGAATGACTAAACTTCAATGCATTCATGGTAGCCACTCTTCGCTATTCATGCTGATTGATATAAAGCATCTATGAGTCCATCCGGTGGTGCTATCGGCTTCCAACGTTTTCGGGGGAATCGGGAATAACGAAATGAAGCCTATGGTATATCTTTGCGTTCAACTGTTGACCAAGCCTCCCGGTCGCCATGCCGGCTCCCAGCCCACTGCGAACGCTCTCAACCCGACAAGTAAGCCTGCATCGCCGCCTGCGCCTGCCCATCCAACCGCTCATTCACAAACCCAACAACCTTCCCCCCACTCTCCGCATTCGCCTGGATCAAATACTGCCCCACCCATGTCTTCACCTCCGCGATCTCCGCAAACGGATCATCCACCGCCTTTCGGCACGTGCCGAGCGCCGTGAAGCCGACACCGAACGCCAAGTCCTCGACGTCGCCGGCGTCGACGAACTCGTCGTGCTTGATCACCGGCGGGTTGTAGAGTTGGTCGAGGAGCGCTTTGGCGGTATGGGCCCAGCCTTTGGGGAAGCGTGTGGCGAAGGCTTGGGAGGTGGCGAGGGTTTTGGTGAGGGAAACGACGGCGGTTTTGCGGTCGAGGGGGCGCGTGAGCTTTTGGGTGGAGGGGAGGATGAAGGTGGTATACAACTGCTTGAAGACGCTGGGAGGAAGGAAGTGTTAGTTTACTCGATTCAATATGGAAAGAAGTCACTTACTCGTGTTGGATGTCGTCGGTGATTTTGATGAAGACATCGGTTCCAAGACCCTTCTCCGGTCGCGCGGAGAAAAAATGGTAGAACTTGGTGAACCGGATGGGGAGATTGTCGGATTTCAGCTTGTCGTTGGCTTGGTTCGACAGCCGGGTGAGTATCAATTGGACCATCGGGACGAAATATTTTTGCAGGTGTTCGGCCGGCACCGAGAGGAAGACGGATTGAAGGAGATCGAAGCCGGAGTTCTCGTGAGTTTTCGTGGAGATGAGCTTCTGGAATATTCCAAGGACTGCTTCAACCTGATTGTTTGCCACAATAATGTTAGCACCGCGAACGAGGATCGCGGCGAGCAAGCGAACCAGAGCGGGAACGTTGCCTTTCGTTTCCCACAGATTCGGCAAGAGGATGGGTTGGATGAGAGATTTGTGAAGTTCGGAAAGGGAACCAGAGGGGTTCGCTTCGAGCAATGCGGCAAGGAGCTGGAAGACGTATGGCATGAATTCCACTACGTCTTCCTGCAATACCATCACGAAGGGCTGTGAGAGGGTATCCTCGAATTTGGCGGACTGAGACGGAGCGACAAAACGGATGAGGGCCCCTGCCGCTTCAAAGTGGTAGTAGTAGAATCGTGGATTGCTGGGATTCTTCATAATTGCCATGGTGATTTTTACCCAGCTGGATAGAAGATAATCCACAAGTGGTGTAATCCCGTCTTGCACCACGATCAACACTCGCATGACGCATTTCATGAGGAACTCGTTCTCTTGAATCTTCTCCGGAGCAGGATCTTGTTGGATCAGGTTCAGCAAATGTTCCAGAAGATCCTTCGATAGGTTGATCACAGCGTCCTTTGATATGAGCGGTTGTCCATTGACTTGGAGGGCCAACGCTCTCTCCAGTGCAATTGATGCCGATGTGTAGATGCAGTAGTTCGATGATTGGAGATGTTGGACAAGCAGTGGGAATGCGGTTCCCCAATTTTCTTGAGTCAACTGGGATCGGAACACATAGACAAACTTGATCGCGTCAACCTGCAAGATCGGGTGGATATTCGTGCTCGTCAGGTCGGGGAGGATGTTGGTGGTCAGGAAGTTGCTGATGTTTAGGTGTGGGTTCGTCGTCACGACACCCGCAGTCGCGGTGGCCTTGCCTTTGGCACCGACTGCGGTGAACAGGTAGCCGGCAAGATCCTTCGACTTCCAGTTCTTCACCTTGTCCTGTGCGAAAAGTCCAAGGTGCTCTTCTATGAGCTTCAAGGCAATTGCCGTGGCCGGCTTCTCCAGATGAGACATGAGTCCCCGGAGGAAGTCCGTTGCAGCACCTCGTCGAGTCTCGGCGTCAGAACCTTCCAGATCTCTTCGGATGTACTCGATCGGCTCGTCTTCAAATTGTTCAATATCGGATTCTCGGAGGGTGAGGTTCGAAACAATGATCTTTTCCACGACCTGGGTAAGGACATTCTCATCACTGAAGGACTCGGCAGCATGCTTCTCTTTCATGCAAACGGTGGTCAGGAAGTGAAGGGCTTTGCTGACCAAGACGTCGTACTTCGTTTCCATGCCAATTCCAGTCAGGAGGGTCCACGAGCTCTGGATGAAATCGCGAGTAACGTCGTCGAATACGTCCGAATATTTGAGGCCAAAGAGGCTCAGAATTTCAAAAATGGCAGACTTGGTATTCTCGAGCACCCCGGCCTCCGAGTCATCGTCCGTCTCCAGAAGAGGATTAGAATATAAAAGGTATTTGTTGAACAGCCCCTGGAGTCCCTTGAAATTGTCCTCAAATACCGGGGCCAAGTCATGACAGGTCAGGTCGTAGAAAAGCTGCATCAGCAAGTAGAGCGTCGTCACCCATTGCTCGAGCGGCTCTTTATTGGATGCATTGCTTGTGATTGCCTGGTCGGTGCTTTGAAGGAGCGTCAGGAATGCGTTGCCGAACTTGCTGATAACATGGAGAATCTCCAGATACAGCTCGTCGCTTTGGGTCAGAGGACGCCATCTTTCGCATATTGAATGCGCCACGCGAAGGACTCCATTGTTCACGGTCGGATTATCGGCGGTGAGTCGAGATGCGAGGTCATCTATGAGAGAGTCCCATTGCTCCGGGAAATCACTTTCCGCGATCACGCTGACGGCTTCCCCAAGTTGCGATTGTATCGAGGGCGGCGATGAGATCATCAACCCGATGATCTCATGTTTGATGCTCTCCACTTCCGACTGTGGCAGTTTGTACTCGCCTTCCAGAGTTCTCCAGTTGCGCCTTATGAAATTCTTGAAGTAGAGAGAGCTCGCTAGTCGGGTGTTCAATGGAAACGAGTTTGAAGCCACGATATGGAGAAGCGCAAGTGAGAAACCCGGGGCAGCTTCATTTTGTCTGATTGCCAGCTCCGCTGTAGTGACACACCTTAGTTAGCTATGAACTCCACAAGGATAGAGACGAGACATGGAAATAGTCAAAACATAAGAGGCACAAAGAAGAATATGTTCCGTCCTTCGCGTTCTCTTTTTCATACGACGCCGAAAGCGAACAGCGTCTCTCCATATCAAAAGAGCACTTACCTTGCTTGTTCTGCTTTGGATCCAAACTGGCATCCAAGAGAGCCGCAATAGATTGTAGATCGGTCGCCATACTGAGGAGAAGGCCACTATGACAATGAACGAGGAGGAGAGTGGTAGATTGAAAGTAGAAGTTGGTAACGAAATAAATTCAAGCTGTCCGTGTTTGAAGCTGTTGGCTTCCTGAGGCACAACACAAAGTTTATTAGTGGCGGTTGCTCGCAGCGACTGGTGGAGTAGGGGAACAGCGGACGGCTTGCACCTGATTTGCAAGTTCTGTTGCCTGACAGGTGCGTCTGCGCCTTGTCGCCTTGTTGATTGATTCGGAGGATTCCTCCATTTGATTCCGCTGAGATTTCCTCCATCATTGATCCATGTCAATTTCTTATCGCCTTGTCGCCTTAGAACTTCCAACCGGAGGAACCATTGATCCAACCCTCCAAAATTGAGTCGCGTTTCTTGGCATTTCCCCAGCCAGAGCTCCCGCGACCTTGACCAGAACACGGCGGAGAATTCACCAAAACAGACCTCTAGTAGTCGCTTAGTTAGGAAAAGAGAATTATTTTTGATATTATGCTGTTTTTGATCGAATTGGGCCTGCCTGTAATGGTGGTGATGTTTGGGGGAATGCCAAGATACGCGACTCAATTTTATCCACCCCGAAGGAACCCTCCAACTGCAAGCCTTATTGCTGTTGAAGCCTCGGAGGCTCCAAGATTCATACCTTGTCGCCTTATCGCCTTGTCGCCCTATGCGGAGTTTCTGGACCACAAGATCTGTGAATCAGTTCGTGATATCGCAGATCTTGAAGACTACTCAGTATCTAGCCATCTCTACATCTTCGACCTCCTCCCAACTCATGTGCCCCCGAAAGCCTTCAAGCTTTCGGCCTTGTCACCGAACTTGGCGTCACCGTTCCCGAAACCGACATCAAACTCCATACGGTGCCTTCCCGCAACCCGCAGCATCCAGAACGGCCCACCTGAGTACGGTTAGGTAGTACTTGCTTCTTGCCCAAGCGGTGCTATCCTTTTGGAGTGGATACGAGAGACAAAATTGGGAGGCCTTTTGGAATAATTGCCTTCATATCCATGACAGTCATTGTTGTATAGTGGGCTGCATCGTGTTGCTGGAAGCGGCTCGGGAACTCATGGCCTGATACTCCGCTTCGTCGACTTTGGGAATCGAACTTGAAGTTGGATTTGTCCTACGAGGCCGGTCGAGTGCCGTCCTAGGAGTTATGCCTCCGCCACAAGATACAATACGAACTCCGGACAGAAAGTCTTCTTCGTCAGCACTATTAGGGACATTTAAGAACCTTCTTGTAACCCGTCGATCACAACCCACCATTTCCACCCCACCACCAGCGAGCCATTCCTCAGGAGACCACGAATCGAATTCAGACGTTGTTGATGCGGACCTGAAGAATGGGAGAACCGATGTCGTCGTAGCTCCGGTAGAGCTCAGCCAACAGTTGGAGTTACTCGGCCTCCAACAAGGCTTGGGAACCAGGACCGCCGCCGCACATAAGATCTGCACGTTGTTATCGGAGTATCCGGTTCGAAACATCGCAGGTATATGGCAATCTGCTCAGGATCTGCTGGATGAATCCAACGCCCCAACCGGCCCGACCGCTGGCTATGGGCTACTGTTGGCGTTGGCCAAATGCCCCGATATCACATCCCTCGAACGTCGAATGATCCTCCAAGCGATTCAGAAGGTCCCTCGGGACGAGCGACTAGAAGAACGATTCGGCATATTGCAGGAGCTTTCTCACAACGGGAGGGACGTCGATGTACTCGAAGGCTCATTAGGCGGACTGCTTAATTACTTCCTCAAGAACTCGTATGATATCGTGGTAGATGCGCGGAGAAAAAACAAGCTAAAATTGGAGAGTAGCGCCAAAGAGGAGCTGCTATGCAGCCGAGTGTTCCATCTGGTTGTCGATGTCACGAAATTTAACTCGAGGATTCTCACCAAGGACGACATCACTACGATTGTTGAGCAAGTCATCACGTTTTGCAAGAGGACGAACGTCCAATCCGATATCAGCAACTCGATACTCGTCATGGACGCACTGGTTACATACAACACTGTACCTGATCGGCCCCTTCGGTCCTGGTTAGCGCTGTTGGCAGATATCTACCGGCAACTGGAAGTGCTACATACTCAGGCTTGGGGTGCCTTGGCCAATATCTTCAAATCTCATCTTGGCCATACGGCAACGTCGGCACTCCTCCTCGCCCTTCGATGCGATACGAAACAAGAGCCGGATCGCAACTTTGTACGCGCTGCGTTCCGTGTTCTTGCTGATCTCGTCCATGAGAACGGCAAAGAGGGTCTTCCAAAGTTGTCTCTCTCTGTCTTCATACCGGCGGTGAAAAGCTCATTGGCAATTGATCGAAAAAAGCACGACGCGGATGTTCTTCATTTTATTGCCGATCTACAAGCCAACGAACCCCTCAGGAGAGCGATTATGGAGGAGAACCTGATAAAAGATGCGGGGGAAATCATTTTGCATTGCGCTGGCAAAATTTCGCCACATGAAATGAATGGCAATGGAACGGGTGCTGTGCCAGTGAATGGAAGGGAATCGGTGCCTCTCGAAGAAAGAGATGGGGAAAGAGTTGACCAGGCCCTACGCCGGATTTTGAACAGCATCAACGATCGTTTCGGGTCATTTGATCTAGTTCATAAGTCGGAGTTGGCACAGATGATGCTAGGCCTCTGCAACCGTTTGAGCAATCCGGCCATTGAGACACTTCTCGATTACATCTCCGTGGAAAGACTTCTATTCCCGTCCGACTCGCAGTGGAAATCCAGTTGCAAGACTCTCATACGAAATGTGTTAAGGGATCCATCTCGACCGACACCCACCAGAATCCGTGTATTCGATGTTTTGAAAGACTCATTCCTCACCATCGACAGTATCCGAGACGACGACTCGGCAAATTCGATGATGGATTCGATACTGCAAAGCATCCCACGGGAAAAAGACACCGCGTTACTTGAACGGATCGTCGGCCTGGCAGTTGAGCATACTGATCATACAACTCAGTGCCGGTTTGAAGGAATAATCGGAAAATTTGCGTCAGGCATTTTTGAATCAGGAGATTCTGCGAAGGCTACATTAGAGGGCAGTGCCGATGGAAGCATCCAGTCCAACGAAAGTGGAAACCCGAAATCATCACCGTCCTACGTTCTAGCTAAGGGAGTTGTGAGGATGTTCATGAGGAACCTTAACCGGCATGGCGACAGAACGCTAAAACTCTACGACCTTATCTTGCACATTGCTTCTTCTGACAACGTACCGTCGGATGCCCGCATTATGGTCTTTAAGCTTCTGTTCAGGCTTCGCGCCGACTCCAGTTACTCGGTTTTCATCGAGACAACCCTGGACGTCGAGAGCGTTGCTCGCGTGCTTGGAAGAACGGCAGAACGAGTAGAAGAGCGTCGGCCGGATCCGTCACCATTACAACGCCACACTTCATCGGACAAGAATGCTTCTTCCAAGGACAGTCATCGCAAGTCATCCATTCTCCCATTGGCGTCAAAAGATCCACCGACTTCCCCCCCCAAACCGTTGCCGAAGCTATGGCTCTACCCCGACCCCGAAGGACTTCCAGACGAACTTGCATCCCGTTCGAGCCCGCTGATTCGCGTCGGTTCCGCTTCGAGTCGAGAAATGGAGCGTCAAAACTCATCGGTACTCGACATCTCCCAGTGGCTCGAAATTGCGGTCTCCATCCTTCTCCATCAACCGGACTGGGAGCTGTACACCTATGTTCTTGTTCATCTTGGCACGCAACTGGCAAACAAGACGTTGTTCCACGGATCCGCACCCCAGATTCAGCTCCTCCGAAGTGTCATCTCTGAGCAGATCCGGAACAAAAGTTTCATGGACCCTCCGCCGTCCACGGGACTAAAGAAGGGCGATGTTGCGGTGTGCTTGTTCCACATCCTCACAATGCTTCTGGGGTACAACGAGCACTTCAGCAAGAATGAAGAAGATGATATCGTGCGCACATTCATCAGTGGAATCGGATCCTGGGATCGGACCTCCAAATGGTGCATTCACGCCATGTCCATCTGTTGCCATGAGCTGCCGCTGTCCATGTCCAAGGTATTGGATACCATCATTCAGAAAATGGCCCAGATCATCACGCAGCAACCCGTCTCGGTGCATATCTTGGAGTTCTTGGCCGGCCTTGCGCGGATGCCCGAGCTCTACAAGAATTTCCGCGAGGATGAGTATCGGATGGTTTTCGGTGTGTGTTTCCGATACCTCCAGTCCGTCCGCGACAAACAAGAAAAAGAGAATCTGGGAGTGAACTCGGGACGAACCGTGTCGTCGGGCACGCGACAGAGCGGTTCGTCGAAAGATTCGGCCGCCGCGTCGGGTCGAGAGCAGCGTTACACACCAAACCCCCACCCGGAGGACCTCCCGCAATATGTCTACGTCAAGACTTTTCACGTCATCACATACTGGTTCATGGCGCTCAAGATGCAAGATCGCGTCTCCTACATGAGTTGGATTGCGAAGAACCTGACCTATACTGACTCTTCTGGTCAACCATTTGTCGAAGACCAGGGTCTCGTGACGGTCGATATGATGCAGCGGGTTACGTATTCAGATCGAGACGAAACGAAGCCAAACCCCCATTTTGCGTCCGTTGCTGATGGCCTCGTCTCCACGAAGACTTGGATTGTGGGGATGAGTTTAATGTCGATCGAAACCGCAGGCCGGACTGGTCTCTCACAGATCACACGGAGACGGCCAACCGGGAATCGATACTCGATCTTTCGCCCGCAAATGATCGACCCGCCACGGCACCAGGTTCATCTGACCACAGGACTGGCAGCGGATGTTTTCTACCGATCCGAGTACGTTGGAGTCTTACCGGACGACGTTCTGCAGGATTTCTACTCGCCTTTGTCGATGATCGGAACCGATCAGCCAGAGCTTATACCGCTCCCTGACGATGACGCCATTCGACGCGCCATCAGCTCTCTTGATAGGATTCCTGTCCTGGATGGTCACAAAGTGGGAGTAATCTACATCGGGCCAGGCCAAACCGAAGAAAAAGACATCCTCGCCAACACCAGTGGCTCCGCTGACTACACCGAGTTCATAGCCCGTCTTGGTACCCTCACGAAACTCAAGAATTGCCAATTGAACACTCAGGGTCTCGACCGCGAATTCGACACGGACGGAGAACACGCCATCCTCTGGCGCGACCGGGTCAGCGAGATCGTCTTCCACGTCACGACGCTCATGCCGACGAACCTCGAGCACGATCCGCACTGCGTCAACAAAAAGCGGCACATCGGTAACGACTTCGTCAACATCATCTGGAACGCCTCCGGGCAGCCCTTCAACTTCAACACCTTCCCCTCCGCCTTCAACTACGCCTACATCGTCATCAACCCCGAATCCCGCCCCTCCACCCTCGGATCCACTACCTCCTCTCCCGCCCCCTCCTCCACCGACCCTTCCAAACCCTTCTACACCATCCACCTCGTCTCCTCCCCCTCCTTCCCCAAAATCTCCCCAGCATCCCAACCCAAGCTCATCTCCACCAAGTCCCTCCCCTCACTCGCCCGCCTCCTCGCCCTCAACGCCTCGGTCTTCAGCCTCGTCTGGGCGAGTCGCGAGGGCGGGGAGTACGTGTCCTCGTGGCGCGCGCGGCTGCAGCAGATCCGCGCGCTGCGGGAGAGGATGGGTGCGGGCAAGGGGGCGGGGCCCGGCGCCGGGTTCCTGAACGCGGCGACGCCGTTGAGCACGACGCAGGTGAGCGCGCGGGAGGCGGTGGGGGGGAGTGGAAGTTCGGTTGGGTTGGGGGGTGCGGGGGCGTTTGGAGCGGTGGCGAGTCCGTTGGGGAGGGAGAGGGAGGCAGTGTGGAGGAGGAGTTCGACGACGTTTTTGGGGGAGGCGGGGAGGGCAAGTCGGAGTAGTGGGGGGATGAGCGGGGAGCAGACGGAGGATTCGTGAAGGATGAATTGGAGAGAGGGCTCGGGAGATTTTCTGAGTTTGGCGTTTGAGATTTGGGATTGATGGATTGCCTCAAAAATATATATACCCCCCTACGTACATGTGCTGCGGCTGCGGTTCGTATGTCCGTCATCATCTTGGATGGCGATAAAAGTTCGGTTGTGTGGATGTATTGTATATGGTCACGACTAATCCTGTTGTTTATAGTAATCTAAAGCGTTGCCTTTGGGGAGAGGATCCGGACGATCTTCTGGATGGCTTCTTCCATTCTTCTTGAACGCACTTACATTTGATTCTACCGTTGTGGTCTTCGGATCACGATCGTCAGGGTCTAGTCTGGGCTCCAGACGAAGCGTTTATGCCTTGCAGCCTGGCGATGCCTTCCAGTTCTGTGGGTTCGAGCATGGATCAACCACACATGGAGGAGCAGCGTTGCTACGGAATACAGACCACAGTAATAATAATAAAGCAAGGCTTACCGAGTATCGCGATGATGATGACGCTCCTTCAACCCAACGCAGCCACGCCAACCCGAGGTCCCAAACCCATCGTCCCTCGATCCCGCCATCCAAATCCTCCCCAATTAAACCCTACAAGCACCCGATCGCCAGATGCCGGAACGCCCGCCAGCTCGATTTTCGCCTCCTTCCGAGCTTCACCAGGCACCACCCCGACCGGACTCCGAAGCTGGACCGTGCCGCGGCCCCATCGTATTACGGTATTTTACTATTTTTCGCTGGCGTCGCGCAGGTTTCAGACTTTCAGCGTCTCAGATGCTCGGGGAGAGGAATTGGCCAGTCGGGTTGAGCCGTAGGCTACATGAATCGTGAATTGGGGGTTCCGATGGGCGGATTGAGGTGCAGGTCGGGTATGCAGGTGATGATGGAAGCGGAAGGGGAATGGAGGTAAAGGTCTATCTAACTACATGACGGGGAAAATGGGAATGAAATCTCTTAACCGTTAATTCCCTCAATTCTCCCTGAAGTTAACCAAGAGCAAGATAAGAAGAAAATCAAAGGTGATCAAGGAGAACGGAACCCTCGACGTCAAGCGCCCAAAGCTTCCCTTCCCATTCCATCGCACAGCAACCTCACACAGATTCTCCTGCGACCATTGCTCCACCTCCCCCAGTATTATTTTCCTCGTCGCCCATCCGACCATCCGTCATAATTCTTTTCTACATTTTTTTCCTCTCCTTTCCACCATCATTATTCTCCCCCAATTCCATCCATCCAATCCATTCCGTCTCCATCCCTTCTCTCACCCCGGAATCCCACGGCTCTCGCTGTTGAGATTCCCTTCGTTGTTTGTCAATTCGTCGCTGGGAGATTGCCCAATTGCATCATTGCAAGCTTGCTGCACGTCTTCGTTCGCGGAGGTCCGGATTAGACAAAAACAATGGCGACGGCTATGAGGTTATCGTCCGCGGTGCGGAATGCGTCGATGGCGAGGTCGGCGGCCGCTTGGAAGGTTGGCACCGTTTCTGGTGCGCGGTTCTACTCTGCGAAGAGCGCGGTATGCATAAATTGATGAGATTTTGTCTACCTACGAACCCATCGCTGATGATGATGCGCCGTACAGACCTTGAAAGAGACATTCGCGGCGCAGATCCCGGGCCAGATCGAGAAGATCAAGAAGTTAAAAAAGTACGTTTGCTACCCAGATCGAGATGACGGAGGATACCGGCTTCTATTACAATTGGGATCTATATCGGAAATAGCAGACAGCTGACTGGCTATCATCGAATAGAGAACATGGCAGCAAGGTCATCGGTGAAGTAACTTTGGACCAAGCCTACGGTGGTGCTCGCGGCATCAAGTCCCTGGTCTGGGAGGGTTCAGTCCTCGATTCTGAGGAGGGCATCCGCTTCCGCGGCAAGACCGTAAGTCCCTCTCCCAACAAAGTATCCGAAACCATCGCTAAACCCACCGTAGATCCCTGACTGCCAGGAACTCCTTCCCAAAGGCCCTGGCGGCAACGAGCCCCTCCCCGAAGGTCTCTTCTGGCTCCTCCTGACCGGCGAGGTCCCCACCGAGCAACAAGTCCGCGAGCTCTCCGCCGAATGGGCCGCCCGTTCCGCGGTCCCCAAGTTCGTCGAGGAGCTGCTCGACCGCTGCCCGAACACCCTGCACCCGATGGCGCAGTTCTCGCTCGCCGTCACCGCGCTCGAGCACGAGAGCTCCTTCGCCAAGGCATACGCCAAGGGCATCCACAAGTCGCAGTACTGGGAGCACACCTTCGAAGACAGCATGGACCTGATCGCCAAGCTGCCGACCATCGCGGCGCGCATCTACCGCAACGTGTACCACGACGGCAAGGTCGCCGAGACGCAGAAAGACAAGGACTACTCCTACAACCTCGCCAACCAGCTCGGGTTCGCCGAGAACGGTGATTTCGTCGAGCTGATGCGCCTCTACCTCACCATCCACTCCGACCACGAGGGCGGCAACGTCTCCGCGCACGCCACCCACCTCGTCGGCAGCGCCCTGTCCTCCCCCATGCTCTCCCTCGCCGCCGGGCTTAACGGCCTCGCCGGCCCGCTGCACGGCCTCGCCAACCAGGAAGTCCTCGGCTGGCTCACGCAGATGAAGGAGGCCATCGGCAACGATCTCTCCGACGCCTCCATCAAGGACTACCTCTGGTCCACCCTCAAAGCCGGCCGCGTCGTCCCTGGCTACGGCCACGCCGTCCTCCGCAAGACCGACCCGCGCTACGTCTCGCAGCGCGAGTTCGCCCAGAAGCACCTCCCCGACGACCCGATGTTCAAGCTCGTCTCGCAGGTGTACAAGATCGCGCCGGGCGTGTTGACCGAGCACGGGAAGACCAAGAACCCGTGGCCGAACGTCGACGCCCACTCGGGCGTGCTGCTGCAGTACTACGGGCTCACGCAGCAGAATTTCTACACCGTATTGTTCGGTGTGAGCAGGGCGCTGGGCGTGTTGCCGCAGTTGATCATTGATCGCGCGGTTGGATCGCCGATTGAGAGGCCGAAGAGCTTGGATACGCTGTCGTATGCGAAGTTGGTGGGCGCGAAGTTGTAAGGAGCGGATCAGCTACTGTCACACTGGTTGAGGAGAGGGATGTTGCACACTGAGTGCCGGGATGTTGGGAATTGGGATACGGAGGAGTGGAGGTTTCCCGAATGAGCTGAATGCTGCCAGAAGCAGATCTGGCGGCGAAATCAGACTGGCTGATGCATCCAGAGACGAAGATCTGGAGGCGTTTCGAACTCCGCCGAGTTCGTTTGTGTAGTAAAATCTCTTTCACGTCCAGTAGATTCGGAAACGGCAGCAATCGTATCATCATGTGCGTAGAGTACCGTACTTGTAGTATTAGACCTATACCTCTCCGCTTCTCTCTTTCTCCCTTCCTGCCGTCCTCGTTCCCCAAGTCTCCTAAAATTCTGTCCCTAATCAACGCAATGCCACTTGGAAAAATTTATCTAGGGACTACGGAGCATCTCCGGGAAAACTAGCTAACCACCTCCCGGTGTCGGGCGGCGAACTAGGGGCGCCGGGGAACGGCACCGGAGCGTATCGGAGAAGATTGGGGCCGGTGGTCGGGGTGCTAGACTCGTCGGCTGGGGTTTGGCCGATGGGGTGCATGGGGTACGATTGGGGGTTAGGTCTCAACGCAAGTTTGAGGGATCGCTTGGTTACTGTGTCTATGGAGGAATTGGAGGAGAAATGTCAGGTAATTACGGAATCGGGAATGCAATGTTATCCCGTATATAGCTCCTGCACCCTCTCTGGAGTATGTTGGGGGAGCTCGAGGACTGGCAGTGGGCGTGGCGGATACTGGGGAGAGTGACCAGACTCTGGAGCGATGAGCGGATTGATCGTAACTTCGTAATTCATGTCTCTAAAAGTCTAGATCTACCGTTTCACCAGGTTCACTAACTCGGTTCATCCATTACCGGCAAGTTAGGAACATTCCGTCCCAAAATCCCCCCAAACCCGGATTTCCTCGTGACAAGCCGACCCTCGGTGATCGGGTTCGGCCTGAGGCTCTGACGCCGTCCCAGCCAATCAGCGCCCACACCGGTCAGGCATCCTTGGCACCGGTAACGTCCCTGACCCAAACATTTCCTGGATTCCCGACACCCCATCCATCAACCTGAACAGCAATCTATCCTCCTCCGATTTTTGGTTCGTATACTTGTCATTTTGCCGTATCGCTGCGTGGCCCCATTCTTCGTCGCGAGCTGAGTTGGTGAGTGCTGATCCTGTTCTGGTGCTTTTCGGTGTGGTTTAAGGGGCGTGCTGGCTTGGGCGCACCGTGTCCATCGTCGGAGTTCTGTTGAGCTGCTGTCAGCCCGGACGGACTGTTGTGAGTCTGAAGTCGGGAGGACTCCGAATTCGTGAGGCGTCAATTCAGCTGGTCGATGGTGACCTAGAGACATCTCAAGGTGATCATCTGGTCTAGATCTTGACAGTCCGACTCGAATTGGCTCCGACTTGTTGCACAGCTCCCCAATTCGTTGAATTCACCTCGAGCACCTCATCCGTCATTGAACCCCAAACTAACCACATCTCCCTGAAACAGACGTCCCTCTCCACTCCTCCCCTTTTTGTTCCTCGTCCGAATACCGCTCTTTGATTTCCCTCGACCTCTCAGTCGTCGGACGTCCCTCACGAACTCTATCACCGCTCCATCTTAAGGCGACGACGCCGCACGATTGCCTCGGTCCGGCCCCCTTCGTTCGCACCCCGAGATACAGATGGCCGATGAGAAGTTAGTGAAGCAGCCGGTGAAGTTCAGCAACTTGCTGGGTAAGTGGTTCTTTGTACCGGTGGTGTAGTGGTGGAGAGTGAGGAGATACTCTCAATTCTACTGGACAATGGATTGGAGTTTGGCAATAAGAGGAAGGCTAACGAGCTGATTGAACAGTCGGCGCCGGTTTGAATATGTTTGAGTAAGTTTGATAATTCTCAGTGATGGTGTTACGTGGATTCTAATCAGTCTACAGGGTCACGACATTGGGTCAGGTGTGTCTCAACCCTAACCGGATATCTTTCCAACCCATCATCCCCCAAATCTAACCCCCTACCCAGCCCCTCGAAGTGACCAAGACCACCATGGCCGCCAACCGCTCCGACGGCTTCGGCGGCGCCATCTCCCGCATCTGGGGCCGCGGCGGTCCCCTAGGCTGTACGTCCCTTCCCAACCCCCCATTTCCCCCTCTAACCCCCTCCAGTCTACCAAGGCCTCATCCCCTGGGCCTGGATCGAAGCCTCCACCAAAGGTGCGGTGCTCCTCTTCGTTGCCTCGGAGGCCGAATTCTACGCCCGCTACGCCGGCGCCTCGCCCTTCGTCGGCGGCATCACCGGCGGCATGGTCGGCGGCCTTGCGCAAGCGTACGCCACCATGGGCTTCTGCACGTGCATGAAGACCGTCGAGATCACCAAGATCAAGGCCGCGTCGTCCGGTGCGCGCGTGCCCGGCACCTTCGAGACCTTCATGGGCATCTACCGTGCCGAGGGTATCCGCGGGATCAACAAGGGCGTCAACGCGGTGGCGATCCGGCAGGTGACAAACTGGGGGAGCCGATTCGGGCTATCGCGCGTCGCGGAGGATGGGATCCGCTCGTTCACAGGCAAGAAGGCGTCGGAGAAGCTCAGCGTGCCGGAGAAGGTCCTCGCGAGCGCGCTGGGTGGAGGGTTGTCCGCGTGGAATCAGCCGATCGAGGTGATCCGCGTGGAGATGCAGAGCAAGACGGAGGATGCGAACCGGCCGAAGAAGCTGACGGTGGGGACGGCGGCGAAGTATATTTACTCGCAGAACGGGTTGAAGGGGCTGTATCGTGGGGTCTCGCCACGGATTGCATTGGGCGTGTGGCAGACCATCTGCATGGTGGCGTTGGGCGATGTGTATGTGTTCCTCTCGTCCCTGAATCGTGCTCTTGCTAACCTCTCCCACACAGCGCGAAAGATGCCGTTGAGAAATTGACTGGCGACCCTGTCACTGCGAAGCACTAGACCACGTGCATTCCTTCTCCGTCTTGGACACCTTCGGCGTTGTTTCATACGTACCCTAGCTATATAGATCTGTTCAATACTGTTTCCGTCCGATCTCTAAGGTGTCTATTGATATCGCCCCTTTATGGTTCCTTTTAATTTGCCGGGATAGTAGAGTTAATGGAGCGACAGGGTGTGTGCTTTGAGCTGTTGGTGCTGTGTCCAGGAGAAGATTGGCTGGTACATATTGTAGGTACTACATGTCTGGAGTTCACATAGAAGTAAGGTGTATGAAGATCGGATTCATTAGAGCGACTGGTGCGTGCCGTTCCGTGTGACTCCCATCCTGACCGTCCCTCACGGAACCTCTTCCTACATGCGAGCTTGACTCCCGCTCATCAACCCCCACTCCCGGTCCCTGCAGCTCATTCGAATCTCAACTTCAAACCGAATATTCAGTGCCATCCCTCGTACTACATTGGTAGTTAGAACCTTCCATACATGTGCAAGAAGCTACTACGGGATGTCTCCAGCAAGGCATCTCAGCCATTAGTTCGAGGAGCTGGATGGGGTTGGTATATCAGATGCCCGAAAACCCAATCCTTGGATATCGTTTCAACGGTGTGGACGGATTTCCATTCCTACTAAAGTCGGGTACGGGGCTCAATGCGAACAGTTACGCTAGCACGATGACTGACATGCAATATAACTGTCTGTTTGACATTACTAGGAGGGTTGTTGCTATGCCTGGAGCTCTTGCGCTATCTATTTTACCCTAACTCCCTCCCTACAATACAGTTTTATTTTTCTATCCTCTTTGGCTAGTATTATCACCCATTTATTCTTTAGTTTTGGATCCCATTTACCATACCCGAACCACACTTACTCCCCCGTTCCGTCCTCTAATCTCCCCGTGGTTTGTCGAAGGCAGTGGATGTGGAGAGGGTTGCGGGGAGGAGGGAGGAGTAGAAGAGGTTGGGGGAGGGGAAGCGGGGGAAGAAGTTGTGAGGGCATTAACTATGGTCAAATTATAATCTCAATCCGGAGAGTATATTTCCATAGTGAGATTTTGACTTTTGATACCAGGTATGTTTCAGTCCTCTCTTCATAACTCATAACTGTCTGCACGACATCGATTTTGTGTGGGGGTCATGCATCTATCCGCGTGGGGGTACATCCGTTCATCCGTCATCTCGGGATTTCTCCAGATTTGGTTTCTTGGCGATGATGCAACTCCACCTACTGCAACGTCAACCTCCCCTCGACTCCCATTTGGGCTCCTCCTCTGTTCTCACCGTCAGATATCTCAGAATTGCGGCAGCTTATGTTGTACGTTGCACCGCCTACTTCGATATATCCTTGAGTATTCTTGAACGGTAAGCACTGCAGTTGTATGCCAAACCTTGGATCCTTTATTGTCCATTTCAAGAACCCGCGGAGATCGTGTGACCGTTTTTGCCTCCCTCGTGGCCTGTTCCCAAGACCTCCATCAGTCACCCTCTTCATGTGCGTCCCAAGCCACATCTCTCCAACTGCTCTTATATTCCTCGAAAACCCCTCTGACGTGATACGAAGCTTCTCGACCTTCGAACCGCTAAACGACGCTAATTTTGGAACCCCCTTCCAGTCGCCATAATTCCAGCACTTCGGTACGTACTCGGAAGCACTGACTTCCACTCGTCCGCGCCCCACGGTCTAACCCCCCGCGACGCAACTCCACGGATTGGTCCGCCCGTACTAACCCGCGGGATCGACGTGCAGAATCTTCGTCATCCATTGCTCGGGACTCCGGTTAATATCCGGGGTGTTATACTTACCGCCAATCCGTTCCAACCGCTATTTTGGAGTCATCTACTTGCATCTTCACGGCGACGGATGCGAACGTCGGCGACCGAGATATCCCAGGAACGGTAAGGCGGGATAGGATAACGATACTGACAGCAGATATATCTTTTGGGATCCGATACGCTTGCGATTTGATATCATATTTCCTTCGATATACTGGTAAGTGGCTCTTGGTTTCCCCGCGGTTGTACCTGTATGTCGTATTTGCTGCTTTCGGCAATCTATGCTAGCTTTCAGCTGCACGGCATTAGGTCGCGCTATGTCCCGCACCAGCGGAACCTCTCGTGACCCTTTGTCTTGGCTATTATACCGGATCCTTGATGCAAGTCAGCGCATCCGTCCGCCCGCGTGGAGTATTCTGTTTCACATATTTGGTCATACTGGATTTATCTATTCGTCTGGGGTCACTGGTGGATGTATTTTATATCTCGCAGTACCCCTCACTGCCCACAGTCTATCTTTTTCTTAGAAACGTTTGTCTATCCCTTACCTCCTTATTGTTCACTGTATTGTCTGAAATGAAGACCTAACTCAATGTCGTCTTACTTCGAGAAAGATTGTCACTATTTCTACCGCACTGCTCTGCGGCTTCTGTCCATTTCTATTCTCATATCTCCCCTTCACGGTTGAGATACATTCAACTGATTTCATTTCTTCACTTTCACCATGACAGTCATTCGTACTTTTGCACAGCCAACCTCATTAGACAGGACCATCGCTCTTGCGATCAACGGTACGATGCCTGGCCCCGACTCGAATGAACCGCCTCGCCAAGAAGAGCTCGCCAAAGAGTCAGCCCAATCACAGCCGAAACCGGCTAAAGAACCAATTTCGAATCAAGATTGGAAGAATGAGTCGCGGCAAGGCATTACGTTTGCACACCAAGATCAACTACCAAAGCTGCCTATACCGGACCTCGAGTCCTCTTGCACGAAGTACTTAGAAGCTCTAGAGCCGCTTCAGACTTCGAAAGAACACCATGAGTCCCAGTTTGCCATCAAGGAGTTCCTGAGATCCGACGGCCCGGAGTTGCAAGAAAAACTGAAACAGTATGCGGAAAAAAGGGCGAATTATATAGAACAGTTCTGTACGGTTTTGCGTCATTTGATGGAGCCGTATTCTTTCTGACAATCACAGGGTACGACTCATATCTGAATTTCGACAACCCGGTCGTCTTAAACCTCAACCCCTTCTTTCTCCTCGAAGATGATCCAACACCAGCCCGGAACAATCAAGTAACTCGCGCCGCATCTCTAATTATCTCCGCATTGTCATTCGTCCGTGCGGTTAGAAGAGAGGAATTACCACCCGACCAAGTGAAAGGTCAGCCCTTGGATATGTATCAATATGCGCGCTTGTTTGGCACCGCGAGAATACCGACCGAAAATGGCTGCCAGATCGGCCAGGACCCGAATGCGAAACACGTGGTGGTTCTTTGCCATGGCCAGTTCTACTGGTTCGACGTCTTGGATGATAATTCGGATCTAATCATGACCGAGAAAGATATCTCATTGAATCTACAGGTGATCTGCGACGATGCTTCACTGACCCCAATTCAAGAAGCGGCAAAAAGTGCGGTTGGTGTACTATCGACCGAAAACCGTAAGATCTGGTCTGGTTTGCGGGATGTCCTGCACCGCGAGGAAGGGTCCAACAATTCCGATTGCCTCAACATTGTCGACTCCGCGCTGTTCGTCGTATGTTTGGACTACACCGAACCATTGACCACGTCGGATCTCTGCATGAACATGCTCTGCGGCACCAGTAAGGTCGAACGCGGTGTGCAGGTCGGCACTTGTACGAACCGGTGGTACGATAAACTGCAGATCATCGTCTGCAAGAACGGCAGTGCGGGTATCAATTTCGAACATACCGGCGTGGATGGCCATACTGTCCTCCGATTTGCATCGGATGTGTACACCGACACGATCCTGCGGTTTGCGAAATCTATCAACGGCCAAGCTCCGTCGCTATGGGCGTCGACCTCCCCGGATCCGGCAAAGCGAGACCCAGATTCGTTTGGCGATGTGCAGACCACCCCTCATAAACTGGAATGGGACATGATTCCAGAGCTCGGTACCGCACTTCGGTTTGCTGAAACTCGTCTAGCCGATCTAATCGGACAGAATGAGTTTGAGACGCTTGAGTTCAAGAACTATGGGAAGAATTTCATGACTTCCAACGGATTTAGCCCCGATGCGTACGTCCAGATGGCGTTCCAAGCCGCATACTACGGTCTATATGGACGCATCGAGTGTGTCTATGAGCCCGCAATGACCAAGATGTTCTACCACGGCCGAACCGAAGCGATCCGCTCTGTCACGCTCGAGTCCGTCGATTATGTTCGGACGTTCTGGGGGGAGAACCCTCCCATCAAAAAAGTCGATGCGCTTCGTAAGGCGTGTCAGAAGCACTCGGCAAATAGTCGCGATAGTTCCAAAGCGCAAGGCCAAGATCGCCACCTGTACGCCCTATACTGCATGTGGCAGCGCACCCTGGAAGATGTCGACTACGATGCCATGAGCTCCAACGGCCACTCCTACGCCACCTCCGAGACATCCGCCATCGGCTCCCCCACCCGCCGCCGATATACGTTATCCGACGACGGCTCTCCCCAGTACTCCCGAGCTGCTGAGCACGCGCACTCCCTCCCTGCGCTCTTCGCCGACCCCGGCTGGGACAAGCTCACCACGACCGTCCTCTCTACCTCTAACTGCGGCAACCCGAGCCTCCGCCACTTCGGCTTCGGGCCGACCAGCGGGGACGGGTTCGGCATCGGGTACATCATCAAAGATGGGTCGATCTCGATCTGCGCGAGCAGCAAGCATCGGCAGACGCGTCGGTTCATCGACGCGCTGGAAGCGTATTTTCTAGAGGCGCGGCGGCTGATTAAGGGGAGTCAGCGGGGGAGCTCGGCGGGGGCGTCGAAGGGGTCGAGTAGGGTGCGGGAGGCGGATGAGAGAAGGGGGAGGGAGGTGAGGGGGAGGAGGATCACGACGAGTGCGGTAGATGCGGCGGAGAAGGCGGTGGAGGTGGGTGGGGAGTCGGATGATGGGCTGGGCGGATGTAAGGCGCCTGTTTCTTTTTTGCACATCGTTGAGCAAGGTGTGGCTCGGGTGGTGAAGAGAAGCCAGAGACTTCAACTTCCTCACGGTTCTGCTGCGGTTCCGTTTATTCTTATTTCTTCTTATTATCCCCCATGCGCATCCACCTCCCAACCAGCATTACCCCTTTCTCCAGTTTCAACTCCGCCACATTCGAGGTCCGAGTCGGACAGCTCCGTCGCATCCAATCCGCCGCTTGACGCGCCAGGGCCTTCCGAAACCCTCCCGACTCCTCCTGCTTCTCCCTGGCTCAACCCCGTGTTACATGTTGTCAGTCAGCCTGCACGGGGATCGAGGATACGGATCTTGAAAAGGCGACATTGAGTATATGGAAGCCCACGCGAACGGTTTTCGATCGTCAAAAGCTGAGATTGTTCTGGTTGCATCGAATGGTGGCCTCATCACTCTACTCGCATTCTACCTCTCCTGCATCAAGCGTTTACTATTGTCCTTCATGCTCTCTGGCTTCCTTTCCACTCACAGTTTTCACTGCCCATTCACACTATCCCTGCTTCTTCACCATAGAGATTTGCTGATTCGTCTCTCTTCCCCATACAGATGGTTTCTTCGACTCGGGATTACTTCAATCGGCGCTCTTATCCGACAAGGCCGAAGATCTGCAGGCCTCGATGCAGAGGGAGAACGTGCGGAGGAATATCGGGCGGAGGCTGCAGTTGGTGGATTATTGAGATGGTGGATGTAAGGAACGATTGTTGATTATTGTATGATAACCTGATCTCTCTTAGAATGAGCGTATCTAGATCTTGAGCGAATGTCGTCTCAGTATTACAACCTTTTTACCTCGTCTGCTGTACCCTGTTCGACTTATCCCGCTGCTCGCCACTGGTTTCAAAGTCTCTTCGGGCGTCTGAAATCCCCGGATAACCAATCCGCCTCAACGCCTCTGCCAGCCTGTTCTCCGGCCGACTCAAATTCTTCCCGAGTAACTCGATCTCTTGCATAAGCGTACGCTCCAGATATAGTGTCCTGTACATCACCAGCAATCGCTCAAAGTAAACGGACACGCCAACGCGAATAACCGCTGATCCTGCATATCCCAATAAATCAACGCCGTGGTGTGTATCCTCGTCGTATCCTCATATCCACCAGCCGAGCTCACATGCCTCTGGCTTTCCGGATCTAGAATCTGCCCAACGCAACAACTCGGCACCACCACATTCATCCTGAACCCCTGCTTCTTCTTCCGCACCGCTAACGACGATGCAGGAGCCGAGAGGGATATCTCCGTGGTTGGTTGCCATTGTGGGATTTTTCGTTCTTTAGAATTTGTTTGGGTTTTCGGATATAGAGAAGGGTTCTGCATAGAAGCGCGGTAACGAGTGGATAATGCGATATCGCAAGCAAATGATTGTGATAAACGAATGGAAAATACAACATCCCAAGAAAATGAGTGTGATAAGGAAATATCAGAGAAACAGTGAGTGAGCTCCCTTTCCCCTGCTTTAATACAGCCCTTCAAACCATAACGAGCGTCCTGATGGGCAATCTAATGCACTGCAGAACGAAACACTTTATACCAAGCTCAGGGGGCGGGTCAAATGACTGAACCCTCTGAATAACCCTCTGAACCCTGAGTCCCGCCACGGATGCATCCCACACTTCGGGATGTATGACGTCATATATGATTTCGTCTCTAATTCATTCTGTCCAAGAGGAAATGAAATGTTGGTTTGTGATGTTAACACCGCGTCTCGCCTTTCAGTATGGAAGGTAATTGGGAACCTTCGGTTGAGTAGGCGTGTTTCCAGCATGCGAAGCTAGACCGTTAGAATGCAAAACACTGGAGAAATTTCAAGCAGATCGCAAGAATGTTATAATATAGTTCAGCTATTGGTTATGGAATTTGCAGCCGGTGTTACACATGCGGGTATTGGAATGCTTCTAAGCGGGTTTTAGTGTTTGTCTTGCCCTCTGTTTGGCAGACACATCGCCGCCTCCGATAAATTGTCCATGGGAATTTGTAAACTTTTACGTAGTTTCCTTGACTGTACCCTATAGAATGAGTCCCAATATATCCAACTACTACGACAGCCAGTGGCACTGATACGACAGACTACAGCATTTGCACAATGTCTACGAGCACAACAATCCCCATAAGGCCGTCGGGAAGGCCATTGCCAGGTAAGTCTGTCCTTTCTGCTTCTCTGGACCGCAATCCGCTAATATTTTTCAAACAGTCTTTTGGAAAGCTGCAGTACTCCGACCTCGAAATCATTTACGAGGGGAAATCTTTCCATGTACACAAGACAATTGTCTGTCCGAGGGCAGAGATTTTTTAGAAATGCCCGCGATGGGTAGAAGTGGAAGGTTTTCCATCGAGACATGTCCCGGGAGATACCTTGCCTCCAGGAAAGAAAAGATGGTGTAATTCACTTATCATCTGACCCGGAAGTTGCTGCTCCCCTTGGTGACCCTCACCTTATCGAATGTATGCTCCAGTATCTTTACAGGTTGGAATATATGGAATCTGGAGGACAACCACCGAATCCTTCGTCTGACTTCGGCGAACTAACTGCAGCTGAGACCAGGAAGAGGAAAAAGAGGGCCTCCATGAATGACTGTTCTTATGGCAAACCGACTTGGGGGACTTCCGTAAAAGATTCCAAATTTTTCTTCCATCTAATCCGCTCGTCCATATGCAAATTTGCGTATTGGCCGATTTCTACGGCGTCGAGGGAGTAAGGCGTTTGCACAAGAAATTTTGAAAGCTGCCGTTGATAGGAACGGGGATATGGAGACGTCAGTCAAAGACTTTGCCCTTATATACACCCTACCTCTTAATCGCGATAGTACTATCCAGAAGGTCCTCGAAGACCTTGTTCTAAAGCATACGTCAGTACTTAAAAATTCGAGGATCGAAGCAATTCTAAGCCCTAAGTCCACCATCGCTTTCACTCCACTGCTGCAGAACCACGCGGTTTGCAGCCACCGAGCTGGTGGTACAGATGTTTGAAAACTGCTGACACTGATGAAATGTAAATATCGACTGCTTGATGATAAAATGGCCTTTGCTGTATCACCCTAAAAGTGGTTTAGGTTTTCTAATTCCAAGCTCTTAATTGCACAATTTTAGACCGATTGACGCTGAGTATAGCAGCAGATGGTATTTAATTACGGCACGTACAAGTAACTATCACAACGACAAGCTAGCTGTACCATATGGCGTATGGATACCAGTCCTCGATGGCTTCAATCAGACATTCTTCCTTTCGATGATCTCCCATCTGCATCCATTAACGATATATCTGAACTGCAGAAATCAGCCTGACGTTTCTTCTTGTCTGACAGCATGGAAGTTCAATTCATTCTGAACGTCCAGCTGTCTTCCATGTTTATGTTCACTCCCCAACGTACTGCTTGTTCCAGACTTTCCAAGATCAGCCTATGATCATGTAACGCGAAACTTTTGGGCGCTCTAGGATTACAAGGGAAAAAGCACAGCTTGGTGTTATTTCCTGTCATCTAAGTTCTGCGCTACTCTGAAAGTCTGTCTGGCTACGGTTGAGGTCTGCAAGAACAATTGGGAGCGGATTACGGAATAGTTCATGGTAGTTTTTTATTGTTTCATGTTTGCGCTTCCAACACGCTATGACCGGCTCTCAAGGGTTTTACCAGGGATCCCTCAGCCTTGTGAAAGGACAACATGAATACGAAGTTGGATATTCACCAGCGCATTATGTTTTGTTTCAACCTCATGTCGACTTCATTGACATTAGGCGGGTTAAACAGGGCGTTCGTTCTTTGCGCTGAAACCTATTCCTTCAATTGATCTCGCCGATACAAGCGAAGTGCTCAGAAGGTTTCGTGACTATCCACGAGCCGGCAAATGATGCGGGGTCACTATACACGAAGCCCTTCACTACCCTCCAGGAGACGAGTTGCGCTTGTCGAGATACCCAATCCGTGGTGAAGTACGGAGTAATCACAGATAACTGATTTGGAGCGGCTCCCATCAACCAGAAAAAAGGTCGACACTTCGACACCTCCTCTAAGCCTTGCCTTTCATCCGGGAAGACGGGCATACAACCCAAGAGAGTGGTTCATATCCTCATGTCCGGCAGATACGTGACATCCTTCAAGGGCGTACGTTGATCAATACCGATATGGCGGACATAGTGGAACATACTCACACCATCCCTGACACCTTCTACCTTCCAAACTACCTCTATGATGAACCCGAGAAAGAGGACGTCATCCGAAACCGTCTCCCACGCAAACGACCAGAGGACTTCCCAAGTCCAAAACTCGCCGAGATAGCAGTGAAACTAGTCCGGCGACTCAAACACCGATATCACAAGCTTGACAAAGGGAAGATACGGATACTTATATTGAGGCCGGGAAAGTTCCAAGATCCAGTACAATTAGACCTCTTTGCGGCGGATATCGACGCGGTGAATCCGCCTAAATACGAAACACTTTCTTACGAATGGGGAGCGGGACCTGCCGAACCCGAAGTAATCCTGAGGGACTTCACGGTTCAGAAGAGCGATTGGCATAAGCATAAAGAGTTTCGGACGAAAGCTGGTCGACAGAGGGCAATATTGCTTCGAGTCATTGGTTGCTTCTTCCGCGTGAGAAGAAATCTATTTGAGGCGTTACGACATCTCAGACATGAGACAGAACCCCTTCGATTGTGGGTAGATGCACTATGCATCAACCAGAGAGATGTCAACGAGAAGAATGAACAGATCCGACGTATGGCCGACATATACAATCGTGGCTATAACCTGAAAGTATGGCTGGGAATGGATACCCCTAACAACGATGCGGCTCGAGCATTTGAATTCGCACAGGAAATTGCGACCAGGGCAAGAATGGACACATTGCATGACGCCGAGTTTGCTCCTGAGCAGTGGAAGGCTCTGGTCCAGGTCATGCGACGGAAGTACTTCAGCAGGCGCTGGGTTGTCCAAGAATTGGCGGCATCCAAGAAAGGCTCTGTATACTCTGGCGCAAATCAGCCGATACCATGGGAGAACTTGGAGTATGCAATTGCATTGTGCAAAAGAGTCTTTAATCCGAGTGCGACGGGATTGAAGACCCAGAGTGGCCTGCACTTCCTGTTTGACCGAAAGGCAATTGAAGCATACGGCGCCAGTGTGCTTGTTGAGAAGGCGGCCAATTTGCTCCGTGATAAAGATATCAAGCGGAAACGATACACGATCGAGTACTTGGTGTCAACTCTGACAGCTTTCGACGCATCCGATCCTCGAGATATTATTTACGGTGTCCTCGCTGTTGCTCGTCAGCCAGACACCCTTGGTACATGCAGAATCGTGCCAGACTATCAAAGGAGTGTGCTAGACACCTTCATCAACTTCGTGCAGCATTGCGTGGAGAGCGAAGGGACCTTGGACATCATCTGCAGGCCGTGGGCTCCTAGTCATACCATTTGGAAAGGGGAGGTCAGCCGCAAAGAAATTGATCGACAGGTGAAGACGCACCTCCCCTCCTGGATTCGAACGCTTGACGAATCCGCCTATGGCCCGCCTGAGACGATTTCTCGAGGACGAAAGAATGCAGACCCTTTGGTGGGCCACCACCCATTCTATAAGGCATGCAAGAGACTTGTGCCGAAGGTGTCCTTTGGAATCAGAACCCGACAGAATAACATTTACGACCGCCAGCATGGTGAGACAAGACTTGTCTTGAGTGAACTGTTTGACGGAACTATTATAATCGAAGGAATTGTGCTTGGCAAGGTGAAGTCGCTATCGCCGAGGATGGTACCTGGTGTCATCCCATGGGAGGTCTTGGAAATGGCAGGATTCCCGCACACAAATGCATACGAGGACCTCACACTGGACATGCTTCCTGATCGAATCTGGAGAGTTCTAACGGCAGATAATACAAGCCAATCAACCGAAGCGTTGGATAAGAGCTACTGCTTGCGAGCGCTCCAACTCCGCGACTTCCATGGCGACATCCATCTACGAGAGCTGATTGATGACCCCAATACCCCGAAAGATCTAGTCCCGTACCTGCAAAGAGTCCAGGATACGGTTTGGAATCGGAAAATATTCACTGGCGGAGCCGACGAGAGGTTCATTGGCTTGTGTAGCCAGAAGACGCTTGAGAATGATCTGATATGTATCCTTCATGGCTGCAGTGTCCCCGTTATCCTCCGTCAGACTACGGACAAGCCAAAGCTGGGTCAAGATCTGATTCCGCTGCCGAGAGAAAAATCACTTCCACCGAGGCGAGCGACAACAGTGAACTTTTCCTTCATGCCTTCCAGATCTCCAGAGAGACTCAGTCCAGAAACTCTTTCCAGCGACACCTACCTCCAGCCTGCTTCGAAAAGACGCCGCCTTGATGCCGTTCCAGAGACAACGGCAAAGAACTTCCTCCTGGAAACTGACGGGGAGAGCCAGGTATATGAAGAGCCGTTATCGATGGACATGGATCAGGACGAGATGGACACTACAACGCAGGGAAAACAGACCAGTGCATCCTTTCCCGTCTTTTCCAAGACTTGTGCATCGCCAATTCACGAGCCCATCCAGCCTTACCAACCGGAGAAGGCACAGCTTTCCGTTAAATCTATGAGACTTCTCTCTCCTAACTCGATCGGACAACACGGCAAAGGGGCATCGGAAGGCTCGAAGATGATCTATTACGAATTAGTCGGGGAATGTTACGTTGATGAATATATGAACGGTGAAGCGTTGGATTTCTCTCAGTTCACAAAGACGAAGCAAGAATTTACTCTTGTCTAATACCCCGTAACGCAGGAGGGTTTCCGTTTCGATCATTTCATGGTATAGAAGTAATGCTTCGGATGTACATATTCCCATGTGCTACGCCGGCCCCCTGAACAAGCCAACGTACTTTTATTTCTCTAACTAGATATGAATTATAGTGAAAGCACTGAGCAGTGCCCGTACTGAGGCCAACTGCTGAACTTGGAAGACAAGGTGGTAATATGTCGGAGCATACTGAGTTTCAACGTACCGGTATATAAATCGCTGTGTTCTACACTGTTGCACCCAATGCACTCATCAGATTTTGGCTGTTGACACTGTCTCATGAATTTTGCCAAAGTTTATTTGCGGGAGACGCATTATCCAAATTTATGAGTCCATATGTCGAATTAGCAGACTTTTAATCCACCCGGAGGAATTGATACCCGACGTTTGTTTGTTCGATTTGCCATCCAATTGCTATAGTACCTCCTCCTATTCAGCGATTAGCTTGATCTTTAATTGTAGCCTTGATTAGATTCATCATCAACTGTGATGATCAGATAAATTAATCCCCAAACCAGAATCCAATCGCCATGCCAGCAGGGATTCTTTGATGAAACAAGCAATGGAAGCATAGCTAAAGAAGCGAACGAGTCTAACTTAGATATATATTAGCCAAGAACCCTATGTTACGGGATGCTGCTGCATTATTTACTCACAGCTTATACACGGGAATGCTTGTCTAATAACATCAATTATCCGGGCCCGAACCAGCTAGGGGATATCAGACACAACAGCGAAAAGGCCCATACCGGATGATCCAGGATGAGTATCGGGCGAAATGGAGGGAAATGTGGCAAGCCGAAGCGGCTAGACCAGGAAGGAGAGCAAGGACATGGAAAGACCCGTGGGAAACCCAGTGCCTTAACCGGTTCGATGGCCTTCAGAAACACGAGGCCTCGGCGCTTATGGCACTCCGGACTGAGATAGTTGGAGTTAAGGGATGGCTCGCGAGAATTGGTGTCCCTGGAATCCACCCAGCGTGTGAGTGCGGTGCCCCCCGACAGTCTCTCCACCATCTCCTTGCGTTTTGCCCGCAGCGGACCGACCAGAGGATTACGCTCACCCAACGAGCTGGAACAACGGACTTTAAGAGGATATTGCATGATAGGGACAAGGTGCGCCACGCAGCAAGGTGGCTAATCGATGCGGGAGGCCTAGAGCAATACCGGGTAGCCAAGGAAGTTGAGAGGGAGGTAATAGAGGACTGGAAACCGTTCCAGCTCCTCCACGACGTGCCAGAATAAGCTCTCCGCGTAGGCGGAAACACCGACTCGTGCGGAAAGATAAAAAGGATTGAGATACTCTACTAAAGGGAGGAGGCGGGATTTTTCGTACCCGCAGCCTCATGGCTACGGGGAAACTTTTGCCCACGATAGACCAGATAGAATGCCGTGCTCATAGACCCGAAAGGGATCCAGATAGTACGTTAAATTGATTCTTATTATTATTATTATTATTATTAATAACATCAATTAGCTGAACGTCCACTATGTAATTACAATAGCTCTACTGTACCAGGACTGAGCCCCCAGTCACCTTTAGGGCATATGCCTTCCCCACACATTGACGCCAGATTAACTATTTCTTTGATCGAAGACGTTCATATTGGGTTTACCCCATACTGATATGAACGTGCGCCTCAACTGATCCGGATGCTCTAATCTTCCGATCATCCGTCAAGGCCGCGGAGGTCTGAGAGCTCTATAGGCTTTCAGTCGATGTAAACCTTTCTTGTTCAGATTAAATATATACTGCTCAACTCATTGTAACTAGATGAAACAATCTAGGTCGACTGTGTCGAGGCTCCCAAAATTCAATCCGAAGTAAGAACGAAGCGTCAAATATATGGGACATCGATTGATTCCAAGCTGGCCGCCCTGATTAGTTAGTGTATATAGGGCCTGCTAACAATGTGATATACTATTGCTAGATTTTTTATATATCCCAACATGGTCCGCGACACTGACATATAAAATAGAGACCTTCAATCCTGAGAAGAAGTAGATATTCAAGTCGAACTATTACTTTCGATCATCAGTATGAAGTGGTCCGTAGGTCTCACTCTCCCTCTCCTTGCTGCGGCCGCTCCACTGGCAGATGGGGAACGCAATCATGTTCTCAGTAAGCGAACCTTACTTCCACTGAAAATGGTACACTGAAAGAAAGTAGTCGAGCGCCAAGTGGGCGGTGGTGCAGGATCACCCTTTTCCGGCTTTTTTGGCTCAGGAGAGGCCAAGTTGCCAATCTCGGTGACGAAACTCGAGCCTAAAATCAACCCCAAGGCTACGCGTGAAGCGCTCGTCTGGGGCCCGTACAAGCTTCAGCCATCAAATGTACGGTCCAAATCTCCGAATTTTCTATCGGATGCTTATTCGTCTGCTAGGGCACACATGTTGGCGGTGGATTCAAGATGGACCCCAACAGCGACATTGTGACCGGCCGAATGGGAGGGCTATGTGCGGATTGCATGGTCCTCGAAGCATCGTCCGAGACAACATTCAAGGACGGAAAGCGAATGGGGTTGGGAGATGGCCTCTATACCCATCACATTCTGTTCATTGACTCGGGAAGACCTTCGGTCAAGTCACCGTTAAAGCCTGTCTGCACTAACGGCACAGCAGGTATGACCATGACCCGGCCAGGAGGAGGCGTTGTGGCCCCGATCCAAGAAACGGGAGGGATTGAAGATACCTCGCCCGGAATCTCGACAGGCGATAGCCATTCCCATGGTCATAAAGTCCGAAGAAGTTCTTCGCTTCCGCTTGACCGGCGACAAATGGCATTCCCGGGTATCTCGCTTTTGGTCGGAATCGGCCATGACGCAACGCCGCATGTATACGACGTCAAGGGCGATGATGTCAATGCTGGCTTCTACATCGGCGCTGGTGATCCCATTATCATGATGGCGGAGCTCATCAACTATGATCCCGCTGAGAAGGAGACGTATATCAAGCTGGAATATGAATATCTCTCAGGTGGCCGACCTGAGGGATATCTCGATGTTGTGCAGAATGCAATCAACATGGAAGGTTGCAAGTTTGCCGGGCTGTCAATTTGTATGCCTCTCTTTTTGACCTAGAGTCTTGGCAATATGTTTTGCTCCCCCAAGCAGCCACTGACGTTCTCCAGTTCCGCCAGCAGATGGGCCGGTCATTTATGAGTCGAACAAATATGATGTTATCGCAAACGGATATCTCATGAATTTGAGTAAGTGCGACAGGAAATAATAGCATCCAATATCCACTAACGTATTCCAAAGGCCCTCATCTCCATGACGGTGGTATCGATTTCCAAGTGTACGTCAACGAGAAGGAAGTCTGTAACTCCAAAGCTATTTATGGTGGTGGAGCACAAGCAGTCGGCGAGGAACCATGGGAGACGATCGTGGGATACGAAAAATGCCCCGAAGGCATCCGCATCGTCAAGGGAGATCAGGTACATATCAAGGCAAAATATGACTTGACGCAGCATCGACTGTAAGTGGAAATATATCCATATTATGTACCAACTTGGATGACCTGAACTGATGTGGACAATAGACGACCTTCTTCCGACGGCGACGACCATGCTCATGGAGAAGGAGCAGAGGGCATGGCCTTGTCCATCACTGTCTTTGCTGTTGAGTAAATATTGCTTGAATTCTACGAAACTTGTATGGAAGATGCAACTGAGAAATCTGTTGATGTAAAAATTGATCGGTGACTGCTGTTTGAAGTAGAAAATGTGAAATCATCTTGTAGAAAGTGAAGTGATCAACATGTTAGGTCCGCAACTGAATGTGAACTTGTTGATAGTGGTGAATATGGATTCGACTGCATTGAACTCAAATATCACTTTCCGCTTGAAACTCCCAGTTTAACAAGATATTAGCAAACACGACTAAGCGGTATTACCGCCATCAAGATAATGACAACCTTACCATCACTAAGAAGTGTATTGAGCTACAATGTGAGTTCCAAAGACCTCTTAGAGGCCATAGAAGTTCCGACTAATCGCGGGTTTGTCATCAGGCCGACCAAGAAGATGCTCCCGAGGAAGGCGAGATCATCAACCCATCATCCAGTCCTGGTGTGAGGAAGCAGCCCACAGTGGTCGACCATTACTATGTCAGGCCGCACGATCTCCCCCGATACTTCTTCCGCATTCAACAGGTTACATCCATCACCGAGTACGACCCCAACGCCGGGCTCATCGCCAACAACCGGAAGAGCGACTTTAAATTCGATTTGGCATGGCTTCGAGGGACGCTTGCAAATGCTGCAAATCCCACGCTCAGCATCGACAGTCCTTATGTGGCTCTTTTCCCCAATCGGTTGCTGGCACTTAGCTGGGTTTCGTTGACCCTGCCAGAGGACTCGGTCTTCTACCTCATAACTCTGGATTCGAGGAAGCTTTGGAATCGGATCATTTTCCGTCTCGGCGACTTTATCGGAGGATGGGAAAGCTACCCGCGGCAGCTCGAGTTGCAGATGCACTTTGACCCTTACTTTGCGCTCCATCGAGTGCCAAGAGATGCCGTGTGTGGGTTTGAAGACTGCTACAAGAACCAGAACGGTGAGTCGACCAGGTCTACGAAAACACAGTTAGTCACTGACATCAATGAAGGGGATGTGCACCCTCTCCTCCCAAGCGTTTTGCTTCCTCCGGAAGAAAGCAATAGGAATGCCATAGCCGATTCTCTCAATAGGCCGGGCATCGATATCAACACCCACCTCAGAAACTAGGCTTTTTAAGGCCAGTTTTAAATCCATCCACTCTCACTATTCGAAGGCTCTTGGAAAATCCAGGGGTTTTGCTGATGAATTCCTCTTTTGTCATGGTTGAAAAGATGTACTATGTAGGGCTCCTCTTTCTCAAATGAGGGCAGCAAATTGGCACGCGCGTAGCTACGTGGAAGGCAGTACATACCTACATAGGAACCAAGCACGCCGCCTCTTGGAGAACAGCAAACTCAGCTGCGATGAAGAGGCTTATGGGATAGTGGGATCAATCTAGGAGCGGTTGCTAGGTCCCGTGACGGCGGCAGCGTAGCCATGTGAACAGAACCAGCTGACGGGACATCATTATGGAAGAAGCACGTATCAGTACTGCAGTTCATCAAACGTCCGGTACTGGAAACATAAATGAGTAGGCGCTTGCTGTCAATGAGGCGTGAATGATTCAATAATGAATGTCGAGGGATCTGATGTGCGGGTTGAAATCTTGTCGCCTTTGCAAGGCATACAGCAGGACACAGATGCAATAGATTGATAGATTGATAGATTGTTGCCTTAGTTATAGTATCCATAAGTTATGGGTATGGTATCCGCCCCCAACCAGCGCCGCCTGAAGACTTCCAATTATGATTCCAAGCACCAACTTTTAAGTGACAGTATGCTGAGTGCAGCTCGGACATCGTACAATTTAGTCTAGTCGCAGTCGGAGTACGACAAAATATTCATTTCGGCAAAAGGCCGCGGACGAGCGTAAGTGGTTGACCTTTGGTTGGGATGAAGCGGTTCGTAAGCAGAGTCTAGCTTCCTCTACAATATCAATCCAGAGGCCGTTTTCTCTTTGTTCGTCGTTTCCAACCATCTTTCAAAATCGTTGTGTCTCAATTTCAGGCCTATAAGATTTCCATTGCCTGGCCATTATGCCTGTCCCAAGTCCAGACGTTGAGACTTCGCCTTCGACAAGGCCAACCAACACAGACGGAGCGTGGGACCCAGCTTTCACCATTTACCAGGCCGTAACATCTCAAGACCTTGCAACTACCTATGAGTTATTCATCGCCTATACCGATTGGCTGAACCTTGATCTCTACTTTCAAGACTTCAAGACCGAACTTGCCACCCTGCCCGGGAAATATGCGCCTCCAAGTGGATGTCTTCTCCTGGCCAAGCCTGCCACGACGGGGGGAGCTCAGGGAGTAATTGCCATGCGTCCGCTGCCAAGCGTAGGTGAGGCCATTTGCGAGATGAAGCGCTTGTATGTGCTTCCGAGTGCTCGTGGCATGGGAATCGGGCGGGTCTTGATACGCGAAGCTGTTAGAAGAGCGGAAGAGAAGGGATATAGAGAGATGGTGTTGGATACCTTGCCATCCATGAAGGGGGCGATCACCCTATACCGGAGCGAAAGCTTCATTGAACGAGATGCCTATTACGAGAATCCGATCGAGGGTGCGATATTCTTCAGGAAGTGGTTGGGGCGATGAGCCCCTGAAGCACACGGAAAGCTGGAGTCAATCGGGTCGAATCAGTTGGAGCGAAACTGAAGTCTGGAGGAGGTCGAAGTAAAATTAGACTAGAGCCTCCGGGAAGGTATTCGATGATCTGTGTCTCCTCAGAGTGACAGTTTATCATTCATTCAAGGCTCCGTTTCGCCAGCTTCAATATTCGTCTTGCTTTCATTTCATCTACCAGCGTACCTTGCATGGCTCCTCATCTTTCATATGCTACTTCCGTGGTAATAAAACTTACCTCCCATATGTTCATGTGAAAATGGGTACGGTCAAGGCAATGCCGAATCTAATCTTATCTCTCACATATATTGACCTTATTGAATCAGGCAGGGAGGCAACAGCCTGATACCTGCCTATGATCTATTCCTCCTTGAACTCCCTCACTTCAAAGTGCCAACGGGGACGATTTACCTACCCTTCTTGATGGCAGCGAGCATGATAGGCCACGACGATATGAACCTTTCTATATTCCAGCAGCAAGTGCAATTCCACCACATTCTAACCGTAGTGAAGCTAGACACCGAACTAAGGATTGATGGCGACGAAATGGAGGAAGTACTCCAACCCGGAATCACTCCAGATGCCATGGAGACTGGGCAAATGGAGGCGAAACGGAAGAATTTGGAAAAGGTTCTTGGATATCTGCCTATGCATGACCTCCTCCATTCGCATAGGGTATGCCGCGACTGGAGACATACGATCAGCAACTCGATAAGCCTTCAACGGGATCTCTACTTTGCACCGAAGTGCGCGCCTGCAGAAGGAGCAGAGACTCCCACCGTCAACCCGCTTCTACTCGTCAAATTCTCGCCGTGGTTTGTCGAACACAAGTCCCATCCCAGCGAGGAGGAGCTAAATTTCATCGAGCGTGGGCGGAAGGTCAATCATCTCGCAAGCTTCCCAACCTTGAACCGTTGTCAGGATGGATTTGCCCGCCCAGAAGCGTCGTGGAGGAAGATGCTCCTTTCACAACCGCCCATGGCGACAGCCGGCGTGATTTAATGGAACATCTTCGACACTGTGGAGGGACAGATCACTCGTGGCTCGAACGTTCAGCGGAGCAATCAAATTGTCTATTTCTGCGAGCTCTACAACATCGCCGAGCATCTCATGACGACGCAGATCACCAACGCCTCGTTTTCTTTTCAACCGTTTATATCGACACAGAATGATTTAGCAGGTCTCATGATCTTCATCTATCCGATGTTGGGTCCGGAATTGATGAAGGCGTACCGGTTGAAGAAGCGAGATTTCTTCACAAGGAAGACCGATGGATATATCCAACTTGAACATGGCAATCAGTTGATTGTGGAGAAGAGGAAGGTGGACAGGGTACGGAACAGTTAGTTATTAGAATAATTATCCAAGATATGGTGACTCTAGTGACTGGCCTGCCGCCTTACGAATCGGCCTGGGCGTCAAGCAATCCCCCCACTTCCCCAGCACTGAAGAAACGTGCCATTCATGGTTATACAATTTAGTCAATTTTACAAAGTTTAGATCTGGACGCTTGATCCTATCGGTACTCGCCGAACGTCAAGCCAATGCTAATCATCGTCGACCAATAATACTAGCATGTGCATAATCTCCCGGCACTAAGGAAGCACTAAGCTCTTAATCACCGAAGATCTACGGATCAAATCTCCAACGCGTCTAGTTGCCAAACTACACCTGCCAAAGATGGAATAAACAACACGCTGCCCAAAGCCACTATCTGATAGGATAGGACGGGATGTAGAACTCAGAAAGAGCAGTAAGATGATGGATAACCTCGTACCGGGTCTTCGAATCGCGTAGACACGCTGAGTTGTTTAAAATCGGGTACTTATCCGGCTCCAACATGGAGAGAGGATGGCAAGCGATTACCTGGGCTTCGAAAGTGCTGGAACAGGCTGGGATTGTGGCAATTGGAGGTCAATAAAAGTCAAGATGAAGTTCGTATATCTTGCAATCGGAGCCAGCATCGCTGAGGTCGCAAATGCCGCTCTGTATGAGAATACCACGAGCGCAAACCATACGTGCTCGATCCGTACGTATGATCTGAACTGAAGGATAGGTTTCAGAGCTAAATCGAAATCCCAGAGACGCCCTACCTTTCATGTTCAACCAACGCCAACCCTGGGCTTGTCGATAGTTGCTGTGTCGAGACCTTTGGAGGGTTGGTGATGGGCACGCAATTCTGGGACACATATACGGGTCTGGAATCGAAGGGACAGCTGCTTCCTGAACGATCTTGGACGATCCATGGTCTCTGGCCGGACTTCTGCAATGGTTCATACACGCAGTACTGCGACCTGAGCCGCCAGTTTGATCCCGATCCGTCCCCGAATACGACGAACAGCTTGCCGAATGGTATGTAAAGTCTCCTTGCGCGGCATGACTGAGGAGGCTGACCAGGAATAGGCACCGTGGTCCCCGCGTACGGTGGCCCCGATATCAGCCCCGTCTTCGAAGCGTTTGGAAAACGGGATCTGCTGGAATACATGAACAAGTAGTCCATCCTCTTCTTTTACGCAGCATGCATCCCTATCCCAAACCACAATTCTGACACATTCCCCTAGATTCTGGATTGCCCAAGGCACTCCTAACTGGGAGCTTTGGGCCCACGAATTCAGCAAGCACGCAACCTGCTTCTCGACGTTCGACGTGGCGTGCTACGGGCCGCAATACCGCGAGAATGAGGACATCATCGACTTTTTCGAATCTACCATCCGCTACTTCAAGAAGCAGCCGACATGGGAATGGCTTGCTCGATGGGATATCACACCGTCCAACAGCACGACGTACTCGTTCGCCGAGATCCGGGATGCGCTTGCGTCGGAGTATGGTGCGGTCCCGTACGTCGGATGCTCAGGGCCGAAATATAACGACACGAAAGCCGGTCGTGGGAGTTCTGATAATGGAGGTACGGTATTCAATGAGGTTTGGTACTTCTCGCATGTAAGTTGGCCCTCTTCCATCCGCTCTGGGGGGGATGCTAATAGAATGCAGGTCTTTGGCAAGCCGCAATATGGGGATTACGTCCCTACGGACGTTGGATCGTTCGCGACGACATGCGCGAAGACACCTGGGGCAATCCGGTATCCTTCACGTACGAATGGCTCAGAGTGGAGCAGGAATAAACCGTGATAGGGAATATCAAGTTACTCTAGACGGTTCTGGAAGGATAATGCCGTGATAAAATAGACGATAGATTCGTGGACCTCGCGCAAGGTGTTTCGAACCTCCAAACAAGCTTGACAACTTAGACTTTCCCCTTCAATAAGCACTGGCGGTCTGGCGCGACAATCGGCACACATCCTCGTGTTCGTCGTTCTAGTTGGCCCTTTTTAGGCAGTGCAATTTAATGCAAACATACCATCCAGTCACAACTGTTCCGACAACCCCCTCCCTGTATCCAACCATTCCTACCTGGGATAGAAACCATTCCGCTGGGCCCGGGGTTAAGCAATATGCTCGCCTGCTCCGCCTCCAGAATTCGCGTGGACGCCCACGGAACGATCAGAGAGCGGCACAAGGGGCATGGAACGTCATCTCCCAACCGAAAATGCAGGCTCGGACGATTATGGTGTGCCATGCCGATTGGCGAAGGACATGCAACCCCCCTCACCATCCCTTCTTCGCTTGGGATACCGGTACTTATCATTAAGTTATGTTCTTGTCGATTGAAAGAATATAGAAGAGAGTTGGATTCATGATCTTTGCTTTGCCTTTGCCCATCGAATTTTCAAGCAGCTAAACAATGGCGTCGACCCAACCAGCAGCTGACGATCTGGCGCCTAGCGCTAGCCCCAAAACATCCCCAAGCGGGAGCCCGCTGAACGAGGAGCACGGCGATGTGAGTTGTACCACCAAAGAGGCTACGATCTTGGTTACACAGCTGATATGGGATCGTCTAGACCGATTCGGCATATGATGAAGGTTCACTGTACGTCATTGCCGTACTTCTTCCTCTTAGGGAAGACGGAAGCAAGGTCTAACATTGCGACCAAGCAATCTCTCGACGGCGTCGGTGCCAACGAGCGTGTATCAGTATCGAAAGGAGCATGGCAGAACATATCATGCGTATAAAGATGGGCGTAAGTGATGGTTCAAAGGCCTCCTTGGGAAATCAAATACTGATATCGCCGACAGAATATAATTTCCCCAATGATGCGGTATAATTGCGATCTAAAGCAAATATTGACTCCTGAACCGCTGACTAGAAGATAAATAGACGGAACTAGATCGATTAGATCTCCAGCATATGATATTCCTCCTCACCTTCGACGGAAAGCTGCACAATGCGCCTATCAAGAATGATATCCACCACGTTCTGGACGTTGGATGTGGAACGGGTCTTTGGGCGATGGATTTTGGTATTAAATGATATGGCTATTCAGAGAATATTTGCTGATCTTTCGAAGCGGATGCACATCCGGAAACAAAAGTCCTTGGGATTGACCTAAGCCCCGTTCAGGATTCCTTGTACGCCGGAACCCTTTTGAGCGTTCCTGTGCCCTGCTGATGTGCTCACAGTGTTCCTCCGAACCTCGAATTTGAAGTAGACGATGCGAATGAGCAATGGCTGTTCAAGAACAAATTCGACTTCATCTTCGCTCGACAACACCACAGTGCGATCGAGGAAACGAAGCTGATAGATCAAGCTTTTGAGTACGTGCTCTCCTCATCCTTGATTCCATTCCATCTTGCAGTTTGATCGGCTATGTTCTGATACTTGGTTAAGCAACCTCGAACCTGGTGGCTGGATTGAATTACAAGAGCTCTGCCTCCCTTGCGTCTCCGACGATGGCACCCTCTTGTCTGACTCCGCGCTCCTTCGGTGTTTCAACCTTCTAGTCGAGGCATCCAAGAAGATCGGCCAACCAGCCGACTCCCCAAAGAATTACGAGCCCGCGATGCGCAAGCGTGGGTTCGTGAACGTGGAGAAGCATGTGCACAAATGGGCGACCAATACCTGGCCCACCGACCCGAAGGAAAAGGAAATCGGGAAATGGACGAAGGAAAATCTCTTTCAGGGAATTCAGGGGTTTGCTCTGGCGCTGTTGACCAGGGTGTTGGGGTGGGGAGAGGATGAAGTGGAGGTGTTGCTGATGGACGTCCGAAATGAAATCAAGAATACCGAAATTCACGCATATTGGCCGTTGTGAGTAATGAACAGCGTGGTGGACGTGAATAGGCGAGCTACTAACTATGTATAGGTATGTTGTCTATGGTCAGAAGCCAGAGAATCCGACAGCATAAAAAGTTGATTCGGTTTCAAGGCCGTTATGTACTGGACCAGATCAGTAGCAGCACCGGAAAGGACATGACGAAATAGTGTAAATAGCGTGGGATACCCTCATTTAGCATGGAATTGGACTCAATGAATTTGTGCACTGCTTTGACTGCTATTTCTCCAACCGCTAGAACTATTGAGTTACTTGATCTACACAACATGCAAGAAGGGCTTTAACCGTTGATTTTCATTCACCTCAAAACCACTCCTACACATCTTCGTTGCCCTCCTTAGAAAAAGGGTTCCATCTACCAATATTACCCTCCAAGTCATCTTTGCTGACTAGCATAGGTTCCAAATTCCAAGTTTCTTTTAATATCTCACGTTTCGAAAATCCGGATCGTATCATGTATTTCAGCACGTTGAAGACGAAATCTAGGGTTTGTACAGGCGCCGGTATTGTGGAATCAGTTGAGACTTGGTTGATGCGATTCAATGTATTTCCTAGGAGGCTCTAAAATTATAAAACGTTCTTAGGTATTCACACTTTTCGTGAACCATCCCAGACGAACCCATACAGACTTGCTACAGAATCTATCATATGCATTTGCAAGACATGAAAAGATGAGATAGAAGAAGATGCGCCAAAGTATCCAAAGCACGACACAATAATTGCACTCAGAGCGTCGCTATTGGCGAAACCAATGAAGCTGCAGGCCATGCCATTGTGAGTTTACATGTGAGGTACTTAGTACAATTGTGGTTGCACAACATGATAGCCAGTCAGCAGAGAGGGATGAACCCCAGAGATGCCTACCTTGCTTTTTGTTCTGATCGTCTGTTCGATAAGGCAAGGGAAGGCAGTCCGAGACTCCCGAGATCCCATCGCCAGGTCATTATCCAAGGACATTGAGCGATGGCGGCAACGGACAAATATTTTCAGTTGCACCTTCTCAGGGTTCCACTTCCTTAATAGACTCTTCGGCATAGCACAATGGAGGCTTTACTATAATGCGACAGACAGTACATACCTGATACCAACTGTAGCCACCTCACATATCAACCTGAGGAGATCGTGAGTCTTCACATCTGTGGTTGCAAAGACAGTTCCATCAGCTGAAATGATATTCGGTCTTATGCCCCCTATGCTTTTTTTATGGCTTATTTAACTCTGCTCCCCTTAAGTTGAGGGTTTTCGTTGAGAAAAATCTTTTGTGGCTTTCAGCCTTCTGTCTCCAACGGCTCCATACAGGAAAGACTGCAAATTTTCTCCGAGAAGGCAACATGAAGAAGGCGTTACTACTACTCGAAAGGAGTCAAGGAGGCAACCATGTCCAGGGTTATGGGGTACAATACCATAATAATATTGGCGGATCGGATTGTGTGAAGTTAGAGCATCAGGATGTCGATCAGCATGAATTACTAGAGAGCGGAGAGAAATGAACGATTATTGGTCCACTTTAACTAAGTTAACTTAGCCTTCCTGCTAACTAACTAACTAGTTAACTTAACTAACTACTCTAACTTAGTTAATACACTCATGTTTGTTTTAACATCATGGCAAGGCACATTAATATAATAATATTGCTACCTCGTCGCACCCCACCTCCCAACTCTTCCCCAACTCACCGCTCGAATTCTTGTCCCTGCTCAAGGTGGCTTTGTTAGAGAGTTGGGTTGAGAGCCGTTCTTGACGAGGTATTGGTCAAACAGAGCCGCATCGGCGCTTCGATGCGTTCAGCCGACATGGAAATGGTTAGACCCGCTCCTTGAGGCGTTCGTATACCACCGGGATGAAATTGTAATACTGTCATAGTCAGGGTGGTGACCCGCAAGTCCACGCCGTCTTTGGATTCGAATGGGGAGTCCCCTTTACCAGGCGTTTCGTGAGGGCAAACAAGGGCCAATGACAGTACACCATACCATGCCCTGCAGAAGTCCCAATAGGAGAAAGTTGTGAATAATGCATCGACCGGTTCGTTTCTTCCTCTATGATATGTGGAACCTCTCTGGTTGAGTCTCTGTCGGAGCCTTGCGCAGTATCTGGGGATTAAAGGGCCACCGTGAGCCCTATCATTGGACATTACTTGAGATTTCATTCCTGTCTGGTCCACCTTCAATTCCTAAAGTCCTAAAGTTTGAAATTTTCCTTCGTACGAATCCCGTCAACTTTCTCCGATATGGGAGAATCTTCAAGATCAAGGCGGATTCTACGCAAAATTCAAGGCCGCTTTTCGCGCCGGTCCAAATACGAGCCTAATGACATTTCACACCGCAACGGCCAAACCGACGGCCAAGTCACAAATGCGACGATAGAAGAGCTTCCAGGGGAGCGCGAACGTTCTCCCAAGAACTGGATAGCGATTTTCGGGGATAGTACATCAAGTGAACAGCTTGGAGAGAATGGGTCTTCGCGAACAGATCCAACACATGTCACTGAAGACGGGACGTTGACGGGAGACGACTCTTCCCAGCTACTGGACGGCCCAAGGGCGGGAGACGAAGTCAATTCGTCCACCCAGGAACGCACCGGCATATGGTCTAGGGACGGGAGGCCCCTAGATATCAGTCCAGCCCATATACCGCCTAATCTCCCGGTGGAACAAGACAATCCCAGATCCGCGCAAGAAGTCCCGGCACGGGACTCGACAGATAGCAGTTCAGCGCATCTTCTGGACTTGCCAGCCACGAAACAAGATGTTCCTGAGGATCAGCGGCGGCTTTCTACCAACGAAGGCGCAGGGTCAAACCCTTACAGTCCAGTGCTAGGACCCAAACCCCTAATACCCCTTCTCGACTCAGATATTAGGTTAGCAAATCCCGCAACGACCTGTGCAAGCTCCATGGACATCCAGGGACTTCCGCTGGACAATCAAGCCGATTCCAATGCAGAACTATGTGACGAATCTGAGGAGCAAGAATATGAAAATCCCCAGGTTATTGCCCGACGCGATCTTAAAAATCGAATCGATGAAGCGTTAAACCCCCGGGGATTTCTTACCTACCCGTTGCTTTTGAAGATGATTGCTGCTGAAGACATCGACAAATGTCTACCGAAGGCCTCAGCACCGCTTCTTGATTTTGTCAAAGAGTATGCCATAACGCTCTTCGCTGTCGCCTTGTTCGCACTTGGACCTAAGGAGGATCTCAAAAGCGCGATGCAGTCTTTCCAAACCCACGGGCTCCGAGATACCTCTCTCCCAATTGATAAGATTTCTACTCGCACCTGCGGAGTAGTACCAAGAGTCTCATGCTGTCGGGATTGCTGGCCGGACCCAGCCAGAGAGAGTTTGTGCAAACATAAACCAGAACTTGCAGCATTCCATCACCAGCCGTGGGACACACACTATCGCGGAGAGTTCTTCGAGAAGCAATGGAAGTTCGTTCTTCCATTATTTACTGGAGATCCATTTGAGCTGATCCTGGACGAGCATTACAAGCTGCCGATTGTTGACCAAAGTGAAAGGCCAGTCGGGAGTGGACATTTCAGCAGCGTATACCATGCAAAGCTGCTTGTTAGCCAACAAACGGTTCTGCTTGAAGGGAATTTCACAGAAGAGCATGGTTTGGACCTCTGTGATGTGGCCGTAAAATTGATCAAACCGCTCCCCGACAAGGCTTTTGATGTCAGAAAAGAATGGCGGCGTGAATCTGAAGCAATAGTGAAATTCAATGGTCACAACCACGAGCACATTGTTCGAGGAATTTCCGCATACTATCACCAAAATAACTATGCTGTCCTCCTTGAATGGGCAGATGGTGGTAATTTGCGGGAGTTTTGGGGGAAGCATCCCCGTCCAGAACTAAACGGGCAAAGGATGCTCCAGGTTCTTGGCCAATTACGCGGACTGGTTGATGCGATCTACCATATTCACTGTCTATCAAGGAGCGACGGCTTAACTAGGACAAATTCTGTATCCTCGGTCTCGATGGAGAATTTAGGGCCAGAAGTCCGTTTGACGGAGTCAGAAGCTGTGGGAGACTCCAATGGATCTGGCGATCTTTTAAGCAACGAGAACTGGCGACTTGGAGATATCAAACCTGACAATATCCTCGTCTTCACAAACAAGACATGGCTCGGAGTCCTGAAACTTGCGGACTTTGGGCGAGCGAAAAAGCACAAAGAAGCCACGGCTCTTCGTCGAGTTGGCACAGATGAGAAATACGGGACGACGCAATACGAACCCCCAGAAGCAGTCACCGGCTCAAGGGATCGGATCAAACGACCCCCAACAAGGTCCCGTTCCTATGATATGTGGTCAATCGGATGTGTTATATTCGAGATCATTCTCTGGCTTCTATATGGACCTGAGGAGAGAAAGGCATTTGCACACCAGTCCCGCGAGTCTGATACATCGGGCCATGGCTCTGCTCGGTCGCCATATTGGACCCTTGATATGGAGACGCCGTTAAAAGCGAAAGTGAGTGATTTCGTCACCCGTTATATCAATCACATACGAGACCATCATCCTGCGTGTAAGGGAACTGCATTGGGGGAACTTCTCGCTCTGGTCCAGGACAAACTCCTGGTTGTCGACCTGCCTGAAAGAGACTATGATGACGCTCCGGAAACGCCTGGTCGCCGAACGACTGCCAAGAATTTACTCCAGTCTTTGGACAACATCATCAGAAAAGCAATGGCTGACGAAGGCTACCTCTTTACTGGTGCAAGCGGAAATGAACAGAAGCCTTCCAGCTTCGACGCAGATGAATCTAAGCATGAGGGATCAACGGTTCGTCCGCAATCAACGCGGATGGGCAACTTCGGGCAGCATTTGGACGTGCCTTCTCCGGAAACTCCGAGGGTAGACAGCTATAATCATCATATCAAGAACATTTGGGAATATATCTCAGATGATGATTTCGGCAGAAGTGTCCTTGGCACCGACACTCTCCAACCAACACTGCGAAGTCTCCTGCCGGAGGACCACTCACCGCTTTGTACGCGATGTCGGAAAGTGGATTTCAGCTCTCGAGATTTTAGAATCAAAGATTTGATGATCGCACTTCAAACAAGATCAAGGGAAGACGGCTGCCTTGTCTGCGCGACCCTTCTGCGCGTGTGCGAAACATCTGGGATTGGCGAGAATAAGTCGGTGGACTTTGACAGAGTTCGGTCCGGACTGACCCTTGACGGCTTGGGTAGCCTGCCGAGAGTATCAATCTTTGGTGCAGATGGTGAGTGAACCATAGAACTTGCCGCTGGATCGAACCAAGAGACAATATCAATACTGACCCGTATGCAGCAGAATTCCAAGAGTGGGACACGATCTCGTCATATGTCCGTCCTGGAATACCCATATTCCAAAACCCGGGAGAAGACGGGCATATGAAGTTGCTCCGAACTTGGCTCAAAGATTGCGACAAAAATCACCGCGGTTGCGATCAAAAGCAGAGAAAAGAACTGCCGACAAGGCTGCTAGATGTCGGTTGGCCAGATGAGGACGTAGTACGCCTAGTCGAGAAGAATAAAATCCTGAAAAGAGGACACAAATTCCCCAAGTTTTTGGCGTTCTCCCATCCGTGGGGTGATCGCAATGTTCATCAGCATTATTGCACTATACCGGACAATGACACGAGTACGACTAAGGGGATTTTTCTAAGCGATATCAAGAATCATGGCGTCTCTGACAAAAATCTACCCCAGACGTTCCGAGATGCCGTGCAGATCACTCGGAAACTCGACGTTCGTTATATTTGGATCGACTCACTCTGCATCATTCAAGGCCCTAACGGCGACTTCAAGCCGGAGTCAGCGCGAATGGAGAGTGTTTTCAGCTCCGCATACTGCACCATTGCAGCTAGCAGCGCCGTGGGTACCAATTCGAATGTCCTCAAGTGCAGGTCGTCCCAGGCAATCGTCAAGATTGAGAAAGATGACCGACCTCTCTATCTCTGCGAATCGATGGATAACTTCCAAGAAGATGTCCTCGAAGGCCCGTTGAACAAGCGTGGCTGGGTCCTTCAAGAACGAGCTCTCTCCCGCCGGACGATATATTTCACCGACAAGCAAACGTATTGGGAATGCGGGGAGGGGATTCGATGCGAAACATTGACGAAATTGCACAAGTGAGTTTCTCCGAGAAGACAATTCCCCTTCTCAAGACGCAGACTAACATAACCTCTAGTTCCCAAGCGGCATTCCTAGGTGATCCTAATTACCCAGAATACGCGAAGAAAGCCGCAAAAGGGGCCCGAATATTCCTTTTCGAGGGTCTCTACGCCCAATACTCCAAACTTGCTTTCTCCGTCCCGCAGGACCGGTCTAACGCAATCAAGGGCCTAGAGCAGCGGCTAGGAACCGATTTCGGCGGCCGCGCGCAGCATGGGATCTTCGAGAAATACTTCCACCGAAGTCTACTCTGGCGACGAGCTGAAGATCAAACAATGACCAAAATTGAAATAGATCCATCTCTCAATCGAGGTCGGCCGTCGCCTTCGTGGTCATGGATGGCGTACATGGGAGAGATTGAGTATATGCTGATCCCGGGGCGAGAAGCGGACTGGAATCGTAAGCTTTTTTGGCCAACGGAAGAGGCTGTGGGGAAAGTGACGCTCCAAGGGGATGCAACGAAGTATGCAATTCCTCAAGGTGCAGCCGATGACGAAGCTAAAATCGTCTTCGATTTGGAGCAACACCCTGCACATGAGAAATTGAGATGCGTGGTCGTTGGGATCAGCAAAGCCAGTTTGAATCCCGGCAAGCATCGTCACTATGTCCTCGTTGTTTACCAGAAACCTGATTCAACGGACATTTATGAACGAGTTGGAGCTGGATATCTGCACAAGGACTACATTTTCAAGGAAACGGCCATGAATATCACGATTGAATAGTCTGTCCGAGATTCGTTTCATTTGGAGTCGCATGTCGCCTGGGGAATAGAGTATTGCAGGTTATCATTTAGGTCGGGAATGTAGTAGCCTATAGGTTGCCACTCAGGTTAATTAGGTACCCGGTGTATCATCCAGTAATTACAGTCTTTTCATCAGCTGCAGAACAATCCGAACGATCGTAATCCAATCTCTCGGTAATAATACTTTGGTATAGCACTTTAGGATCGATGCGGTAATCTTCAACCACATGCCGACTCCAGATTTTCCAGGCGTCCGTTCGCGGCAGGAGATCCGCCTTCTCCAACCAATCTTTCACGCCATTTCCCACGTCCTTGAACCGTCGCAGCAGCATGCCGTATACCTCCGTCCGACTTTGAACCTTCGCTCTTTCTATCAACTTCAACTCTGAAAGTCGACAGGTACTATTCAACTGCTGCCCCAAAAGTAGGTTAACTTGCCCTAGCGCATTCAACAAGATAAACGCCAGTTGATCTGTGGTGGACCCGTTCGGAATTGTCGTGAAAACCAGCAACAACACCATGAAACTTCCCACCCTAGTCAGAGCTCGCCATATTACCGCTGAAGGGAATACGCTGTCTTTGTATGTGAGACCAGCGATGGTCCAGGTTTTGATGTCTCTTCGGCTGCCTTCCAGAATGAAGACCGAGTTGGACCGCCCAAGGATATATACCGCATCCGGGCCGTCCGGTTCCGATACATTGGATCCTTCAATCTCGGTAGGGCGGACGTTGAAGTGCTCGATGACACGCGTGAAGATTGACCAGCCGGCGAAGACGACACAATTGGTCATCCTAATCCAGGTGGTGCCTGGGAGGTAGGCCAGACAGGCGAGCCCTACCGCGAAGAGCAACCAGGTGAAAAATACCCAGATCCATACCAGAATATGGCAACCTTTGACCCTGTTCCTGATATGGCCTCCTGTACTCGAGGGAGGGATCCGAAAAATGTGGCATTTCCCATCTTTCAGCAGCCCTTGAGATTTGATTGCATTTTCCAGTAATATATTCCGCAAGGGTGCAGTTTTGCACCCGTAGGGAGAGAAGTAAGTCAGAGAACTTGCTTGTTCCTCAAGCAGATTGTAGGATCGGATGTAGGCTTGAAGGCCGACGACAGGTGCGGCGGATATGCACTGAGCAAGGCATCCGCCGCTAAGCCGATATCTTTGTTCTTCTGCTTCGCCTATGAGGATCATGAACGAGCTGACGTCGAATCGCTATGACTCGGCTTGATTCCAGTCGTTTAACATATTTGAAGACCAGATATAGGTTTTCCTGCTTCAGAATGGTGGGAAGATAAGAAAAACAGTTAGGTAAGTGATAAGACTGGGGTTTTAATGGCGGAAGTGGAAATGGCTTGCTTTATGGTCTATACTTCAAGTGGGCGGACTGCATGCATCACAAGGCTGGACAGTCGCATGGTTCCAACCAAATGTGTGAGAGTAAGGCTAACTTACAGCAAGCTCATATCTGCCATGATATGGCGAAGTAAACAATTGACGATTATCGTGATGCTGTACTGATCGCCAAGACCTAATATGTAGCAACAAGCACAAAAGCAGCAGAAGCATATAACATTGACGAGGCTTAATCCCAAGACTTGAGGAAAGGAAGAACAAAATTCTGCGCATAGCACTTACAATCAAGACCCGAACTGTAACAAAGAATTGACCGACCTAGATAAGGCAGAGACAGGCTGCATGCTCGCAATCCAGTCACTGCAGGCCAAGAGGATGCAACCACACCAGGATACGAACTGAGGCTGGACACTGCATTAGATAATAAGCCTAGTGAGGCATAAACATCAAATGGATGGATTGAAGTTTTATCTCACCCGGCTTGAAAGCAAGAGTGCATGTCCCCAAGCCATACGTTTTCCACGGTATCATCGATTGCCTTCGGGATCAACACTTCCCGCAGCCTTGGAAACTCACATTGGGAAGTGTACGGTAGCATTGGGATAATTTGTAACTGCGATATATTGGTAGTTACTTCGAAACCAGAGTCTACCTACCCGGCCTGATCGCAGGTTCGCCCATTAGAAACGAACAGGGGCCGTGGGCGCGCTCCAGTGGTTCGGTATCTGAAGGGCAGAATAGGGACACCATATATTATTCCATGCTCTTGTCTGCCGACGCTTCTAAACAATACGAAACGTGAGGAGGGACGATGAGTGTTGAGAGAAAGTAGAGTGAACAGAAGGTGAGATGAGGCTGGGAGAGGTTGAGCATAAAGTGGGGCATCCCTCCAACGTCACAGCTGCGGTGCTGTTCAGTTGTCCTGGAAGACGTGCCACATATCAAGTCTCCAGCTCCATCCACCAGCAGCCTGTTCCTAGATATCCTCATTTCGGACCATCCGCATATCCAACAACAAGTCGCCTACTTGCTGTATATCCTTCAATCGTCTTGACCCAAAGCCCCGCTCAATATGGGTGACGATCCCCGCGCCTTGCTTGCCAAGGTACGTCCGTGGCTGCAACCAGCAGGAAGGAGAGAGGCATCTGACATGTTTCAATAGGCAGATAAGGCTTTCGCGAGCTCAAGTGGCGGCTTCAGCCTATTCGGCGGCCGGACGGAGAAGCTCGAGAATGCCGTAGACCTCTACACGCAAGCAGGTATGTATCAACCGCCGCCCCACAATCCGCATCGAGTGACGGCTGACCTCTACAGCAAACGCCTACCGGCTACAAAAAAACGGTACAGTCCATCCCCACCATCTCTACTCCTGCATAGCTGACCCTTCCCCCTCTCACAGGCAAAGAAGCCGGCCTCCTCCTCGAAAAAGCCGCCTCCATCCAAGAGGAGAAACTGAACGAACCCGATGACGCCGCCCTCACCCGCTCCGAAGCCTCTAAAGCATACCGCAAAACTGACCCGGAAGATGCCGCCCGCTGCCTCGACCGCGCCATCAAGCACTACACCAGCCGCGGCAACTTCCGGCGCGCGGCGTCCATGCAGCAGACGCTCGCGGAGATCTACGAGGTGGACATCCAGGACGGGAAACGGGCGGGCGGCGCATACGAGGCGGCGGCGGGGTGGTTCGAGGAAGACAACGCGAGCGCGCTGGCGAACAAGTTGTATTTGAAGGCGGCGGATATCGCAGGGTTGGAGGGGGATTACTACAAGGCGATCGAGCACTACGAGCGGGTAGCGAAGAACTCGATCAATAATGATCTGATGCGGTTCTCGGTGAAGGATTACCTGCTGAAGGCGGGGATCTGCCATCTGGCCACGAACGATCTGGTGGGCGCGGGGAGGGCGGTGGAAGGGTATCCGGAGATGGATCCGAGCTTTGCGGGGACGCGGGAACATCAGTTGTTGACGGAGTTGTTGGAGGCTGTGAAGGATCAGGATACGGAGAAGTATGCGGATAAGTTGTGGCAGTTTGACCAGATGAGTAAGTTGAATTCGTGGAAGACGACGATGCTCTTGAGGTATGTGGTATTTGATCCGAAACTACTTTGGCACAGCTAACGAGATGATAGGGTCAAGAAGAACATTCAAGAGGAAGAAGACGACTTCTCATAGTCTCTTGTTGACGCTGATCTTGGTTTGAATGTAGCATGATTGGGCGTTTCGAGGGAGGCTTGAATGGGACCCTCCTTATCCCATCTGGAAGTTGTTATGTTAGATACGAGGTTTGGGCGAGTTGTACCGAGTTATACCGTTGACGAATTCATGTCATTGCTCATTGATACACTGCTGGACATGCGATGACGACGTTCTGTGCTCTCCAGGATCCTTTTATATCAACCCCGGAATAGCAGCCTTTCTGCCACCAATCTTCTCCTTACCGAACTTCGCGATATACCATCTCTTCCCACTGGTAGCGCGAGGCAGCATGGTAGTGATCTCATTGATCACAAATGTCCGCGCCGGGATACAGCCTACCCCTCCCATAACCCAATATCCCGTCCATTCGATCCACTCGCAGAGATAGTGCGCATACAGCACATAGCGAAACAACCCCTTCTCCGGCACCTGATAGACCTTCGACGAATCCGACGCTTTCCCTCGCGCCTTGTCATCCTCCTTCTTCCTCATCGCGACTCGTCGGATATCGCGCAACACGTCATCATGATAGATATTCCCGATCAACCCCGCAGCCCAGATCACCGTCCCCACCCCGACTTGTAGCGTCCTGCCATCCCAATAGCCCGCGTCGGTCGGCCCATACCCCGCCAACCAACCCCCAATCGACAACGCGTTCGCCATTTGGAAACCCGCCGCGAAGAACGCCACGAGCGGATGAATAGGGCTCATAGAAGGGTTGAGCACCAGCGGCGCGAGCAGCGCGCGATACACATAATGCGTGACGAACAGCCCGGTCATTAGCCAGTTTCCCCACGGCAAGGCCCCAATCCCCAGCTGCTTCGGCAACGCAAACATGATATACACGAGCGTCGAGAAGCCCGGCACTTCCATTAGGGTCCAGGCGACTTTACCGGGGATGTTGAAGCGCGAGGTGATGGAGGTTTTGCCCATGGGGTACCAGTCGGTGAGCCATTGGAGGCAGGTGAACTGAGGTCGGAGGGGTTAGCTATTGAGGCGTTAGGAGGGATGGGGAGATTGATGTACGAGAGGGAAAACGTAGCTAAATAGGTTCACTATCAGCTCCCAATTCTGCCGTGATGGGGGCAGCCATCCTTGGATTAGACTCATTCTTGCGGCGGTATATCGAGATAAGGGGGGTGACGCTGCTGTCTTTCAGGAACTTCCAACTTTCCAAGTCTTCCACGACAGGTATGAACGGTTCATATAATCTTTAAGACTTGAATTGAGCGAAAACGAGATACTCAGGTTTCCGTTGATCTCACAGAATATCAGGGAAAATAGTTTGTGGTTACAGAGGTGCAACATTTCACCAATTTTTGAGGTGTCGTCATCTTCAGTCCTGACTGGGCAGTCGCGATGTTGGCACATATCACCCCCCAGAACGGCAGGGGCGGCCCGGACTCCTTCCTGTCCAATCCGTTGGGTCTTCATCTCCACCATCAACTGTCAGCCATATTGTGACGCTTAACACAAGAATTGTCATCGAAAGACTTAAAACAGTCGAAGTCGTTAGTGATGAAATCATGATACATATTAGGTATATATTGGATCGACGTCGATATCTCTAAAGATGATCCCCCGATCGACCCTACTGCCTGGTCGAAGACCTCCGACCTTCTCCTTCAGGACTATCCACATCCGGGGTTAGGTTGCATTTGTGGCTTGGTTACCATCTCCCTGCAGACGCCTCGACAAATGGCATCGCATCATCTCGAGTCGCTGAAAAGCTCGCTACGAACATGCAGCTATTGGGCGTACGGCGCGTCGGCGCATAGAAGTCACAGACCAAGTCATGAGGCTGAAGTTGGGCAGTGTATCCCGTGAACCTCGAGCCTTTTCTTTCCCGCGTGTCTTTCGATTCTTGTTCGTCTTGCAATTGTGAAGATGTTTGGATGAATTGTGTTTCGAAGTGTCGTTTTTGGTTCGAGTCTTTTGAATGGACGACTATGTTTACAATGAGATATTCGAAGACAATCAGTTCTTCTCGCCGGGGGAAGGCCACAAGTCGCTAGAGATCTCTTATAATTCTGTATGAACCTTTGCCGCGTTTCTCTTATCCTTGTCTTTAATTTCGAAATGCTGAAACATCGAAATAGGTGGACAAGGAGCCATCAGTCGAGTATGGCGATGTCCGAGAGCGAGACATTGTCTCGTGGCTCTCGAGTGTAAGAGCGCTGTTCCAGTAAAGACCTCACAACTAACCAATCCCCAGGGAAACACCAAGGCGCCGCACGCATCGCTTAAATTACTGTGAGGGACATGTTTCTTCCCGAGCAATGAGATACCTAACACCATGGTTAGGATCTGCAGGCCTCGCGTTTTGGAGCAAAACATCTGCCCACTGCCAGTGTCTCGCCATACGTTTCTGGCGATCAGTAGGAAACTAGGACTTCCGCCGATCTTTTTGAGAGCGATATGCAGATTGATACCAATGTCTACACGTGGCAAGTCCACAAGCAACGCGGACCACGATGGTTTGTCTACTTCAGATTCTCCAAGTCTACTGCCCACACTAATTCCATACAGTCCTGATACTGCGAACCAATCTGAGCTTGAAGTGGCAATATGCCCTAGCTGTATGTTACGATGCTTCGAACAATCAGACGCTTGCAGTCCTCTTTGGTATGCAAGGTAGCGAGATTGAGGCCGTATCAGGATCATTGTGTAAAAGTCGAGTTCCAGTTGGGTCGTTGCCATTGTTGGTTCCATGTCTGCTTATGGATCTCGCCATGGACTATGTCGCGATCGACGCGGAGCAAAGACGGACAAGTCTAACGAGCATTCGATACGAAACTGGACTGCATGGATTTGATAGGAATCATTCGTTACCGCTCGGTCGTATAGACGACTCGCAAGATGATCTAGACTTGGATATCATCACGCAGAAGTTGACGAGTCTACAAGACGCCTGCGCTGGAATTCAGGCCGTGGTTAACACTCAGAATCGATACATTGCATGTCTCAAGGAGTATGGTTCGGTGACCCAGACCACAGACACACACGAGATACTGGTCCGTTTGGGGTATTTGTCCGATCTTCTTGACGGCATTCAGTCCAAGATCTCCTACACGGCCGAATCAACCCAAAGCCAAGTTCAGACAGTGAGTCTCCCACACGCATCGCTGTACTCGTCTCATAATCAGCGCAGATGTTTACCTTTATCGGACAAAAAGACATGAAGGAGCAGGCACGGGCGACGGAAGCGTCTCGAAGAATCGCAGACGACTCGCGTACGGTCGCGATATTGACGCGGCGGGATTCAACCGATATGCGGATCATTGCTGCCGTGACCCTGATCTTCCTCCCGGCGACATTCACCGCAGTATCGCCCTACCCGATCTCCTTTGAGTAATGACAATGCTAATGTCGAAATAGACCCTCTTCTCAACTACCTTCTTCGACTTCCTCCCCGGCGAATCCACCTCCCTCGTCTCCCCCTACATCTGGCTCTACTGGCTCGTCACCACCATTCTCACAGTCATCGTCCTCAGCTCCTGGGCGCTCCTTTCCCGCGTCCAAAAACGCAAGATCGCCGCCGCCGTCCGCCGCGAGTCGCAGCGCGAACTCGAACTGTCCAAGCGGTATGGCCCCGCAGCGAGCGACGCGATTCAGCAGCAGTGGGAACGCGCAGGGCAGTTCGAGCTGCGGGAACGCGCCCGTGGGTATCTCGGGAGTTTCATGGTGATCGACGATGCGGCGAGGATAGCGCCGGGGATTCATCCGACGTCAACGCAGGGGAGTAAGTTGGCTGGGTTTAAGAGGCCGGACCGGATTGAGACGAGGGATTTGTCACCGACGAGGAGCGGTTGGTGAGTGCTAATGGGATGCAGTCGTTTATTGAGATGGATCTTTGGACGAATATACGATGAATACATTTTATGCACGCCTAGGATTAGTTGTAGATTATTTGCTCATCCCATATTGAACATGGGAAATATAAAGTCCCGTCCGTAATCATGTGTCGGGTGAGTGCCGTCAGTAATGAAGAGCGCCATGACCCTGTCCTCTGGAACTCCTCCTGTTACGAACCCTGCACCATCAACGACAGCTATATGCTAATACATATCCACATCTAGGGTTGGACAACTTTCCATGTCTCATTTATTTTGCTTTTGTTTCCCCAGACGTTCATCACATGCGGGATTGGGCTTGGGATAACCGAAGAACTCGATCGCCGTCTTGGCTCGGTTCTTAGTACCAGCAGCATAACGTCAAGTACCTACCGACGCGATTCATCCATTGCTGGCGGTTCAAACCCATTGAGGCACGGAACGTCGACGAACTCCCTATTATGGATGAGAGATATGCCCGGAAATATACCTGAACGCCTTGTGGACGACTTGATGATGCGCGCTCCAAAGCACTCTTTCCACGACCTCGAAGAACAAAGATACATGTATCTACCTTTCATTCATTGTTCATCATGTCCTCGTAAGTCGTAAGCCATTTCCATATTTCCATGCCAAGGTGTCAGGAAAATTCGCATTCGCGAAACCTCACGAATTCACGCGCGTCGAACGGCTTTAGAGAACCACGGCCAAAACCGATCCGCACACGACACAGTTCCGTGAGCATCAGGGTTAATCCAGCTCTACCCCCGCCGTGCACAAAGCCTTGAGCCCTTTCGGCTCAATCAAGAGATGCAAGCCTCGTATGGCTCGGAATACCCTCCACATCCTTGGAGAAAGTCTTGTCGCACTCTGTTTGGTCTGCCAAGCTCTTTCTACTACTCGGCATATTTACTCGATACTATGTCTCGTGGCGGATGATACCCCGTCGCGCTGCCTGGAGGCATCTTTTCAATCTAATGAGAATCTATTTTATTTTTATGCAGAGTCTTGGAGTATGTTTGGATATGGCGATGAGGTACGAGAATATGGTATTGCAATATGATGGTGCCAGATGATCGAGGGCCATGGCGAGGACGGAAATACTCCGTGGTCGCTTTATATCATTCCATGGGACGGCAGTTATGATGCCTTTCGGTCCCTTTGTCTTTCTAACTTCACTCATTTTTCCTTCAAGTCGCCGAGATGAAGGGTGTCACGTCGCTCCTTTCCTTCGTCCTGTACGCAGGACTATGTATTGCGGATCCGGCTCCTATGCCGCCGATCCCCGACAAAGTCCTGACGCCTAATTCATCTAATGCCCCAGCGGGCTGCAAACTCCTGGCATCCGATGCCGGGTTCCCATCGAACGAGACCGTCAAGGCCGCGTTGCCGAATGCGATTTTCAAGCAATGGGGTACCAAAGGCCCGGATTGGGTGGTGCAGGCGAAGACGGTGCAGGATGTCCAGGCGGGAGTGAACTTTTCTGCGCAGCATAATGTTCGGTTGACGGTCATTACGAAGGGTCATGATTTCATGGCAAGGTAATGTTGAAATCTCTATAGGGTGACTAGGTAGCGACTAACACCATGCAGAGCCGACGCTCGTTCTGGACTGCGGATAGACATGAGCCAGTTCAATGAAAACACGGTCTTCGCCACCAGCTGGAAATGTGGTGATGTCCTCACTCCTGGGGCGTCTGTAAACAAGATCACTCCAGTGCCCGGCGAGCAAGCCGTCGCTCGTGTCTCCGCGAGCATGTATCATGAGAAATTCTATGAGGAGGCTTCCCAAAGTGGTCTATTCACTATGGGCGCTCAACACGGCGGTGTAAGCACTATCGGCGGTTGGGCTCAGGGAGGCGGCCACAACCCTTTCTCTCGCGAGTACGGCATGATGGTCGACCAGATTCTGGAGTTCGAGGTCGTCACTGCGGATGGCAAGTTCCAGAAGGTGTCGGAGTGCAACAACCCGGAGCTATTTTGGGCACTTCGAGGGGGTGGTGGTTCAACGTACGCACTTTCGGACGCGGGAATCAGAGGATTTGCTGACGACTGCGTAGATTCGGTGTCGTTACTGCCGCCACTGTCAAAGTCTATCCGACCATCCCAATAGGAGTCGCCCGCTTTTTCGTCAACTCGACGACTCCGAAGCTGTGGGATGCCGTTGCCTATTTCTTGCAGCAGGGGCCGACTGTCCGCGATCAATACGGGGCGCAAGGCTACTTTTATGTGTACCACAACGCATTCGAGTCGGTATTGCAGTAAGTCGCGTATCTCCTGAACCTGCATCATTCGCTAAATCCCTTTCGCAGTTTCCCAGCCCAGTACGCCACCGAAGCAAACATGAAGGCTGGCTTCGAACCCCTGAAGGCCAAGATGGATGAGCTTGCCGGCGCAACTGCCCAGCCCATCAAGTACTACACTTACAAGACGTACAAGGACTGGTATGCCGCTGAGCAAGGCAACCACGACATGGAGCACTCTGGCACCAAGTGGTTGTCCTGGTATGATGGCTCCGACGGTTCGGCTCCCGGCCAAGCCGAAGCCATGGAGAACCCATTGAAGATCATTCCATGGGCGATCAAGAACCCACAGACCCCAGCAAAACGATCTATTTGGCCTCGTTATCACGCCAAACGCGACGAGGTGGTTCCAGGGAAGGCCATGCGTCCTATGTCCCGCACATACCTCGACTCGCGGCTTCTGACGGCGCAGCATGTCAGATCTGTGTCGCAGGATCAACTGGCTAAGATTATGAACAACACCCTTCCTGGTATCACGAATAACCACATTCGAGGGTTTTTGCTAGGAGGCAATATTCAGGCGAAGCCTGCGGCGAATGCGATGGGATTGAACCCTGCTTGGCGAACCATGACCTACCATATCATCGTCAACGCTGTCCCTGGTGATATTCGACATGACTACGACGTCTCGGCAATGAAGACAGCCTTCCCTACAGCTGGCGCATATCTCAATGAGGTGATCAGAATCTATCACCATGTCCCTACTAACAACTCGCTAACCATCCCAGGCCTCCCCTGATTCTCCCGACTGGAAGCGCGCCTACTTCGGCTCCAACTACGCCCGCCTCGAGCAACTCAAGAAGAAATACGACCCCAAGAACGTCCTCTGGTGCTCCCCCTGCGTCGGTGCCGATTTCCTTTCCTATGACGACGAACGCATCTGCCCCGCGCGCGTCACTATCGGCCAGCGTCCTCCACCATCCACCCTTCCCAACAAGGATAGCCTCACGGGCATCGCGAGCCTACCGAGCGTCCCGGGGATCGCCAATCCGCTCATGCCGTATATCCAGCAGTACTTGACGAATGGCGTCATCCCGGACCCCATCCCGGATTTCAGTGGCGGCTCGGGTGGTCATCATGGTGAGGAAGAGGGTGAGATGCCGGGAGGACATGATCACGGCGCCCCAGTTGAGACCACTTCAGCGGCCGGTGGACACGACCACGGCGCCCCGGTTGCGACCACTGCCGTGTTGCCACCAACAACCACTGCGGCAGGTGAACACGGCCATGAGGATACGTCCGGTGATCATGCGCACGGCTAAAAAGCCCGCAAGGTTCAGGCCGTGATGGTAGAAAGCTGACCAAAATTGCAATGTATGCGTCCATGAGATGGAATTTGATTTTGATGTCCACCTGCGACCTATTTACAACGGTGGAAAATCCAACCAACGCCTGCCCAAGTGATCTACATAAATCCCATTCCTCCAAATGACATCCCGACTCGTCATTGAGATACGCCAACCCAAGGCCACATAACCCGTTATTTCACACCCGGAATGTGTCCCCCCTTCGTCTCGTTCGCCCCCAATTCATCCTCCCTCCACGACCCACCACCACCCACCTTCCGGCCACCCTCCGCCCTCTTCACCCGACACCACATCCCCACCTCCTTATCTAAGACGAACTGCCACAGCACGTAAGTCCAGCTCTTATGTTGCGGCAAGTCCACGTAGAACTCCTTCGCCATCTCGTATAGCTTGGGGAGACGCGTCCATGGGACGGCGGGGAAGTCGTGGTGCTCGTTGTGGAGCCCGACGTTGTACGTGAGGAAGTTTAGCACGCCGTAATAGGAGTACGTCTCTGGCACCGGCGCGTCTGCCGCTGCAGATCCGGGTGCGGGATTTGAGAGGCGTTTGAAGACGTAGTGCTCCGCAATGAAGTGTCCAGCGCACGGGTGTAGGCTCCCCGCGAGGAAGGAGCTGAGAATCAGGTATGCTAGCGCGCGGGCTCCACAAGTCCGCACGAGGATGTAGTCAAATACCACCTGTACCAAAATATTCAGAGCATGGATCTTCGTGAACGGTAGCTGATAGATGAACATCGGCCGGAGCGCATAGAAGAGGATCTGGCAGGTACAGAAGAACGCTTTTCCGAGCACCGAGTCCAGGAAGATCGCCTCGAACGCGGTGGGAAGATCAACATCGACGCCGTCGACGCCCAGCGACTTGTGGTGCGTGAGGTGGTAAGGACGGAACGATGCGCTATACGGGATACCGATCGGGAGGTTGGCAAAGATGGCGAGGAGGCGGTTGGCGAGCGGGGAGCGGAAGGCGAGATTGTGGGATATTTCGTGGATGGCGAGGAAGAGGTTCTGGTTGGCGGTAGCGCCGACGAGGTAGGCGGTGAGGAAGAAGGGCCAGGAGAGGAAGGGGGTCGCTCGGAGGAGATAAGCGCAGAGGATCTGGAGGGATACGACAAAAAGTACGACGTATTTGGTGAGTGGCTCTGGCCCGCAGAGCTTGGTGACCTGCAGAAGGGTCAGTATCAGAGTTAAATTCCAAAACAATGGTATCTGACCTCTGGATGAGCTTTGATTATAGCCCGTCTTCTCGTCATGTGCGGTTCTTCTGTATATGTCCAAAAGAAGTCTTCCTTTCCAGGCTCCCGTCGGATGGTATCGTCTGGTGGCGACTCAAGAATCGGTCGTGATTTCCTCGTCCTTGGCTTTGCTACCGTTGCAGTAGCGACTGTAGATACAGACATGGTGTCTTATGCCTAAACGAACGATCAATGGCACAGAGGAAATGATGGACGGATGTTTAGAGGAGTGGGATGGGGGGAGATTATGGCTTATGCAGGTCGTGGAGACTCACAGGGGCTGGGGCCACTGCAAGGCCACGAGGCGGTAAGGCCACCATCTGCCCACCATCGAACGATCACGTGTGCGCAACCGATCTGCCAGCCTGGATGGTGCCTCAGTCTACAAGGCATCAATACATGGCTCCGAAATTCATGACGACAACCATAATGGTCTGAAGCATGTCAACAAAAAGTAAGTTAAAATCTCAATAATAATAAAATTATATGGATGAAAAGTGACGAATTACGCAGCTACGGACTTATGAGTCTTGAGTTTAACCTGAGCTATTAACAACGCTCGCGGGAAGAGAACAGGAGACATCCTGACAACTTCAATTCATTGTGATATTGGGCTGCTAAAGAGCTTGGGAACGCTGCTACGCTTCCAAGATGGTACTGACAGACATCTTCAATTTGATTAAGAACAAAGTTCTAACATTTCATCTAGTCGAAACAATATCTAACGACTCACACAATCGACAATGGCAAGTTGCACACCGTTCATATCATATCACCCTAGGCGGCAGTTAACCATCGACCAGCTCATCCAACGGATATCTTCGCTCTTGCCACCACCGCAGGACATATCCTCTCCGCATCTGGCTCATCTAGCATCCAAGTCCACGCCGTCACCGCCAACGCCAACGCCGGCGAGTTCCCCCTCGTGCAAACGCTCAATGGCGTGCACAAGCTCGGCTGCCATCATCTCTGCACGTCCGCCAACGGACGAAGAGCCGCAAGCGCCGGGTTCGGAGGCGAAGTGATTGTGTGGGAGCTCCAGGAGGATGGGCAGTGGACGAAGCTGAGGGCGGTCTCTGGTGAGTTTCTGATCACTGGTTGAGGAGCATTATGATAAGAGCTATGGGAAGCTAATCGGATCATCTAGGCAAGGCGAAGGCGGGAGAAATCTGGGCGATTGCGTTGAGTGAAGATGGCAAGTTTCTTGCGAGTAGCTCATATAATGGGTCGATCAACGTGTGGAGTGTTGATGAGGAGGCTGATAAAGAGCGGGAATACGAGACGAAAGGAAGCTTTGGCATGAGCGTCGATCTTGTAAGTTCTCAGATCTTCTATTCATGGATAGATTTCGCTTTAGATGATGGCTTATCCTATCGCCCAGTCAAGCGACGGTAAATGGACCGCATCAGGTCATGAGAATGGTGGAGTCTATATCTTCAACAATGAGTCCTCTCGAATGGCACACTCATTGCAAGGTAAGCTGCTATGTGCTCGCGGGTTTTCCCCAAAATATGGTTCACATCCAGCTGACTGTAATCAGGACTCATCAAACCCGTCCGCGCCGTCGCCTTCTCGCCCGGCGGAAAACTCCTCGCAGCAGCAGGCGACAGCAAGATCATCGGTCTCTACGACGTAGTTTCAGGCGAACAGGTAGCGATCCTATCTGGCCACAGCGCATGGATAACATCATTATCATGGAATGCTACTGGGGAGTACCTCTTAAGCGGGTAAGCCCGTTCAGCTCTCCACCCAGTTGGGAACATTGACGAAGCTGACTGCGCGACAGCGCGTTTGATGGAAAGTCGAAAGTCTGGTCTGTCCCCACGAGAGCCTGCGTGGCGACGCATGCCGAATCGGATAAGACGATCTGGAGCACGAGGTGGCTGCCGAAGAGTGGGAAGAGCGAGATGTTCGCGGTGGCGGGGGCAGCGAAAAGCATTTCGATTTACCGTGAGGCATCTGGAGGGTAGGGGCGAGTGTCTAGCTTTGTGAGCTTGGACTAGCCAATATCTCTTGGTCAGAATGGGTTCCTCCTGAATCAATGGTCGTCATGGCATCACCTTAATGCTCGGGGACGAACCCGGAAGGCCGAGGGGTCGCAGTGGTGAGAGGAAACGGGTCCGGGTGTAAGGGACAGCGTCATGTGTCATAGACTCAGCATGTTATGCCGCAACCAGTAGAATGGAAGGACCCTGATTCTCAGGGCCGCACCGCACCATCTCCCCGACTCCCACACTCTTCACGAGCAGCCCCCTAAAATCTACTGCAAAACACCGCCCTCCCCTCACCACTCCCACGAACAACTATCCCGCTCCCATCATCCACCGCACCTCCATCATGACGCAACTCATCCTTCCATACCTCCACCCTCCCCAATCCCTGCCCTCTACACATCCCCGCTACCCTCCTCGCCTGCGCCATATCCCCCACCTCCACCAACAACGCCTTCGCACCAGAGATCCGCGCAATATGCGCGATACGAGGGTAGAACGCATCCTCCGGCTCGAGGCCATCAAGCGCGGAGGAGGGGATGCTGGCGACCAGTTCCTGAAGCCAGGAATTAGAGATGGGCTTCGTAGTCAATGAGGGGACGAGAGCAAGGCGCGGCTCGAAGTGACGGACAGATCGGTCGAGTTTGAAGGTGTAGTCGGCGCGGGAGATGTAGGGGGGGTTGGAGATGATGATGTCCCATGCGCGCTGTTTAGAGAGGATGTCCGCGTCGCGCATTATATCTGCCCTCTCAAATACCACAGGGGAGTGGGTTGAAGGATCTGGATTTTCCCTGCTGGACTTGATACCCCGGACGTGGTCTAGGTTTTTCTTCGCAAGGGAAATGGCATGCGGGGAGATATCGACGCCCAGGACCTGCAGTTGGACGTCCGCGGATTTAGCAGCGGCGCGGAGTTCATGCTCGAATAGCAAGGGAATGCATCCGGAACCAGTACAGAGATCCAGGACTCGTAAGGTACTACCGAATTCTTGCTTTAGACCACGGGATTTCAATATGCTGATCAAGTGGGAGACAATGGTGGCCGTCTCAGGTCTGTTCCTCATTAGCAAAGCAACACTTCATTCATTCATGAGACGCCAAATACCTACCGTGGAATCAACACCCCCTCCCGACACCTCAGCTCCAAATCCCCGAAATATTCCGTCCCTAACAAATACTGCAACGGCACGCCCCTCCTTCTCTTTCGGCACAGCCCCTCCAGCAAGCCATCTCGCTCTTCCCTCGCGCGTCGCTCACCGCAGTTCGATCGCAGCACTTTGCTTTCTGCGTGTTCGGTAAGCCAGCGGAATTCGTTGATGGCGGACGGCAGATCACGGCAGGTGCGAAGGAGGGAGGGAAGCATGGGGTGGGTGGCGTGGGCGGAGCGGAGGAGGGGGGGGCGAAGACGGGGCATTTGCCATTGGGGGATGGGGATGGGGATGGGTTAATGGGAAAGGGCCATGACTTATTAAAGCAATAAGGAAGGAGCGGAAATTATACCCGGAATTGGGGAAGGTGTTGTGATCAGATGGGTGATATTCGAATTAGTTACGGATTCAAGACCAAAGAAGCGCAAGTAATTAATGGTTTAGTCACGTGTGTACAGTCCGGATATATTTTGTGGCAATTAGATACAAGAAAGCTACTATACACAGAACAGCATCAAACATATACATGTCTCATATCTAGAATGAACCCTTCCAGCCCCGCCCCTAACTCACCGCGCCATCCTTCTCCCGCGCCTCCTTAAACGCGGGGCTATTAAAGTAATCCACCATCTCCTCCCACCCCTTATCCCACACTCCCATCAGCCACGACGGCAAATCCGAGAACGCCCACAGCTTCTCATGCACCACCATGATCTGCCCCTTGTCGTCCTCGGTCGGGAAGTACCCGTTGAACTTGCGCGGGAGAAACGCCACGGGGAACGCCCCGTCCTCGGCGAACATCCACTTGAAAAACGACTGCTCCGCGGCCGTGTTGTCGTACTCATCCACCTTGACGTAGTTCCGGATCAAACGCCGATGCATGGCGGGGTTGGGGCGCACGACGACGAAGCCGCCGTTGATCCCCCCGCCCATATTCATGACGCCCATGAACGTGTAGTCGCAGAGCTCGTCCTTCTCTTTCAGGTCGTCGGCGTTGAGCTTCGCCGGGTCACATTTCTGCTCTATGATCTCGTCGAAGACGGAGTCGATGTTCTCGAGAGGGAAGGCATCGGAGTCCATGTATGCGATGGTGGAGTACTGCGTCTGGTTGAAGAAATGAAGTTTGGAGAACTGGTCGCGCCAGCGGCCCCAGACGCCGGGGATGTGAGGTTCCCATGGGAGGAGTCCGAGTTCTTGGATGACAGCGCCTGCGCCGGCGAGGATGTCGCGCTGTTCTTGAGTAATGAACGGGGCGACGAAGACGGTGAAGGGGCGGGATTTAGAAGCGATAGAAGGGGACCAGAGGTTGCGGTAGACGAGGTTCAGGGTGGCGGCGAAGTAGGGATCGTAGATGGACGCGTTCGGGGTGCAAAGGAAGGTGGCGAAGGTTTGCTGCTGCGTGTCCGGCACATAGTTATGCGGTTTATATTTGGTGTATTCCTTCAGGTCGAAGTTGGGTTGGCGAAGCGTGGCCAGATCCTCCTGGAACATGAACTTCGTCTCGATGAATTCTTCGCCCGCCGTTGGCGATGGAGCAGGCGCTGGCACTGGCTTCTGGATGATCGTGTAGCCGTGATATGGTGCGGATTGGTGGAGAACGACCAGGAGGACGAGGAAGAAAAAGCTTAGGATACAGATTAAACGCGAGCGAGCGGATAATGCCCTGGGGACAGGGAACGACATGTTCAGACAAGATCGAAGGAGGGATTCTGGGACATAGAGTTTATCTGACCATGCGCTGCGCGCGAGAAGATGCTCGAAGAGAGGCCACGAAGGACGGTCGGATTCCTAAGAGACTACCAACAGGATCGCAAGGTCGAAACATTCATATTCAAAAAGCGCGAGGAAAGGAGTGTGAACAGGAGTTCGTGGTTCCAGGCTCTCCGCAACGATTTGCAGTCGGGATGGAAGGGCGAGGGGAAGTTAGATTAATTTAAATAAATTGCAAGTCAATGATGGCGTCTGTGAGGATTAGGGAACAGATGAGGAACCGAGGATTGGCTTTGTTGGGCCTGGGGGTGGAGAGGTACAGTGTGAAGTGGCCCCTGAGTCGTTACTGCGCCACATGGAACTGTCCATCCTCGAGCACCCCCGCGACCCCCCGGACCCCAGGGGTCGAACTGTGGCTTGAAGTGATGTCTCCACCAATGACCAACGTCCCTCAATCAACTAGGGTTGCTATCACATGCAATCTCTCCTCTGCTGTCTATCCTAGTAACTAGTTCCTACTCTACTCAGGATCAACAATTCATGACGTATGATAAAATAAAAAGTTATAGCTTGACTCCTTAGTCAATTGAAGCGAACCGTGGAAAGAACTGGCTGTATACTATGGAGGTATAATTATTACTAATGGCAACGTACAAGCATTCGCCGAGATGGCCGTCCATCACAGGCCCCGTATCAGATCCTTGTCGTCGCGGTTTCAAGATCGTCAGTCTTACCAGCGATCAGGAACAGGGAACAATGTTCGGTAGTAACACGGTGTTTGCAAGATATAAATTGGAAACTAGCCCCTCCTCGTTTCAAATCGCATTGAGTCCAGTGGCGTGTCTACTCACTTCATGCGGCGTAGACGGTGTACCTCAGTGTGCGATACGGGATTCAAGGCCAAGGCATCATGTGGCAGGGTGTAAAGCATCCATGTAGCAATGTCTTTGGAGTTGTTTGTATTCGAAGATAGGGAATATATTCCAAATTACATTTTCTCTGGCTGAAAGAAACATCGCCGCTCCTACAATTCACTAAGGATAGGTAAAAGTCTTGGAACGCTCGATCCCAGCCTTCGTAGCTTCATCGAGGTCTTCCTTTGGCAGTCCCAGCAAGCTGTTCACCGTGTCTTTGTCAAACACGCCAGCATCATCGGGATAGAAGATTCGGGTATACATCATCTTGGCAAAGCCATTCCAATCGCCTCCTTCCATCTCTCTGACAGCAGTAGCGTACCGCTCCTGCGACACCTCTTTTGTGATTGTCCAGTCCTCTCGCTTGGTACCCGTGACGCGGAGCACAGATTCCAGCATATCTTTCTGATTGATGTAGAAGGAGTCGGCGCAGATGGCAGTGTTCTTAAAGTGCTCAAGGCAGGCTTCTGGATTCGAGCCTTCGGGCTTGATGGGCAGACTGAGAAGAGCAGCGACTGTCCGGCCAACCTGTTTGATGTTAATCGTTTTCTAAGACAAGTAGCCGACGATTGCACGCGTACCTGTGGCCACGTGGAGGTCGAGATCTTGGCCTCTCCTTCATCGATGAGCGTGACGGATCGATTAACAATGTCGAATGCAAATGCCGAAGGAATGGCCAAGCTCCACTCGTACCAAACGCCAGTCGCCACTGCGATGTATGAACTTTTCCCCAGGTCTTTTATAGCCTTACGATTGACATCTATAGTCCAATGATCAGTCGTCAGTGCATATATGGGGGATTTATAGTAGGAGCGCTCACCCTTTGCCTCGAAAACAGGTACATCTTTGACCAACTCCTTATGGGTGTTGTCTAATCCCCATTCGTTCGGGAGGATCCATTTTACACCGGCATCACCAGCGGCATTGATGAGTTGCAAGCATGTCTCTTTCGGGACCTGGACAGCGAGGGTTATGATAAGCAGATCTTGGCCTCGGAGTGCGTCCACGATGGTCTCCGGCTTATTGTAGTCGACTGTTTTTGAAATCACTCCTGCCGGAAGCCGGCTCTGGCTGCCAGTGCGGGTGATGCCCGTGACAATGTGCTTTCCGGTCTTAACTAGTGCTTCAGAGATGAAGGTACCGACGTGGCCACCCGCCTACGCTCGTTAACTTATTGGTTGTGGTGGAAGATGTGGATAGTAATGTCACTCACACCAACGATGGCAACGTTTCTGATGCGGTTTGAAGCTGCCATTGCGGAAGAATGATCAAAGGTATAGATATTTGTTTACAGACGGACTTCGAGAAGAAACAGGGCAGAATTCTTTAAATGAGAAGAGATACAGACTGAACGTCTTGCTTGCCATCATATACTTCACCCATACCTCACACCCTGGACTACTAGCGCGTTTAAGCTCGAGCGATCCTCCGTTAAAACGTTGCATTCAGTATAACGACGAACGTAAAAGCCGATAAACCCGAAGTCGGACTTCGGTGCAACGATGAATATGCGGCTAATTACGCCTACTATTAGTAAACCTTTTCGGAGACTGCGTGGAAGTCAAAAGGGGAGATGTCGGAGATAATGGCTCGGCCTCCTCCCAAGACCGAACGCGGGTCCAAATTGGGAGGTATTTTTCTATAGCTGTAATTGAAATTGTGGATAGAGTGGCTTAAACATTGCCTTCTGCAATTATCAAGACGTTTCCTCCGGGTTAATTTGAAGGCGTTTTGCAGCCTTTTGTTCCCTCTCCCTAGCTGCCTCCTGAGCCGCAACAATCTGGTCAATCTGAACAAATCGTTCGTTCAGATTGGGCTGAAC